AGAAGACGAAGATCAGGAAAGCGACCGAGCAACTGAGGCTTGAGCAGAAGAACGTGAAAACTATGTGGTCGAGGACGAACCACAGTCAGGAGAGGCCGAGTAAGGAATACCTTACTAGAAAGGTATAAAACCAGCGCGGCGCTCCGACGCGGGGATTGCACGGTTGTCATTCGTCGAGGGAACATCGTTCAAAGACTCTAAGTGTCCGTGTTTAAGTGGGTAGATTTGAAATAACTGCGGTTTGTTTTTATTTTATTTTATTTTTATCAAGTTACCTAAAAATATTATTTTAAAAAGTGTCCTAATGGTGGACGCGAATTGGTCCAGGAGTGGACGCTACTTGGTTTTTTGTGGAAGTAAACTGAAGTTTATCTATTTAAAAAAAATAACATAAAATGCTTCGAACAAAAGTAAAAATGAATCTTAAAATACATATTATATTGATCACATTACAGAAATTTTACAAAGAAATAAGCGCGGGAACATTTTTATTATCGCCCTAAAACTTCCAAACTGCACCAAATAAAACGTTGTAATTCCTTCATATTTCACGTTGCTAGAATTTATTTATTTTTATTGTTCTATATCGAAATTCAAAAATGTTTTCTACTAAGTATTTGGTTAAGGATATTATCAATTGGTTACAAGTTTTTCCTCATTACATCTTTAAGTAGTTTCATATATTTTAAGTGAAAATGATACTAAAACGAGATTTAAGAAAACCTGTGTTAAGATATCACGATTTAAGACATTAATACAGCGTAAATCGTGATTTTTTTTCTACTAAGTTTTTAGATAGTGAAATTTTCTAAACATATAAGTAATTAACATGTTTGTACGATAAGTGGTTGATGATACTAACAGGTTTGAAAAACCCAGTTTTAAGTCAAATTGCGCGTTTAGGGTATAAAGGCTCTTAACGTCACATAGAGAAAAACAGTGATGGGAAAACAAATAGAAAAGCAAAACTTTGCGTTCATTTTGGGAAAGTCTTTTATTACCTATACTATTTATTTAGCACGTTTTAAACTACATTGCTAAGTGTGGTTTCAGAAATGCTGTGAACGTTCCCAAAAGCGGCAAAGCAAGTTCTGAGCGATTCCTGGGCCAGATGAGTGTCTCTGTCCGGCGGTGCTGCTACTTCATGAAAAATTTGCACTCCTTTACAAAAACTTGTGATCGCATCCTCAATCTTTTCCTCCTCCATGAACCTAGTCCCTTCCTAAAAATAGTTAATCTATTATCCTTCCACATCTTTTCCAATGCGGCTGAACGGATTTTAATTAAATTGTGTATCTACATTCGAAGGCCAAATAATATTTTTTTATATATTTTTTCGTCTTTGTTTCTTCTTTACACGTATACTAGTAGTACTCTAAAAAATATTTTATTGATTTATTGAAAACGATTTAAGAAACCAAAAAGCTATGTTTGAAAGAATAATTGTTCTTTAAGTAAAAAAAAGTCCGCAACGGTATGCGTCTATCTGTTAAGATTATCTCGCAAGAAAAATGTGACGGGACACGAACGACTTCGTGGGTAACAGCTATAATTTATAAAGGACGTTGTTTACAAAAATAAATAATATGATCTAAACAGCTAGTCTATACTTCTATTATAATAAAAAAGAAAGAAGAAGAAGAGAGCTGAAGAGATTATTTGTTGAAATTATTTTTGTGTTGGTTATAGCCATTAAGTCGTATTTACTTACTTGATACAGAGAGTGACATTCGTCAATATTAGTCATGTATAGTTTTACCAGTTTGGGATCGATTAGTGTTGAGCATCGAGGGCATCGATTTGGTAGACATTTTGCATAAGCTTGATATTTATAGCAACAATCTAAGTTCTGACACCTGAAATTAAAAACGTGAAATGGCCATTTAGCCCTTGTTCAGTCTTAGCAATTTTTTTTCATGTATGTACATTTTATTTAGAATCTGTTGATCCGATCGAGGGGACCCCTAACTTGGTCAGAAAGATCTTAATACAATGCACGTAGGATAGTAGACAGAGCACATATCACTATTAATTACCGCAGGTAAATCGCCGAGTTAGATGACGTTTGCTTGAGCGTTGGCCACTCTTCTCTGCACGCGATACACTCGCATCGAAACCAATATCTGCATGCGAGGGCCCTACGTCTCTCCTTGAGATTTCTAATCAAGAAATGTGGTCCATAATTCTCAGAGACAATTTCGCCGGGCTGAAGACGCCGAATCGCACGAAGTACAATCTTATTACCTTCGAAATACCTACAGAGTTAGATCACATATTTAATTTATTCACATTTTCGTTATTCGATCAGGTTTTAAAAGAACATGACACCAAGGGCACGCGTTATTTTAAAGCCACTTAATACCTCGCCACGGCCGGGTAGCATTCGTGATTGAACAAGGCTCCGGTGGGGTAAAGGCCGACCGCAACATAGATTGGCTTCGAACCAGAAAATGTATGCTGGCCTCTTATAGTTTCATAAATTTCATGCGCATTGAACTGGAGCAGTTGCAGGTTGTGGATTATAAGTTCGCAAATTGTCCTTTCAGCTGTAATATAGAAAATATATTTAGTGATCACATACACGCAAATATATAAAATTGAAGATCCAAAAACACTTCCGTTTATTCACAGTTGAGTTATGTTTTATGTATGAACTTCTCCTGCTGATGCAAAGTGCTCACAATGCGGATCATAGATCAGTAATAAAATTCGCGTTTTATACCGATAAGCATGTTTTTTTTAAGGTAATCTAATCGCACTAATATAATACTATACTACTTGTATGGAATTGTTTGTTTTCAAATAATTTATTTGTTTACACACATTAACCCAGCTAGATAAATTATGTTTGGTGTATCGGACACAGAAATGTATCTGCTGCATTCACTTAATTGCAAAAATAGGATTGCATCCTCTAAGTAAACAAAAATCAAACGCGAAGTGTATTTTCCATGTAGGTAAGTTAGATAATTACCCCTCAACGCGCTCCCCTTATCCAATTGATTGAAAAAACCCCCCTTTTTGAGACACTCAGTGAGAAACATAGCCATTACCACTCGTTTCAGATAATCCTGACCTTTTCTTACAGTAGAATGGGTACATAAGGAGTATACTTGACCAATTGTTGTCTCTAAATTGTCTTGATAACTGCCTTTATTCTCACTGCTCTTTGTGTCGTCAAAATTAACAACGTAATCGGAGTTCTTGAGATTTCTTTTTGATCTGTTTATTCTCTCTTTCCTGCTTTTTATTTTCAACCTTTTCATGGAACCCTCGATATCGCCTAGTTGATCATCTTTGGTAGATTTAATACCATTGTCAATATAATTAGAGTATATTCGTAAACTTGTATCTAATCCTGCCTGCGTTATCATTCTTAGAGCTATATGACTAAGTACTGACATACCAGAACCTAAAAAGCAAATTTTTAGTATCAATTATATCGTTTTAATATTTGTATTTCTAGTAGTCTAGAAAGGTTATAAAATAAAGTCAGGGACATGGATCCCCGGTTGTGAAACGGTCGTCAATCGCAAGTCGATTTTTCTATCCTTATTCCCGGTTTATGTGGGCCAGAACACTCCCACCTTTATAGGGGCGCTTAGGAATAAAGGCTTAGGCTCATTCGTTATACAGCCCTTTCTGGAAGGCTTCACTTATAAAAAGTCCTTCCATTGATAATAAATATACACAGTTATTGTTTTTTCATTTCCCAAATTATATTATAAAATTTATTAAATCATCCTTATCAACCTTAATCAAAATACAAAAGATTATCTTTGTGCGAAGTAAAATAATTATTTTCTAAATTAAAAATCGATTATGAATTTAAAAAAAATTACGACACGGGCAGGACATGAACATGCATAGCATTCCGTGCTGTTGCTATAATCTAATTATTACTTAGTTAAATTAATTCTATACTTTCTTGTTTGTATTCGGTTATTTTTGTGAAAAAATGCATACATATGTGTACATTTATGTGCAATTAAAATTTTCATCCTTTTCATACCTGTTAAGGTAGGAATTTTTGTAAATAAATAAATAATAAAAATAAAAAATAAATTATTAGACCTCCAATAATAGTCACCATATATTTAGATGTAATGTTCTTAGTACTTATCTATACTAATATATAAAGCTGAAGAGTTTGTTTGTTTGTTAGAACGCGCTAATCTCAAGAACTACGGGTTCGAATTGAAAAATTCTTTTTGTGTAGGTTAGAGCATCTATCGAGGTAGGCTATACACATTGCGATGTGACTAATAGGAGCGAAGATACAGCGAGAAATGTGAACAAAACGGGGGAGATTTTTCATCTCTTTAGGTTTCAGATGCGTACGCTGCGAAAACAGTTCAAGATATCAAAAAATTATGTATGAAAGAATGATTCCTCTTTAAATGATCTAAAAAAAAGTCTGCGAAGCCATGTCTATCTTTTAAGATTAACTTGCAAAGAACGACCCGAACGACGGGACGCGTACGACGGGATACGAATATTGTGGGCAACAGCTATCTACACTAATATTATAAGGAGGGAAAATTTTTATTTTTGTATGTAAAGGATAAACTCAAAAAGTACTAGACCGATTTTAATAATTCTTTTTTCATTAGAAAGCTATATTATCACTGAGTAACATAGGCTATATTTAGTACTTGATTACAATAGGCATCTATAGAAATTTCTATTAAAAGCAACGGGAGGTGTAAAAAAATTAGCCATAAAATGTCTTTCATCGCATCGAAGAGTATTAATGATAGGATAAAAAAAATGTTCGACATTATTATAGAATATATCAATATCTACAAAAAAATATTGACCATATGTCTAACTATTGTAGTTACGTCACTTTAACTACTTTTTTACATTTAACAAATTGATAGAAATGCCGAACAAAATCAAACCGTGTTATCCATACCATTTATACATTTTTCATTTAAATAAATCTATACTAATATTATAAATGCGAAAGTAACTCTGTCTGTCTGTCTGTCCGGCTTTAACTCCGAAACTGCTGAACTGATTTAAATGAAATTTGGTACACAGATATTTTAGAGCCTGAGAAAGGACATATGCTTTTTTAGGGACTTTTTAATGCCAAAAGAGGGTTAATAGGGGATGAAAGTTTATATGGAAATTTGTGGTTTTTGAAGCTAGAACAATAAAACTTTCTTCTTTGGCTTTTTGGGAATAGGAGTGGGGGTGGGAATGAGAGTGGGAGTTAGGGTAGGAGTAATCTGAGGTGAGAGTGTTGCGGCAAAGTAGCACTTACAACATAGATTGGCTGCGAAATGCGCCCTTACATAAATTAATAAACAGCCTGAATATTTAAAAATTCTATCCCAAGTCCAGTTCCACGCGGACGAAATCGCGGGCACAGCTAGTTTCAAATAATTTAAGCTCAAACACAAGAATTACGTCGACTCTTTCTCGGCTTCATCACCACATGTCCAAACATTTCTTTCCCCTGGATTTCTCTGGTGCGAGATCATCACATCCCGACTCTCTTATAATGGGGTAACTAGGAAAAATGTACTTACTAACAAAATAAATCATCGAATTGGGTTCGTAAACGACGAAGTTATTAGCAAAGAATCATAAATAATAAAAGAAACGAATTAAAACGTCCTATTTTTGAGGTCGCTTAAAAATATACAGAACAATGTACGTGTTGAATTAAATGTTGCATGTTATAAAGCCTAATTTAAAGTCAAATATTTAGTAAAAAAATGTGTGCTATCTTACCTATAAAAAGGTCGAGGAATTTACACTCGTGCGAATGGTAGGTTGTCACGGCAACATCACGGCATTTAACGCTACAGAAGCCAACGGCCGAGCAATTTGGACACCAAATAGGCGCGCTATTGTCGCAACTCTCGAGTCTGCAAATTATTCAAATTCAAAACAATGTACAATAAATTTATAACTTAGATGGAAATGGCAATTGGTTCCAGTCTCCGCTGTGGTGCTGAATGCTTGTCACACTCAGAAGCGCGAGTTTTTAGATTGGCCTGGGTATAGGAGTGAAGTTTATAAGATGAAATTATATAATAAAGTCTAAGATTCATAGTAAAACCAAATATACACACACATAATCATAATCTTTCACGTCCTTTGCTTTTCAGACGTTCTTTCAGACGTCCTGTGCTTCGGAATATCTATAATATTTTGCGTCTTGCTCCTTGTATTAAGAAAGTGCGTTGTCTCGGCCCATTCTAATTAATGCTAATTGGCAGCCCCGCTAAATACATCTCCGGCTTCCCTTCATTTTTGGAATTTAGTTTTTGTCTACTAAGGTATGGCGCGAAGTGAGCTTGCCTACGTATCCCAGAGCAAGACCGGGCACATAAGTTTTGCACTTTCTGTATAGCCCGTCCCGTTTTAACGAATAATCGAGGCCCGTATACTGTGTCACAGTAATTAAAAGTTGCAAGGATAAGAAACTCTTATTATGTATAAAGCTTTTAATTAAGACGGTTCTATTTAGATAGCTAACATGGTCCTTGAATCTCAACTGTTAGTCTACCATACTTCCGAGGTGTCTGCATACTTTAACTTGAGAAACTGAAGCATTGTGAAGGGTTACTGCGTCATTAGTATGTATGTGTAATATTATTGTATTTAGTAAATCAGTTCAGAACTTAACCAAGTTTGGATATTATGGTTGCGACGATTAATTAATTACCTGCAAAGTTAATGAATTTATTGTCTATAGTTTTTATGCACTTTTCCTACATAACCTCGCCCGCCTTATTTACACGAAACGCTACTTATGAGCGGCTCTTTTCTTGCGTGCGAAGTAAAATAAAGAGACGTTTGTAGATGTGAGTCTCTCATTGATATTTATGTATTGATTTAAAAAAGGCCCGCCAGCGGGTATTACAGAGTGTGAATGTATTTGCATATCCTATTTAAGGTAGGCACTACATGCATTAAACATTAGGTACAGTATTAATAATATTAATAATAAATTACAGTCTAAACAGAGTGAGACAATCTTAAAGCTAAGGTACAATTATTTAACTAAAAATAGGTAAATACATTTCTTCATTTTCATTGTACTCTTATTAAGTTTTTTCTAGAGTAAGTTCGAGCAGCCGACGAAACCGGTTATACGATAGATGGAAAAGGTCTAAGTGAGACGAATATTTGTTCATTAATTTACAAAGTCTAGGGATTGCGGAAGAGGAACCAAGGACGGTTCGAAAAAATGGATATTCACTTTCTGCGTCCCAACAATCAGGTCCAGGTCAAACGTATCGATGCCTCGTCAAACTCGTACGCACGTCACGGACGTGTCGGCTTGCAAATCGCACAGGAATAGCCGACGGCTGCCCTCCGGCTGGCAGCATACGAACTAGTCGTATCTTCGCTATGATTATTTGGGTCGCCTTGTTTGTTGCGTTCGGCGCCGGTTCTCCATGCACTTGTAATGTCTTGGACTTGCAGTTGACCACCCAGCTTTTTTTCAATAGTGAGGCGTATCGGATTCTCACCGGAGATTTCAGGTATACAAGTGAGCTTGATGTCATTTCTTACTTCATTTTGCTCATATTCGATTAGAGCCTGTTCCAGAGACGCCACAGGTTCCATCTGCCTTGAAGGACATAGTCTATCGTCTTTGTTCTGGAACGACCATCTGTAGACTATGGTGCCGGCGACTTGCACTTCTCACATATCCAGTTGCTTAGGTCAGTTGATATTACACATAGTTTATGCTTTAGACCACCAATTTTAGTACACCATTTGTCACTACTTGACCATCCCCGCTGCATTTGGCGCACTTTATTTCACACAATAACTAAAACTTATAGTAAAGATGAATAATTTTCCCCGTTTTTTCAACATTTACCCATTTTTAAAAACAACAGTTATTCAATTCTAACGAGACGTTCCTGAGATTAGCGAGTTCAAACAAGCAAACTCTTCAGCTTTATAATATTAGTATAGATATTATACCGTTTTCTCGAAATTACAAACTGTCGTATGTATTTTGTTCTCTGTCCTACTTAATGAAAATTTATTTAGTTGCAGCTTTATGTATTTAAAGAACGAGAGCGTGCCGGTAAACTAGAATGACTCTTTAAACACGCATTCTTATGCAATAAGAATAACTTTTTCACGTCTTCAGCGGAAAAAGTCGCAAGTTCATTTCTTGAAAGACATGAAATGTTAGACATATCTGCTTGTATGTGAGTCAAGAATCTAACTAATAAACATATTATCAAAAATAAGAATACAGCTTTTCATTACCTTTTGAAACAATGAGAACAATGTGATCCGTAGTAATCCGATTCGAGACACGATGCGTAGGGGCTGTCCACTAAAAGGACGTCGCCAGTTTGTATCTGACCAGCTGCTACAACAAAGCGCCCCTGAAATGTTTCCATTCATTTATTCGCTGACTATTATTTGATGACTAATTCTCAGTAGGGCAGTTGTTCTCTAGTAGTGAAACTAGATCAAAGATCTAATATTCAAATTACAGTAGTTGCTGCTACCTAATTGCATTTACTTCCTCTTATTGATTTATGCTGTTTGTTACCTTGTTTTCTTCCTCGGTTATTCTTAACAAATTTGACATACTTGGCCTACTTAGTTTCGCTCCGCCCGTTACCTGTATACCTATAAATACCATAAATAATTATTGTCTGTCTGCAGTCCACGCTTCTGAATCGTATTACGATTTTTCTTAATGTACGCATAAACCTTGTTATGCAACTTAGAATAGCTGCGCTGGCACTAAATATAAATTAAGAATCTTTTAGATTGGAAACATCATACCGTTGGTACTGAAACCGGCGTCCATTTTTTTCGGTCCTGTCACTCTATCCCATTGAGCTGCCGTTTCTTACACATAATTGCACAGCAGGAAGGTTTGTAATTGGTACTTTTTTATTTTTAGTTTTGTGGAGTTTTGTTCAGAGACTTATTCTGAATAGACAGCTTACAAACTTTACGTTTTTTGGTTGCACCCAGATACCGTTGGTAACTAGTATGTAGTTATGGATTTTAGTTAGAAAGCAGTCGACCTAGTGCCCAACAAAGCGTAGTTTAAGCATTTATTTTATTGCTGCATATATGCATAACGCATGCAAGTTCCGAGTGAGCTGTGGAAACTGTTAGTATGTTGATGGAATTATTTTACTATAGAAGGTAACACAGTTCATTAGTTCGTTAACAAAACCGCCTTAAACTAGTCGCAGTTGTAACCATGGCATGTTATGAACCTTCATTCTTCCGAAAACTTGTCTTTTCGACAGCATAGTCCAGTGAATCTATATCCCTTTGTAATTGATTCTTCGCGTCTTCATCCTTACTTAATAATCTTATAGCAAGTTCGTAAGAAACTTTTGCTCTTGTCGACTCATTCGCTCCTGCAACAGTGCAAGTACAGTTTAATAAATAATAATAGAGCCACTATTCGTATACATACTTAGTATATACAGGTATGATACATCGAGTGTCTCATTCTAGTGTAAGTTATTGTTAAGTATTTACTCTTAATTACGACCTTAAAGTAAAAACACGTTTTTTATTAGTCTCCCGAGACCAAGCCAACACAATAATAAGAATCAGTTTAATAAAGAACTTAATGCCTCTTCTGACATATTATATTTATAAACGGAATTACCTATATTTTAAATCAGAAAACTTAAAAGTAATAAACAAAATATGCATGTCTTCTTTTGAATTGTATATTCAACTAGAAGGTTTATATAAATAATGGTCCGAAAACCAATAGTGTAGGTGCAGGCAATGAGTTGCATAAGGGCGATTGTAGACAGTATACTAACAATCAAAGATTATGTTTATCTTTAACCTAGGCCTAAATTAATAGTAAATGCTCGTATAGACTGACCGTATCGATGGGATTCATATATCGACAGCCTGAGTCTAATACCTACTACTTAATTATTAAGACTGTATATGTTTACTGTATACCTTTGTAGCAATGCCCCATTCGCCAATAATATTGAGCTCGCATCTTCAACGGGAGCCGTTCTTTCAGTGCCACCTTCAGGTCTTCCAAAGCGGCGTACGGTTTGTCACACTTTAGTAATACTTCAGATCTAGCCCATAGGGCAAGCGCAAGGGACACCCCACCATCAATTACGTCATCGACATCTAGAAAGTTTAGTAAGACAAATTAAAATTAAAATTTGAGACTAGAATTTTACATCGCACTCGTTCTCTAACACGAAGTATTTCTTTTAAATGATGCGCCGAAATTTACTTTAATTTAAGTAGTACAATGATGCAGAAGTTCATATCTCTAAAAAGTTTAAAAAGTCGTTTATATGTGTATCGCAAGGTTTTTGGTAGTAATTGATGTTTTTGTACTAAAGTCTAATCTTTTCTAGCAATAAATGTAAACTTTCTTACTCAGAATGATAAACTCGACACAATAGTTAATACAAACACATACACACACGCAAAATACAAATCTGTCTCTTTATTGTAGATCTTTAACTAATGTCGATATGATCGTTGTCACTTGTTTAATTTCGTTTTCTAATAAGGATTGTGCATAACAACTTACCAGTCATCGGTGCCCGAAAAACAGCCTGGTTGGCCAGGGTCAGTGCTTTCGTAACGTCACCATCTCGTAGGGCAGATTCGGCCGCCAAACGTTTCTCGTGAGATACTCTTGCATCTTTACTTCTAAAAATTGGCTGGATTCGAGAGAAAGCATCTCGCAGTGTAAGCATAATCTAAAACAAATATTGCGTAACAGTTTTACTACATTTCTCTCATAGTGAGGCTTACTCGCACTCGGCATGATTAGCTGTATCAGCGACTTCAGCGGCGTCTGGGAGAATCGTTATTTTGGGCATCCAAATTCCTTTGAAAACATTAATATTGTTTACGACGATGCCGGTTCGAGCCCTGCCCGAGTCGAAAATTTTTTCAATTTATTTTCGATTTTAAAATCATCCAATTTTGTTTTTTCCAACCCCTTCATCTTTATAAACTTTTTTTAGATTATGTAAAGAGGAATCATTCTTACATACATATATTTTGGGTGCCTTGAACAGTTATTGCAGCGTACGCCTCGGAAACCCATAATCTATACTGATATATAAAGCTGAAGAATTTGTTTGTTTGTGTGAACATGCTAATCTCAGGAACTACTTGTGGGATTTGAAAAAATATTTTTGTTTTTGCTAGAGTACTTATCGATAAATGCTAAATAAAACTTCAAGATGCGACTTATAAGAGCGAAGAAATCGAGGGAAATGTGGGAAAAACGGGGAAAACTATTCATACTCTAGAAATGCAGATCAGAATTAGACCATTTATAAATTTTTATCCAAGACTGTTTCAATACCTGATGATTACTTGATAATTATTAAAATCGAACATTGCATTCAAAAGATATCATGAAATTAAAATAAAAAGACATTTCGGCGGCGGTCGCCAGTGGCCGCAAACTACATTGAATATTTCAAGTTTTTTCAACACATTTTTATGCTTCACTTACAAGAAATGGGCAAGAAGGGGTTTCTGTTTCCAAGTAGTGAGAATAGTCTGCAGTATCTAAGTTTTTGCTGCGCCTATAATTTAAGTAACGAACATTGCAATGAAGTTTACGATATTCGATTTATAAAGGAATAGATGTTCGCCAAAATAAATCACGACTTCAAAAAGGTGCAGTCACATACGCAGTTTAATTGAACTACAAATCCATAGAGACAAAAAACTTTTGGTATAAAATAAAACAGATTCGTGTTAACCGCGACTTTTTTTTGCACCTGGTTCTTTAACTTATTGTTCAGAATTTGTTGCTTTAAGAAAATAGTAAATTGGCAATATACATTTTTATAACTACACATATAAATGTATTTTTTTATTCTTTACTTAGTTTTCTATCGTTATTCTTTCTTTCATTTATACCAAAACTAGTCAGTACGAATCCGTAATTGTTGTTGTGACTTATTTTATTTAAGTTAATAAAATGTATGGTTTGTTTTTCTATTATTTAATTTATCTAACTGACATCTTATTAATTATGTTAGGAAGTAAAATCTATAGGTCTCAATGTGACATAATTATTTAATTCACTAAAAAAATGATACAAGTCATAAATTATGAACTAATTGAATCGTTTAATGGCTTTTATGGGTAAATATATAAAATTTATTAATTATACGCTACTTAACACATGACACGAATAATGGCTAATGTGAAACCTTAAAGATATTTTTCAATAAAAATAATTTGAAGTAAAACTAAGGCAAAAGGGCCAATGTTCAATAAAAAAGCAGGTGATATCTATATCTATACTAATATATAAAGCTGAAGAGTTTGTTTGTTTGCTTGAACGCCCTAATCTCAGGAACTAAGGGTTCGAATTGAAAAATTCTTTTGTTTCTGGTTACAAAATTTATCGAGGAAGGCTATAGGTTAGAAAACATCGCGCTGTGACTAATAGAAGCGAAGATACAGCGGGAAATGTGAACTAAACGGGGGAAATTTTTCATTCCTGTGGGTTTCAGACGCTGCGAAAACGATTCAAGATACCTAAAAAATATGTATGAAAGAATTGATTCCTGTTGAAATTATCGTTGATGAGTTTTAAGATTAACTTGCAAGAACGACGCGATCGACGACGTGGCGAACAACTTAAGTTTATAAAAATGACGGGGTTTACAAAAACTAATTTGGATGCCCAAAATAACGATTCTTGCGGACGATCGTGACGTAGTTTATATATAAAGCACTGTAGTAAACTAGCAAATTTCGTTAAAACATTATTATTAAATTTATTATTTTGACCCATATACAGAGGACCCGTCGATCTTACTGTAAAATATTTTTTTACTTACTGTTAATTAACAATTAAATGATTTCGTACATTTTTTTACGAAAATGAGGTGTTTTTTATGCCCAAATGGCAGCAACTGCGTGAAAAGTACTCGTTATATAGTCTACTCATGCGAACAATAGGATTGAAAATAGAGATCAAACATACCGCTTCATTTTCCATGACTGCAGCTAATTTAGCTCTCTCGTCCACCCTTTCAAATATGTCTGTAAAGCCCGAGGATTCAGCTATTGAGACCACCTCATCAGCCAAGTTCTTGAAGAAACCTTTCTTATTGGAATACAAGGTCACGTCGCTACACGTTGCGGCGTAATCTGGATCTACATCGTCGTATATTTTTGACATCTGAATAAAATTTCCATTTATTTAAATATGTGGCATGCAAACTTATCCGTTACTTAGGAGAGACAATAAATTTAGATCTTTTTACCTACAATGCATAGTATGTTGACTAAGTTAATATATATTTTTTTTTACTTAGCAAAAGAATAGTATAAATAACATGGAAAGTTAATTCAATTACAATTGATAGTACTATAAAGCTCCACAGTAAACTTTATTGCGTTCCGCGTCTGATACTATAATATGGTGCTGGCCTATAGTTAGATAGACTTTAACGTCAAATCGTTAATCATTGTAGTCAACGAGACTGAGACATCCATCGCGCATCATAAGTAACTTTCTGCCATCATGCCCTGCTTTTCAATTCACTTTAAACTTATTCGAGGCAGCGTATTCATTTCAAAGCAACCGGAAAGTCAGGCATTACTTAAGATATATTGTAACTAATGCATTTAATACGGTTTAAACCGTCAAAAGCGTTTTATCCAAACAGAATTACACTTAGCTGCCAATATTTTTTGGAATTATATTTTAATGACATTATTTTAAAATAAATTTATAGGCTACATTGCGATTTGGACACAATAATACAATAACAATTGCCGAATTTAGCCTACAAGCAAATAACGCTTTGAAACCCAGTTACTTAAAGTGATAACTTTAAAAATACACATATTAAACTAGCTGTGTCGGCGGCTTCGTCTGCGTAGTGTAGTTATTTTGGTCATGAAAATTTAGTTTTTGCAAACCTCCTCTCTGTTACCCACGACATCGGTCGCGTCCCGTCGTTTGGGGGTTTTTGAAGCTAGAACAATGAAACTTTAAAAAAAAATTAAAAATTATACCCTAAGTCACTATTCCACGCGAACGAAGTCGCTGGGACTGCTAGTATTAAATAAAATTGTATAAAAAACCGGCAAGCGCGGTTAGAAGCCTTATATAAAGAATGATTCAGTCTTTAGGTACAGGCTTATTTATTACGCGAGAATTTTGCGCGGTCATCAAATTATGCTGATTTTTAAAACATATTTTAGCGTGACTTTTGAACACATATAATGACATCTAATATCAAATGAATCAAAGTTACTTAGTTAGAACATAAAATAGGGTTAAGAACAAAATTACATATCAAATAGGGAAAAACTTAGACTAAATAATATCGTTAATATTTTGAATAAATTACCTTTGAAGAGAGTTCAAGCGTTGCGTGCAGCCAGTGCTAGTAGCTGAAAACCGCTACTAAATTTAGCTCAGCCGCAAATAGTGAAGCGTTCTATTTCTAACAAATGGAATCGTGCTCACTATCACCACCTTTCGAGCTTCTGCGAAACAATTTCATGTAGATGTACTACAGGTATAGAGTACGATCTATGTATAAATAATTTATTCTAAAAAAATAACACGTTGAAATATTGAGAGAAAGGGTTTGCAAAAACGAAATTGGATACTTAAAATAACGATTATCGCGGATGAAGTTGCTGACATAGCTAGAAATTACTACAACTTTTTTTGCAGACATACACACTTGAAAACTTTATTATTTTTTACAGGTTATTGCATATGAAGACACTATATATATAGTGTATATGTAATTTAAAAAGAGAAAATAAATTGAAAAAAAATTTCAACTCTGGCAGGTCTTGAACCGGAATTCCGGCAGAACGCTGGCGCTTCAATTTATTTTCGATTTTTAAAAGTATAGACATACTAGCTGTGCCCCCGACTTCGATTATGAAGGGAGCATTAAAGGCAGCCAATCTATGGTACGTTCTCCTTTGCCGCAACACTCTCACCTCACATCACTCCTACTCTCATTCCTACACTTACTCCCACTATCACTCCCACGCCCACCCCTACTCCCACTCCCACTCTTATTCCCAAAAAGCCAAAGAAGAAAGTTTCATTGTTCTAGCTTCAAAAACCACGAATTTCCATACAAACGTTCATCCCCCTTTTAACCCCTTTTCGCAATAAAAAGTAACCTATGTCCTTTCTCAGGGTCTAGATCATCTTTATACTAAATTTCATTCAAATCCGTTCAGACGCGGACGTGGAAGAAGAACCGTTAGTTAGATAGTTATATTGGAGTCACCGCGCTGTGCGAATACTTGCAACTCCGCGTTCTCCTCGAGTAATACAGTGTTACTCTGCTCAAATAAATAAAAGTGTCAAAGGAATTGACTGGCTTTTGTTTGTTGAATACCGCTCCTTGCCCAATGGATAACTACCCAATGGATACACACCAGCACACCTCTCAGCTCGGAACTCCTGCATACTTATTTACAAAAAATTTCGGCTACAGCACATGTCTTACTGATTACAGTACTAAGTAACAATTAAGTTATGGCACAATAACACGAGTATTAATACTCATTATCAAAATATTTCGTTGTTCTTTGTAATGACTTTCAGGTGTTTATCGTTCGGGAACTGTACATTGTATAGTTGTTTTAGCACATGTGGAAAGTAAGTCGAGAAAATTAAAACATTAGATCATTCCTCTTTACAATTTAATTTTGCTCTGGTTATTCAATAATTTGCCAGTAGCCAGTCAATATAACGTGCAAAAATTGCGCCCAATTAAAACGTATACGCAATACTGCACTGCACAAGATTTTCATTCTGCACTACTTTTATTCTTTTACTTTACTTTTATCTCGCCGCAACAAACAACTTCATCCAAGGTTTTCATATATCATATTAATATTATAATATAGGCACATAATATACATATATTAAATTGTTAAAAATGAATTACAAAAACTTTGCTTTGCAAGTCAAAAGTAATTTTTTTACAGGGAATACGCCTACAATCCGACTATAGGGTGAAGACTAATGGAGACAAATGTTTAAAAATACTCTGATTGGGGTTTGTTTAAGCCCCATACATTAAATTAAAAATAATATTTTTTTGTCTTACCAATAAAAAAAGTACTTAATTCAGTACACTTCCTGTGAAAACACGATGGAACATTGCTAATTTTTAGGGATCCGTACGAAAAGTCCATCTCTGCATCTGTCTGTCACCGGCTAGCGAATAGTTATGGAGTTGAAGTCTTACATATTATTATTATCATTAATGTTAGTCTATGTAATAGTTCGTCAACGACCTACGTGTATGTGTGATGTTATTATTAAATCATATTGCACGTGCAATTGTCTATGATTAGTTCATTTTGCATTACAATATAGAACTACATTTACGTGATAATTCATGATAGCAATAGGAGAGGGCACTATAGCAATGACGACTCAAACTCGAATAAATAGATGGCACTACATAGTAGTTGATAAATGTATTAAGAGATGGCTGTATATTCATTATAACTTTAAGTTTTCTCAAACTAGGTGACACTACTCAACAGTTCACGATAATACTACAAGAGGGCGCTGTAATAATAGTAATGTTCAGTTTTTGCCACGAGGTAGCGTTAGTCTACAATAACCCAACTTTACACCAAGAGATGGCGCTATAAGTTTTGATTTTCTGTCACTAGATAGAACTAGCGTTTTAAATTAAAGCATTTTTCCATTGCTAGGTAGCGCTGAACTCCTTAGATAAATAGACTTTTGTACTCTAAAATTAAATGCAAAATACATATAATATTTCATAATACACGTCATCTTGTAGAAATGTTTATGGATAATGTAATTACGTATAACCTTTTAATTGGAGACGACGCTGTTTGGATAGTGTTTGTTCAACAACAGGGGAACAAGTTTTTACTTTAACTACTAATTTATATGACTTAAAACACGTTAACGGTTTAAAACGCGATACATTAGTTAAACTTATTTGAAAATGATTTTAACTTCGGCCCGACGTTTAGGATGCTTTGCAGCAGCCGTGGTCACGGGGAGACTGCTATCGCGTTTTAAACCGTTAAAGTGTTTTATCTAAATGACTAAAAACATAATTTTGTATCTATTTAGAACGAATAATTGTATTAATCGGGGAAAATGCAGGTATCGAACACCTTGAGGCTTATAACAGGAAATGAACCGCCCATATTCCGACGGAATACGTCGCACAGCACTTCAAGCACATCAGCATTTGCTTTTAATTATCATACTAGCTGCGTCAACGACTTCGTCTGCGTGGAAGTTATTGTGGGCATCCAAATTTGTTCTTTGTAAAATTATTTTTATCTCTATAAATTTAATGGGTTGGCTGCACTTAGTAAGTACAGCCTGACCCCGTTAGATGACTTTGTTAATTCTGAGATGTCATCAAAACATATTGTACTAGCACACGTGTGTAGCTCTATAACACATATAAATAGCATGTATAAATGTTGTTATTGGCTAAAAATTATTACAATCAGAACACGCAACATGTAGTTTCCTTAAGCTACATTATGTAGTACCTTCGCTACATACCCATGACTTCGGTCGCGTCCCGTCGCTCGAGGCCCGTCGTTCGGATCCCGTCGTTCTTGCAAGTTAATATTAAAAGATAGACATATAGAGCCGTGGACATTTTTTAGATCATTTAGAGAGGAATAATTCTTTTATACATATTTTTGGGTGTTTTGAGCCGTTTTCGCAGCGTACGAATAATTTGCCCCGTTTTATTCACATTTCTCGCTGTTTCTACGCTCCTATTAGTCACAGCGCGATGCTTTATAGCCTATAGCCTTCCTCGATAAATGCTCTACCTAACACAAAAAAAATTCAATTCGAACCAGTAGTTCCTGAGATTAGCGCATTCAAACATACAAAGTAAGAAACAAACTCTCCAGTTTTTTATATTGTTACTAGCTGACCCGGCAGACTTTTTACTGCCTCAATCAATAAAAACAGTTTTGTATAAATCCATTTTAATGTATTTCTCTGATTATGGCTGTTGTTGGTTCCAATTGACGTATGTTAATCGTTTAGTCTCAATTTTGACATACATGTCAACTGCAAACTGATGAAAAAGTCGTTCACTCAAAATATAGTTTATTTCACCTTGACAGATCATGAGTCTGTATGAAAAGAAATTCATAGCACTAACTTTTTTGTTGGTCAGCACCTGCAATCAAAAATGATAAATGTAACTTAGATGAATTGAATTTAAAAATATTATTTAATCCTGCTTAATTTATTTACCTGTTTGTGTGTTCACCAGCAGGTGTTTTGTCAGCTAGAATGATAATATTATGGCTTTCAGATGGCATCCGATCCAATGCTGTTTTGAACATGTTTACTAAATTGTTCTTCTGATGAAAAAACATTTGTAATTCTTGGACAACGCTTCTCTTCACTGTTGGATTGTGAGCAACAATTATCAACGTCCGCATCCGAATTGCCCAAAAAATAAATTTGTAACAATTGATCTATTTGATAAATTTGTCCTTGTATCTGTAATATTTTAAAATTTCTCCATTAATTGTTCCCGATATATTTATTTTAGTACAAACTTGAATATTACGCCTTACAATATTTACAAATTATTTTCATTTCTCCAATTGTTACAATTTGTCGGCACAACAATCACTTACTGGATCATAGTGGAACGCTCAATCAAGAATCACAAAAGCACTGCGTCTGCGGATGCGCTCAATTTTTATTATGTCGTGATTACTGTTGTTGTTTTTGATGTGCACGAATTTATTGCATTCTAAGCCTATCTACTTCATTGTTACTCACTAAACAATTCTGACATAGCAATACGACTATTTTCTTGATCTGTCTCTCTCTGGTCATCATTGACTGCAACGATCTAAGTCAAGTCGTCTTCTCCTCGGCATCGTAACGGAATTAATCAAAGTGAGAAAATTTCGCGCCCACTTGACAGTAAAGTGTCACTATCACAAAAGTAAAAAAAAAATCGCGCACGTAGTGGTAATCCTCACGCACAAAGATAGCAGGATGTACTCATAGAATGTCGTAACCATGATCGTAACACAATATCGTCTTTATTGGCTGGGCCACTAAGACCATAGTCCATAAGCCATAAATCTCCGTGTTCTGAAGTGCGACGGAATGATTGACATATTATATTACGGCCGACGTAACTTGGCAGCTCTGAACAGACGTTAGACTAACTTTGGCGAATGTACACTCGTAAAGACAACTAATACTGCCATTCATGTTCGTTCCTAGGGTAAATAAAAAGTTTTACGTATAGCAAGCAAAAGTAACATACCAATAATTGATTCAAAGAGAACAAGGGCTTTTCTTTCACTAAAATACAGAGGCAAAACAAAAATATAACAAAAGAGTAATAATAATATTGAATTTAAAATAAACAATCACTTTTCTAGCGGACTGCGCTCAAAACAGAGATAACGAAATGAACGACCAAGGAGTGAACAAGAGACGCACTACTGTTTACCGAACATTACCGAATATGTACGAAGCTTTACGAAAGATCCAAATAGAGATGTCCATACGCGATCCTTGAGAGTGTCGCTTAATCGATTCCTATTAAAATTGTGAAAATTAGATAATAAAATTATACACTCGTACTAGAAAACTAATACTGCCATTTATTTTCGTTACTGGAATAAATGAAAGATTTTACATATAGCACTCAAAAGTAAAATACTACTAATTGATTCAAAGATAATAATTAAGATAGAATATTATAATCATAAAATATTGATTCCCTACCCTTTAAACTAAGAAAACCTAATGGCATCTTGGTCTTAGTTTATGAATATGTTAATTATACAAGCCAATAGTTTCTTAAAGTACCTATGCATATGTATTTTTAGAATTATAATTTGCTATGAGGATAGAATCGAAAAAGAAACAATAACTCGTATATTGTACACATATATAATAATAATAAAAAATCTCTTTAATTGGCATTCATTTAGAACATTCATTAGTAGTAGTAGTAGTATAAATAATTAATACAATAACATTAAATTTAATTTGAATAAATGTGATGGCAAAAGGGTCTTGCGTCAGCATAAGTTGCAGCACGGTTATGCTATGCTGATTTTCAGCTAAACCCTATTGTTCGTCTGTTATAACATATAATAATGTAAATAAAATCCTTTTGCAAGATTTACTAAGCTAAGTATTTATTCGCTGTCACTAAATGGGGTAATTATTATTTATAAATCCATTATAGTATTATCGTCAGTCCCTTGCGTATCATATGACCAACTAGACTTGAGTGCATCATCGTCAGAATCGTTATCAGAATCATCAATTACGTGGTCACTCTTTCCTGTAGGCATCTTCGATTTCTAAGACTTTTATGCATAATTGGCTCCATTATTCCTGCCCCATTTTGTCTATTTTTTCCTGAATAAGATCCATTGTTTGATTGACGTTGCATTCGACGTTATTAGCGGCTACATGCCCTTTTATTGCAGCCCACGCCGTCTCGATGGGGTTTAGATCGGGATGATATGGTGGTAAAGGAAGGACATCGTGGTTATTTTCTCTGAAGATTTCGTCTATTACAAATCGTTTATAAACATCCTTGTTCTTCTTTACTAAGTCATAAAGGGTATATCATAGGAAAAGGACATGTGTAAACCGCAACTTACACATGTCCTTTTCATATGATATACCCTTTTCTACCAACCACGATTCCATTTTTTTTCTTTTTTATCATTAGATGTAGGGGCAGGATTTAAGAGTTTATTGAGTATGATGCGTTGTCTATAACCAACACGGATTTAGGGCTTAAATTCGGGATGAGTTGGTTCCGTAACCAACTCTCAAAGTTTGTGAAATTCATATCGTCATGATAGTCACTACTTTTGGTTCCCGATTTAAACAATAACAACGCATTCGGAACAAACCCTGCTTCTGACCCAGCGTGTACCCTTAATTAATCGCTGACCTTTTGTAATCGAGCGCTTTAGCCCTTTAGAAGAGCCATCTGACCAAGACTTCCCTTTTGTGTGAGAAGAGTGGACATACGACTCAGCAGTAAATATTAGTGGTCGCCCCTCATCTCTGTATTTTTTTATTGCTGGTAGGTATAAAATTCTTTTTAAGCCAATGTTACTTTTCTCTATAAGAACCATTCTATTTGTGTCAGTTTTTCGCCACTTGAATCCAAAATTTTTAACAATGGTTTTCAAGCTTGTTTTACCTCCTTCAAAATTAATATCCTGTTTAAGTTTTGCAAGCAATTTATTTATAGTTGGAATTTCTTTTTCACTCTTGTGATAGTTATGAATACATCTTTTTATAACACCTTGGTCAAAATTATCAATATTGGTGATAGGTTTGTTTGAACACCAGTTGCATTAAATACTCTTAAATATACTTGATCGACATCTATAACGTCTTCTTCCTTTTCTTTTTTAAAATACTGTGTTAAATCGTATATAATTTTTCTAGCCTGTCGAGATAAGACTTTATTATGCTTCGGTGGCATCTTTATTGGTATAATAAGAGAATAAGGCTACGAACACTTATTTTTCACTAAAAGACTGAGACAAAACAAAAGAGAAACAATAGTAATTAATCTAACAATAAACAATAACTTTTCCAACGCACTGCGGTCAAGACAGAGATAACGAAATTAACGCCAAGGAGCGACCGAGACACACTACTGTTTACCGAATATGTACAAATCTTTACGAAATAACCAAATAGAGATGTCCATACGCGATCCTTGTGAGTGTCGTTTAATATTCCCATTGAAATAGATAAAATTGGATCGTAAAAATATAATTTTATAAAAAGCCCTAAAGAAGCATAAATAGTAATTAATGATTTTATTTTCCTTTAAAGGTAACTTGGTATGTTCACTGTGGTTCATCAATCCATTTAGTACAATATTTCATACGATTTAAAATCCACAATCTAAATCGATAAAAATCGATTACAAAATTTGATAGAATAAGCGGTTGATTGAGTCAATCACTAGCCTAGATCTTCGTCCCGCGCCCCTCGCTCTTACCACCGTTAACATCCTAAAGAACGTTTCTGCGCGGCGATTCGGCCTGCCAAGTTACATCGGCCGTATTGTAGTTGGTAGTCAAATCTAATGTCAAATGTTATAATTGCGTGCGAAAACTTAACTTGTGACACAACTTAAGATTTATCTAACTTAAAAAATAATCTGTCACAGTGACAACTGAATTTAGCTGAAATTAAGTTTCACAAAGCCGACCAAATCGATTAAAAATCAGTAGGTACTAATAATTTATTAAATTTTGTCGCGTTCGCGATTCACTCTTGTTTACTTTCGGAACGCTTCATTAGATCTCCAAAGCGCACACGAAGACTATTTCGATAGATATAATTGAATTTGAACTTTGTGCAGCGGTAATAAATTACAAATTGACTCTTTGACGTTAGGAACACACCTTAATTGCTTAGTCAATTTGAACTTTATTCAATGGCATTAAAGTTTACATTGACTCTACATTTTATTTAGAAAACATTTGTATGGGAAATAGAAAAGGGGTGTTTTTAGGGGTTTCCCGGCGATTATTCGATTTTTTCTCACCTTTTGAACCTTCCCTAGACCTCCTCGAACATTTCAAGACTAAGATAAGATAAATCCGTTAAGCCGTTCTCGAGTTTTAGCGAAACTAACGAACAGCTATATATATATATATATATATATATATATATAGATGATAGATAAATATGTACTCGTATAGTTAGCCATTGTTTAATTTTTCTTTTGGGGTTTTGGCTGTGAAAACGTCTACGGATATCCTTGTTTCAAAGCAGATTTGAGTCTTCTAGCTGGCGGGCTGTAATCTGGGGCCGGTACCGGTGGTGCTGAGGGCCAGTCCCTCGGCCAATTCTGCTCTGATGCCGTAGGTTTCTGGGACCGTTTCGGTTCTTCTAAGTAGGAGAACGGTCGTCCACCTAGCCCGTGGGGGCTGGGTTGACTCCGTAGCCACGACTCTGAACGCTCAAAGGCGCGGCTGTAAATTGAATTTTCGTTATATAAATGTTTCGTTTTAAATATCACGCATAAAGGATTGATGTGAAACAGCTCTTACCTCGACACGTCCGTGATCGCTGGGTTGGCTTGGGCGCGCGGGATTTCGTCTCCCGTGTAGCAGCGGTTATTCCATTGAGGGTGTCTGAAACAAAGCGACCGTCCGAAACGATGTTTCATGTGACCGGTTGGAGTTCCTTATATTACAGCGTTCAATGAAACTTTTCATTACTCACCCACTGGGCACATCCCCGAAAGCGTCTGTTCTGGTCGGCCACGAGTCTTCGTGTGATCTTGGATAGCTGAAATTAAAATAATTGCTCGAATTTTGAGTTCCATGGAAGGAGCTTATATAAAAATAATACTTACTCGTAAGCGTTCAAAGCACCCAATTTATGAATGTTGTGCTGAAATAAATATGAAAGCATTAATGGAAATGTTCTGGACTCAGGCTACATATACTAGATTAAAGCTTACTGCATTTCTGTGGGCGTTTCTGTGTCGTTCGATCGAGTATATTACCACATATACAAGCAAAATAGTGTTCACTATGTGGTATATATACCCTTTTAGAATTATGGACACTAGGACAAACGCACCAAGACGTAACACATCTTTTTCATAATTTTGAGCGAGGCCAGCAGATGCTTCGTTCTGAATAAAAAAAATATCATTATGTAATATCACTACCTACCAATAATTATATTACATTATATTATTTTTATATATATAAAGCTAAAGAGTTTATTTTTTTGAACGCGCTACTGGAGCTACTGGATTGAATAGAATATTTTTTTGGGTTAGCTAGAACATTTGTCGAGGAAGGTTATCTATACTAATATTATAAAGAGGAAAGATTTGTATTTTTGTATGTAACGGATAAACCCAAAAAGCCCTGCACCGATTTTAATAATTATTTTTTTCATTAGAAAGCTACATTATCACTGAGTAACATAGGCTATATTTAGTACTTGATTACTATAGGCATCTATAGAAATTCTTATTAAAACCAACGGAAGGCGTAAAAAAATTAGCCGTAAAATGTCGTTCTACGTATACGCTGCGAAAAGTATTAATGATAGGACAGAAAAATGTTCGACAATATTATAGAATATATCAATATCTACAAAAAACATCGCGAGGGCATATGTCTAACTATTGTAGTTACGTCGCTATAACTACTTTTTTACATTTAACAAATTGATAGAAGTGCCGATCAAAATCAGACCGTGTTATCCATACTTTTTATAAATTTTTATCCAAATAAATAATTTAATATTCAAGACTGTCTCAATGCCTGATGATTACTTTTTTAATTATTGAAATCGGACATTCCATTCAAAAGATATCAATGAATTAAAGAAAAAATACATGCCAGCGGCGGCCGCCTTGCCGCGCATCGAGTAACTAATTCGACGATAGAGAGACATTGACTATTTCTAATTTTTTTTTACATTTTTATGCGTCAATTAAAAAGTTATTTTCAAAGCTACTTAGTTTTATTATTAGGAATCACACTTTGCATAATATTTGTCAAAGTTCTTTTCAGAACTATCGCTTTGAACTTGAATATTTTCTTTTGTATTATTATTAGTTTATTCTTAATTTCTCTGATTTAAAATAAACATCCTTCATAGCAATATGCCTAGAAGAAGAAGATCGCAGCTATCTAAGAATAGTTCCCAAGCGAGATTAGCAAAAGTTCGGCGTATTGGAGAGTCTTCTTCCTAAAATGATCGCCTGGAAACTGGTAAATTGTACGCGTCCCAATCGCGAGCCAGAGAATCTATCGTCAATTGTTCACGTTTGTCTTGCAGAACAAAATGCAAGATTCCTTCAAGTCGCTGCGACTTGAAGGAAATAGAGCTAGGAATTCGCGTGCACGGGACACTAACACTGACGCTCGCAGCGGCTCCTGAACCAGCGAGACAGACCACGGTCGTTAACAGAGAGGACGCGCAAAACATTTTTTTTCTAATTAGTGATTCATGGTCGTTTTAATTAGCATGCTTATAATTTAAATATTTGTACTTATTTATGTCTACCCGTGCGAAGCCGGGAATATTGCGTTTGTAATAATATTCAGTCCATAACTGGACGATAGACTAGTATCTAAGTAGTCTTAAATATAAAGTCATTTTATTGCATAATGATAATACCAACGTATATATAAGACCTTTTAATGCGGTGGCGTTTGAATTTAAAATGAAAGACCACTAGACTAGAAAGAATGCTATGGCAATTATTGTACACGCTTATTACCTTCTGTGACAAAATGCAAGATCGTCGCACGAAGGAAATAGAGCTAGGAATTCGCGAACGCGAGGGTTGTTAACAATTAGGCAATACAATTTTTTTCTAATTTAGTTATTCATGGTCGTTTTAATTAGCATGCTTATGATTTAAACATCTGTATCTATTTCTATTCGCCCTGTGCGCGAAGCCTTCGCACGGGTAGACATAAATGACATAAACTTACGTAGACATAAACTTCGCAAGGGAATTTGGATGCCTAAAATAACAATTTTACGCGGACGAAGTCCCTGACACAGCTAGTCTGAGATAAAAGCAATTCTCTGGTAGGGTCCAAGTTTGGTTGATTATAATATTCGGTTCCAAATCATTTTGTATGCTCATTGAGGTCATCGATCGATTGGTATGATGTTGTTTTTACGATTACACATAACGATTGATATTGATTTCAATCTTTTTCACGAATTCGTAAAAATATTTCGAATAATGTCGAGAGCTTGAAATTTTTCTAATTAAATTCAAAACGATTTAATCGGGAACGGACTATATGAAATATAGTATAAACTTACAAGTTTATTGGACAATGTTGTAAAATCAATACCAAAGTGCGTTGCGAATGTCAGGTCGACAATTAAAATAGATACACATACTCCGATGTATACATATGCTGTCACAGATAGATATTGAGAACTCTCCGAGTTAATCACAGCTGCAACATAAAACATTAATTAACACATTTAAAGAAACGTTCATACATAGCGTTTGCAATAGAAGACGCGAAGTGATCCAACGATTGCAGGCAAAGATACACGTATAATCCGAAATTACGCCGTAGGTACAATTTAAGGAATACATACATTCATAAATAACAGTTGATAATAAGAAAAATTATACGGCAAATTAACAATACATAGTTGTAAAAAAAATCTGAATTTATGAAATGATCGTATCTCATAATATCATATTATAGCACACTCGTGACTTTTTAATTTCCTTTTTAGTCGCAGAGATGCATCTTGCAATTGAACTGAGAGCTTTTGTAAAGAGACCAAGTGGTAAGTATTTTAATTGCACTGTTCACACAAAAGAGGAACGGCATTAGCGTAATCGGGTTCAAGATTTATATAAATATGATATATATAAATTTATTGGCGGTGCTGTCTTCAATGGCATCATAGCATAATTGTTGTCTTCGCGAGAAAAGTTATTTTACACACGCTCACAATCAAGTATTTTTTTTACCTGAAATCAAAGCAGATGCCACTATAAAGCTCAGAACTGCAAATGCCAACGTGATGGCAGTCAGTATAAAGACTGTTTGGGATCTAGTCAAATCTTCCTCGAACTGTGAATTTGAACACGTGTCATCTGAAATGAGGAAAAACTTTTCACTTCACCTCCTCTCTGTCTGTGTATAGTGCCTATAGATTTACGAAACCCAAGAATGCGGTGATTACCTTGTATATACACTCTGTAAAGCGTGTGCATGAAGTATAGTGCGCCGTTGGTTCCATCAAGCTGGCCAGCATCGCAGGTGAAGCGGTAGATTATCGCCAACACACAAAGCACTATATTTACAAGCGATACAATCTGAAAACCACAATGTTTTAGATCGTTTGAATGATAAATGCAATTAATAAAAATTCAATAGATATTTGAAAGAATGGTCATTATGCATAGGCAGGTTACTGTTGGTCTACCGACATAGAAACGCTATCTATTATTACAAGAATGATAAATTAAGCTCTTTAGACCTCGCTCAAAGCCTATCTAATCTGAGTTATTTAAAATAATCTAATCGTTTGAACGCGTCGTTATCGATATTACGTCAGTTCAAGGAGCCACAATTGAATACTAAATGACTCATAAAAAAAGCCTCAAAATAAGTGGTAACACTACTGGTGTGAATAATTCTCACTAATATAATACCTATGCCCGCCCCAGCTGGGGGACATAGCTATTTTATTAGGATTCATTTAAAGAGTAAAAACATGTCCAATGTCCATTAGCTCCACTGCGTGGGATTTACAGCGATTACAAGGCGTAACGACTATCGGTATATTGTAAATCTATCAAGTTCTAAAATGAAAAAAAGTTAAATAAAAGACTAAATGAACAGATTTATTTTCTAAAACATGCTTGGAAAGTTGAGAATTATTTTGACAACATTCTTCAAGATAAATCGAACTTGCTGTTCTAGTCGAGCAGCGGCCAGTAGTAGCAATAGTAGCATGACAATCCATATCTGCGTTTGGCGGCCAAACAAATTACAATGTAAAATCATCATTATATTTGTCGTGTCATTTAAAAATGGAACGTCCTTCTACTCCACAACATAGCAAACAAACAGGTAACTTATGAAAGGTTAATTTTAATTTCAAACTGACTTGCACATCGAAAGCTTTTTAGTGAACTTTGTTCAGGGTTGTTTGTCAACTTCGTCATTGGTTTTAAAGTTTTGACTACTTAGTTTTAATTTCCGCGCATTATTCGAAAAAATACTATACATTATACAAGTCTTAGCCGAAACTAGTGAAGTGCTGCAACAATGTATTATTGCAACTCACGCGATGCAAGGAATATTTTGGGTAGTTTACTTACAACTCGAGTTATTAGGGGTTTGCATGGATTCCATTTTTATACATTTAATAAAGCCTGCGCAAGGAAATAGTTTCTAACTGGGAAATAATTTTTCAACTCACTCCAGCAGTTTAAAGCTTATTCATTTCGAATAAACAATCAAACTTCTCTTCTTTATAACATTAGTGTATACAAACAAACGCAGATACATATAAACCTACACAAATACAAATCGTTCCTTAATAATATTAGTGTAGATGTAGACTACAATAAATACTTCAGACCGCGTTTAGGCTAAAGTAATAAGTAGGAACTTTGTATCTAATGTGCCTATATTAATATTTATTAATACTTTAGTAATATTGAAATGTTCACCCAAAGGTGTCTGCGGCTAGTCCGCAGTCGTGCTGTTTTTCATATATTACGGTAAAATATGTTAATTCGATGCAAATGTATTTTATCAAAATTCCATAAGTGTATTAGCCGCATGCGCAGTACTAAATAAGGGAATTCACTAACCTATATAATAATAGTACCATAAAACTATCGCAAATATTATATAACTAGTTAATGATTCATTCGCCAAGCTGAGTCAAGCGTGTAAGAGTAGTTAATATTATTTGGCCTCGCTGCAATGTTACACTAGTTGCACATCGATATAATTTGTAATTGTATCTTTCAAACGGCTGATGCGACTTAGACAAACTTTTCACTGACAGATAGCGCGACAAGTTTTCTACTTTTAAATAAAACACTTTAACGGTTTAAAACGCGATATATTAGTTACACTTATTTGAAAATGATTTTTAACTTCGGCCCGACGTTTCGGATGCTTTGCAGCAGCCGTGGTCACGGGGAGACTGCGTCTGTCTCCCCGTGACCACGGCTTTTAAACCGTTAAAGTGTTTTATTTAAATGTGTACTACTCCCGTAAACTATACACAGTATTTAAGTTTTCTACTCACAATTGTGATACTCCCCGACACAGTGGCCGCGAGCGCCAACTCAGGAGCAACATTTTTCCTGTTCATCATTGGAATATTTCGCGAAACCGAAACTTAAGAGCCCAGTGTGTACGCTCATGGACTTATCTGCACTAATCGCAAGGCGATAATTATTTATCGATATTAATATACAATTTTATCAATCGCTCGATCACGTTGTTTAGAGATTTCATAAAACATACTAGTTGACGGCCGCAATTTCGATCGAATTCCGGTTATTTTTTGGATTCGGGACTTAGCCAAGCTTAGGTTCCAAGCCAAACGTCTCAGTTGAAAATAAAACATCGCCCTGTGACTAATAAAACAAAAACCGTGGGAAATGTGGAAAAAACGGGGAAAATTATTAAACTTTGTGGGACTCCGAAGCGTACGTTGCGAAAATGGTTTGAGATTCCCAGACAAAGATGTATGAAAGAACGATTCCTTTAAATGATCTAGAAAAAAGTACGCGACGCTATATGTCTATCGTTTAAGATTTACTTGCAATAACAACGGGAAAGAACGCGACCGACGATAACAGCTTAAGTTTATAAAGATGAAAGGGTTTGCAAAAACGAATTTGGATGCCCAAAATAAATTTTCTTAGCGGACGAAGTCGCTGGCACAGCTAGCTGATAATATGCAGCTGAATAATCTTTATCTATACTAATGCATAAAGCTGAAGCGTTAATCTGAGAAATTACTGGTTCGAATTGAATAATTATTTTTGTGTTGGTTAGAACATTTTTCGAGGAAGGCTTTAGGCTATAAAATATCAGACTGCGACTATTAAGAGCGAGAATTATGGGAAATGTGAAAAAAACATCCATCTTTTGGTTCAAGATAAAACAATATAAAGAGTTATATTTATTTAAATAATCTAAAATGTCCGGGATGATATGTCTTTCTTTTGAGATTAACTCACAACAACATGTTTTTTATGATAATCAAAACTTGGTCAAAATACTTCATATGGCAAAAGAATGTTTGCTAGGAGTCAGCTAGGAGTATATACCTAATATAATACTTTATATTAAAACTAACGTTTAACGTTTCGTTTAAAGCTGTTTAGCAGTTTCTGAAATAAAACCTCCGTAATTTCTATTTACTTTCATCTTGAGCAAATACGTGTCAAAAGTCAAACGTCATAACAAAATCATGTACTATTTCAAGAGACGACTTTACCTTTTACAATAGTATTTCTAAATACACGATGCTATGCCAGACCCCGAGGCTGTGCTGGCGGGACTTCTCGCCTGCGCTTGGCTCTGGCGAATCGGCAGCACGGTCTACGCAGCCTACTCCATATCGAACGCCGTCGGCCCGGACTGCTTGGGAACCAACTTCAAGCACTTCGTCGCCGGCCTACAGATTCTCATCACACTGGTAGTGAACCTCATACCTTTATCGAAATTCCCTAGAATCAGCTTGGCCACCAGGTTTATAAGCATACCGTCGCAAGCCTGCACGCTCTACTACGCCAACGCATATATCGGCCCACTGCTGGACAGCAAGCGAGTCACTGTGTTGTTGTATGCGATGACCCTATTGTCGATATTGGAAACCGTTTATAAGGTCACCTTGGATTGGTCAAGAATCGAATAGTAGGCGTCCAAATTGCCACTGTAGTATATTATTTCTTTTTGTGTTCTTTATTATCGCTGTTTAACTCATTAAGTAAAGTACCATTGCAGCTCGTCCAATCGAACAAAAAACTTCTTTATATAATAAATTGTGTCCTAACCTGATGATATTATTTATACATTTCTGAGAATCGATCGAACACCAAACCTACTTATAATGGAGTACTACATAATATAAGATGGCCATAACGATTAGAAATCGTCATTCGTCGATACTAGTGACCCTAAATTTACTCACGTATTTACATCCATTTTGATCATATGGCGCATAGATTGGCGCATGCGTGCAAACAAGCAAATGCCAAACCACGGCTAGCGTTTAACGTGCAGAGCACACGAATGACACACGCTTGTCGTACGTCATGGGGAAAGTAATGATTGGGATGCTTTGGGTGGATGATCAAAGCCATAAAAGTGGGTGTTGCCAGTCTATCATTTAAATTCGCCGACCTGTCACTGTTAGACAAACTATAGATCCACGTATAAAACGCGCGCATGCGCTGTTTACTAGCCAACCTTCCGAGGCCAACCTTCATTATCAAAAGTAGAGCGGGGTAACAATGTGGTGAGATAGTTTCGCCTCAGCATGAGCTCGCCGAAGCTAAACGAACGGTGCCCCAGTGCCATAAGCATCAGCAGGAAACACCTGAGTGCCGAATCTAAAGAAGATTCCCTCGATAATTCGGTGAGTTTCACTCGTGCTGAAAAAAACGTGTAAAAAATAATTATCGTGTGCCACATATCTCAAATGTTATGAACAGAAAACCAAGTTAAATTCAACATTGTCTACTCAATGTTATTTTTAACAATTTAATTTGGGTAACTAATGCGAAAAATCGACTTTTAATATTTTAAAGATAAAGTTTTTCCTAAGTTCACAAATAGATATGTAATAGTTTATTTATTTGTTAAGACAAGACTTCGGAATGAACTATAAAAAAATACACTTTTAATAAGAATTTATATTTGTAGGGATATTTACAAAACTAAACGTCGTAGGATTGATAAAATGTGATTTAAGTTTATTACTTTCGTTTTTAAGGAAAGCCGTAGATGTATATACTGTGTCTTTAACAAAGGCCTATGTAAAATACTCTTTCACAAGTGAGGCCTATTTTTTCATCGGAATAATAGCGCGATGTTGTTGTTTATTGACAATGACCTCGAACTGTCGCTGTTGCTATTTGCAGTAATATTTTCAAAACAGCATAAGGGATTAATAGCAAATATCCCTCTAAAATTTCAGCTTAGGTAATGCTAACGACTTTCAGTCAGAAAAAAGTTTTTAGTGTTTTCTCACAAATTAAGGACATGTATTCCAATATTGTAGAATAATAAAAAAAAACGTTTCTTTTTAGATTCGTGAGTCGATAAAGTCTGAGAGAGCAGGAAAAGAAGAAGACTGCAGAAGACGCACAATTATTGTCGAAAAAAAGAATGGCAGTTACGGGTTCACATTGCAAAGTTACGGCATTCATTATAAAAAGGTACTTTAGTTCACGCTTATACTTATTAAAAGTCCTCCTTATATGGACAGAATACTTATATTGCTCATTTGTCCAAATGTATGAAATCAGTGTTTATCCCGTTTTACACATTCTCCTTCACTGTGCTTGTTCAGGAGCAAGAAATAGAAGTCATCACGTATGTCGACCACGTGGAGCCCGAGGGACCAGCGGCGCTGGCCGGCATGAGGGAAGGTGACGTCATCCTCTCGATCAACGGCAACGATGTCGAGAGGGCTGATCATACCTCCATAGTCGCGGCCATCAACGCCTGCGACTCGCGCATGCGCATAGTCGTAATCTTTGAAGATTGCGTCCGCAAAGTCGAGTTGCACCTCAAATACATCAACATACAACGCGCCCTACAAGTCAAGATGCGAGAACTAGACCAGCTATCCATCCGAGAGAGGCAAGTCTTCGACTCAAACTGGAAAACCCACAGCCTACCATCACAGAAGAAAAAATCTTCACCCTCCGAAATTATCTCCGACTCAGAGGAAGCCGTCCCAGACAGCATAGGCAACTCCTACTGCCGGCCCACGCTGTCCAGCGAAAATGTCACAACAGCCAAACCCCCACAACCCAGCGTGTTTATGTACCAGTATTTAGATCCTAGATATGGAACATGCATTATACAACCCAACATGCATACGGGCAGCTTCGTGATCACAGTCGGCTCCCCACGAAACAGGCGTGACTGCCATCACTACGTCGTGAAGGCGAGCGGCGAATGCCACCGCGCCTCTGAAGCTTATAAAATTCCAAATGGGAAGCACAGCAAGCCGCACAGAAGCCACAATCATAGCTGCAGTCCTTGTATGCCCGCTCACAATAACCAAGATGCAAACAGCCTCGAAGCGTACGATCTGGCCAGCCCTTGTTGCGATCCGCACTGCGTCCCGAACGCTAGAAAAAAGATTCGAAGAAAGAAGGAATGCTCTAAGGAGCACAAACGGAAAGAGAAGTATCAGCAAATCGATAAATCAACGCAGAAGACGGAGTGCAATCATTCCCACTCGAAGAAAGTGTGCTCGTCTGGGCATTGTTCAAACCGCTACCGATACTTAGCCACCGAGTCCACACAGACGAGTCAATGCAGCCTGCAGTCATTTGCAACTAGCAACGCGACCGTCCCTTGTGACAATTCCGTGTCCAGTTATAGCACCTCGTTGAGTAGCGACACTCTGTTCTGGGAGAATGATAGATCAGAAGCGAAGTCTTCGCCGAAGATACAGTACCAAAGCGCACATCAGCACGTCAAGCCAAAGTCTTGGGACAATCTGGCGACGAAGGCGATCGGCGGATATGGTTTTGGCTATGGTTATCTCGAAACAACAAAGCATCCGAACCGGTCAAAGAGTCACGGACGAACTCACAGCGGGCGGAGCACGCAGAGTCACCACGAGTATCACCATTCGCAAGAGAAACACGCACACAGACAGAGCGGCACGCCGCACCACTACCAGACGTATATCAGGCATAACCACAACTGTCCACCGACGAAATCGACGGAGAGTTTAATAGTGGTTCCCAAGTACCAGATAGATAGCGGCGGGTCGGGCTGCGAATGCGGGGACAATGTGGATTACTACAGACGCGCAGCAGCCAAAAGCCCAGCCGAAACGCATTCGGCCTATTACAGCCAACGCTTCGTGTACCCCAGCCATTCGTACAAGAAGAAGGACTCGAACGTCAGCTCGGAAATAACTCGATTGTAATGGGGAATATGCACATCTTTATAGTTTGATTATGTAAAATTAGTAGTAATAATTGGGAGAATAAAGTACATACCTACTGTACGGTATTAAAGTAGTAATTAGTTTAAAATGAGTAACGGAACGGCTCGTCCATTTATTTAACAAAATTCGAGATTAACCTTTTGTCTTGGTGAAGCATTCTCACCTATCTCTATTGGCTCAAGAACGCATCAATAGTTTTCGGAATCCTTTACTTCGTGTATATTCCCTGTTCTCACAAAACCATTGCTCAAACAAGTAGTACGTGTATTAGCGTGGGATTTTTATTGGAAATGCCCATTCCAGGCCATAGGCGTACAACTTCTGTGATTACAAGAGACACAAAATATAATAATATTTCATGATTATTGCATTAAAAAAATAGGTAAAAAAACGGGCACGTCAATTGTCTGCCTAACGACGAATTAAACGATTCTTCTATTGCACATTAATTCGATAATTTGTAGACAATTGACGTGCCCCACGGTTTTATTTTAGTCTAGTCTATGCATATATTTATAATTCCCACGACTGTATCTATTTTATTATTTTTTGGTTTTTAATACATTTATCTTAAACATTGTAATCTATGTTTAACATAAAACCGTTTAACTTAAAAAGTTTTTTACCTATTTTTATCTTCTAGTTTTAAGTTTCTATTTCGCATTCTGTTTAATTCATTTAGTTTTTGTCGGTACTTGTTGAGATCTTTCATTTGATACCCATGTTGATGGGATTAATAAAACCTAAGTTATCCGCCATTTTGTAGAGGCCGCCATCTTGGTTTTTTAATTTTATATAGTACTGGTTATATAGTATTGTATTGTACTGGTTGAGCACTTTCATTTGATACCCATATTGATGGGATTGATAAAACCTACGTTATCCGCCATTTTGTAGCGGCCGCCATCTTGGATTTATAATGATAATGAATAAACATAATTGTATTGTCACCAAAATCCAAAGTGTATAGAAAATTTCAGATTAATCGGTTGACAGGAAGAGGGTGAAATTTGAATTACTAAATTTGACCCAAGAATAAATAATAAATAAAAAACAAACGGGGTGAGCTAAATAAAACAGTTTAAAAACGTAAATGATTTGCAATATGATTACAATATATTGTTATCATATTGCAGAAAAAACAAATGAATGTAAATTTTGTTGCCTGGCATGCTCTGGAAAGGGGGTATTCACTATAAGTTGTTAATTAAATTTTAGATAAGTGAAATTTTGCAGTGACCTCTGGTCAATAATAATTGTACAACGTGTGAGACTCATTTTATCAGCTTTATACGCGTTGATTTATAGTTTTTATTAAAAAAGTTTAAAACTAAATTTGTTTATATAAAAATACCTACAATATTTATTCGGCAATAGATTCAAAAAAGTTGTGTATAGGCAAGGTTGAAAGCTCTTCGATCTCGACCCCCTGTGACCGCGTTATGAAGCACCGAAATTACATTTCCGTATACAAATTATAGGGTTGCAAGGCAGAGATGTCTGATCGTGACACAAAAATATATTGCCCTACGTAAGAAAAACAGGATGGTAATCATTTTTCATTCTTTTTTTCTCACTATACTTTACGGTAGCTCAGGTATCTTAGATGGCATTACCTATGGTTCTATACTCAAGGACAAAGACAGCGTCACATTAAGAACACCTTGATGTCTGGGCGTCAACTTGCTCACAGTAGGTAAACTCACAGACCACGATAGTTGGCAAGTTTTATAAACAAAAAGGTCTCAAGCGCGAGTACGACTCGCACTTGACTTGATTTTAAATTCGTACGCCACTCTCGTGACCTCTGACACTCCCAAGATTTGCTCGTGTTCTTTAACGTCGTTACGTATCGCAAATTCATGAATGCGTAAAAATGAAGCAAATGGCACACATGCTAAATCACTAATCAAGAACGTACAGTCGGGTGTAAAATCCTTAAAAAAATTATGTCACACTTATTCTATTTCTTCATTGGTTTGTTCTTTTCGTAGCTAAGAAATATGAAAAAGATTTATTAATTTTCTGTGGTGACCATGTATACTACTCTCCTCAATGAACCTAAAAGACAGAGAGTGATCCAAAGTAGTGGACACTTTTAGAGCCCGACTATACATTAGCACTTCCTCCTAGCTATCACCGAAATTAGGGTGCGCATATCTTAAGGTTGTGGGGTCAGATGACTGGCTTCTAAATCTGTTGAATTCGAAGTTTGGCCGGGATGCGTGACGAACGCGCAACACTGTCGCTCGCGGCGTTCCTTTTTTTAATATATCTGACGCCGTTGGAAGCTCAGGTAAGCCCGTTTAATAGTCTAACTCATCAAAAGAATCACCATAATTGTGGGGATGTAATTTCCATTTTGTTAATAGGGAAAGGCTCTCACGTATTTCAAGTTTCAAAACAAGGGCCCCATTTTTTCCATTTCTCTCACGAAAGCGCTCTGACTACATCTTTTAAAAGTTCCCATTTTCACGTCTTTGTTTATTTTATTTCAGACGTATATAATATGTAGAAAACCAATTTCGCACGATTGCTTAACTTGGAAACTGGACATGGGAGGTCAGGACAATTCTCTGGACGATTTTCCAACCAGCTCAGATTACATTTGCGGCTTTGTCAGTTATAACCCAAGGAAAACTCATACGAAATTTATTACGGTATGTCGCTATTCCTACAAGCTTTTTTCACAACTTGGGGAAGAGTCTATGTGTAATATAGTAAGCAAAATATCTTACTTTAGTCAAAACAGTGATTTGCTCCACATTATGTTGATTGGCGATAGTGGCTATGCGACAACATGCGAATACGGTACGTTTCGAAGAAGTTTGATTACAACGAGACAAAGGTGTATGCAAAAAATTAATTAGGAATCTGTAGTAATATATGTAGCTGAAGAGTTTGTTTGTTCGAACGCGCTAATCTCAGATAACTCTGGTTCGAATTCTTTCTGTGTTGGTTAGAGCATTAATCGAGGGAGGCTATAAAACATCGCGGTGCGACGAATAGGAGCGCATAAACAGTGGGAAATGTGGAAAAAACTGGGAAAATTATTCATCGTTGTGATTTTCTGATGCGTACGCGTGCGAAAACGGTTACCCAAATGATATGTAGGAAATAATGATTCGTCTTTAAATGATCTAAAGGAATGCCCGCGGCACTATATGTTTATCTTTTAAGATTAACCAGAACGACTGAGCACGCAGGTAACAGCAATAATGGAGGTTATGACTATTCTATGCGGATGAAGTCGCCGATACAGCTAGTTAATAATATATTATTATTTGTTTTAAAATATTCTTAGCACACTCGTATAATATCGGATTTGTAAGACATTTCCACGATTTTCTTTGTGTTACTGTATAGACAACGAGTCATGTATGTAATTATGTAAGTTAAACTCTCTATGTATAAGTAAATAAAGCGGTTTATTCTCACAAATGTAGTGACGGCATCGCATTTCAGAAATCGCGTTACCAATTTTATGAATCTTATAACTTGTAAGACAAGACACGTCTAAGATTAATAGAATTCTATACTAATAGTATAAAGCTGAAGAGTTTGTTTGTCTGTTGGTTTGAACGCGCTAATACGACGCTTGAAATACAACGGTGAATAATAATTACCTTTTGAAGTTCCTTGTGTCTCCTTGAAAATGGCGAATTGAAAATGGCTGTGAATGACTCAGCGATATACCCAACATTTCATTCGACGCCACTCAACAAACGTTACAAAAAAAATATAATAATAAACAACTCCCTAGGGACTGAACCTACGAACTTTGGGAGTATTTCATTTTTCGAATTATTTACTTTATTTCATATTAAGGCATAGTTTTGGAATAGTTCAGCAGATAAATGTCTATAATTATTATTTATACGACTGCCGACACAAAGGTTATCATTTTGAGTGCAATCTGTGTCAAGCTTACGTTTGACCTAAAAAGATCTCGGCGCATCAAAACCGTACGTTGCTACTGAATTGTTTCCCTCTAAAATAAATCTACATCTATACTTACTTTGTTTGTTTATTTGTAATGAATAAACTCAACAACCGATGTGCCGATTTGAAGAAAAGTCTATCACAATTAGTAAGCCACGTTTACCTTGAGTAACAGGCTTGAGTATTCTTTATATGTAGTCACCTATTGCTAGAAATGATTTGGGATCTGTACTAAAACTTGAGCTACGCTAATGTAAACTGTTGATAGAACAAAATATTTTACTACGAATTTGCAGAACGCAGAATATAATATACGTATTTTAAAAACAATGTCGCGACAGTGTATGTGTAACTGTACTAGGTTTTCTTTCATTGTTAAATTTAAATGCCACTGCTATAAAAACTCTTTATTAAAATGACTTTATATTTAAAATAGCTTTATAATATTAAATATTTTTTTGATTTCTCCAATATGAACAACTCATTTGAACCAACTAAAAAATAAGTAAAGAATGTAATTTGAATATTTGAAAAATTTCGCGGCCGCACTATGGTTTCGTAGCACACGCAGCGTCTCTAAAATAGGTTTAGTGAAAGTCATATGTTTAAAGATTTTAGAATGTATTCCAATAAAACGATGTCAGAGCTTTACAAACAAGAATATATCAAAAACATCCACTTGAAACTTCTGAAAATATTACGACACAGGTGAACCATCGCTGCGACCGCACTGTAGTAAGCGATGTAGGGCTTACGGGAGCAGCAAATGCTTAAACTTGGGGAAGGAATTTTCCCACTCCAAATATAAGAAATAATTGAAATACCTTCTGGACTCTAGGCCAAGTATACTTTAACATCGAGAATATGAACGAAAAGGACTTTCCTCGGTTTTGTTGTAGGGCAATGATAAGAAATAACTACCTAATGGACTAAATGCACCTAGAAATGATAGTATCAAGTAGTATTATTTTAAAACTTCCTACATAAAATAACATATACATAATAATAGAAAATTACAAAACGATAGATACCATGACTAATATAGATAACGCTGTATTTAAATCTTACAATATTTTAAACTTGCTTTTAAGGAATAAATATTTTTAATATTAGAATTCCTTAGTAAATGAACTTTTTGAAACCTTCGCAAAATCATAAGAGTTTTGGAATGCGTGTGTAAAGGTTTATACCTACAGAAATGCAAAAAAAAACCTTCCTCGCTGCAGAAACCATTGATGATAGAGGCTATTCCGTTTTAAAAATGTTATGAATTTAAAAAGTTATAGAAATAGAAAAAATATATGCTGTTAGATACGAGATAGATTATTGATTATTATATACTCTCTTTGTATAGAATATCATAAAAAGAGAACATTCAAAGTACACTCAAATCTATAATTATATCTAACAAATTTTAAGACAGCTGTACAGGTAATTAGAATAAGTTTAATATTGTCGATTCCTTTTCATGAACTGTTATGAAAATATGATCTAATTGTTCTATTCTATATTGATTCGACGTCACGGTAACATTTAGTTAGTTATAATGGATACGAGCTTTGCGTTTTTATCAAAAGAAACGCGATAACTTTGCGGTCATGACTATTGGGTTTTCCTTGACCTATTCAGTTTTACAGTTAAACGTTTCGTTTTTATGTCAAGGCCGAAAATGAGCGCAGCATATTTATAAACACCGTTTTGATTAGAATCTCTGTATCTTCGCGAATGGTCTTGGGTTTATAGACAAGAAAGCCGGTTACTCTTGCACCCCTGTGGCCCTATATCTATAAATAAAATAAATAAAAAAAAATAAAAAAGCCTTTATTTCCTTTAAATGACTGTTTACATCTTTTAACTTAATCTAGTTTGGACGAGCTTGTATTATTTAAGTACAAATATTATTTGAGATGATTTAAAAATAAATTTTTAGGTCATTAGGAACCCTCTCGGGTGTAGGCCTCCTCCAAAGTTGTCCATGCTTCCCGGTTTTGGGTCGTTTTCGCCCATTGCGGGCCAGCAATCGCCTGTATGTCGTCGCCCCATCGTACCGCTGGTCTCCCTCTCATCCGTTTTCCTTTTGGGCCTGTCCATAAGGATACTCTAGCCGTCCACCTGTCGTCCTTTAATCTTGCTACATGCCCCGCCCATTTCCACTTTAGGCTGCGTGCGAAGTTCAGTGCATCGATGGCCTTTGTAACTTTTCTTATTTGGGTGTGTCTGATTTTGTCACTTAGTCGCATGTTAAGCATGCTCCGTTCTAGACCACGTTGGCAAGTGATGATTTTGTTTTTAGCCTTGGTTGTGAATTTCCATGTTTGGCAGCCATATGTTAGAGATGGAAGGAGGCATGAGTCTAAAACTTTAGTTTTAATGATTGTTGGCATGTTGCTTTTAAATACTTCTTTCATACTCCAGTACTTGTTCCAAGTAATTTGTGCTCTCCTTTTGATTTCTAGTTGGTTGTTATTTTTGTCGAAGCTAATCCTCTTTCCTAGATATATATATATTCATTAGTGTAAGTTAGAGCTGTCCCTCTTATTTTATATTAAGAAGCTTTTGTATTGAATTCGTCATGGCCATAGTTTTTGTCAAGTTCATTTCAAGCCCCACCTTAACACTAGCTGAGTGCAATGAGTCTAACATTACCTGTAGTGCGTACTTGTTTCGAACAGCAAAACCAGGTCGTCTGCAAACCTCAGGTGGCTCAAGTACTTTCCTTGGATATTCAGTCCCGAGAATTTCCATTGATCGCTGCTGATGATGGACTCAAGTACGGTGATGAATATTCTCGGCGATAACGGATCCCCCTGCCTCGCTCCTTTTTTTTAGTGAAAAAATATATTGTCGGACCCTGGGCTTTTCCCTAGTTTTGACTTTTTAATTACCTGAATTACTTCCTTTTCCTCGATTGCTTTGACCGAAGTACAGACTTTTTTGTGCTCTTTATACTCTGTGTCTTTTTTAGGCGTTTGTGAGTTTGTGTCTTTATATAACTCTCTATAAAATTCTGTTGCCGTTTGTATTATTTCACTCCTTTTTTTTATATCTTTGTCTTTTATTTTCAATCCTTCTACCCAGGTGTTGTGTGTGTTGAGTTTCTTGTAAGCCTTTTTCCAGCTACCGCTTTGTTCAAGGTATTTTTCTGTTAAAGATTGTCTGTACTTTGCATAGTCTCTTTTTATATACTTATTGACAAGTTTGTAAAGCGCCGATATTTCATTCTTCGCACTGCGGGTTTTGTTTTTCATTCTTTGTAGTTCTTTTCGTCGAGTTAATAGTTGTTTTGTTTGTACTGATAATATTTTGTCTGTTTTTTTAGTTTGGTCCACTTTGTGTGCTCTTTTTAAACTATCTGTGATTATATTTATTAAGTTAAGGCCCTATATCTATACTAATATATAAAGCTAAAGAGTTTGTTTGTTCGTTTGCATGTTTGAACGCGCTAATCTCAGAAACTACGTCATTGCATTGAATTTTTTTTTGTCGATTAGAGCATTTATCGAGTAAGGCTAAAGACTATAAAACCGATACAAGGATTTTTTCCACATTTCTCAATGTGGAAAAAATTGGTATTGGTATATTCTGTTTCCAAGACGTATGTTGCGAAAACGGCTTAAAAAAATATGTATGAAATAATGATTCCTCTTTTAATGATCCAAAAAAAAGTTTCTATCTTTAGACATATATGTTTATCTTTCAAGAACGACGGGAAGGGGCGCGACTGCCGGCGTGGGTAACGGCTCCAGTTCATAAAGATAAAGAGAAAGGGGTGTGCAAAAACGAATTGGATGCCCAAAATAACGATTCACGCGAGCGAAGAACAGACGCTGGCACAGCTAGTAAATAATATTGTTAATATGTGTGATACTAGCCTAACTAGGATAGATTTTCTAGGATTATAATAAAGTAATATAGCCTATTCAGCATCAAAGCCTCTGAGTATACTTTAATTAACAGTAAAAGAAAGAAGAAAAAGAGAAAGTAAAGCGCTTCTTTCCTTCATTTATCGTGGATTCACGATAAAATAAACGTTTGTGAAAGCAAGAATAAAAATGATCATAATGAATTCCAGGTTGATACACTAAGCGGCCTCACGAAAACGATATTCTGCAAACACATTAGTGTAATTAATGGGGTGTTTCAATGGGGTCAGCTTCAGGACCTACAAAGTGTTCCCAGGGTTAGAAGACAGGTAACCTTCACCCCCCGTGGGAGATACAGGGGACAGACACAATCCCAGTACTTAGCAATCGATAGGGGTAACGGAAAAGACGAGGGAAAAGCAGAAGCACACTCCGCAGCGGATTCCTCTCGAGCAAGCGTCAGTGAGTAGAGTTAGTGACGAGTCAGTGGTTGAAAGATCATGTGAGGTTGAATTGATCATCCATTCAACCCACGTGTCCAATAAGGTTCGAGAATTTATGTCGGTTTTCTTTTCTATAGAGTGTGTGTGTGAGTATATATAAGAGTAAAAACTAGACTTGCAAGAATTCGGTTACTCGGTTGTATTCGGCTGCTTTTATTATATTCGGCCGATACCGAAAAATTGGCCGAAGAAACCTAAAAAAATTTTGTCATAGAGAAATAATTGGTAAAATGAAAAATTAAAATCGATTGCTTACGTATATACTTATTCATATTTTTGTTTCTGTTATAATCAAAAGAGTCATTGGTACAATGGTGGCCCTCAGAGGAAAAATATATACTCATGCTAGAGAAGATCCAAAAAGCCTTTCTGCGGTTTCTTTACAAACACCAATACGGTTTTTACCCCTACTTGTATCCTACCTTGTTTTTATTAGGACAGCTTGGCTTTAATTCTCTTGTAAGTCGCAGATCTCGTGGGCAATTAGTTGTAGCTTGTAAGTTGTTTCGAAACCAAATCGAGATACTTATTGAGGGAAGCCTTCTGTCACTGTTTGTACCGAACAACTATGGCCACGCTAGAAACAGATCTCTTTGACGTCCCGAGAGGTCGCACTCTGCTCGCGCTTTTCGCCGATACCACGAATTTTAACCTCACTCAACGCTCTCCTCAGTTAAGACCCAAATGTGATTTTCGCAGATCACTGGTCATCAATACTGAGAAATTGTTATTTTAAATTTTGTCTAATGTAATTGAGAACTCTATGTTAAGTGTAATTCTATTGTGTACAGAAGTACAAATAGAATATTGGATAGAAATCCAATTAATGAAGTGGTATCGCTGTTAATTGTCTTTATAATAAAAAATAAAAAAAAAAATACTATAATAGTAGTAATTGGTACATAATAAAACAGTACGTTAGAACAAAACAAAGGAGCGAAACAATCACGTCTGTAAAGTTTTTGGACAAAATCCACCGAATATTTTGCTAATATTCGTATTGTAGGTGCCTTGGCGTAAAAACTAATTTTTATACCTACACCATTTATGAAAACAATAAAGTCGCGACTGCATTATGCGCGAACGAATACAGATACACAACGTATTTTATCGTACAAAATTCAATATTTTTTATTCTTTTCACTATAGTTTTGAAGTGTCATCTCATTGTCTGACTGAGCGGCTATACGGTATTACAGTATGGCCTCGGTAATCCGGACAACCGCTTGTCCGGTAATCACTGTAATCCGGCCAGGCAAATACCATAGGATTCGCGGGGGAGCGGGGGAGGCCGGCGAGTGTAAGTGCGGGCTGTCATGCATAAGCCAATGCGCCGTCCGGCGGCGTTTTATTTATGGCTTTTGATGTAATACGCACAGTGTAAATTTAGCGCGCTCGCTAAGATCATGGTGCCGCCACGTAAACAAAAACCAAATATTAAAAATGGTTGTAATTTTGAACACTTTGTCTTTATGACATACCTTGTATTACTATACATTTTAAATTTAAAAATTGATTAAAGAAACTAAGGTTAAACACCTACTTCTTATTTTTTAACATTAAATAAGTATAGCATACGCCTCGATAATCCGAAACGTTCTTCGGGCGAAAGATTGATTGATTGCTTTTATTTTAAAATGATTATTTTAAAAAATATTTATTTTCCTCAGGTGGCAACAGTGGAATGGGACAAGCACAAAGTCAATCAATATATGACCCCAGCTGTGACGGCTGCAACGGAAAATCGGAGCAGGAGGACAGTCTACGAAAAATCCCTGAAAACAACAATTGGTCTGCTTCGGGCCCAGCATATTTATCTCGCTATCCAGGCCGAAATGACCTAGGACAATCAGAATATGGTAGCAATCAAAAGAGTCCTGGTGACGAACATCGTGGTTCTTATAGGCCTGATGGCAAGTGGCAAGACCCAGATGTTGGCTATCCAGATTCACAACGTTCTAATGTACCACCAAGTAGTAACACTGGGCCAGCACCTAATGGTCAACAAACCTTTTCGCCTGGTCAGCAGGGTTATATTCCAGGTAAAACTCCTAGCCTTCAAAGATTTGGACCTGGCCAGCGAGGGTATGCGCAAGGTCGCGAAGGATACATTCCTGGTCAACAAGGCCAAACACCTAACCAGCGAGGGTATGCGCCAGGTCACGAAAGATACATTCCTGGTCAACAAGGCCAAGCACCTGGCCAGCGAGGGTATGCGCCAGGTCACGTAGGATACATTCCTAGTCAACAAAGCCAAACACCTGGCCAGCAAGGGTATGCACTAGGTCGCGATGGATACCTTCCTGATCAACAAGGCCATACACCTGGCCAGCAAGGGTATGCGACAGGTCACGAAGGGTACATTCCTGGTCCACAAGGCCATACACCTGACCAGCAAGGGTATGCGCCAGGTAACGAAAGATACATTCCTGGTCAACAAGGTCAAACACCTGGCCAACAAGGGTATGCGCCAGGTAACGAAAGATACATTCCTGGTCAACAAGGCCAAACACCTGGCCAGCGAGGGTATGCGCCAGGTCATGAAGGATACATTCCTGGTCAGCAAGGTTATACGCCTGGTCTTCGAGGTCAAATACCTCGTCCGCAGGACTATACACCTGGGCAACAAGGATACATGCCTGGTCAAAAAATCTATACTCTTGGCCAACAAAGTTTGAGTCCTGGACAGCCAAGTACACCTGTTCAACAAGGATACCCTCCTACACAGCAAAGTAAATACGCTGGAAGTTTTACTCCAGGTCTATCGGGTAGAGAAACTTACAATCCAAATGGTGTTTTATTGCCTCCAGGACAATTTACCGCCGGTCTATCTATGCCTGGAGCGGTAACTCCAGGACAAATAGCTTCATATATTCCTGGAAGAGAACACCACGCAAATTGGCCATTGGGATCTGGTCCGTTTCTTGGTCCCGATGGTAAAACTTATATTTGCTGCATACTCCCCGGACAGGATAGTAGAAGTATCAATTATGATCAAGGAACTTATGGTGGACCAAATAATTTATTAGCTCCGGGGACACAATTAGAACCTGGAAATAGTCATGGCTCCGGCACATATTATGGTCCACACGTAACTGGAACAGATTCTAATAACCCCATAGCAGGAATGGGGGGTTCAGGAACTGGACTCTTTAACCCTGGTATTGAATCAAAAAACGGCCAAAACATTGTTGGAGTTGCACCAGGAACAGAGCAGTATGGTACGGGACAGTTCAATCCTGGGAATAGGCATGGGGATGGAGCTGGGCCGAACATTGGACTATACAATCCTGAAGGAACACAAGGAACAAACCTTGGAAGGCAAACAGGACCTAATCAATACGGCCTTGGTGGTGACCCAGGAACTGGCCTAGGTGGTGTCGGTGGCAGTACAATTACAAAGCACTACGGTCCCGAAGATGGACAAGGGATAGACCAATATGGTCCTGGAAGTAGACAAAATGGGGAGCACAATGGTGCAGGAGTTGGACCTAGTGCAGGGCAATATGACCCTAGAGATGGACAAAAAACAGGATACAATAATCTAGGTAGTGAACCTAGTACAGGACTATATGGGCCGGAAAATCCACATGCCACAGGGAAATACGGGCCTGGTGAGGGACAAGGATACAACGGTCTGGGAAGTGAACCTGGTACTGGACAATTCGGTTCCGGAGGTGGACCTGGCACTGATCAAAGCAGGTTAGGAACTAGTATAGGCCAATATGGCCCTGTTTATGAATCTGGAATTGGGCAATTTGGCCCTGAAAATGTGCAAGGAACAGAACGAAATGGTCCGGGAGGTGGGTCGGGATCTGGCCAATTTAGTCCTAGAGATGGACAAGGATCGAAACAAAACAATCTTGGAGGTGGACTTGGACCTAAGGAATATGGCCTTGCCGGTGGACCAGGAGCAGGATACGGATCGTTTGTTCCTGGAGGTGTACAAGGAACAGGACAAAATGGGCCGGGGAGTGGGCCTGGAACTGGACAATTTGGACCCGGAGGTGCGACCGAGACAGGTCAAAACGGCCTCAACAGGAGACCAGGAACTGAGCAATTTGGTCCTGGAATTGAACGCGGTACTGAGAAAAATGGTCCAAATCGTAGTGGTGGACAGTTCAGTCCTGGGGGAACACAAGGAACGGAACTGAATGGTCCGGGAAGTGGACCTAAAACTGGACAATTCGGACCGGGAGCTGGGCCTGGTACAGGGCAGTATGGATTCGAAAGTAGACCAGCAACTGGGCAATTTGGTCCGGGGAGTGACCGAGGTACTGCGCAAAATGGTTTAAATGGTGGTTCCAGTGGTATAGTCAGTCCACTTTTGAATGGAAATGCTCTTGGAAAGTATCCGTATAACCTAAACGGTGGAGCATATACGGTAATAAATATTACTCTTTTGTAAATATTTGTTAGTATCTTAAATTATATTATGCCTTTTTTTCAGCCCAGTGGATCAGGTGATAGTTATAATAGTAAGTATTTAATAGCTTATTTAAGCACAGCACTAAAAGTTCTTAACATAGAATATGGTAAAAAAGTAAAAAAATTAAGTTAAAGAAATTTTAATTTTAATGGCAGATATACCACAAAATTATATCAATACAAATACGGTCTTGGACGGTGATGACTCCGAAGCAGAAGCCATTGTGTCTCGGGCTGCGAATGGCACAGCGGCAAGTGCTTCGTCCAAAGGAGGTAACGACAAAGGTAAAGCTCAAACTCACGTAGAAGGCACATACTCAGGAAGTGGATCCTTTCAAGCACAAGCACAAATAACTGGTGAAAATAAAGGAGCCGAAAGCGAAGTTAGTGGAGGGAAAAAGGGAGCAACGAGCGCAGCGACTGGAAGCGGCCGCAATAATAAATCCCAAGCGAGTGTGCAACTAGGATCTGAAACCGGGGCGGTGCAGACTAATTCACAAAGTAGTGGAACAATGCACTCTTCTAATTCGCAAGTACAAGGAAGTATCAAGGGTGGAATGGCCGATGCCCAAGCAAGAGGACCGGGAAGTACGTCGTCGCAAGCTCAAATCGGTTTCACGCCTTTTAAAGATACAGACAAGGCTGCACATGATCTACAGAAAACTCCATTTGTCGGCGGAGGAATTGCTTCAGCTCACTCGAGCGGACGCACTGGTCAGTCACAATCACAACTTCATGGCACTTTCAAATATGGTATAACTTATAACGGCGCAGCGCAATCCGGAGCTAGCCTTGACAAAGACGCAGTGTATCCTAACAGACTCTCGTTCAAAAATCTAGACGTCTTCGATGAAAAGGAGAAGAATATAGACGTCGATGTTACTGAACTGCCGAAAGGAAAGTCGACGGAAGAAGTACCTGATACAACGCAGGCATTACCCAACCTAGCAGTCGAAGACCAAAAAGAAACAGAAGTTACGACGACCGAGAAGAGTTTGGATGAGGCTTCAAAGGATGTAGACAGTAATTATGATCTCCACCCACACGCTGACCATCACCAGGATGAATCCCCACCATCGGGACCAACGTTAACTGACAACAGGCGGTCGTTCCACACTGATTTCAACGAAAAAGGCACTGAATACGAATACACAACCGACAAGGACGAAAATGACGATTACGACGGAGAAGGGGCTTTTGCGCCTGACGCTTCGGATGGAGATCAGGGTGGGGACTACTCCGGCTACGATGAGTATCCACGAGGAGACGCACAGACACACCAATCCCTTCAGAGCCCTAGTAAAAAAACCATAGATGTTCGGCAAACAACAGGCGGTAGCACACAACACATTCTATTAGGATCGCTAGGCAAACACGACGCGGAAATAACGCAGAAGAGCTCGGAGAGGCCCGACGAGAGAAGGGTCTATCAACCCGGTGAGAGGATACCAGGCACAGGTGGCTACACGATACCAATGGGGTTTACGGGGAGCGTAAAGTCTGTCGCGTCAAAGGAAAAGACGTATGTTGTTGGCTCGAGGACTTCGCCATCACAGGCACAAACGGTTACCCTCACGCCTGGCACTGGACAAGTGAGGTACTCCCATCCCTCAAGTTACAGTAGATACGTGAGTCCAAGCAAGTTGCGCTCCCTCCAGGGCAAGCGGGACGACGACAGGTACGTCTCAGTTTCCAAATCTGTGACCAGAGCCTTAGATAACGAAAACAACGTAAAGAAGCAATACTCCCACACGTATTACACCAAGTCCTCATCCTGCGGCTACTTCACCTTCACCTGCACAATGGTTAGCAGCGCGGAAGGCAAGAAGAAGTTATGCAAGCCCAAAATACCAACTAATCCAGACGGTACACCCATAAGGTGTTAAATTTATTTAGTATTTGAATGTATGTAGATAATTATAATTATGTAAATAATGTATTTTAATTAAAGTATTTCCAAGCTACCAGTGCTTTATTTTTAAACCACTAAATCCTTTACTGTAATTAATAGTAAACACCGCTTTGCCAATATGTATTGGGTTTGGAATGAAGTAATGAATCGGAATCAAGCGGTGTAGACGAGGCATAAATGAAAACACATTTTCATGCAATATTTATTGAACTCCATACAACACTTTTATATCGATAAACGAGATGATAATTTGACATCGATTTTACACAATATACGACTTTCAACACTGATAATAGATTTCTATGGATTTTAAAACTCACGTAGATACTTTTAATGACTTGAAAATTAGAATATTCAGAGAAGGATTTAATACATGTCTTTTGACGCAATTAAAACGTCAGCTGAAATACGTAACATAGTTTAAGATATGCCTCGAAAACATTAAGAAAGTTTTAATTTACACAATATAGATAGAAAGCTGGGGGAATATGTAATCGCACTAAAATATAACATCTAGTATTAGAGTATACACGGATCTTGCGACGTAATAAAAGGTATATGGAGCCGGTTCTGTTTACCAACTGACAACTGATCGATTCAATAACATTACATTCTGTTCAATAACCGTTCTTTAATAACCTGAATTCTAGAGACCAGACTGTACTCTCGTGTTACGTCACTTATGATCCGTGTCCTCTGCAATAGGTACGATAGAATTTGAGCACCACTTCAATAGAATCTGCGGAGCTGTAGAGGAACACGTAACATTTATTTCAATAAATAGACTATATAACTTAGCATTACATCTATTATATGTATAAGACTCTATCCAAAGAATCTAGGAGTACGTACCGTAAAATAAGACGCTGCGAGATTGAAAACCATGATAGCTAAAACGTTTAAAATCTATCAGCATCCAATCGTACAGTAGCGTTCCCGTAAATAAGAATCGAAACCGATCGTACGAACAATAGTTCACACATAAATAGTATCATTTGCGCACCACACATTCCAAAGTCACTTCCTTCAGTGGAAACATTAACTATCGAAGCGCTGCATACACACTTTATTGAGATAACTTAATTTAGCACAAAGATAACGCAAGGAATGTTAATTAAGTACATTGTGAATCACACCACTTAAACACTATCAATACTGAATTCATGGCAAAACATTATAAACTAACCGACGTAGATATCACAACACAAAGTTTTCGCCAGCTGCAGCGGTTAGATAAGTACAACCTTAGTAGGGGCACTGCCCAAAATGACGTCAGCATTATACGGGGTATGTTAAAATGTATTACTTATTAACTGAAAACAGTGAGCGAGTGAAATCCCAAAGGGTTAGGTGGGCAGACTATTGCAGGAAATAAGGCAAACGTATATTGGCTACAAAAACCATAACAGTGAATAGGAGGCTCGAGTCTCTATAGGCATATAACAAACTTGCCTAACCGAAATCGTAAATTAGACAAAATATTTGTTCGCTATTCATATGGATAATTTTACATATTCATGAGCAATGTTCATTGTATACACAAACCTTTTCTTCAAAAAGAAAAACGCTGTATATCAGTAAAATTTGTGAGTGTCTATAGATAAACATAACGCTTTATTTTACCTAGTTCCCCACACACAATTAACATAAGCTGCAATCAAAACGGAGTGTACTACATTAAGCTCAGTCTCAGAATGGAATGTTAAATAAGATATGTTCGTACAATGAGTATTGTCGATAATTAAATTAACATAAAACGATTCAATAATCGTGCAAATAAAAAACAACTTACAATAAAAACAAAATAGTGGCAACTTATTCAATAACTGGATACTACTAAGTTGGTGGGGTGGAGCGCAGAGTACGGAATAAACCGAGAACCGTGGAGGCGCTCGAAAGAGGTCTTTAAATAAGAAAAAAAAAATATTGAATCTTATACCGCCAGTGGCATGGTACCGGTTCATTCAGTATTCTGTGATGGGGCCTTAGAGCTAAATGACAAGTTCTCCAACTAAGGGATTGCCTTACACTACGATAAATTAAACACAAACCTCTTTTTTTTATGAATATAACCAATAACATAGTGTATATGTAGATAAATCAACGTAATTAAACAGATGGTTTAGGTACCTATATTTTCGCAATTGAGTACTGTAAATGAGATGATAATTTTAAACGTTAAGAGATTTCACCAGGTCTACATAGAAAGAAGGTCGAACCCGAATAAGATACGATGTACTTGAGATCCATCGAAGGCAGTGCGAATAATGTTATAAGGAACTTATAACATGGCTTCTGAAAGCAAAAAAGCAATTTATTTGCAAAAAATATATATATTTATATTTTTACGTACACGTAGTATCGTCTACGTTTAAACATACTAGAATCTCTGTATATAGTAATAATTCCCATATTTATTGCCCGTCGTTAAGAAACTACGGGGTACGACGTATATAAATACATATAAATATTGTACACTCAAAATTGCTTTTATATGCTTTCTTAGTCTATGAGGCTTAAAATATAGCTTTTTTTATAACGTGCAACCGTCTCTCGTCTATCCTTTTAGCTCACAATACTTAGTTGCATTCGAGCGAGGGGTACAGGTGATGGAAGAAAGGACCACCTAACCCACAAAGAGAACAAATCAGAAATAACATCCGAGTGCAAAGTGAGTGACAGATTTCGATTAAAAATATATCAAATTCAGTCGCCTGTAAATAATTCGCGGAAACTTGTGTAAATAGATGTATCTATACTAAAACAACACGTTGCTTCATAGAATTTCGAAAGTATGCGATAGGAAGAATCATTTAAGATATTTTTGCATAAAATATTCATACTGGCATCTGGCGTACTTAATAATTATTCTAATATACAATTAAAGTAATATATGTGATAAATTTCTGCCTAGGACAACATCCTAACTACGATAATATTGAAAAAATCTACGGTCACAATAGGCGTTAATGATTTTCTGTACTAGAAGATTACTGTTCAAACTAATATGTGCCACTGGGATGCGAGTACAGGCGTCTTCAAGAGCGCGAGATTCATGGGCCGCCGCCGCGCAACCGCTTCAGCCGTTCCTTCTCCAGCTGATCGGAGGGAGGTTCGCGTTCAAACGAGCTCAGCTCGAGACCTGGATTTCAGAGAAGACTATTTACATTTGCCATCAAAAACGCAAAAGCAAAAGTTATCTCGGTTCGATATTAGAAAAATATTATCTAACGGCGACATGTCACCTCTCTCGTTAAGCGAGCTCCGCTCGGTAAGGAAGGCAGCCGTGGGCGCGTGGTGCGACGGAGCGGACGGCGGGGGCGCAGCGTGCGCGGGCCCTTCGGCGCAGAGCCGCCGCGCTGCGAGCTGCGAGCTCACGTGCCGAGCGAGCAGCGAGCACTTCGAGAAGTTGATTCGGTTACCGGATAACCTGCAAGATCATCATGAACTCATACAATTTCTGCTCGCATATCTTTAGATGTCGCCCGCAGCAGCCGGAGAGACGGAAAGTTGCTAAAAACTATTTTAAGTTCGAGCCGTTATATTTGAGTATCGGTTGAACTTCTTAAAATAAATTAATTTGAATAATGAAAAATAGCTTTCTTAATAAACGAATTATTTAACTTTCGACGGAGTCAAGTTCAAACAATGTTGATCGATGAAAATAATTTTAGGTAGGTAGTTTTCAGTCAGGTCCTACGATAGAATAAACTTTCACTGACTTGTTCGGCGAGCCTTGGTTAGCGAAATGCAGATCCCTGCAAGTCACGGACAGCAACGGCACGGCCGTCTCAGTTGGGGCTGCAGCTAGAGCGGCACGGTACCTCGCGTGATTACCGCTCGGCTCCACGCACAACTCAAGTTGTCGCAACTGCTGGACGCACACGCTAGACGTTCGGCTCCACTAAAACGAATTCAACCGTTTTATAACATGCGTAATGAATAAAACTCAAAAAAATTAAGAAATAATTGTAAATGCCAATGACTGAAATACAATGAATTTTTGCCGGTTTGCTTAGCGTTGATGGCAGGTGACTCACCGTCTTCTTAAGCCTAGTGACAGGCGCCATATTAAGTGCGCTGATGATCGCCATAAGCGAATTAAAATTTCCAAGGTTGAAACACTCCCGCGCTGTCATCACCCACTGTTCGATCACTCGCGCCCTGTACTTGCTCTTCGCTGGCTGTAAACGAGATATTTTTTCTGAATAACTCTAAACGTGGACGTTGATAACCAATTAATGACGCGCATAAGACCTTGACAATATCAGTCGCGACCAAATAGCTCAAACGGTTGAACCAATCAGCGTATGCCTCCAAATTTCTGGTACTCTTCGTCTCCACGTGATGGAGGGTTATGGTCTTCCCCGACGACGATGGCTGAGCGGGCACAAAGGTCTGCACGAACTCCTCGGGGCCAATGAAGGACAGGCGATGGAGTTCCAGTACGGTCAGTCGGTTCGCCAACTCGACCGGTGTCAGCCCCAAGGTAAGAATGTCACCCTAGAAAGTAGACTTAGGACTTTAATTACTCCATACTGAATTGCTAACTTTTTACTTACAAAACCTATTTCGTGCTTTTTGGCTTATAATAAATTAAATGTAAACGATTATATTTAATTTATAAAGACCACCAAGATATATACAAATGTCGATAGATTCGATGATTTTTGAGGCCATTTCGTCGTATGTGAGAAGCGATCAGTCTTTGCTTAGTCGAACTTGCAACACCTCCTGAAGATGTCACTGACTCTTGGTAGCGAAACAATTCCTCTACATTTTCAAACGACCTCCGAGTAGCTCGAAAACTCAAGAAGTGTGATTAAATGTAACAATTCCTCACCGGCGGCAGACAATCCACGCTAGCTACTTGAGGCACTTCGACCAGCGTCTCCTCGTACTTCTCCAATGCTGTGAGTTTGTCCAATAAACGCTCCAACATGCTCGACATATCGGCACGAACGGACGACATGTGTTCCGCAGAACACCTGTGAATTCAATTCAATTTCGTTCCACAATTTTTCCACAAAGTTATTTTCAAATTTGGTATTTCATACTTGTTAAGGACAAACTAAAAATCAGGGCTTGGCAAGCCTTGCTGAGTGCAAGCCGAGTCCTTTTAGCACATAGTTAAATTGTTAATTTTGTGCTTTGTTATTCACAAAACACAAAATTATTTATTTTTAACTTATGTAATGGCATCACGTGGAATAACGTGTGAAAATTAATAATGTGTGAGAGAACAGAGATTGCTAGTGTGTAATAATTAACAAAGACCTCTGCGTGATGCTTTTGACTAGAGCCATGACGCGATCGTCCCGGAAATCGTACGGGAACATATTGGTCCACTGATCCAAGACTCGAACCAACGAGACCATATCCTGGATTTCCTTCTCCGCTGTATCCTTTAATTCTGAACCACCCTGGAAAGACAAAGTTCAAGCTTATTATTTATACTGATGAATGCCGCGGCCATGAGAATTTCGCTTTCGGTCGAATAACAACTAGAATCGAATAAAATAATAAAACAATAGATCTTACTACTTTTTCGTAACTTCTGAAGTATCGCTTGCACAGCTTCGCCAATAGCTCGTGCGGTCTGATGAAGAGCCGGGAGCACAGGAGAAACGTGAAGACGAAAGTGTTGCTCGCGCCGGGCCTCAGTAGGTCCACCAACGAGTCGATAGTACCGCTCACTATCTGACCGTCCTTGTACTCGATTTCTGCCTTTTCAGAATTAACATACGGCAGAGACAAACTCTTCGATGGCACCGTGGGGATCTGCAACTATGTCGCAATTTACAGTAACTGTAACGCATTCCGGTGATCTGTCAATAAGGTAAACGTTAAAGGTAACGTAAAATTTTTTTTACCTGTGGCTGATCAACCTTCTGAGCAGAGACATAGTTCAGGCTCCCATTCATCATTAAGTGCCTCACCCCGCTCTCCGACATGAACTTGTTGCCTCTCACCATAGAGTAATAGTCGTCGTTCTGAAAAGAAACTTATTTTATTTTATCTTCATTATGCTGCATTATGCGCTATGGCCAAATCTATTGAGGAATTATTAATCGCCTTATTGTACTCCGAAACCATTCCTTGTTTATGTCCGCAGTGCAAAGAGGAAGGAAATCACCAACATTAAAGCTATTCCAACTTGGCTTGCGAAGTCCTCGCAAGGGAACTTTAAAAATTCTCCTTTAGCTCATCGAGCTCATCAAGATATTACAGAAATCAATTTACCTTTCGCAAGCGATGGCAAACTTTTAAAATTAATCAACATTTTATCAAACTTTAGCGTTATATGTCATTTATTTTTTGCTTTTAATCGTCGTCTGCGAGACTCTTTCACAAGAAGAGGAGAAATAAGTTGGGACTTGGTGGAACGCCATAGACCTAAAATCTTGCGCTATCAAGATAAACTAAAACAAATGTGTCAACTTTTTACTTCGGATTTTTCTACAGTTACTCATAGCAGCAGCTAAACCAAATGGCACTATGTTAAAACCGAGAATTCGATGACATGCGTCATCTCAACACACATTTCAGCCGCGGACACCGCTAAAGGGCTGTGACGTATCCAAGCGATCGAACGGTATAAGGTAGTAGTAGTGCTCGTCATGACAACATACTCACATCATAGTACGACAACCCAGTGCCTAAAATGGTGGGATCCGCCTTCATCAATTGAGAGGGCTCCGCAGGTGGCGGCGGCGCGGCTTCGGATGGCACCGGGGGCACCTATGCACACATTGCATCTGAGATTCTCTGAACGCGTTCACAAATATCGACTTATTGTGCTAGAATCGTTAGTTAAAGTATGTTTTCTTGATCAATTCTTTAAATGGTAGCAAATTGAACCAAAACGCATCGACACTGAAAATGAAGCTCCTTCTACGCCTTACCTTAACATTGCACCCACTACATGACGCCTCGTTCAGCTTGCTCGCGTAATAATACATAGCCATCCAATGAACTCCCAGCTTCCTTAAAAGCTGTTCGCGACGACGGCCATTCGCTTCTTAACTGAATAGAAATTTTATTCAATTAATAAGTACGATATTAATTAATTTCGTAAAAACTAGAGCATGTGGTCTAATAATAAACATATGTAGTTCTAAAATTATTATTTTTAAAATATGCGCTTCGTCAACAAGTGAAATAATAATAATAAAACAAGCAAATACAAATACTTTTTTAGTAAGTAACTAAGCAACCATATGAACATTAATTCAACCTTATTAAGGTAGTAGTACTTAGTGCCTTAAGATAAAAAAGTTTTCAAATACATATATAATCTACTAACGGCCCTGCCCCGGCTTCGCACGGGTAGACATAAATAAGTACAGATATTTAAATTATAAGCATGCTAATTAAAACGACCATGAAGCACTAAATTAGAAAAAAATTGTCTTGCGCGTCCTAGCTGTTAACGACCCTTGTCTATGTAGCTGTGTCAGGAGCCCCTGCGAGCGTTCAGTGTTAGTGTGCCGTGCAGACGTTCGCGAATTCCTAGTTCTATTTCTTTCAAGTCGCTGCTACTTGAAGGAATCTTGCATTTGTTCTGCAAGACGAACGTGAACATTCGACGATAGATTCTCTGGCTCGCGATTAGGACGCCTACACTCTAATACTTTCCAGGCGATCATTTTAGAAAGAAGAATGTCCAATACGACGAACTTTTGCTAATCTCGCTTAGGAACTATTCTTAGATAGCTGCGACCTTCTTCTTCTAGGCATCCTTCTATGAAGGATATTTATTTTAAATCAGAGAAATTAAGAATAAACTAATAATAATACAAAAGAAAATATTCAAGTTCAAAGCGATACTAAAAGTATGTAGCTTTGAAAATAACTTTTTAAGTTAAGCATAAAAATGTTAAAAAAAAATCGAAATATTTAATGTCGTTCGCGCCCATTGCCCCTCTATCGTCGAATTAGTTTCTCGATGCGCGGCGTGCTGGCCGCCACCAGCATGTATTTCAATGATTAAAAAAGTAATCATCAGGTATTGAGACAGTCTTGAATATTAAATTATTTATTTGGATAAAAATTTATAAAAAGGATGTATAACACGGTCTGATTTTGATCGGCACTTCTATCAATTTGTTAAATGTAAAAAAGTAGTTATAGCGACGTAACTACAATAGTTAGACATATTCCCTCGCAATGTTTTTTGTAGATATTGATATATTCTATAATATTGTCGAACATTTTTCTGTCCTATCATTAATACTTTTCGCAGCGTATGCGAAGAACGACATTTTACGGCTAATTTTTTACGCCTTCTGTTGGTTTTAATAAGAATATCTATAGACGCCTATAGTAATCGAGTACTAAATATAGCCTATGTTACTCAGTGATAATGTAGCTTTCTAATGAAAAAATAATTATTAAAATCGGTCCAGTACCTTTTGGGTTTATCCGTTACATACAAAAATACAAATCTTTCCTCTTTATAATATTAGTATAGATAATATCTAATATATCTCTGGGATTTGAAACCGGAACGTGTCGTGGCAAAAGTTACTTTAATTAGCGCATATGTAAATGCGTTACAGAGGCACAAACTAATTTCCCTCCTACCTTCAGGAAATGTTGTGTGTAACCTAGAAACCTATTTTTCTAGCCTAGACCTAGATGCAATAGCAGGACGGATATATTCAGAGTTGGGTCACCATTAGGGTCCCATTAAATCTGTGTTTTTATTTATAAAGTACAAACATATAAATTAATGTATTTTTTTATTAATTATATCAATTTCCTACTTTTATCTGCAGAATTCTCTATTCACTAGACTTCATTAATCATCGTTGTTTTTTATTACAATGGCATATAAAGGTTAAATTACATTTGATGTAGCTAAATTCGTAAAAGTTAATTCTGGAATGGCCATTAAATTTAGAAAATGCATAATAATTAAAAACGTCGGTTAAAAACTGTTTTCACATATATGTAATCTATGCCTATACCAATTTTTGGTAACAATAAAAAGTTTTAATTTTAAAGAAGACAATTCCGAATTGGTACTAGGAAAATAACCAAATGGTAATGGGAAACATTTGTTTTTCCTTTTGTTAAAATGAGTGAATATAATGAAGAATTTAAAAATTTTACTATGAAAACAAAAACGATAGTGAAAAAAATTGTAATGTTTAAGCATCTAATGCAGTACATATATGTAAGGATAGATAATATTTTTTTTGAAGAAAAAGATTTTAAAATATGGATAATTGATTTCTTTGACTAAGCGAGAATTTTTATCCTCTGCAAGGAGAAAATGGGTGAAATGGTCAGCTGATGGTGTAGACTCATAATCCTGCCTTCTATAGGTACCCCAATAGAAAATAATAATAAGCGAGAATGCAGGTGCAAATCTGTCTTGTAAATAAACTGAATTCATATAAATACAGATATAAAATGATATAACATATAAATACATAGTAAAAATGTGTCAATAATAATAATAAAATTTTAATTTAATAAATAAAGTTATAATCAGGTATATATTTATTATTTGATAAAAACACTTTAAACATTTTTGTTTGTGTGTGAATAACTCTTATCACTTAAGGGTATAAAAAATTTATGGTATCTGATTCTCAGACTGACTGAATATCATACATCATACAAAATTGCTAAAACTTTTCAGAGTATCGTAGCGAACACCCAAACTGTATATTAGATGAGCCGCCAAACTTTAGCAAACCAATTCATTAGTTATTAGTTTGTTGGCATAGATTGACAAGAAACAAGTATAATCCAAAAATATATATTTAACCTTATTAGACAGATTTTATTGTAGGGTCGGGTAGATCATAGATTTACTAGTTAGTCAATCAGAAACCACCTATATAGGCAATTTTGCAATAAATATTATACTAATACCTATAAAACTGCAAATGCCTCATTACCTTGCTCATCAGCAAATATGCTTGTAGAATAATAAATAGCACAAGCTGTTTCAGTCATTTGTCAGCCACTGCCTTTGTGAATAGCACTCTAGATTATAGCAATAGACCCTGATGTAACAGCTGATTTGTATAGGCTGTTTACTTGCATGTTAAGAGGTTTCCTAAGAACTAGCAACTACTCAATTTCGAAGATAATAAATTGGTGTCTTTTAGTTTTAAAGACTTACCCTCAAATGTGTTTTAATATTTGAAATAATTAATAATAATCTTAATAGAACTGATAAGGATTATAACTCAGGCTCTATTGAGCTTATGTTATTATAAGTAACCAGTCTCTGACCAAAATTATTTCTGTAAAGCAATGTAATATGCCTGCAAGGTGAATGGGGTAAAATGATTTCTATATTACCCATGCAAATAGGTTATCAGCCTGCTGTGCCCTATCCGTCTGAAAATTGCTTGCTTACGTGATGCGCAAAATAATAAACATCGCGTTAAAAAAAGGAGTGGTACATCCTAACATCAACATTTCCCCAAAAGGAAAAATTATCCCAAAACCAGTAAAGCTTATGTCTTTCTGATATGCTTGGAGACAAATTAGGATGAGCTAACATTTGAATAGTAAACATGGTACATGTTGCACTTACCGCTCCTATCTTGCATTAAATCGTCTACACACTAATCGAACACTAACTAATGCATATTGCCACTTAAAGTTTTGTGAAACGGAATAAACCTAACTAGAACATCTAAATTATTATTTCTAATACTGCACATATATACATTAAATAAAACCTGAAATAAAATACGACGAACTCGGTCGTCGTGCCCACTTATGTTATGTGTATATTATAAGAAGTGTTGCCAGCTATACTTTTACAGCATAGACTAAACAGATAGTACTTTGCCATGACTTTCTAGGAAATTATCGTACGCAATAATTCAAAACTACTTAAATCCAGTAAAAACTACAGAATGTATCTATAAAGTTGAATTAATATTTATCATTAATAAACATGGCATTAGGATATCATTATTGTTTTTTTAATTAGACATATTATGTGTTATTTATACGAACCTTGCTTAAGAACAACTTCGATATACTTATTAAATTAACTCTCAAAATAATAAAATGGTCTTTATTATGACCTGAAGCTCTATTGCATACACACACAGTTGACACAAAATGCTATTAAGAATAAAATTATTCAGACAGGCAGTCTTATCACTAGACTCGTCTTATCGAGGAGCGAGCTCTTCCAGCCAAAATGATTTATATAGGCATTTACTTACACACGTACATACATATAATATATCATAGGTCGTAGTGTAAAATCGGTTGACCTAGATTGAGCAAGCATTTTTGTTTTGGCGTAAATGTGTTCAGAATTCAGATATAAATTAAACTATAATTGTTGGAAGCTTTCATAAAATATACAATGAAGTAGAATATCTTCTCTATAATAACAAGAAGAAACCTATTATTATTTGATGTATATTTATATTCTAGATTTTTTTGTGAGATTTTCATTGCAACGATCGTATATATTTCATACGATTTTGATCGTACATTGTATAAAAAAAGTTGTAAAATACAATTTAAATACTATTGTTGGCAACACTGAATTTAGGTTATTTCAGTAGAGAAGTGAGAATTGTAGTGGCACGCACTAGTGTAATGTAATCTGTATTCTGTAGTTCTATGTTCACAGAAGGTAATAGGCGTGTCCAATAATTGCCATAGCATTCTTTCTAGTCTAGTCACTAGTGGTCTTTCATTTTAAATTCAAACGCCACCGCATTAAAAGCTCTTATATATACGTTGGTATTATCATTATGCAATAAAATGACTTTTATTTTAGTTATGGACTGAATATTATTACAAACGCAATATTAAATGAGTTTATGGGTACTAGCGGCCCTGTCCCGGCTTCGCACGGGTAGACATAAATAAGTACAAATATTTAAATTATAAGCATGCTAATTAAAACGACCATGAATCACTAAATTAGAAAAAAAATGTTTATCGCGTCCTCTCTGTTAAAAAACCGTGGTCTGTCTCGCTGGTTCAGGAGCCGCTGTGAGAGTCAGTGTTAGTGTCCCGTGCACGCGTTCGCGAATTCCTAGCTCTATTTCCTTCAAGTCGCTGCGACGATCTTGCATTTTGTTCTGCAAGGCGAAACTGAACAATCGACGATAGATTCTCTGGCTCGCGATTGGGACGCGTACAATTTAACAGTTTTCAGGCGATCATTTTAGGAAGAAGACTCCAATACGCAGAACTTTTGCTAATCTCGCTTGGGAACTATTCTTAAATAGCTACGATCTTCTTCTTCTAGGCATATTGCTATGAAGAATGTTTATTTTAAATCAGAGAAATTAAGAACAAACTAATAATAATACAAAAGAAAATATTCAAGTTCAAAGCGATAGTTCTGAAAAGAACTTTGACAAACAGTATGCAAAGTGTGATTCCTAATACTAAAACTAAGTAGCTCTGAAAAGTACTTTTTAAGTGAAGCATAAAAATGTTTAAAAAAAAATTGAAATATTCAATGTCCCTCTATCGTCGAATTAGTTACTCGATGCGCGGCGTGGCGGCCGCCGCTGGCATGTATTTTTTTTAAATGTCATATCTTTTCAAGGAATGTCCGATTTCAATAATTAAAAACATAATCATTAGGTATAGAGATAGTCTTGAATATTAAATAATTTATTTGGATACAAATTTATAAAAATATTAATTTGTTAAATGTAAAAAAATAGTTTGTTATTAGGCCACTCCAGCAGCCTCTTATATAAATTCTTATGAACTGCTGACTGTATTAATTAATTGAGAACAATAATGGATCTATTCACTGATAGGGGAAGGATTCCAGAAAGCAGCAAGTCACAATTTTTTTTATCAGTTTTTATACACAATAAACAACTAGGTTCAGGAATATAAAAGTACCAGACTATATATAAAACACTTTTTAATTATAACTTAAACCTAATTTTTACCTGTGTCTGATTGCATCTTTATCATTATAATACTGCAGCTGGGTCCCATGCATATTTTTTATAAACATTAAGTGAGCTGAGCGCTTGCATATCTTCAGGAGTTAGTTGGAAACTAAGATGAGCATTCTCACAGATTCGGTTGGGACTTGTTGACTTAGGGATGACAGCGATACCCTGTTGTAAAGCCCAGACCAGAAGCACTTGTGCAGGTGTCACTTTGTGTATACTGGCAATGTTTTTCACTACAGTATTAGCAAACAAGTCTAGAGAGCCTTTAGATGCGCCACCAAATGAACAGTAAGCCTGAACACAAATATCCCTTTCTCTACAATACTCGAGCAGCTCTTTCTGTTTATAAAACGGGTGTAACTCTACTTGATTTACGACTGGTACACTTGTGTGGCTCTCGAGTAATTGTGAAATGTGATTCTTAGTAAAATTGCAAACTCCTATACATTTCGTCTTCCCCTCATCACACAACTTGTTCATTGCTGTCCAGGTATCGTAACGGAGGTTCTTATTATTGGGACTGTCACATGGCATTCCCGCAGTTCCAGGAAAATGAATCATGTACATGTCGACATATTCCATAGCTAAGTTGTTCAGAGACTCCTCGAGTGCTTTTGATACAATATGTAGTCCGTGGCAGGATGGTGCTGTACAAGGAAGGATATAAGATTTATAGTCCATATGGTTAAATATTTAATAGTAGTTGTGAATAATATTTGTGTAGACTTTGTTTAGTGGAAGTCAAAATTTGGTATCAAATCAATTTTAAAAGCCTCTAAGTTATTGCACTTATCTAATTTTATATCAGACATTTACTTACACAATTTTGTTGTTACAAAAATATCTTCTCTATCTAGATTGTACTTAGGTAATAATTCCTTTAAAGCTAGGCCTAAATATGCTTCATTCCTGTAAACTGCTGCTGTGTCTACAAAAGACATAACATTATTTTAGTACATAGCATACCTTTTTACAATTATATTTATAAATTTATATTGTACTCAATTTACTACAGTATTTATTATCCTCAACATTTACTGATAAAACTGTTACATACAAAAACAATAAAACATTTAGTTATAGCTGCTTAATACCAGTAACCAGAAATACCCAAACCGCATACAGGTTAAATAAATAGAACAACTTTCAAGCACAATAATAGAACACACCAAAAAGTTTGTATCCATTTGCTAGTGAAGATTCAACAAGCGTGTATATGTCATCATAATTTCTTACTTGGTACGTCCCAACTGCAAAAAGTTTATCAACATTGTTAAAAAGCGTTTTCATTATATTTACTATACGATTTTTTAAGAAGATAATTTTGCTTAGGTTATGTCTGAGTTTCACACGACTTACTTCCTACAGACGGTAATTTCATGCCATTGTGCAATCGGATATAATTTTTAATAAAAGATTGAGACTCCGTCCTTACTTCTGTCATGACCACTTTCCTATATTTTATTATATACAGTTGTCAAACACGAGTACGAGTAATACATTCAAAGTCTAAACAACTCCCAATATTGAAAACAAACAACATTAAACCATTGGGTAATGTTGAGTGCCATATGAAATTGAATTCCCGGATGTAGAATGACGAAATAAATAATGTTAACTGTTACTTAACTCCGCTGTTCAACAACGGTTGTTGCTCGAAGATTGACACTGACATTAGGTGTACAATCACGCGAGATGTTGCCAACTTGCCGATTTGGAACAACTGGCAACGCCTTTTTTAACGAAGTTCTGAAGAAATTTTATTTATGTTAACGAGGTTCAATAAAATTTCATAAATAGGCTTTTATTTTAATATTGAGTGATGTTGTCAAATGGAAAAAAAAATTGTCTTGTGAAATATTACATATTGTTATTACATACACGTTGTTTTTTATTGTATAATATACATATTTGTGAAGTATTCTTATTTTATTATTAATAACAGATTTCTCTACGTTTTATTCTATTAAAGTTTTAGTAGTAGTTTTCAATGTGCCATTATAGGGTTTATAAGGGTTTTTCTTAAATATAACTTTCTAATATTTAACTTGACACTGGCAAATAGTTAATTCTTCTTGCCACAAACGAAAAAAAAACAAATTTCTAATGCTTTCTTAAAAGTTTCATTAATCGTGGTTAGAAAAAACGTTTTACAAGTGGTCAATGTCAATACTGACGTTTCGATTTTTGAAACGCTTCGAAGTTTTCTTAAACGTAATTGTATAACCTTACAAAATACGTAATTTTAAGTGAAAATATTAATACAAGCGAAAACATGTCGGTAGCTCTAGATTTAGAATTGAAAAAAGCCTTTGGTGAGCTTCAAATTAAAATGTTGGAAACGAGTAAAAAGATCCAGGTAATCGATAGCCAACTTGATGTCCTGAAACAAATAAAACGACATGTTGAGATGCAAGCAGGGACCCTGCCATCTGACACCATTACGTACGAATCGGTTGGAAGAATGTTCCTTCTAACAGACGTCGAAGAAATCAAACAGAACCTCGAGAACAAAATCAATCAATTGTGTACTCGAACCACTGAACTCGAAGAAAGTAAAAACTGTTTGGAGACTAATTTAAAAGAGAGCCAGGACAAAATAAGGGAAATGGTACAACAACGCAAAGAGCAGAGTTAGTCATATTACGCGTGGAGCTGTATAAAACCTGAGATAATATTGTATGAAATACAAGTGACAAGGTGGAAATATTAATTCCCTGCAATTATCATAATATTGTATTCTTATTGACATTTTAATTTTTAATTCAAATATTATTGTCATTTAACAATGAAATTTTAATTATTAGTGACATTTTAATTAAAAGTATTAACTTTACTATTTGTTTTATTTTATTTAAAAAACTGTAATGGGCAAATTTTACAACTAAAATTCAATAAAGAGATAGTGACATTGAAAATCTTTATTTTCAATTTTTACACAGAAAATGATTTGTATTATTTCTTATATCTAAACTTCATATGCTTTATCATAATATTATGATTATTAAAACTGAACTTACAGTAACAAGTATTATGTACTAACTAGAATATGAGTAATTATATAGATATATTATGCTAAAATAATAAAACATATTTACACAAGGGAAAATTGAGGGTTCAAACAATTGATTTTCAATTCAGTATTAGAAGTAAATTAATGCTAAAGCTATAAAGCAATAGTTTTATATTATTATTGTAAAAAAACTTTAAAAAATTATTATAAATATTGCATGGCCCGCTGAGATTGAGTAAGTTGCACAAAATGTTGTTCCATTTAAATGCGTAATATGCAAATTATGCTAATATAATGTACAACAAGTAAAATAATAACAGCCTTAATCTATGTTCAGACACGAAAATCTCTACTCACTGTTTTGTTCACATTTATTTATGCAGCTATACATGTATGTAATTAGGTGGAATCAGACATCAACTACACAATTGGATTTAACATGAAAATCATTGGACACTGATCTATAAAGTTATGGTTTTTTAACCTAACATCGACATAACTTGAACATAGAGGATTCCATAGAAATTTCCAGAGAATTATTTTTTTACTTTTAAATTGAGTTCATTGTCATGAAATGTGGAACAATGCCAGTAAAATTTTGTAAATACTTATTACTACGGCGTTTTCACAAATTTAATTATCGTGGGAGCATCCGGCGCACGAGGGATCATTACACCGATAAGTCCACGGGTTCGAGGCATTGAGCCAATATTATATCCACGATGGTCTGTTAATGGAATCGTAGGGTTGCCGCACCCCTAGTGTAGGAGGGTACGTCGGTGGGTAAAGTCCCATGATCTGCGCGCCGGTCTGCCTCTGGAGCTCCTCTTGGTACCGCTGTATGTACTGCTGGTACATAGGCGACGAAGCGTCCATGCCCACGAACGGGTACCCCGCCCGCACCTGCGAGTGTGCCATGAAAGGGAACGAGCCGCTGGCGTGGTTGCTGTTTTGATGGGCGGGTTTCATCAGCTTCTCCGTGCTAGCTTCGTTCCGCTGATGGGCGACCGCCGCGGCCATGTAGTTAGCGGCCATCAGTTGGTTAGTGCTGTTTCTGAAGTCATCTATGGAAAATCCAGTGGTATCGCTATACATTCCGCCGAGGGCCATGTTAGCAGAGCCAAAACTATAAGCACTCGTTGGCATGATACTACTTTTCACGTACGTCAGCACATCACTCCCTCTAGAAGGTATTGAATAAGATTGTGTGTGTGTGTTCGTCGGCTTCGCGTCTCCGTTTCTCTTCCTCTTCGCCTTACCTTTCGCGTCGACAGGTGAATGGGGCGTGGTCGGAGTATTCTTGTAGACGACGTTGTCGGTCTTATCTGGTATCGAAGGCTGGGCGCATGTGCTGTACGTAGCGAGGCCTTTGTTTAGCATTTGTGCCATTTGAAACGTTTTGTCATGGTACAGTGATGGGGCGTTGCCGGCGAAGCTGGAGAGGTATCGCTCGTCGCTAGAGTATCTCTCAGACATCTGTGGAATTTGGAGATTGCGGAGCGGTTCGATCGGATCGAGGAGCGTGGAGTGAGAGCTGTATGGAGTTTTGTATGGAATAGATGAAATCAGCGCGTGGTTTTGAACTAATTTTTCGGTTTTGTTTGCCTTGGACAGCGCTTCAATCTTCTTAGCTATAGCGTCGTCAGCTATGGAGATCATGTTGGTGTTGTCGTACTTGAGCATGCCCTGTGGGTTGGGGATCCTTAATTCCGAAGGTGCGCTTTGAGGCAACTCTTGTGTCCTCTGCGAGTTCATTCGCGACATTGCCGCGTAATTGTTGTAGTGCTGCTGTTGGAAATTTTTGTATATTAGGGTCGCCGCGGAGTCCATTTTGTTTTTGTCATCATTATTCATGTACGAGTAGTCGGACGGTAGTACTTCCGGTTTCCGTATTTGGTTCGTGTTTTTCCAATTGCCATAGTCTAAGGGCGCGGAGGAAATGTTGTTGTTGTACAACTTTTTGTTGGCTAGTTCTATGTCGTTGAGTGAGAAACTACTTAACGCTTGGCCGGACGTTAGAGAGTCATACTGGTTTTGATGCGCTTGAGTTATGTTTTGTTTCATGTGCGCGTCGGGGTGTTGTCGTTCGTGGCAATGTGGGGGTTTATAAGGAGCGGTGTTCAGTTTGCTCGACGGCCTGGACTGCGGTTGGTTGTTTACACCGAGATTGATAGCGACCGCTTCGATTTCGTAACCCCTGTGAGCTTGGTTCCCATTCGGTTTCATGTCTTTGGACAAGAAATCGGAGTCTCGCGCATCGTTACTGTTACGCCTCTCTTCGATGTTAAAATAACCCATGTTCACCATGTCTATATCGTCCTTTTTAGTCATACCCTGAGGTTTCGTCAGGTCGATACTGTTCGTGTCCCGTTTATTATTGGCATGTGCCTGCTCGTTATTTTCATAAACGTTACTTTTCCTGTTATCGTAATGAAGATTCAACTTTGCCATTTGGGATTTTTCGCTGAGAGCAAGAGCGATGCTGTCTACGGACGGGGTGGTCATCGCGTTCATCTGATTCGGCGCTTTGTAGTCGCTCTTATTAGTTTCAGAGACGGGGCTCCGTATATTGTCCTTGTTCTGCGGTTTGTCCGATTGCTCGGGTTCGTTGTACGTTCGTTTCTTAACAGGATATATTGCCGTTTTTGGCTCGTGTATCTGAGCAAGGTTCATTTGCATGTGTGCCGCCATGGGCTGTGGTGAGATTTGGGGCTGCGAGTAATTTGTTTGGACCGGCGAGTACTGAGACGGGGACGGAGAGTACGGGCCGTTATTGAACTGGTTCTGCTGGTATATCTCCGGCGAGCCATCTTCATTTGCTCTCGGAGTTTTATAGGTAGGCTTCGAAGTATCACCGTGCGGTTGTGTATTCTGATTGTACGTTGGGAGGGGACTTTTGTTGTGGTCGACAAAGTAGTTCGGTGTCGCAGATCCAGGTGCGGTGGATGAGGTGGCGTACACGTGTTGCGGGTACGGTGAATATGGCGACTGAGGTCCCTCCCTCGGGCTACAACTCTTATCGGGACTGCTTTTAAGAGACGTTGTGTCCTGGTAGAACCCTGCGCGCACGGTTCCATTTATTATGGGATAGGAGATCTTCTGGAAGTCGTCGTTACGCGGTGAGGCCGGTGAGCGGAGTAATGGTGATGTATGCGAAATGTGATGCCGTGGCGAGTCCAAATCTTGGCTGAATGAGGATCTCTCCGAGATGGAACTGCCCGTGCTGGTCCTCCGCTGACGAGGCGTAGCTGACACGCTCAGATGCGGACTGTCTCCACCCTCAGGATTAGGAGAATTTGGGTCGTTGGGCGAATCGAACTTGTTTGTTACAGTTTTTGGGCTGGCTTTAACTTCGACAACTGATTCCGCAGATTTCTCTTCAGTTTCAATCTCTTCGACTTTCTTTTTGGTGGCAGTTGGCGTCGTCGTCTTTGGAGCCCCGAAAGCTTTAAACCACGCGCTTAAGTTAGGCGTTGCCTTCTCTTGGCTTGGTTTAATAGGGATAACGGACTCCGTTTCCACCTCGGCGTCCTTCTTAATTGTAGTAGGACTTTTTTCGTCTGGCTTCTTCTCTGTGGACGTTTCTTTTGCATCCATGTCGCCCTCCATTTCGGTAACCTTCGAAACGGTCTTCACTTTACTCACAACACATGTCGCCTCGTCGTTTCCGAAGTTATGGTCCTCCCCGAGAGTAAAGTCAACAGTCGGTAGAACAGACCCTAAACTTAATTTTGGACTGGGTTCTTTTTTAGTGTCTCCAGAGTTGACTTGACCCGACGAGCTATCGTCAACTTTGTCGTTACTTTTTGGAATAGTAATCAGGTTACCTTTACTCTTCCCAGGTTGGAGTCTATCTATCGTTCTTTGTATTTCTCGTCTTTTCATGAATTTGGGTTCACGAGAGGACGGGCGTTTTCTTGGGAAATCTTTTCTGCTAGACACTGACCTCTCGCCTAAGGAGAGCTCGTCATCTTGACGGCTACTACTATCCTGTTCTTCCGTGGACACTGTTGGAGCTGGGCTATCACAAGGTGAACTAACAGCAGAACTTTTGGGAGCATCATCTAGCCACTTGCTGATGTCTTTGACTGCTTCCTCCAAAGCTTCTGAAGCGGATTCGTTCTTGGCTGAACTCTTTTTCACCAATTTCTTGTTAAGACACTTTCCTTTAACACTTTCTAGAGGCTCATCGTCTGAACAGTCTTCATCACTGATTTCTTTATAATCTCGTCTTTTTTCCACTCTTCTTGTACTCCGAGGGGTGAAAAGGCTAGTAAATAATGAGGAGTCTTTGTACTTTTCGTTCTTAGCTTTCAACTTTTCAATGGTCTCGCGTAATTTTTGATTCTTATCTTTTTCGGGGATGTTTAAGTTTTGTTTGTGTTTGTCGCTCTTCTGTTTGTAATCAAAAAGAGATTCCCACACATCTTTGGCGGCGTGCCGGCGCCGTTCTTTGATTTTATCATATTTGTCTTTTAGGAATTCGCTTTCAGCGTGATGCTTCGACGTAGCCGGTTGGTCGTAGTCAATTTTATCGAAGTCTGCCGAGCCGCTCTCAGTTTTGTCTAGTTCAGTTGGTGAGGGTGAAGGAGTGTGAATAGAAGGCAGGGGACTGGCACTGCGACTTCTATTGGAGCTAGAGAGAGATACCTGCGAGTCACTTCGCTTTACCACCTCGGGTTCCGGTGTCGGATGTTTACTCTTTTTCTTCTTGGATTTCTTGCCGTCTTTGTCCTTATTTTTGCCGTGTTTCTTGCTATGTTTGCTTTTTGAACTATGCTGCTTCTTTTTGTGGTTCTTAGAGTGCTTTCCGTGTCTGTGATGGTGGCGTTTCTTCTTCCCCTTTTCCTTGTGAGATTCCTTGGACATCTTGGTATCGCCTCCTTCTTCTCGTTTTTGGTTCTCAACACTATTGTTTTCGTTCTCTGAGGTCTCATTCGCATCGACTGCCTCCATGCTTTTGCTCTGCGAGGTGCTAGATTTAGGTTCTGAAATCACGTCAATGAATAAAATCAATAAAAATGTATGTCATAACAAAACCTAATATTATGTAATCCCCCACAAGTTTTCTACAGATTATGCATACTCATAGAAGGCAAATGTTTCCTCCTTTCCAAAGAAATTATTGAATAACCATTCCAATAATACATTGGTTAAAGTTCAATTGATTCTTCAGTCCATTCGTTTACTATGTAAACGTTTAATCACTCAACGGATTAGTAGTATTGAAACATCTATACGCTCCGCTATTAAGATTTTAAGATTGTAATCTATATGAAGTTTACATAACAGTGATAAGTTTAACAGACTTTATAGATAACCTTAAAATTACAATATTAACAGTGTAATTACCAGTATCTTCCGAACAGGATTTGTGCTTTTTTCTTTTGCCGGGAAGCTGTCTAGTTGGAGAGTCGCTGGCTTTGCGTTTCTGGCGACGCGTAGGCGTCGGAAGTTGATACTCCACTGCGATCTCTTCGTCAGAAGAGGAGACGCGATATATATACTTTTCAGTCAGCCGGTCGAAAGCAGCTTGTAAATTGTCGACCATTGCTGTATATTCTGGAAATTAGTTTTCTTATATACATACATAATAAACAAATACATAAATGATATTGGAGGACAGACAAGCATGGGGTTCACTTGACGGTAGGTAAAATAGTAGCGCGATTAAACTTCACGGCATTTTTACCTGTGGACGTTGGTTCGTAAGCCGGACGGAATTTTTATATTTTTACCACTCATTTAATATCCAGATTTCCAGACAAACTAGTTCCGGCGGGGATTGAACCCTCGACCCGTTGATTTTTACCCTTGCATTTCTATAATTACGTAAGTGCATTTGCCGACAACTCACCGTTATCTTGTCCGTTGTACAGTCTGCAGTTATTCACAATGAGTTTGAAGTCCGCTTTGAATATAGAGAAGTCAGTGTAGTGACCACCGTCCAGGCGTTCCTCCATTTTGTGAAGATCCATTGGCCGCCTGATTACCGTGTAGTAATTGGGCGCGTATTCCTCCTCCACCGGGTCCAGAAAGGGCCAAGCGTCCTCGTGGCTCGTCAACTGCTCTAATACTTTGTACATGTCGATTTGTACGTCTTCATCGGTTTGACTGAATCTGTAACATGAGATGGAGGTACATTGCTTATGTACTGCTAAGTATTTTATACAAGCCTAAGACAGCTTATGTCTTTCATATGGAAATAAATAATTTATTTTAAAGAAATATCATCAAGTATGACGTTTGGAGTAGGTGAGCCAACGCAGCCAACGCAGCTAGAATATATCTACAGCCTACACAATGGAAGTACTTTTACGAACACTTACATTTGCGAAGTCTTGAGCTTCTTCCTGGTGCTGTTGACTGGTTCAACATTATCTGGTATCAGGATCTGGCCTGTGGCTGAAGCTAACGAATTGTTGGTCTTACGCCCTGTTTTTATCGGTGGTTCCGGAGGAGGTTCGCCCTTATGCGTGGCGGACGAGTTCTTCGACCTCTTCCCACCGCCATTTGACTTTTTCATTGCCTTTTGTGGCATATCCTGTTCTTCTGAGCTATCGCTACTATCAGACGCGTCTGACGACGATGATTTTGATCTGGAATTAGAAGGTCATGGCTTACTAAGACTTTAATGACTGAATATTTGCATTACAATTACAGTTGGAGCCAGCAGTAAATATATATGTTCAAACTAATACACAACATGTGCCTGTGTGTAAGAAAGTTGTTTAGAATATAAGTTAATAATGACACAATTTTTAAAAAATGTTTTATTGCAAGATAAAGGACTATTAGGAAATTTTATATAAACATTGGACTGAATTGTTTGATTCAATAATAAAAGATTATTAATGAGTTGTATTTTTATGTCCAATAAATCATTACATCGCAGCCGACAATGACCCAATTATGCTTCTACGTCTACACTGTGGACCAGAAAAGGTCTGCAGTTGAAGGATAACCATGTTCTAGAACCCGTGGCACGATTTAGTTAAAACCGAAAAGTTATCATAAGGTAATGAAGATGCCATTATATTCTATAGGTATATGATAGCTAAACTAATATTATGAAGAGGAAAGATTTGTATTTTTGTATGTAACGGGTAAACTCAAAAAGTACTGGACCGATTTTAATAATCCTTTTTTCATTAGAAAGCTACATTATCACGGAGTAACATAGGCTATATTTAGTACTCGATTACAATAGACATCTATAGAAATTCTTACCAACGGAAGGCGTAAAAAAATTTGCCGTAAAATTTATTTTTTTGCATACGCTGCGAAAAGTATTAATGATAGGACAAAAAAATGTTCGACAATATTATAGAATATATCAATATCTACAAAAACATCACGAAAGCATATGTCTAACTGTTGTAGTTACGTCGCTATAACTATTTTTTTACATTTAACAAATTAATATTTTTATAAATTTGTATCCAAATAAATAATTTAATATTCAAGACTGTCTCAATACCTGATGATTATTTTTTTAATTATTGAAATCGGACATGCCATTCAAAAGATATAATTAAATTAAAATAAAAATACATGCCGGCAGCGGCCGCCACACGCGCATCGAGTTATTAATTCGACGATAGAGAGACATTGAATATTTCAAATTTTTTTTAACATTTTTATGCTTCACTTAAAAAGTTCTTTTCAGAACTATCGCTTTGAACTTGAATATTTTCTTTAGTTTTATTATTAGTTTATTCTTAATTTCTCTGATTTAAAATAAACATCCTTCATAGCAATATGCCTAGAAGAAGAAGATCGCAGCTATCTAAGAGTAGTTCCCAAGCGAGATTAGCAAAGTTTGGTCGTATTGGAGAGTCTTCTCGAAGTGGAATCGTCTGGAAGTGGAATAGCGAGCCAGAGAATCTATCGTCGATTGTTCAGTTTTGTCTTGCAGAACAAAATGCAAGATGCAAAGAATGCAAGAAATAGACCTAGGAATTCTAACACTGGACGCTCGCAGGTTGTTAAAAATTAGGACGCGCATTATAATTCTTTTCTAATTTAGTGATTCATGGTCGTTTTAATTAGCATGGTTACAATTTAAATATATGTACCTATTTATGTCTACCCGTGCGAAGCCGGGACAGGGCCCTAGTGACAAATATATAGAGAAGCTAACCTCAGCAGATTGCGTCGTTTGGCCCGGTTTCGCCTGGCGAGATTTTGGCTTTCCTTGCTGTCTGAGTCCTTAGACGTATCAATATCGGTGGTCGCCTTGCTGCTCTCCTCCTCCTCCTTCTGACGTATTTTCTGAAGCACTCGGCTCGACGTACGCCTAGATGTTAATTAGAGTAACCTTTAAAATCAGCATTGTATCGGGAATTTCAAGTAAAGTGTCCAAAAGGCCTGTTTAACAGGATAGATAAAAGTAACTTAAATTTATAGTTTTAACAATAGACTACATAATTTAATTTCTAAAGGTGTTCCATACTTAGATATCATTTTAATTAGTAACATAAGACGGTAACACTCACGGTCAAATCAAAGCATGGTACAGATGATACTTTTTAATAATTTTACATAGCAAATGTTTTATCCTGAATAACTCTGATTAACATACTAACGCACATCCTTATCGACTAGCCGTCGCATTTGATGATAGCAGACGAGAGACTTACAGGGCGACTTTCAAAAATCGAAGAACCGACTAATGCTTGCGTAAGTTTTTCATTAACTATTTTAAAGGACCACAATTTATTGAAGGTCTGCAATGGATCTGATGATGCTTAGCGGCTAACATGTGTTTAAGCTCAAATTAATCGAATTATTTGTATTGTTACGAACTTAACTCCAAGATGGATTGGGATCATCATCATATGTCTGTCGGTGAAGACAAAGTTTCAAATTCATTTATTCATTAATTCATAATAATGAGCTAAAGCTCAGCCTACCTAGCGCCATCGCTTAAAATCATAAAATAAAATATATTAAAAAAAATAAACTGACTTCAAACAGTAAATTATTGAGCTAAAGATGAGTTTACTTTGCACCAAAGTTATATAGACATACCTTATTTCATTTTAAAAATATTTTACAAGTTTTAACGTGTCGCAAGCGATAACTTTTAAGTGTGTTTAAATCTATGGACTCGATTCTCGTTTACGTACCAAAAATAGTGGTGCAACTGTTTGAGACGCATAGCCGCACACGCAGTGAAGGCGGTGTCACAAACGCGATAACTCAGTGAAGTTTATATATACACTGTTAATACAAGTTTTATTCTATCAATAATATGACATACGCCGCAAAAATACTCGCGAACTTGCTTGTCATGTCGAAATTGTAAACCTCTTAATATGATACAGTTGTTTGTAGAAGCGGTCTTCTTTTGTAATAAGAATATCAATTTAGTTTTACATGACATTGAATAAAACCTGCACAACTAACGCTTTCAGTGGAAAAATATAAACATCGCCGACGCCATTCCCTGTCCACGCGCAATATACTCCGATGATGCAACTCCTTAGTTGCTGCTTTCCCGGGTTCGACTCTCGTCAGGTCGTGGCCCCATCACATCAACGGGGACGGAAAAAGTTCATAAGTGTATTAGCTGTGCCCGCTCAAGAGAATCAAAATCGGTTAAAAACGGCAATATTATTTGCGAACTAACACATAAAAAGCATATTCCAATATAATTCAAAACCTACTTTTTTAAGGAGGTTAAAAAGACTCTCTACGTTTACTCAACTGTAATAATACATAGACTCTTCTATTATATTTAAAACTAGCTATGCCCACGACTTCGTCGGCGTGAAAGAGGCTTTATGCAGCATTATACGTTGAAAAGAAATCTCATTACTGTTTTCGAGTATACAGGTAATGTCAATTCATTGTTACCTTTTATGTATAAACTACCTTAATGCCAAGTATCAAATGAATTTAGTTAGTCACTTTTAACGTGGTGCCATTGCAAATTGTTAATGGCGATATACTCTATATCATCCCCAGAAACAGCTCCAAATTTCAGCGTTTATATTAACGGTAGCGGCATATCTCTCGGCGCGCTTTGAATACCCAACAAGTTCAACGTGATTCAAAAAAAAAATACTGTAACTAATTATAAACCGATCTAGATCAGATGAGCCTTTGAGGGAGCCTTGTTTTGGATCCTATTGTTTTAACAAAGTTCTCTTATAATTTTGTATCATATATATGCAGAGTGGGATCGATTAAATTTTTATTATCATCAGACATAGCCGAGGCGCGCAACAGGTAAACAACGAGTACTAATAGTGGATTGCACTATCGATTCCGTAATGACACTCGCCCCGGGGGCGCAGCTTATACCAGGCAAAGTTAAATGACAGCGAGGCGAGCAATACCGAGATTTCCAGGATCGATATTATTAATTAAACTACGCTTTCGTTATACTCAGTGCATCTGAGCGAACTATTAATTCGTATCTTGCACAAAATTGAATCAACCGGTCTACGCATCGCCGGACCGCTTTGTTAGAATGATAAATTGATTACGATTTTTGGAACTCGAATCTATTACACTTTAAATAAGCAACACGTATCGAGTTCGCTTCGTGCCCATAGCTCGGACTTGGCTGGGTCTAATGTAATTTTCGTTAAGTTCAGTTCGCCGTCAGCGTTTTTTTCATGCAATGCAATACTCTTTGTTGATACCTTCCATTTTCATAAACAGCATTTGAATTACAACCCAGAGTACATAAAGTAATTCGCAAATAATACACGCCAGCACCAAAATATATAATATACAGCCACGTATTGTGCAGATTTGAGCAGAAATTAAGGTGTTGGTAATGTTGAGTACAAATCAAACAAACAAAATCGAATGTGTCAAATTCTGAAATTGTTATATTGTTTTAATAATTTAATTAAATAATTAATTTTCAAAATATTTTTTACTATTTATTAATTAAATGAAGTTGAGTATACATTCGCAATACGCTCATAAGTATGGAACACTAAAACATAAATAATATGTAAAAAAATGATAAGTATCAAAAAATCTCTTCTTATTTTTATTATAAAGGAATCAAATAAAATATAAATTATTATGTGCATAGTAAAATGTTAATTAACTGATCTTTGAGCGGAATAATAAATATTTTGATTAAGATTTGCAGTTCATTATGCCACAATCACCAATATCTGTAGTGTCACCACTTACCTTTTCCTCTGTAGACGTTCTTTTTCCTGAAAGAGTCTTGGTATTTCTGGCATAAAATTCTGTGAGAGTGACCTAAACAGCTCCTTTTCAACCTTGCTGTTTGCCTTACTGAAACGCTGTGTCAGGTGGGTCCAATCTTCTTCTGTGAAGCACACAACTTGCCACACCCTCTCGGTTTCATCATCGTTCCAGTCCTCGCCATGAAGCCACCCCCTTTTCTTATCTTTGTTTTTCTTCTTTTTCTTTCCCTTTGGTTTTCTTATTATGTCCTCTCTGTATAATCTTGTGCCATAGAAATACCAATATGCAGAGTCGTTGTCATCCCATCTAATTAAACATGTTTTATTTAATCAAAGAAAAATTACTGAACACAGAACATCCAGCAGAGAAAGAAATAAGTGATATGAATCATTCTGATTTTACAAGTTAAAATAAAAACATTGCTCCAAAAAATATAAGCCTTTAAAAACCTTTGGCCCCTACACACATCTTAAGTTTGAATATTTTCTATTTAATATTAAAAGGATTATTGAAATATTTCACAGAAAGCAAATGTCTGTTGAAGAAAGATTTACTCACCCTAATGGTTCCAGCCTCAAACTTTCGGCTTCAAGGTTTTTGAAAAGATCAAAAACATCTTCAGCATCCAGCCGGAAATCACATAGTGCATACAAGATTTCAACTTTTCTCCGCAGCGGAAGGAATTGGAAGTCAATGTCAGTATTGAACGGGTTGTATCTGCCTGATTCTTGACATTTTTGCCGAAAGAGGCGTCTCAGATACATCTATAAGAATGATTAAAAGTAAGTACTGTTTACAGGTGGGAACAAACTGTATGTTAAGTAGCACTAAAAACCTGATAATTGAAGGCAGAGATGTCATTGTTGCCTAAACAGCCGTTTAGAAGTCTGACAATTAATTCCGTTAGCAGAGAACTGCCCGAGTCCTCAGCGCCGTCAGTTAGGAGGGCTTCCTCTAACTCCTGCAAAGAATGCACATTGTACACCGAAACAAACTGAAAAAGCAAGAAGATGACGATATTTCACTAAAACTTTGATATTCCACAGAGATACTCACTTCAATGTCAAAATCCAAAAGATTGAAAGCAGTCCGAAATAATGAACAGAAATACGCGATACTCGGCACTTCCCACCATGATTGTATATCAAGGAACCGTGAGAAATTCATTCAGGGATGTTTCACTGATAAAAACACCGAACGAGCTTCTTTTTTATTGAATCCCACCTAAAACTCGATAAACGATGGTAACATAACCTTAACTCGCAGTTCCTTGGCGTTTCATAAGAGGAATCTACGCCAAATATGCTCCCATGTTATTACATTTGATTAGGGTTTACCGAGTTACAATTAATGAAAATTCTTTTTATTCTTATATACACAGACACGAATATGCGTTGTGTATTGGAGAACACAAACGCCATAACAGTTTACAAGTAGATCGAGCAAGCCACTTATTTTACGGTAAATATTCTTTCCGTCGCTAGTTGGCTCATTGTGTATGAAAATTAATTTAAATTATTCCAAGAAAATACAAGTAATTCCTAATTATGTTCTTCATCAATTCTGCTAAGGTTTACATTTATTAAAAGTATATGGATATTTCACTGATTACGGAAATAACGACCTATGTATTGTTTTCTTTTTGATGAGCCTCTGTAGTCTATGAGTTAACTAGATAATATTCAACATATTACAATAACCTAAGGGTTTGCTTGAAATTCAAAGATTATTCCAAACAACAATTTTATAAAAAAATATACATTAAACATGAAATAAATTATTTAAGTTTATAAGTTATATTGGCAATCGTAATAATAATAACCGAACATACTTAAATTATATTAAAGTCCAGTAATTTTATATAGAAGCAATTGGTTCAATTAGCAATTTTCTATTTTTTATATTAAGATTATTCTCACTGTTGATTTTAAAAAACATCAGTAATTCATGGGATTTGTATCGGTTCCTTGAGCTTTATTTTATCTACATTTTATTTGAATAAAATTCATAAAGTGCAGTCTGTGACCTCAATATTCTTTGTCTACTATAACAATCTGTGGATTATAGATAAAAATTAAAACTAAATCTAAAACAAGATAAAATTTTGCTTCACGGTGCCAAAAATTTGTATTCTATATATGTCTATTTTTAGTGAGTGAAAAAGAAACCAAACAATTGAATTTTTAAACATCAGTATGAAATTTGATAATTAGATGTTAAAGTATTTCATGTATTATACGATATCTCCCTCAGTGGGAGTAACCCTAGTCCCTACTCACTTATAGCTTACTAATGTCCCTTGGTAAGTACAATCGATAAAATATAAACAAGTGTCAGCATTTATATTTGTTTCTTAAGCTGTAATACAAAAACTATTTTCATTATACACATTAATTAACTATAAATAAAGTTAGCACACCTTTATATAAATATTTGTCTGCATTGTTATTACTTGTGTATCATAGGTGATCCTGTTATATTACAGCTTACTACACAAGTGGTAGAAATCAAGAGTGTCCTTTTGAGTATTTCCAAACTATGAGCAGGAACAGAAGTGGAAATGCCCAGAGACATATTGAATGACAGCTTAGCTGTCCTGCGAATAGTAGAGGTAAATATAGTATGAATTTTTCAGAGCCCTTAATCTCTTTTTTTATGTGCATAGGTGTAGCTGTATATGCACTTTACTTCTGTATGTACTGTAAAAAATTCATACCCATTGCATTGAAATTCTTTTTGTTTTGGTTGTATTCTGAGACTTGCTTTACTCACTACTACAAATATGGAGATTATTGACGGTGATAACTATGTACACAATACAGATGTAGGCTGAATTAGATCTATGATCATAACTAATTTGAACACACCTTCCTCTTATTCTTCTTTGATGCATGTTTTTCTAAACACTTTCCCTGCATTCAAATCATTCAAATGTGGATATATGGTCAAATAAAAACCCTACCAGACATGGCATTTTTATAATTAGTGTGTGGATTCACAACCAGCACTCCCTTTTTTATCCCACATATGCACCATCTCACATTCTGCTGCTTCTCCAACTATAGACAAAGTAGCTTAATTGGTTGAGTAGCATTATGGATTAATGTAGATTCTAGTTCAATTTGTTGAATGATACAGTATAACATTTTTTTTTAAGATGTGTTTTTAATCTATATAAAAATAATAACATTTGCAAAGTTAAAGTATAGGAAAATTTTATTCCTTAAGTATGTTTTTTTCAACCGAAAGAGTTAGTATGTTTTGTATTATATACTGAAATATCTATATAATTTAATAATATAAATCTAAATTTATGTTCCATAGTGACAGACATAGTTTTACAAATTTGCGGAGATTAAAAAGTGACAACTAGTTCAGGATTGCTCAGGAAGCTGTTAAAGAAGGCCCTAAAACATGCATAATTTAATATAATTGTAGGAATCCTTTTTTTCATTTATTATATTAAAAAATAGGTTTAAAATCTTTGCTTTCTCAGAATATTACCTCAATTTTTGATTACAGGTGGTTTTTAATTTTTTTTTTTTATTTATACAATCTAAGGTATGTTTTAAACTTAAAATATAGAGTAGCTACTTACAAATAAAAATTAATTTTATAAAATTTTGTCAATAATACATTGGTAAGGTACTAAGTAAAATAATATACTTAGTACCTACTCAGGAACAATGCTCTAAAATTTTAAGTATATTCTAAATTGATGCAAGGGATGTAATTTTTGACATCTCCTTTATACTGTATATCTCTAATATGAAGTTACTTCAACAATATTTTTTGCTCATCCTATTCTAATTTTTAGTTTAGAATAGAACAGATTAGAAGACATTTATACGGAAACAACACAAGACATTTAAGAAACATAATATAAAAAGAATTACAAATAAAATATGAATTTACTAAGTACACATAAAATAATAAAATAGTTGCCTCCGAAAGAGAGTCCAGTCAGCTACATTGGGACTAATGTCCCAACGCTGATATTCTTGGCTCCTTCAGAGGCCAAGCTAACACAAGCGAGATTATTTCACCTTCTGTCTCTTATGTATGTTGTACACAAACAAACTACATTTATTTATTTACTTTGAAATTAAATTTAAAGGAGACAATGTAAAATTTTAATTTTCAGCGTTGTGTTACAGTACACTACGCGTGACCGCGACTTCTTCCGAGTAGAATAGTTATTTTAAATGTCAAAATTAGTTTCTGCATCCTCACCCTTATCTTTACAAATTTTAGGACATACCCACGATGCCGTCCGCTTTTCGTCATCATTATAAGTTGCCCTTTGAAGATAGTCAAATAGTAGCATGGATTTTTTTTAGATAATTTAAAGAAGAATTATTCTTTCATTAAGAGTTTATTCAAAATTTAAATGAAAACTTTGATAAGTTTTGTTCTTATCATTATGTTACGGAGTAGAAGATCATTCCATTTTTAAATTAGACGACAAACGTTTTTTTATGTAGTACTAGCGGCCCTGTCCCGGCTTTGCACGGGTAGACATAAATAAGTACGGATATTAAAATTATAAGCATGCTATTTAAAACGACCATGAATCACTAAATTAGAAGAAAATTGTATTGCGCGTCCTAGCTGTTTATGTGTGCCCTTAGTGTCCCGTGCACGCGTTCGCGAATTCCTAGCTCTATTTCCTTCAAGTCGCTGCGACGATCTTGCATTTTGTTCTGCAAGACGAACCTGAACAATCGATGATACATTATTTGGCTCGCGATTGGGACGCGTACAATTTAACACTTTCCAGACGATCATTTTAGGAAGAAGACTCTCCAATACGACGAACTTTTGCTAATCTCGCTTGGGAACTATTCCTAGATAGCTGCGAACCTCTTCTTCTAGGTATATTGCTATGAAGGAATTAAATAAGAGAAATTAAGAATAAACTAATAATAATACAAAAGAAAATATTCAAGTTCAAAACGATAGTTCTGAAAAGAACTTTGACAAATATTATGCAAAGTGTGATTCCTAATAACAAAACTAAGTAGCTCTGAAAATAACTTTTTAAGTGAAGCATAAAAATGTTTAAAAAAACTCGAATTTATAAATGGTAGGGATAACACGGTCTGATTTTGATCATCATTTCAATCAATTTGTTAAATGTAAAAAGTAGTTACAGCGAGTTAACTCTATGGGGAGCATATGCCTTACTATTGTTAGTAAGGCATATGCTCCCGCGATCTTATTTGTAGATATATCTAATATATAAAGTTCTCGTGTCACGGTGTTCGAACTTGAAATCCTCCGAAACGGCTCGACCGATTTTCACCCAATTTGATATGTGTATTCAGTAGGTCTGAGAATAGGACAACATCTATTTTTCATCCCCCTAAGTGATAAGGGTTGTTTACCCTTAAATTTTATTTTTTAGACTAAATTTTTAATTTCTATTATTTTATACAAACATACAAAAATACATACAATTCTCAATTTTCACCCTTCTACGATTAACCCTTATTTTTTAATAGACATTTTAGTAAAATTATTTATATGGGAAAAACGTTTGCCGGCTCAGCTAGTATTCTATAATAATGTCGAACATTTTTTTGTCCTATATAATACTATTGAGTAGTAAAAAAATTTTAGCTAATTTTTCCTTAACGCTTCTTTTTAATAATAATTTCTAAATTATAATAAAAAACTATAAGAAAAAAAATATAATGAGTACTTTTTGAGTTTATCCGTTACATACAAAAATACAAATCTTTCCTCTTTATAATATTAGTATAGATTTACTATTACACATTATTTACTTAGTAATTTATTTTTCCGCAAAACACGACAGACGAATTTTCATAAAACTATCTCCGGCCGCCGCTCGACGAGTACAGCAAGTTCGATTTATCTCGAAGAAGGTTGTCAAAAAAATGCTCAAATTTCCAAGCCAGTTTGAGGAATCAAAGTTATCCAGCATGTCAGATTCAAACCGAATTGTACTCCTTAAGTCAAGCAAGAAGCTTCAGATATGCATAAGTCTTTCCTACCCATATTAGGGCTGCGATCAGATGAAATTACAGCTCGCATCAAATGACCGATGACAGAGACATTTTTACCGATCTGTAGGTGCCTAATATACATTTTGTTTGTCAGCAAAACTTGGCTATATGAGATGCTGGACCATAACGCTAGCGACAACATTTAACGTCAATGCTTTATTGGACGTCCTTTATGTTATACCTGTGTTGAAATTGTATTTTTTCTTTGATCTCTTTAAATCGTCATGGGCGGGGATTACTCAAAATTCGATGTATGTATTTCTTATTATTATTATTTTTTAATTTCCTTGGTCGTTGTATATATTGGCTTATATACGGGCCGTTGGTTCGATTTCCACCTGGTCCTACATTTGTCTAATGCCAGTAAAGTGTAATAGTATTTCGCTTTCAATCTCTAGACTTCTGTATATCTAAAGCCAAAATAGGCAGTGCATTTTGTTCGATTATTTCACGTTCCATCAAATGTAAATATTTCATTAAAAATAAAGCGATAGAAATCCTATGTATATTAGCAAATCTAAACTATTTATATACACTTTTTTTTAATATATAAAAGATTTACATGTCGTGTGAGGATACAATACCTGGTCGAAAGTGTGTACGATAGCTCATAAATGAATTTAGTAGTATACCAGATAGCACTTGTATACGATTAACTAGCTGACCCGGCTTTGACTGCCATATAAAGTATTTAGACGCAATTTTAATAAAATTTGCATACAGACATACTATCGCGGGCATTTATTTAACATAATTCAAAGAATAATTTTACATAATTTTTAGTATTATTATCCATTTTCGCTAACGAATATTTCCCTGTTTTTCCACCTTTCCCTCCGTTTTTACTAATTATTTAAATCGAATATCTATCTATATTGACTACTAGCTGTGCCAGCGATTTCGTCCGCATAGAATAGTTATTTTGGGAATCCAAATTCGTTATGCAAATCCCTTCATCTTTATAAACTTAAGCGGTAACCCACGACGTCGACGTCAGTTTTTTTCCCGTTTTTGCCACATTTCCCGCTGTATCTTCGCTCCTATTAGTCACGGCACTATGTTTTATAGCCTTCCTCGATAAATGTTCTAACTAATACAAAAATAATTATTCAATTCGAACCAGTAGTTCCCTAGATTAGCGCGTTCAGACAAACAAACAAACTCTTCATATATGCTTTATATATTAGTAAAGATAGATACCGATACCGAAACAAAATTAAATTTTGGCAAAATAGATAATACACTGCTCGCCGTGCTATTTTATTTTCTATTTTAACTATAGCCCAACGACGAAGAGACCTGGCCACTTGAAGAGGAATCTTTCAAAAGGGCCGCCAAGAAGTACTTCAAGTATTTAAACAGTTCGCAGGCATCGACGGAGGATGACTGCGCGTCTTATTACAACTATGGGTGAATATACAAAAAAGATTCAGTTTTATATACTTTCGCGAAAGGCCGCAGCCGTTTAGCTTTTTACTGGAGGTGAAATTGTTTGATAAGTACCTAAATGGTAAGCACATAGATTTTATAAACTGTACTGTAATTTTATATTAATGTCGTAGGCACAGCGAAGCCGCGAGCCGATATCACGACCTGTTTTACCAATACAAGACGAACAGCCTTCCGGGCGCGGCGTCCATCGGTCGTTGGGATGTGCACGTGTGCTGTGCGATGCAGATCTCACCGGAGGACATCGCCAACCAGCTCTCGCTTCTCGACCTGCCCTGCTTCAAGGCTATCAGGCCGAAGGAATTGCTGACGTGCGGCTGGACTAAGTCGAACAAGGCCACAGTGGCGCCGAACGTCGTAGCGTTCACAAAACGGTTTAATAGAGTAGGTGGCTCGTTCGTAATATTGGAAGCTTGGATTCGATTAGAATTTAGCGTTAACGACTGTTCCTTTCTAGGTGAGCTTTTGGACCGTGCAGGAGATATTAAATCAGCCGTCGCTGAAAATTCGCGCAGAGACTTTGGTGCATTTTATTAAGGTTGCAAAAAAATTACACGAACTTAACAATTTACATTCGCTCTTCGCCGTGATATCGGCACTTCAAAGCGCGAGTGTTTATAGGTAAGGTTTAAGACAGCACGTTGTACGTTGACGGTGCGCGAGCGCGACCTAATTGTGTCATCTTTAAGGTTGACGAAGACGTGGGCGTGCATATCTAAGAAGGACCGACAGCAGTTCGACAAGATGGCGGAGTTATTCGGCGAAACGGGGAATTGGACAGCGCTGAGGAAATACATGCAGTCCGTGCGCCTCCCTTGCATTCCTCATTTAGGTTAGTTCAATTATTCAGTACGTATAGTATTGTAACATTACTCAACGAACAGTAATTCCGCATTGAATCGACGTCGCTCAGGCTTATTTCTCACCGACCTCGTGTACATCGACATGGCCCATCCTGTGCACCTGCGTTCGCCGCATCGTGCGTCTAAAATGGCGGTCGTCTTGGACACGCTGGAGCGCTACCAGACGTCGGAGTACGACATCGAGCCGGTGCCGCCTGTCGCCTCCTTCCTGAACAGCGTACGTTATATTGAGGAGCTGCAGAAGTTCCTGGAGGACGACCATTACAAGTGAGAATATAACCGTACAGTTACCTCAGGTTATGTTTCTGGGCATGATAACATCAGATTATAATCAACTGCTAGCAAAAGAAAGTAGGTGAGATGGCTCGTCTGTATAATGACGTGACAAATGTTGAAAACTGTTACTGTTTTAGGCTGTCATTGAAACTAGAACCGCCATCTCCGGTTGGAAGCTGTTCTGGCTCCAAAGAATCTGTCAAGGAGGTGCCCCAAGGGAACTCAACCCCGTTCTCTCTCTCCCCTTCTCACCGCTTGGCCTCCGGTTCTCTTCGACTCCAGGGGACGTATAGCCAGGGGAAATTTGTACCCACCCACAGGAAAAGCCGTTCGCTCGGTTCAAAGTAAGTGGAATTCACAAGATATTAATTCTATATTTTGGTCAGTTTGTCTCTCTTCAGTGGGTTCGAATGCCATCGGTTCTAGCATGTTTGTAAAACCTACTTCTGTTTCTTAATTTACTGTATCTTTATATAACGTCCATAATTGAAGATACGACTTGGACGGTAGATGTCTTTATTTTCTAAACCGTCAGAAAATCCTTATTTACGTAATCCGTATTCAAAAACTTAATTATTTTTTCCGTACAGTCCTGTCAATTTCGTTTGTCTATTCGAAGGGTAAGAATCATGAGCGTTTGAATCTGCTATGTGTATACATATAACATTTCGCTCAAGACTTCTTCATATCTCCTCATTTTTGCGATGTCAAGCATAACTTTTTACCGTTTGTATTGTGTATTGTATCATACGTGATACATTTGCAAAGATCATTATGGCCTGTAAAAGGAGACTCATCTATTCGTTGTTTTGATATTGTGTGCAAAAAATAAAGATAGATAAGTATGTCAGTAAAAACTAACTTTTAGTACAGACTTTTTCAACTAGAACGATCTAACTTTAATATTTTTCACATGTAATTGCACGTGCTGGCACTATATAATTTAAAAATCGAAAATAAATTAAAAAAAAAAAATTACTCGGGCAGGACTTGAACCGGCATCATCAGCGCGTGAGATGCATGTATCAATAAGTTGAAAAAAATAGACAATGAGTTGTAAGATATGATAGCTCAATTGACGCTGACGATACAAATTTTGACAATTTTTTTTTTTTTCAATTTATTTTAGTTTTTTAAATTATATAGAACGATCTATGCAACTTCTAGTTAATAATATAACTTCTATTTGTCATTATAATTTTTTGTGATTTTTAGAGAGTATAAACGACTTCTGTAATCTTAAATACCACCGACGATAAAAAGTTATGTTTCGTCAATATATAAAGTATATTTTGGGATCACGAGTAGCATCCCTTCGAGCGTCTGAGCCGAGACATAATCATAATGTTCTTAAAGGCAATATCTTGATTATTTAGCCCTTACTGACCATTTGCAGCGTAAAAGTTAATTCATTTCATTTATTAGCCTTTGACAGTAGAACGACCGAGGAATTCCGACCTCCCATCGCGATACTCTCGGTATGATATTTTGCAGTGTAAGCTGTATGTAGGTGTGTTGATTTCGCTTAGTAGGCTAACGCGAACATTTTTAATGGTTGAGATAATGAAACGGTCAGCGAAGGAAACAGACTCTTATGGCTAGGATATTGTTACAATTAGACTTTTTCGTATAAGAATAAAGCATTATTTCTTGTTTAACGCCTATCGCCTAGGTTTCGGAGTGCAAGTTTGCCAAGAAATTTTCACAAGGTCAACTTTGGTGTCGGGTGAGTGGATTAGCCTGGGCATCCGCGCTGGAGACTGCTGCAAAACTATCGCTCGCCTTTAAAGGTTCGCCATTCGGTATTCGGCAAACATTGCTAATACGACGGGCCTACTAAAGCAAATGACGATAGAAAATATTCCATGTATCAATATTTCCTTTAGGTGGCTTTAATCGTTGTCGTTTACATGACCGTACTGTAACTTACTCTTAGATCGATTACTCGTCTCGTTTGTGATACACATCGTAAGTTTCCAGTTTTGGCATATTTATATTTATGTATTGAAGCGATAGTTTTGATGCAGTTGAAATTGCATTTTAATTTTAAGAGTTCCATAGCATGCTTATAGTATGTGGATATAAATTACAAGCGACAAGTAGTTTGGACTCGACTAATAATTGGTATGCTTTATATCAGAAGTGTATGCTATGTTCAAATCTGTTCCGCATTTGCAACGTTTGGCCTGTACTCTAAAATTCAATTTCCTAATTTCTCAAAGTCTGTATATTCTTCGCAAGTACAAGTACTTAAATTGTTAATACATAGGAAATAATAATTTAACGATATTTAAATAATTTATCACTTTACGACGGCATAGCTTAAAACCCTAAAAAGCTTAACACAATGGCCGCGAAAACTATCTTATGTTTGACGAAGTTTGATTTTGCATTACGATATTAAGTACAGAACAAATATATAACTAGTTAATTCGAAATATGGTTATGTCTTGAGAGAATCATTCATGCATGTGATTGCGCATTGACGTCGCCGTTAGGAGTCATTGTCTTCTGCCAATGTAGTCTATTCACCGAAACGATTAAAAACCCTCCAAAAATCAGCAGATCACTGATTCGTCTTCCACTTTTGTCTCCCTATGACCTCCATTCGCCAGGTAGACTACAGTGGCTGCGTTGTACATGAGCATTCAACTCCTCTTCGCATCTGTGGCCTGCATGTAGATTTACCACTACGCTATGTTGTTTCCAATGCTAAACTATAAGGCTTTTAATGCAATATATTTAGATTGGGCCTTATTTTAATCTAAATGTTGAGCACAATAATTGTGCAGTGTAAGTAACCGAAATTTACTCCGATTTATGTGAGTGAATTTTATTTATAAGTTTAATACGTTAGCTGAAAGTTATCTTACTCATTTGATTTGCTAGTGAACCACTTAGTAATATAAGAGGTAAAATAAATTATCGCTTTCAAGCTCTCACGTTAATAGTGCATGTCGCAGTATATTCGGCAAGGGCCAGTCGGAAGACAAAGACGCGAAGACGCCGGCCGGTTCTGTCAATTTGCTGGACGATACTTTGTTAGAGTCGCCCGGTTCAACCGTGGACAAGATGAGAGAGTTACTGCCCTATAGGTAAGATATTGACTAAACTCCCTACTACACGCACACAAGGGCAGACAGATTCTTGTGTCAGTGACCGAATCTCGACGAGTTTTACAACCTAGTCACGCAGGCGCTTCCTCATACAAATATTTGAAATTCTATATTAAAAACGATGTCGGTCACTCTTTATCGCCAAGGTCTGGTTTTTTTCTAAAGACCCATTCTAAAAAGTCGATTTTTAATTTACGATCTCCTCTATTAAAGTGATCTTGCGCAATCGGAGTGCATCAAATGCGACTATCAAAGCTTCGTCAGGCGCAAGACGGTGGTGAAAGACGGCAGGAAAATAGCGGTGACTTCCTGGCAACGTTTTTGGATGCAGATAACCGGCAGCACCATGAGTTTTTACGCTTCGAAGTCGTTCAAGGGGTGAGTTCATTTTGACGAAATGCCCTCCTTACATATGTATAAAAAGGATCGGCAAGATTATTCTTGGTAATTTCCTCAGAATACATGCAACGAGTATGAGTACGAAAATGTCTTCCGTATTTCAGCACCACCCGCAGTGACTTCGCGAAAGAGAGATGCAAGCTGCTGGTGCTGCACTCGGGATGGCGCGCGATGTACTCGGACGCCGAGCCGAGCGACGCGTTCCAACTCCTGGACCGCAACGCGCACACCATTTACAAGTTCAAGTAAATATAAACTGATTGAAAGATTTCTGTTAATTTTCATAGTAGAAAAGGACTTTAAAATGTTTCTGTAGCTTTTAGTTTTTCTTAAACGCAATTGCGCACTGTATAAACTTTACTGTTGTTCCAGAACCGGTTCCCACGAGTCGACGAAGCAATGGGTGACGATGATCAATAGCGTCACAAACAAAATGGTGGAACCACTTCCAACGAACCTTATGTCATTCGAATAGCCATACAATTTATATATGCACATACACCTTCACCGACACGAAATAGTCTTAATAGCACCTTTTAATAATGAAAGATGCCTATGCAAGATGCCCAAATCAAATTTGTACATTATTTTTGGACGAGTTTTCCTTTTTCGGATAATAAATGTCAGCACGGCTTCATTTGGAATTTTTGCATCGTTAGTATTTTTATTCCACGTATCTATTTTACGTAAACATTTAATACAGCGGTATCGTGTCATACATGAATCTCAAAATAAACCGTTTTGAAAGCAATAATTTGTAAGGTGCCTCAAACACTATCGAACACTAAATTATATGAATATAATTATAATATTCTGATAAACATTGTAGCGATCACAACAAAGACTCATATCAAATAAAGATTTGACTGTTACGGACTCGTATAGGAGTGGCGATTAAGTATTAAGTGAGTGTGAACGGCCTATGTCAGGTATAGGTATACGTTTTCCGTTTAAAAATGAAGACAACAAATCGACCAATATCTCTTTTAGATTCTCTGAGTTAAGTGCAAATAATACTCAATCGTCACTTGACGTACTTTCATGGGTACAATATGGTACAGCCTACGTTTATAATCTCTTGAAATCATAATAGTTCTAGTGAACTACGCATTGTGTAACTATTCTATATTGATTATTTTTTAGTTTTAGTATTAGTTTGTAATCTCAGGTCCTCTATTGCGTTAATGTTTCTTCGTAGCTGTGTTGTGTAGTTGTTGCGCTTCAGATACGAAGTAACTGCATGTAGTTAGTTAGCGTTGCAAATTTACACGTTTAACTTGACTTGCTTTCTTGCTCGTTTATCAGAGCCCAATTTCCTTTCTCGCGGTTCATTGTAATCATTATAAACCTAACGAGCTAACTAATGAAGCAATAACGTGGCAACGCTAAATACTCACAGTCGTTCCTCTCTTCCTTACGCCGCCGGTGAGAAAGAGATGGAAGCTTGTTCATCAAACGGGTTGACTGGACCGATTCGCTCGAGACAAGGCGTAATCTCGTAATTTCTTACATGTGATTATAACTATCCACTATGTTTGTGTTGCCAATTTCTTTACTTGCCAGATTTAATTTTTGTTACGCTAAACTGCGCATCGACTCTGCGTAAAGCAGAACTCCAGTTGGTAAGTTTCAGGTGCCTTTGGCCTTAACTTTTATGTTCTATCGAATTTAGCTAGATGTTATCAATTAGCGTTAAGCGTGAAGTCAACGTTTGCCTGCCGCACTCGGATTTATTTTAGCTAAGAGATGCTTTCTTCTATTAATCTGTTTGAAATATGTTTGCTGCGAACACAGTGATCGTGTACGTCGTACGCCTTTATTGCTATAGCTAATTGTGCTGCAACCGCTAGATCCCACGACATCGTTAGATGAATGAAGAATGCAATTGTAGTGATCGGCCATCTAATCTTATTACCTGACCGAAGAATAGATTCGACCGATAGCATTAGAGAATAGTTATGCACTCTTAACTTAACCATATAAATACTCATTCGCCTCCGAGTGCTAGAAGTGCACTATTTTGGGTGTTTCCTTCTTATTTATTGTCTGCGTTTCTGTCGGTTGGAATTAATTTAAATCGACAACATGAAAATGTATATTCAACTAGGTTTCTATTAAATATATCCTTATTTTCATATGGTATTTTTGTTTTATTTATTTAACGACACCGATACTACTTCACGGCTTCTCCAAATGCCGACGTCGGTTTGTGGCTGTACAGAAATTCGATATTCTTACCGACACAAATAATCAAAAAAATATCAATTTAATTCTAAGCCGTAAATTACTACCATTTATTATTATGTGTCCATGTCATAAATATTATTGGCATGTGTGTATTGAGCCATTGACGCATTCTGGCGGCCCGGAACTCTGAGTGTAACGCAAAACAAATACACATGTTGAGGCAAACATTTATTCTGTCATTATAAATGTGTTATGTTGGTAGATAAGTAACATTCGTAATAAAGTCAGTCACTCTCGGTCTAGCGTGTTATTACAACGTCCCACACAGATATAACATTTGCGACGAGGATAATTATTTACAATGCCTATCGGCAAGGTGGAACCATACAATTTACTTAGCAGTCGTTGGGGCGCTTATGTGCGTTAGTTGCGATTAGTCAGTTCATTAGCTTAAACGGGATTAAAGATATATTAAACGGTGGTTGGCGCGGAATGCTATGCATTAATGTGTGACTTGTGTTCACCTCACACGCCGGAGTCGAAATCGCATGAAGATTTAGTCGAGTTGGTTAAGGAGCATTTGGAACCGGATAGATCGGAAATTGCTAAAAGACACGTTTTCAGGCAAAGAGTTCAGCGAAACTGTGAGGAGTACTTACAAGCATTAAAACATCTTGCTAAGACGTGCAACTTTGCACATGGCTTGGAGGTCAATTTAAGAGACCAATTTGTGTCGGGACTGTTTAATGAGGACATGAGATCGAAAATTTTCGCGGAGCGGAATGTTGACTACAAGAGGGCTGTGGAGTTGGCTTTTTCTTTGGAGGCGTGCGCCCCGAGGGCATCGGGCCAATCCGTGCAGCTTGCGGACGACGACGGCTTGCACCGGATAGCAAACTACACGCGCTCGGCGCGTGCGCAGGCCGTCGGCAGGGGCGACGCGGGCTGCGACGGTGCGCGCGCGCGGAAGGTCAGGGCATTCGGAGAGAGTGTCGTTTGTGGATCAAAAAGCGTGAATGTTATCGGAGCTATAAAATCTATTAGCAGTAGCCGTCCATACGCGGAATTACTTGAGCAATTTAAGCAAATCACGCGTCTACCGGTTTTCAAAGAGGTACCAGAGCATTCCACGTGTCATCACATCGAGACGACGGGTCCTCCGGTACATACGAGAGCAAGAAAATTGCCACCGCACAGGTATGATATAGTTAAGAAAGAATTCCAGCTAATGCAGGAGTTAGGAATATGCAGGCCATCAAATAGTCCGTGGGCCAGTCCACTTCATGTGGTACCTAAAAAAACGCCGATATTCGGCCCTGTGGACACTATAGAATGCTCAATGCAATAACGAAACCCGATCGTTATCCGATACCGAGAGTTCAAGATTTTACATAATAAAAAAGATCAATATGGTTTTCACTCAAAAATAAACATGATGGTATTATATAGATTAAAAATCGAAAATAAATTTAAACAATTTTCACTCGGGCAGGACTTGAACCGACATCATCAGCGCATCATACGCTTAATACGCAAGTGCTAAGGTTGAAATTACACTGCGCGAGAGGTGCTTATATCAATAAGTTAAAAAAATTCGACGATAAAGTAGGACTCTGTAGCTCAATTGGTTAAAGCTACAGTACGGAACGCTGACGATAGTTCTAGTCCTGCCCGAGTCGTACTTTTTTTTAATTTGTTATCGCGCTTTTTTATTTTCGCTCTCCATGTAGGAACATTAACAAAAGTTTATTATTTTCCGGATATTCACTATTAGATAATTCTCAAAATATAATGGCAATAGAAACGGTAGTTAACACTATTAATTAAAATGTTAATTGCTTCGTAAACGTACCCGCGACTATGAACTATTTTATTGCCGACTTCACTGGTTTCCTATTATTTTATAGGATATCATGACATATAGATAAAACCCGTATTAATCATGGCAAACGTGCGTGGAAGTTTCCTAATTTATTATTATTTTTTAGAGTAGGTATTACTTCCAAACTATAATAAAATAGTAAATGTTTTGATGTGGCAAAAATTTAAAAAATATTTTTCATTTGACAGAACGAAAACATTCGATCTTTTAGCGCCACTATTTATCGCTTACCAAATCACCAAATGTATACTAATAGGCGTAATAAAAAGGCGACTGCAAATTATAAAAAAAAAGTGATTCAATTAAGGACGTTGAACGTTAAAAAGATTTGTCTTGCCAATATCCTTAAAATACTATGTAGGCACCGATAAGTTAACGTACTTTCCGAGGCACAAGAAATGTTCTTTAAGGATTCGTAAGCCGAATAGCATTTTGCCGACCATTTGAAACCTGGACCTCGAGATCTGTAGCGGAGTGAACATACCACGAGACTAACGTGGTAGACAACGCTACGTGATAAATAATGCTACGACGTAGCAGGGCCAACGTAGAGCGCTACGACTACGCGGTCCGAGCCTAATATTTTATTTACGTAGTGCCATCTTCTACGCTTTTCATTTATGTATTTGTATTAATTTTTTTCAATTTTATGAAAGTCTTAAAAGTAAAACGAAACCTCTAGTGTGACAAAACTTTCAATGTCACGAAAGAGGAAAACTATTTGGTTTTGATACATTTTTTACATTAAAACTATTGAAAATTCGAAATTCAGAAAATATACAATGGCTGACAGGACGAAAAAAAATCGAACTCGATTTGACAGCGGAGAAATACCTCGTTGGTCGAGGTGGAAATATCAGATGAAATATATAGTCGCTTCCATAGTTGCACATACAGAGTGATTATTATTATAATTGAAGGCGTTTCAGTGACCCAATTGTTATGATTTAAGTGGTGAAAAAGTGAATGTTGAATCGATGTCGCGACTAGGTGGGGTCATTGTTGGTGCGCGCGCTGGGCCGCAGTGCCGCGCGGTACTCTACAGTAGTCAGTACAGTAGTGAAACTGCCGCTGTCGAGCGAGGGCGGTCCCGTCTGCCCACATCGTACTTCGCGCCAACGAGTGAGTACCGCGCAGTCTGTGTAAACACTGACGATTTTTATTTTATCACCGACACTACTTCTAGCCCTTAAATATTTCAATTTAAAGTGTTCGTAGCTTTTATTTGCATGCCTATAATTTGCAAAGTGCTGAGCGAAACAAATTTTATTTAGTTGTCCGCGAATGTGTTTTATTAAGTGTGCTTTTCTGCTTTTTTTATAACTTACGTTATCGCATGGTAGTATTAGAGGTTTCATTTCAGTATAATGTCGTACCTAACTTTCTATAAACACTAAAAGGGATTAATAGAACTATTTGCATATACATAATATAATTTAATTTAATTTTTTAGCAACATCATATTATTATGTTAGTTATTTTTTAGAACATAAATAAAGAAAAGCGTAATGTTCCTACGAGTAGACTAATTTTATTTTTTTAGAGTTTATTTAATTTTTAATAGGTATCTTAGCCAAGTTATGGCCAGTACCTGATGGTTTCTTCCCGCGGCGGTCGTCCTTCGTTACGTCACAGATGTGTTGCAGGTTTATAAAACAAGAAAGAAAGATTTACTTCATATAGAGGACAGGAGGGTATGGAGAGGTGAGTTAGGTATCTGCATAATATGAATTATCGAACCTTGTAGACCGTTCTGTTACTTTTTCATACATCATTGTTTTAGTGAAATTTGTTGTGTTTGTTAAACATTGTTTTAATAAAGTTGACGTCATATCTGACTCTGGAAAACACATAGTAGTAGTTTGCTTTTATATCGAAAGGAAGTAATGTTCCCGCGGGAAGGCCCATGATTTTTTTACTACCAAATTAAATTTCGTGTTCTCATGTGAATCGTCGGATAACTGAATTTAATAGTCTAAAAGTGAGATCTACATCTCATCTATTCTAGTTCGTGATTCGGGTATTCTTCCGATCCTTTTAATGACGAGATTGTGTCAGGATACTCACGACTATGAAAAGAATAGAGCTTGAGATAGGTACACCCAATACCCAAGTTACGAATATTATAACTGTACATTTTTGCGGATTCTGCAACGACAGAGCCTACGCTTTTTCATCGTGAAAATGTGATTTTTCTTTAAATTAATAATGGATAATATTTTTTCTGTCTTAAGATATTTATTTTAAAAACAAAAAGTAAAACCACATATGAAGATAATTACACTGGCCTAAAACACACTGTTATCACTTTTTTTCTTCTTTCTAAAAACGGATAATATTTAACGCACAATGTACGTACTCTACAAGAACACAGAGTTAAAATACGCATGTTTGCTACTATAGGCATTGAAGCACGTGATAGGCCCAATTTGGGCTAAAGGTATTTTGAAACACCTAAGAACCGGGGAACAATAAAAGGTACCGTATGTTTTAATCCGTCCATTCCTCTCGGAACAACGTGACAGACAGACGGGCGCGAATCAGTGTGTATTGATTGTGTGTTGCGACCTTGGGCCGTCCGCTAGGTAGCTGAGTGTTCTGTGCCGGTCTAACCTTGACTCCTAAGTAAGTGCACAGTTCATAGTCCTGCCAGTAACTCAAAATGTATTTTGTATAGCTCCAACGAGCGGGGTTTGCACTTACTAATTACACAGTACTAGAACTCTCGAAAATATTTTTTCATATTTATACTAATATTATACAGGTGAAGAGTTTGTTTGGTTTTTTAGACGCGCTAATCTCTGAAAGTACTCGTTCGAAGAAAACAACATTTTTGTGTTGGTCGGACCATCTATTGATGAAGGATTTAGGCTAAAGGAGCGAAGAAACAGAGATAAATGTAAAAAAAGCGGGGATAATCTTTGAGGGCTTCCGTTGCGTGCGCTGCGAAAACGATTCAAGAAACGCAAAAACTATGTATGAAAGAATAATTATTCTTTAAATGATCTAAAAAAATATCCGCGACAATATAATAATATGTCTAGTTTTAAGATTAACTCCCAAGCACGAATATTTAATTTATTTTACAGCTTTAATTGTAAATCATTAAAATAACTAAATAGCCAATTTGAAGACACAATGTCGTAACTAATAACCACATTAATGACCTTAATCCATAAATGATTGATCGTTATTAATTACGTTGACGTATGTTCTCGCGAATGTGCGGCTAACTAGTTCTTTTTAATATATGGAATGTAAAGGTTACTCATAATTGCAATTGTATTGTGTTTGACGCAAAGGCTTGAATAAGGCCTTCAGTCATTCGATCGTTGTGCTTAAGAAGTTATCATGAGGAGATGTTGCGTGTGCCTCGACTAAATCAGTTCGTCAGTCTTTGAATCCTCTGTCGGTCTCGGTTATCGTTATTAATCTAGGTTTTAGAGCCAATTAATCTGAAAGAACGAGGTGGGAATTTTGTTATAAGGCGTGAATAATAAGTCATCAGAGCCACTACATATCTATGCTCTGTGGTACTCTAGTGCGTATTATATACGTTCTTACCGCAGCGGCATTTCATTATTCGCATCGATACGAATCGGTTCTATTATAAAAAGGAAAAGTTTTCTGTGAAATGTGTACGTAACGATAAATATTGGACTGTATGGTAAATATTTACATGAAACAATATAGAGTTAAGCGACTTCTCTGTCTATTTTATTAATTCGGTTATTAATATTTGGCCCCTCATAAGAAATGTGTCAATAAATATAGAAAGTAATTACACCGTGAAAACCGTTGAATCTATATCTATACTTGTACTCGTATATAAAGCTGAAGAGTTTGTTCGTTTATTTGTTTGTTTGAATGCACTGTTCTCAGGAACTACTGGTTTGAATTGAAAAATTATTTTTGTGTTGGTTAGAGCATTTATCGCGAAAGTTTATAGGCTATAAAACATCGCACTTTAACTAATAGGAGCGAAGAAACCGCGGGAAATGTAGATAAAACGGGGAAAATTATTCATCTGGGTAGGTTTCCGACGAGCACGCTGCAAAAACGGTTCAAGATACCTAACAAATATGTACAAAAGAATTATAATAATAATAATAAGCATTTATTTCTTCTTTCTAGTTAAACTTTTACAATCGTGAAACTCTTGCTTGTAATTCTCAATCATAGAAAAATGTACTCAGCTGCGCGTGAGTGTCCTCGCCGGTCGAAGATAGACTCGATGTTCGTGAATGAATAATTCATTTATTTATGAGGCACTATCGATGATGTAATGTGATTCGCTCAGAGACATTAAAAATTAACTTATAAATTTACTGCATTCCTATCTATGTTTATTACTGAAGTCTATAACGACTGAAGCATATCTTTGAGAAATGGTCGTTTGTAACTTAACCCTAAAAATATCTCGTTTATGATAAGCGTTAGTTTTATGTGCAGCTACTAATGTAAAAAATGTGACGAACGCTCTGTGCAGGACAAGTGCCTTTATGTAAGTTTTACACTATAGAAATTACATAAAGGCAAGTTTTAAATTAATTATATTAGTTTCATTTATTATTTATTGCTGTGACTTTATATTTTAGATAGAGAAAAGCGACAAACTGCACCAATTGAAGAGTAGTCGGATGAAATTGGAGAAAACAAAGATTCAACTCAAACCGAGACAAGCTATGATCACACATGATACCTAGAAATTCTATCGTTTAATTGTTTGAGACTTTTTTAAAGGATTTTTTATTAATTCGCACGCAAAGAAAGATAACCACACATCCTGGAGGTCGATTACCCCAGTCCGTCTATCCGTCACAAGAAAAACGTGCATAATGTACAATAAGTCGCAGTCCACCCAGTCCAGAAGAGAATTAGAATTACCTACGAATTTTGCGTCAATTTAAAGAATATTTTAATTTTTGTTTATTAATGATGAAACAGAGGTCGTGATGAAGTTTTGTTTATTATTTTTACTTAAAACTGTACTGTACTGTAGTGATTATAATTTCATCAGTAAAACAAAGAAATGCTCAAGTATTTTAATTTCAAAATGGACTTCGTAAGTAGTCCAATTATTGCTGCTACTAAGCGAGGACACGGTCAAAAGGCAAACTTACCTGCCACTATTTTGTAATGAATAATCAAACTGTGTAACTGATTCACGCTGCATACGCGCAGAGCACCAAGCCACCTCATAGGGTGCCAGTTATGGTTGAACATTCCGACTATTGCGCTCGCAGTGTGCGTTTACTCGCCCAAGTTACGAGTATCAAAATTCGATTCATCTTTCAATATTCCTTTTTTGTTCATATTCACTTAAAACCAAAATAGACCGAAGACAAAACACGATTCCGAAACTTCACGGCTTTTCCATCTGTGGACGGTGGCTGTTGACCCGGACGAAAGGTCCACATCTTTAAAAAACAATATGAATTGACTAGCTGCGACTAGCGTTAATGCTGACGACTTAGTACGCGTATAATATTTTGGGTATCATTATATTCTTTATTTTAGCGGCAAACTTTCCAGTTTTTTTAATTTTAGCTGTAGCCCATGACGTCGTCCGCGTCCCGTCGTTCTTGCGGGGTAATCATAAGACAGACATATAGAATCGCAGATTTTTTTTTATTATTTGAAGAAATATATTTAATTTAAAAATCGAAAGTAAATAAAACATTTTAACGGTTTAAAATGCGATATATTAGTTAAACTTGCTTTGCAGCAGCCGTGGTCACGGTGACCACGGCTGCTGCAAAGCATCCGAAACGTCGGGCCGAAGTTAAAAATCATTTTCAAATAAGTTTAACTAATATATCGCGTTTTAAACCGTTAAAGTGTTTTATTTAGATGTGTACTACTCGCGTAAACTATAGACAGTATTTAATCGAAAGTAAATTGAAAAAAAATTCGACTCGGGCAGGACTTGAACCGGCATCGTCGGCGTTCCGTGCTGTTGCTCTACCAATTGAGCTACCGAGTCCTACACCTCATCGTCGATTTTTTTCATCTTATCGATACATGCACATATCGCGCAATGTAATGTCAACCTTAACACTTGCATATTAAGGTTCAACGTCTTATGCTTTGCAGCTTAAGATATCATTGAAGATGAAATTACAAAGTTATAACGTTTGAAAACTTTATTATTTCGTACATGAAATATATATGTTTTTTTAGTTCCTTGAGCCGTTTTCGTAGCGAATGCAAGAGGAGCCCTCAAAGACGAATAATTTTCTCAATTTTTTCTAAATTTCATACATTTATTTCCTATTGGTCGCAGCCTGATTTTTTATAAGCTTCCTCGATAAATGGTCTACAAAAATACTTTTTATGTTGGTTTTAATTCGAACCGCAAATTTCTAGGAACTACTGGTTATAATTGAAACATTCTTAATAATAGTATAATATAAACATAATCGAAGTTACACGACAATAATATTAATGACCCCGCAATATCCAATCTCTCGGAAATCTTTCCCTTTTTTATGCGAATGCAATGGTCTCAAATAGACTAATACACAGAAAAACGTGTTTATGATTTTTGTCCTTTGCAGGTAAATATAAACTAACACAGAGAACTCACAACTCACTACAATTTTAATAACCAAAAGTAAAACAAGTATCTAATAACTGCGTCGCCAAAAAGCAGGGATAAGTAAATAGGTCAAAGACAAACTGCCATCCAAAACTAGGTCACATTTGCTAGTTAGAATTGAAACTAGACACGATGGCCAATTTATTAGACACATTCTAATAAAGAAGGTTAGGTATTACTATTATTATTTTCTTTCGGGGACACCTGTGGTAGGACGGGTGATCAGTCCACGTTAAGGTTAGGTATTTAAAAAAGTTATTTATTTTTTTGAAACAACAAAAATATCAAATGCATGAAAAAATTTTTCGACTCTAACAATAATTGCTCTAATATTCCTTGATCACGCATGAGATACATTTATTAAGACATTAAACTTGTTACTTGCACTGGGTGCGGCCCTTGACAAAATCACTCTTTCTAACTTAAAAGCTACATTATATCATAGCGTCCAATTCTACTGATTGGGGTATATATTACCCTAATCAGTAGAATTATAAATGTTCATGTCCCTGTGCAGGAGAGGATGCCAGGTCGTGTGGTGAGCCGAGGGACGCCCGTGGGCGAAGTGAGCATGGCAGACAACCCGTTGGCGACGTTCGAGTCGTTGACCCAGGCTGGAGTTATCGCGGTGGTGGGAATCGCCATCATCATCTCCAATCTGCTCATTATTGCTGCGTTTCTTAATTTTAAAGGCGAGTTCAAATCAGTGCCGTCAGGCCAATAGTAAATAGCAGCATTTATTGTTAACGTAACCTAAATGTACTCGATTCCAGGTCTTTCGAGCGAGGTGATAAACTACTACCTGCTCTCGCTGGCGGTGGCGGACCTGCTGTGCGGCGTGTTCGTAGTGCCGCTGTCTATCTACCCGGCCATCACGGGTCGCTGGATGTTCGGCGACCTGATGTGCCGCCTCGTCGGTTACCTCGAGGTCACGCTGTGGTCCGTCTCGGTTTACACCTTCATGTGGATCTCGGTCGACCGTTACCTTGCAGTTAGGAAACCGCTCCGTTACGAGACGGTTAGTCTGACGGTAGATATCATTTTCTTTATTACTCTTTCCACAAGCTATCGGTGATCTGGTTCTATTGACTTATCGGATGAGTAAGCTCGGTGTGCTAGCGACGCCTTTAGCTCGTAACTCGGTAGACGCTTTGGGGAGGTGCATCTTCTTTTATACAAATTGTGTAAGGCCCCTCTCTCTCTCATTAAATACAGTAAGGTTGCTATGGATGGAGACAGACTGCGGTCATGACGTCCGTTCATTAAAACCGGCTTGGTTTACTGATTCCCTTTCCAATAACATCAAACAACACACAGGTATACGAATTTCGTTTTACGTATTAAAAAAAACTTGTAATCAAGAAAAAAAAATACGATACATTATCGTCACTGAGAACTAAAAGTAAGAATATCTAAGTTTTAAGAACAACCTCTAACGTTATATTTTCAGACCTTTAAATAATTTTAGAAATATTGTTTTGTCCGTTTTCAAGTCACGTCATGATCGCACTGTAGCCAAAGGTTTGAAGTTAGCAAGTTTTGAACACACAGGCGTTTTGCGAACTTATTCATGGCGTTATAACGTCGCAAAACTAAAATAAGAAATCATAGAAGTTTAACATGAAGATGGATCCCTATGGTTGGAGGAACTATGATATAACTTATTTTATAATTCGTCTAGTTTAGGATGACAACTTTAAGCTAATGGGTAGCATGCATTTTATCAATAGTTATTTTATCATAGATTTAAAAAGTATTGACTTACAACTGATAATATGGTATTACGAGGCACTTGACTAGGGCGGTACTATAAACAGAGATGGATGCTGATGAAGCGACGAGGGTTATAACGCGTTTATAAATAGGATTTGTGCCTCGCAGTGGATGGCTATAGTTGAAATAAAAGTTGATGCATATCCCCTGTTAGTTAGACATGCATCCAGACTGAGGTCTTCCTTCGACACCTTGTTTGCATTGTCCAGTCTTGATTAATGCATGAGTTCGCCAAGGTACACTTAACGGTGTCCAGAGTGGATGGACGAGCATGAGTTTTTTATTCTCATAGAGTTCATTTAACATTGTCACAAGAGCCAGAATGCCTTTGGATTGAAACACGCTACATTTAAGTAAGACGAGTGAGCCTTAGCCATTTGATGATACTCCTCATCTTTTATTACCATTTTTATTAGATAAAATATAGTGTGTTTCTAGCAAATTAAGTAGACGCTGCATGTTTCTATAATTCCTGATAAACTCTATACTTCGTGACTTTGCTCATACTTAAACATCTTTTAGATCAGGGTTGAGCAGCCTCTTTCAGCGAATGAGCCTGTACACATTTAAAGAATTAGAACTAATTAAGTTCAAACTGCACCCAATTTAACAGATTCTGACAGTGGAATAAAAAACAAAAAGTGTATGTTAAATTTTAGCGAATGAATATGGGCCGCGGGTTACTCATCCCTGTCTTAGATACTCTGTTGTCTTCCTTTTCCTAACATAACGAGTCTATTTTCATTGCAGTAACGCCTTGTTTTCTATTCCTACTTGTAGTACTAGGAGACTTGCGCCATCATTGAGTAACGTTATTTATATTTATCGTGGTTTAATCAAAAAGGCACTGTGAAATTATAACTTTACAATCAATCATCAAGGCCTTTAGAAGTTTGTTTTAGAAATTAATGAAATCGTGCTAGTAATATATTTAATTGTTAACTAATGAAGTTAAAGCAGTGCGACAAGAACTAAGGAACTAGACTAGGCAAATTTTCTGATGAAAACATTAGACAATTGGCAAATATCGTGACGTTACTAAGGGATGGTGCTACCGTCTTGTTTATCCGCAAATAATACTACATTGCTTGACTAGGTCCAAACGCGAACGCGAAGTCAATGCTGGATGGTGTTCACATGGATATCGGCAGCTATGCTCTGTTGCCCGCCACTCCTCGGTTATAAGAAAGACGCCAGCTTCGACAAGGAGACCCTCATCTGTATGCTGGACTGGGGCACAACGTACGCTTACACTGCGACCCTGGCCATGCTAATTCTCGGCCCCAGCGTCATATCCATCGTGCACAACTATTGGTACATATTCGCCATGAAGAGAAAACTGAACAGCGGCGCGCCCATTCACGACAAGGAGTATGCGACGGCCCTCGCCGAGAACCTTGCTAACCCCAGCCACTGGATGAGCTTCGTCATGGTGACAATCTTCTGGCTGAGCTGGGCGCCGTACGCCGGTGTCCGTCTCTACGAATACTTCACTGAACAAGAGCTGAAAATACCGATGCTCCACTTCGGAATGGTGTGGGTGGGGATACTGAATTCCTTTTGGAAAGTGATCATCCTCATCTCGTTGAGTCCACAGTTCAGGCTCGCGCTGCGAATCCTTTGCCTGACGGCGTGCTGCCGCTCCAAGGGGCGCCTGCAAGCCGAGCTGATCGGGATGGACAACGACGATTAGGAGCGGCTGAGGCTGTTGGTGATGCCCGATGGGCCGACGTGATATAAGCAATATACGGCGGTACCGCCGTCGCTGTGAACCACGCAAGACTGTTATGTAGTGTCGTTAGGTTTGCTCCGCGCGAACGTTCGTACATTGTAGTGATTGAATTTTATCAATATGTTATGACAATAACAGTATTTTTTTAAAAGAGTAATGTATTCATATCATTTGGAGTTTGATCCTTATCGCCGCTGCAACGTGACCGCGTTTTAAGGTGAAATCAAAATGAGACGTTGACGAGCGTTAAAGAAATATTGATTGAATAATTGGACAAAAGGTGAAGAAATGGTTACGTAGATTTTTGAATGTGTTCTAATATGTTCGACAGCGTTCTTTCGTAACGAAGTCTTTCACGAAATAATCGATAGTCAATTAAAGTTAAGGTACACATATTCAGATAACTCAATAGTAGTTTCGTGATAGAAATGCCTTACAGCGGGCCTCGTTCGCCCACACGTCGTGTTTGTTTCAAGCGAGCTCCGCAGCTAGCCTGTATACTTTGTCGAATCTGCGATAATGTTTGTGACACTTATAGAACTATAAAGGTACAAACGACAGCCTTAGGTTCGCTAATGAAGCGCAAAACTTACTAAACTAGACTAGTGGTTACGCGATTATGCCGGCGCTACCTTGTAGCAAATAGGAAATTCGATATTTAAAAACTCTTAATGTCTCGTGTATATCGTGCGTAGCGTAGCAGAAAATAAATTTTTATATACCGTTGAAGCCAATCAAATATAAATGTCGTAATATTCATCGTTTTGGTAATTAACGAAAAGCCTTTTCTTTGTAACTTTTATTCGACACTTCATCGAAGGACTTTTCTAACTTTCGAAGATGCCTTTTTGTACACCACGTTGATATTGTTGTGTAATTTTATGAATCGATGTACATACTGCCACATAAACGTTTAAATTTTAATTGCTGGTTTTATTTACATTGATGCTCTCATTGACATGTTTAGTTCAGGTTTTGAAATGCTGTGTGGCTTTATATCCACAGAGAGCACAAGGCACACTCCGTCGTCTGACCGGAGGTCAATAAAATTGTCATAGTAAATAAACTTTACATAGATAAGAGTGGGACATGTAATAAATACGCAAAAGTACTTTGCATAAACATATAATACACAGATTGGTTCCATACAATATAATATGTAACTATCTACACACGTTGGGTGCGTTCGAAATACTCCGATATCTCGGCAAATGATACATTAATGCATTTATATTAACCAATATTGTAACTTCTGAAATGCACGTGCTCGCTAGGAGGACATTTATTGATGAAAATTATATGAAGAAGCCGCCTCAGGCGTGGGCGACGTTCTCTAATAATATTTTAACTCGAGATTGTTGATTTAATCAATCAAAACAAGAATTGAAATTAATTAGGTATGGCAAACAAGCCCCGCGAAGCGTCGTACAAATCACCTAATCAAATAACGTATAGCGTAGCGTTGTAAACTTTTCGTAGCACTAGCGACTCGTGCTACGAAGCGTACGTTCCTAATTTCGGTGCAGTACTTTTATTACTAGTTTTTCAAATACTGTTTTTGAAGTGGACTTTAACATCGACCGCGCTCCAGAGACTTCATTTTCTGCCAACAAGTACAACAAAAGCAATTTATAACTTGGCTACCTTATACTTTAATTAAGACAGACATCTTAAATCTACGATACATTTTAACCGGTGTTTAAAATACAATCGTTAGTTGCGACCACTATATTATTTGATGGCAATGGCACATTAAGTCAATGATTCTGGTTTTCACTTACCGTTCTTGGATTTAGGGAGAAAAAACTGTTATTATACGTTTGATTGATGTTTGTGGCGAACACAGTGTCCGTTTCACTGATCGGTTCCTTTACAGTTTTCGGGTTCGAGTCCCGTAGAAACAATAGACAAATCTATATTAATGCGTTAATCTAAAACCCAAAAACTTTCACGCTTAACGCAATGCTGAACAACACGTTTGGCCATTTGGCTACAGAGTCTACCATTGGTCTAATTTCCATAGGCAATACGTTTGATCGTATACTTAGTTACTTTCGACAAAAATACTATATAAAATACAAAAGTACGATAAAACCCTGGTATGGATTTTAATATAGCGATAGAAAATTGGAGATAAAAAGCTTCGTTTAATAAACAAATGATAGGTTTTGCCATAAAGATAGCGATTGATATTATACACAATATAATAAAAAAATAAATACTTTAAGCGGGTCAAACCCACGAAAAATCGTTTTAAAACTAGTTCAATACATAGCCCATCGAATAAGATATTTTTATACACCTAACCTACAGTATATTCATATATTTGATACATCAGCTGATGGTGACATGGGTCAAAGGGGGTCCACGTTTTAACACAAATATGACATATTATTTACCATACATATATATCATTAGAAAGATTACATTTTCTTCACTTATAGACTAGTTTTAAATATTTAACATAAATAACTTTCCTTAGACTTTATATAGTGCAATTTTCTTTAAGAAGCAGTAACAATTATACGTAATACATTTTTAGCAGCAGATATATTATTCTAATCTAGGTTTTAAACCCAGGCTTTGAAATATTAAAGGAAGCGCCGTAGTTCACAAGTAAATGTTTATATTTAGATATATATAATAAAATAAAAAATTGATTTTAACGAGGTAGACAATTAGCAGTGTAGTATATGTATAGGTATATGTACTTGCGTATGTTAAATTATATATAAAAGACATTTAACATATGTTTTGTAATATTTTTCCGTAAAATATGTTATTATTAACATCGATAAAATGTGAAGAACTTATCAAAATGGACAAGAATTGTGCTCGAGATATGTGTAATTTTAAATCTATGTAGCTTTTGACATAGCTGATAAATCTATGTATGGCTATACAATGTTGAAACAAGAACTGCATTACGTTAATTTGAAAACTGTAATACCACTCCAGTTTAGTATGTCTATCTGGTCACTATCATACAAAATTGCTAGGACAAAAAAGTGCGCAATGTTTATTCCTGTTTTACCAAATTTGTATACCGTACCAAAGTGCATAAGCTTAGAAATACTGGAAGATTGCCATTATAAGTGAGCTAGAAGATCACCAAATAAACCCAACAAATTGTAAAATAACATACCATTGAATGTATTCTATGCTTTTACAATAACAACAGCTTAATATAATTGACACATTCTATGGCGACTTCGTACTTCAAACAGGATTTTTCCCACATTGTTCAATAAAAACACCTTTGGCTTAAAGATTCTTTTTTTCCAAAGGCGGAGCTTTCTACTAGACTTTCCAAATAGTTATGCGATCAAATTATATCTTTACTATTAGTTAACGATTTAATAGCATTTACAATCTTCTGGTGACACATAAAAAACGTATTAAGGTCTAAAAGTTTCAACCGTATAAGTTGGCCTTTAATTTCTTACACTTGACAGTCTAATTGACTGTATTATTTAATAATTAATAGGTATATATGTGTGTATTGTAAAACGTTTTGCGCGGAATGCAACCAGTACAGTAGGACAATTTCTTTAAATAAATTGGTAATTTTGAACTAATTTAAACCTAGGTCGAATGTAGCAACGTTACTTTTAAATTCGTACGTCACTTTACCTTATTATTTGAAGCCCTGCAAGATAGTTTTCAGTTCAAAATCAAAGAATATAGGCCGATTATTTATTTAAGAGAAAATCAACTTTTGTTTACAATTTTAGTAACTGTAAACTAAGGTTTGAACTGAAAAAGTGATAATGATTAGAGATTAACAGATACAAAACAACTAACTTTAACGATATCAAAAGGATAAACTGATTGAAAAGTTATTTAAATTCTTGTTATTCTTTTGTGCGTGTTTTGAATGTCACAAATGTGTATGTGTATATTTTTATGAGTAAAAGTCTAAGATTTGTGAAAAATATATTTTGTTTTTAAGAAAGTTTTTCTTTCGTATGTTGGTTCTTCGTACATGACTTATTCCAAATCCAATTGTAGATACGCGTTAGAAGTGCATTTTTGAAGGTGTAATTGTTCTAAATAAGATCTCCCGCCGTTATGGGCACTAACATGGCATGATAACTCGTTATAAGAATTTAAGCTTTGGTATATTAATACAGATTTAATTATATAAATGCAAAAAAATAAGAAATTAATTATTAAATTCCCTTATAACACAGACACGAAAAGAGATAGCATTATTACGAGTAAAATCGTTGACAATACTGTCACGGTAGGGTCGCCAACAGTTTTCAAAAAACGTCTATTATATAAAAAGCATGGAAATTGTTGCCTCTTAAAAGATAAAACGATATATTCTTAGCACTTTCACACATAGTTAAAAAGCGGATAATCTGATACAAACAAAATACTGTGGAAAATATAGTTATTTTGTTCACAGTACTATACTATAGTACGTTTCAAATTGTACGTGGTTTATAATAAAAATAACTAAGTTGTCGAAATTTTAAATGATATATGCGTTGCATATTGTTGCCCATCTTATTCGAGTCATAGAAAAGGGAGGACAAACAAACACGCACTATATACAAATCATAAGGGTGGTGACCCTGCTTCATGGCCGCAAGATTGAAACTTTTATAGTATCAGTTAACACGAGAAGGTTTCAGAGTATCTTCCTTTGCAATGCGGTGCAGGGTAGACGACCCAATCGGTGGTGTAGTTTAGTCTTTTGGCTGCGGCTGCACCACTTCGCATTTGCCTGGAGTAGCCGGTGTCGGATCCTCATGAAAGAGTGGGTTCTTGACTTCCATGTTGCCAGTCTGGAAGAGTCAAATGTAGTGTCATAATTATTAATTCATTGTCTGAAAATATTTGCTTTGAATACGCATCATAACAGAACTTTAAAGTTTTGAAAATACGGAAATAGCTCACCGTCGCGAAGCCTGGGCATTCGTAAACGGTGTAATCGCCTTCTTCGTTCTCCTCTTCGGAGTCGGGATCAGAAATCGACCCGTTGCGTCCGAGACAGCTGTAATTTTTATATTATTATCATCAAAAAGAAAGAAAAGGTTTCGTTACATTTCGTTATAAGTAAAATTATTCTTAAATGTGAAGCTCACGTCAGACCTAAATATGGGATCGAAAAGGAAGTAAACAGAATAAGTAGTCATAAGTAAGTAAATATTGTATCATAACACATAAATGAGGGTACTTTTATAGTGTTGTATGTATATGTGTGCAACGCACAACGTAAACACGTGTAAGGAGCTAACATTATTATTTTTATTTTTACGTAATGGAAAACTTAACCATACTTAATTTCAAGAACTTACTAACTCAGTGGACTTGTCTGTTTAAAAACTACCACTATAGTAAGAGTGCAACATATATTTTGTTTACTTTTCGCATTCTGCAAATACCGTGGGGTACAAAGGTGTCGAATGTACTATGTGTAACAAACATTCTCTATAAATTGTTTATCAATTACACGGTTATTCGAAGCTACTGGGGTTATATTGCGCGTTCGTCAACCAAACGAAAAAAATTCCATTGCGCGGTCAAACAGATTGAAACACAAAACACCTTAAGGAAACACGAGTACACGACGGAGGTCGAACTTTGCCCACAAACTATTGATAGAACTTACCCTGTGTTTATTCATTTTATTTTTATATAAGAGGAGGACAGACAAGCAAGGCGCACTTGATGGACGGTACATACCCATGCAAAGTATGTACCTTCCCTTCTTGGCATTTAATTCGAAAACTAGTACTTAATGTAAATTGAGAGCCTTTTAGTTGTATCATTTATTCATACGAATGTGTGTTCCGGTCTCTCTAAGGACAGTCCCGTTCATTATCAAATAAGGTTATTCGTAAAGCCTTATGTCCCACTCTCCTCTCCCATGATGAGATTGCAGTCGGTGCAGTCCAAGTACTTCTTCACCCTCTCTAATTTTACACCGCTGCTTCGGAAGGATGTGTATAGGATATTATATCTATACTAATATTATAAAGAGGAAATATTTGTATTTTTATATGTACCGGGTAAACTTAAGAAGTACTCGACCGATTTTTATAATTTTTTTTTTATTTGAAAGCTACATTATCACTGAGTAACATAGGCTATATTTAGTACTTGATTACTATAGGCATCTATAGAAATTCTTATTATAATCAACGGAAGGCGTTAAAAAAATTTTCTTTCTTCGCATACGCTGCGAAAAGCATTAATTATAGGACAAAAATGGACTTTCTTCGCATGCGCTGCGAAAAGTATTAATTATAGGACAAAAAAATGTTTGACAATATTATAGAATATATCAATATCTACAAATAACATCGCGGGAGCATATGCCTTACTATTGTAGTTATGTCGCTGTAACTACTTTTTACGTTTAACAAATTGATTGAAATGCCGATCAAAATCAGACCGTGTTGTCCCTACCATTTATAAATTCGAGTTTTGTAAAACATTTTTATGCTTCACTTAAAAAGTTCTTTTCAGAACTATCGCTTTGAACTTGAATATTTTCTTTTGTATTATTATTAGTTTATTCTTAATTTCTCTTATTTAATTCCTTCATAGCAATATACCTAGAAGAAGAGGTTCGCAGCTATCTAGGAATAGTTCCCAAGCGAGATTAGCAAAAGTTCGTCGTATTGGAGAGTCTTCTTCCTAAAATGATCGTCTGGAAAGTGTTAAATTGTACGCGTCCCAATCGCGAGCCAAATAATGTATCATCGATTGTTCAGGTTCGTCTTGCAGAACAAAATGCAAGATCGTCGCAGCGACTTGAAGGAAATAGAGCTAGGAATTCGCGAACGCGTGCACGGGACACTAAGGGCACACATAAACAGCTAGGACGCGCAATACAATTTTCTTCTAATTTAGTGATTCATGGTCGTTTTAAATAGCATGCTTATAATTTTAATATCCGTACTTATTTATGTCTACCCGTGCAAAGCCGGGACAGGGCCGCTAGTGTTTTAATAAATACTCTCCACAGAAAAATAAATATACCTTTCCATAGCCAGTATCTGTTGTTTTTGGTGCTGATAGTGATACATGTGCGCCGAGTGGGCCAGCTTGCGATCGCCCGATGGGTCCACCGTCGGGCCCGTCACTCCGTACGCCGGATAGTCCACATCGGCAGCGGCCTTTGCCTTCTTCGATAAACTGGGCAGATAGATAATACTAAAATGCGCGTAAGTTGTGGCTAAAATACCTGCCACGTTACTTATAGTGGAGAGCGGCGTGTTTCAATATCGCCAAAATTATATATGAAGCATTTTAAATAGAATCGTTAACAAAGGTACCAGTGTGTCGTGTAGCTTTTTCGTTCTGCGTTTTAATAAGCTTTTATTATGAAAACCAACCAACTAAGGGACAGAAAAGAGGGTTCTTTTAAAAATTTACTTTACTTTAATAGTCCAAATATTTTTTAAAACTTTAATCTTCAGCGGAAATTTTTAGGAAACTAATTTCATCTCTTTGTTTACTTTTTACCATTACAAAAAGGGTTTGGAAATACCCTAAATGTATATTCCCGAAAGAAAAGATGACAACAGCGGTTGCGTTATTGACCACCTCGGTGTCGATACTTTCTTCACATTAAGCAGATAGACGTGGCCGACATGATAAACAAATAACAATATAAATGCAAACATACAAAATGTATACTGCAACTCCATTGCTGACCAATGAAAACCTCTGTGTTTGTCTCTCAGGACAATTTTGCACTTGGACAGCACTTTGGCTGTACACCTCATTTTGTCCGACCACCACACTTTATTATTTTGGTATGCAACAGAGGCAGTCTGAAGCGAAGTATTCGTAAATATAATTATATAACTGTCATTAACTCACGTATACCAGCCGAAGACAAAACCGATAGCGGCCATAGACAGTGCAGCTATTATGGCAGCTAGCAACGCGCTGCTGTAAATACTCGTGGCTTGTTCCGGCATAATCGATTCTATAATGTGGATGTGATGAGGTCGTATCGTGCTGCCGGTGTCCTTGTCTGTGCTGATGAGCGAACAAATCATCAAACGAGAGCTACCATAGGGACAGCCGTAGAGTTGAAAAATTGAACATCAATAAATAATGATTAAATTGGTACGTACATTCAAAGCATTATTTTATAATTTAAAAAATTTTAACAATTTACAATTTCACTAGATAGATTACAGATTTTGTGACCCACCATGCAACCATATGCTAATTTCTATGAGGCCTTATCAACGCTTTTGCTCAACTTAGAATTGTTTAAAAAAACGCAAATAGTCAAGGCAAGCAAGCATGCACTAAGAAGCGAAAATAATATAGAACTCCTGTACTGCCAATTATGTTTATATCAATTTTGTTACTCGGAAAGTGCAAAATATAATTTTTAACGAACACCTGCAAAACTTCTAGTTAAAAGGATAACGTATGAACGAGTTAGTATTTCCGCAGAAGTGAGTTTCGTTTTACGAAACGGAACGCGGAATTATCGAAATATGAAACTACTATATTTTTTATACCATACAAAGAAGATAGTCTTGTTATATTTCAAAATTATTTTAAATATTAAAAATCAATACGTTTTGCTTGTCATCAAATCAAAACCGGTTAAGCGCATTAATTGGACCTAAAAAAACTAACAAACATCGAGATATAGAAAAACCATACCAATAAAAAAAAATTGGAGAGCAAATATTATTTAATGAAACCAGATAAAAGTTCTATTATTATACGAGTAAGGTTCCGCGAAAACCACTTCTCTTTTATTATATCCTATTTTTTTTTATTTATCGTTTTATTCACGTATTAAATAAAATTTATTGCTTTGATTTTCAAATAGTACGTTTATAGTATATAGTACTTTAAATTCACTGCAGCTCTGTCACTATGATGATCGAACCAACATCGTCCTTAGTTACATCTTCCGCCTATTAAGGAAGGAACTAGTCCAATTGAGGGGGTCGACTTATTGAAACTCCATGCATTTTGCTTAATATGGAACTGTAATTAAGCACACGAGTGTGAACACGTCAGAATACAGGGTGTTCTTTTAATACCTCTCCTCAAATTCTTTTGGCTGAGATATTTTCAAGACGCGCAGATTCGTTGGCAGTAAAGAGACGGGTATGCGGTACACCTTATTAGCCCTGGAAGCAAGCATAGCTTTTCTCTTGAAACGCCATGATTCTTAATCGAATTCTTCATTTCAACGCGAAATATCGTTGTTTCGTGAACACAAAAAGAAAATCAATTGTAAAAGACGGCAAATATCTTTAACATCCTCCGTGTTTCAGTCGCAATTTACTTTAAAATTAAATAAAGGCCTAACACATGACACACGTGCAGGACACTCCTGTGTCCGACTCATAAGAGATCATGAGAGAATACTGAGCCACGGAGGCGGTGACGTTAAATTAAAAAATGTTTATTATCATTAAGTTTGCATCCGATTTTTACGATTCATGGCGTTTAGAGATAGAAAAATTACACATCGTATACAACATGAATTGTGAAATAATTATATAAGTGTGGCGAATATTACGACTAACACGTGTTCCAAATGAACTTGTAGAAAAATTAAGCAAACAGAAATGATTCTAATTAATTTAATTGCTAAACATCACCTATTGCCACTATTGAACTATGTATTTCTGAATTGTTTTGACCACGTCTCAGTACTTTTAGAATTTTACAAGGATTTGTAAATCTTCAAGTCAAATAATATCACAAAAATAATCTTCTTTGTCCTGATTCCATCAACAATCTTAATTAAGAGGAAATGTTGAGAGAATTAAATAATATTTAAGTTATTATTAGATTATTGTTTATTACGATTCAGAATTCTAAATACTTTACCACATGATCAGTCGGAGTGAAGAAAATAGGGAAGTAGAAAATCTAAATAAATGAAACAAATCATATAACACTCCAAATATACGTTATGCATGCAAAACATTTCTATGATTTATCAAATTTAACTAAAGTCGATGAATGGAGGACCCCATTGCTTATCTTTTCTACGTTTTCACCTGGAACAGGGTATATCAGTTTCAATGACGATTTATTATAATTAGTAATACTTATGGTTATACTGACATCATAATGTATGAGTAAATTGTCATGTTTCAGGGTTGAAATATTCTTATTTGAACGCTACGAACGTAACCATTATTTCTTATCGGTTGTTGCATTACCATCAGTTAAGCACTTATTATTACAATACACCTGTGTTTTAACAGCGTTTTAATAGATCCTGAATGTGCTTTGCACTATTCACTCAAATTTTTTTTTTTAATAAAACATTTTAACGGTTTAATATGGGATATATTAGTTAAACTTATTTCAACATTATTTTAACTACGGCCCGACATTTCGGTTGTTATGCAGCAGCCGTGGTCCCGGCAAGAGTGACCGATTTATTTAAATGTCTACTTGCATAACCTAGAGAAACTATTCAATCGATTTTGCCAACTAACTAACTTTGAATTTTTTTCACGAGTGCACATGATGCCTCGAAATAAATCAAACCTTTGTTTAAAAAGATTCAAATATCATGTTGTCACATATAGCTTTGCACTAAAACAACTTGAGCAGTTTTGTTGTTCTAGTCGACCGGTCTAAGATTGGTCCTGCAGCTCTTACCCGAATCTTCGTAAAATCTCTTACCTATGTATATGAATTGTCTTCAAACGCAATCCTAATACTAGTGCGCGGCCACCATAAGTCCCACGACGACATATTAGAAGAGCGAGCACATAGTTTAGCTTCGTCGAGATCATTGGTCTCACTTGTTTCTAAGACTTATAGGGGCTCGTCTTGAAAGTCTAGATAGACTAGAAAACCCACAGACGAGAAAGCCACGCTTTGCACTCGCGTTTACCCTGCAGTCTATGAGTTTCCGAATATCTAGTAGAAGCTACTGCGTGCTTTAGAAGCTCAGAGGAAAGCGAATGACGCGAGTCTTCAGCAAACGAAAAAATAGTAGCGAGGCGTTTCTTCGCGGACAGTGGGACAGCTGCCTTATCGCTTTCGTAGAAGTCAGTCTCGTAGTTAATTGAGTTCCTTTTTATTGGCTCAGTTATTTACAGAAGACCGCTGCGTGGAATTTAATTTGAGTCTAAATATAATTGAAGTAATGAAAGGCTTTTAGCTACGGTCTAATATTATGAAAAGACGTCTTATTGACAGGAAAGGAAGTTCATTTATATTATAGAAAAAGATAAGGTTTGACGACGAGATTTGTAACTTGAGGACCGTCTTTTTTTTATTACTTCTTTCGCTCTTCAAACAAAAACTAAAATTAAAATCCACTATATATAGGTATAGTGAATAAGGAATTGTTTAGTAGGAGGGATATAGCGTTAAGCTACCTTTATAACAATAACCCCTATAACAGTTCCCACAGTTGGGACGCAATCCTCCCAAGAATATACTTTTCGTTTAATTCTTAAATGGAGGACAAGCCCGCTTGCTTTTTTTTTCACGTCTCCTGGGACCAGAAAACCAAGCGGATTTAAAGATTTCGCCTGAACGTCACGTATTACTATTGAGCCGCCGAGGCCAAATTCTTACTTGTACATTGTTCCAAACTAACTATTGTAGAAACATTAAAAAGTTCACTGAGTCAAATACCACGTCCTGTTGAAATAGTAGGTTAGATATTTCTTTTTACAGAACCTCCGTCCAATACTTTATTTTTATCCAACATTTAGTAGAATTTGTCCACTTTCATTTATTTCTTTTCCGACGGGTTTACCTTTGCTCGCTCTGGCATTTCAACTGCGGTCGGATCACAGATTGTGAGGTTGAAATTTAATCTAAACGGTTAATAGAATCACAGCTAGACTTTTATAAAGAAAAAATTTGGTAAAGAATAGTTTAAAGGAGTGTACATAATATAAGGCCTAATTTAAATAAACAAGTGTGTTATTGCACTGACGAGAAACGATATATCTGCTAATCGTCGAGATCAATTATACCATTCATTTGCATACAAATACACTGGTATTTGTAAGTTTCTTGTAGAAATACTTTTAGCGTTGAGATACATAATTTTATATCGCGTTGTGTAGGTATAGTAAAGACCAAAAAATGCTTACAATATGCATGACATTCATTTTTTCTTAAACCACATTAAGAATATTTCAACTACGACAAGACATATACATTGAAAGATAGGTTATTTTATAAGTTAAAAGGAATCAGATCTTAAATTAATTATATTTAAAGTATTTTTTAAGTAGGTAATTAAACAAGATCACACATCAAATGGTGTTTTAGCATAACCAATATGTTCATCTTTCATTATATATTTCTTAGATTGTATATGAAGCAATATTATGTATGAGTATAGGTGTCTGTACTCACAAACCGTGACGCAGTTCATCCAAGTTTTCAGCAACCAGAGCCTTCGCCCGGCTCAAGTTTGGGTTCTGGCGAGTCTTTCGGGGTTCCAGGAGTTGATTCTTGCTCATTTTGCTCGGGTCTGTGCCTATGGGGAACCGAGTGACAAACTTTTTATTGCCTTATGAATTATTTCTAGAGTATTTTAATTATAATGATAATAAAAATATATGTTATAGCAGTCCGTCGCATTTTCGAACGGAACACATGTGTGTTTAATTTTTTTTATTTAAGAATTTTGTAGTTTAATTGAAGCATCATATTATAAACCAAAAAAAATATTATTTGTAATAAAATTTCCAAAAAAAACACAAACTCCATGCATAACGCAACAGCGTGTATTTAATTTTTTTTGGTTTTATGACTCGTTAAATTTGTAATATTTATTGAATGAAATAGCCGATTCGACAATTCACAAAGCAATCTACATAAATTGAAATAGACATGAAAATAATGTTGTCAATCAAGGCTAGCTTTGTAATTTTTGCGATTGGCACAGTAGTTTCTGGGTTTACCCCATACAAAAATTGAATGTCTATAAATATTATAGAGAGAGACAACAGAAATAAAATGACGTGTGTCTACTTTTCTAGCCAATAATCTCAGCTTTTAGCCTCTTCTTTGCCCGACTGTAAAACTAACGCAGCGAAGTAGTCATTTGATTACACAGCGTTCTAGCTAAAAGCTGCATTCCTCGATAGCTAAGTACATACATATACTATTACTAACTGTGTCAGCGACTTTGTCCAAGTAGAATGGTATTTTGGGCTTCCGGCTTAACATTTGTTTTCGCAAATCTCTTCTTTATCATTATTGCGTCCCGCCATTCTTCTACATATAGTGTCGCGAACATTTTTTTAGATCATTTAAAAAGAAATTTTCTTTCATTCATATTTTTTGGGTATCTTAAACCGTTTTACGATCTATAGTTTTCTCCGTCTTTTTCACATTTCTCCCTCTGCTTCTTCGCTCCATTAGGAGGGAAGAAGCTCTAACACAAACACCAGGCTGCGAGCATTAGCATTTATGGAGGAAGGCTTTTTCCTCGATAAACGCTCTAAAACAAAAATAATGTTTCAATTCAATCCAGTAGATCCTGAGATTAGCGTGTTGAAACAAGCAAACAAAGAAACTCTTTGTTTGCTTGTTTCAACAGGCTAATGTGAAATACTTAATAACAATGAATACTTTTAAATGAAATAATCGCTTGTCAGCACTAAGGCGGGCGGCCTCAATGTTAGTACATACATTTTGACTGTTTTTTTTTTCGATGTATATCGGAATTATGTATGTATAGAGTAGATGAGCTTTAACTTAAGTGCACTCTGTTTGACTTTCACGCGAAAGCAAATCGTATTTTCGCGTCTCCACTTGTATTGCATTGATTCGATTTGTAGGAAAAATATGTTCGCTTTTGCGTTTCGCCATGGAGAAATTTGAGCTCAGATCTTACTTTTGTGTGGTTTTGTTGGTAAAAAACTAATTTGTAAAGTGTGTCCTTTAGGGTTTTAGGTTAGACGAGTTGGCGTTGTTCGCTGATTACTCCCATGCCTACTAAAATGCTAACTTTTTTCTCGAGTTACCAGCTTAGGGCTGTTGTGATAATGCCTTTCAAGTTGTGAAATGTCCTATTATTAATGTCATGGAGACATTACATTACGTTGGAGAACGATATTAGCTTTCCGCGTTGACTGATCTTATTGTATCTCATTGACGTCACCACGTTAGTTGATTAGATGCAGTGACTTATCACGGACATAACTAACTTTGTTATCATACTTGTACAGGACCCGAGTCCGATTATGTATTTGCCCTATTCCTGCGGCAAGGAAACAGGCGACGGCGCTTATTATGCAACACAAGCGTTTTAGTAATATATGCATAATGTATTATACAATTTTGTATTATTATGTTATACTTGGCTCAGTTAGGCTTTGTCTCATTGAAATCGAATGTCAGTGAAGACAGAGAACGTCGATCAACATGATTTCAAGCAGACATAGCTTCGGACACTGCTAAGTAGTTTAGGAGAGAACTCGACTGCAACTCACTTGGAGGGCTAGTGGCGTCGTAATAGCCATCTTCTAGTGGTGTGAGAGCGAAGCTTCTCTTCCTATCGTTCTTTTGCAGCACCTCCAATTCTAACTCCTCTTTTGTCTTACCCTCTATAACCGCCTCTTTAACCGTGTCACGACTTTGTCCATCTGAATCCTTCTTCGCGTCTTGTAGTTTTGAGTCATAAGGATTCTGCGATTTTGGATTGTTTGGTGTCCGGTCTGTTTGAAGATTCAGAAGGCGATTGAGGAATATAGATGGCCGGTCTTGGTTATCGTCTAGAGGTATGTTGTAGTCCCCCTCCAGCTGGGATAGTGTCTCCAATCGTTTCAGTAGCGCTATTTCCTGCACAAAAAGTAAAGAATAAATTACCAAGTCAATTAAAATAATAAAGGAACAGTCGAATAGTCAATATCATAAACACAAAGGCAAAACAGCGGAGTGCCATAGTTCTTTCAATCCACTAATTGTTCCACTACTGGGTACAGCTCTCTCATTAAAAAGCTCCTATACAAACTGCCAAGCCATAACGACTACAACCTCTATAATTAAAATCTGGGACCAACGGCATAAAATAAACTGTGCTAAAACTGGAAATGTCATAGAAATGGTGTAATGGTCTAAATCTTAATAATTTTGCAGTTGAAAGTTACTTTGAAGCAGGCGGTAAGTGCCTTCTCAATATTATTGTTATAATACAATTCCTGGTGTCGTTGAAAGCAGGAAATAATTTAAAAGTAAATCAGTAGTTTGAACTTTGTGAATAGCGTTGGCGAGTTACCTGGTAAAAAGAATAATTTTGCTCTAAAGTACGGTCGGCTTAGCGGGAAAGCAACGAAGTTAGCGAATACTTAAGACGAGAATTCTATGAAAACTTTTAATTTCCTAACGTAGAATTTCGGAAGAGACGGGAAATGATTTTAATATACATCTTATGTAAGAGCCATTACACAATGTCGATGAGAGCGGCAACTCTGCCTGCCTGGGCGACCGACGATCAAGTGCGTAAGCCCATTTAAACCATAGTAACTTACGGTCGCTGGAGACTCAGTCGCCGGCCACTAGTCGACAGAGCGTAATAGCGTTCAATATCTTCGATAAAACCGCTGTTCTTCTAGATGGCTTTTCATTAGTCTTCTAACAATCTTAACCATAATTTATAGAAAGTTAACAAAATTACATAATAAACAAATAAAAATCTTATTTATGGGCGGGAGGGCACCGTACTAGTTATTTAAGTATAGCGATTCTTTAGGTCAATTAGTCCCGTCACCGATTTTACATTTGTGGCCACGTCATTGACGTCATAAAGAATTAAAGCCCTTGTTTAAAATTGTTAACGTCGCGTGACAGCTATACTGGACAGTAATTTTAGGTTTCATCTGCGAAATAATTCTACCGCCCTATATACTACGTTTTAATATGGGATAATATAAAGATGCATACAAACATTTAGACCACTGGGCATTCCGCATTTGGGGATTTGACTGCCTGAAGTTGGCTACAAAGGTGTTTGATTTGATTCGACTTATGACAAACTTCTATTTTTAAGCTTGAAAATTCTATGAAAATTTTTGATCACAATGGCTCACCGCGTAAGAAATAAGTGTAACAATATAGGAAAAAAACAAGAGTAGTAATAATAAAAAATCTTTGGCACAGACGGGATTCAAACCTGCTTTAAAATGTGTTGTAATACATAATGTAATGAAAATACGGTAATTCACTCTTTTGTATAAAACAGAATTGTTAGATAAATAAATATTGTTGTTCTAGAACTAAATCGACTAAGTTTCGAAGTGAAATGTACACAACCGATATTGTCGAACTTAACATAGCAAAAAATACGTGCAGAAGTAATTGTTTCAAATCACATTGACATTTCCAACGGCTTTGGTTGACAATGCAGGATTTAATGCAATGACCCTTATAGCTTAATAGTGTAATATATAAAAAATAATAATAATAATATATAAAAGCTTAGTAAGTTTACAAACGTCTATTACATTGTCAAATTTAATAGATTTTCATAAAATTGTTACCATACAAAGCAATACCTACGTATTGTTTATTTTTATTTAAGGCCGCAATATTTAAGTTCAATTATTTTTAGTGTGAAGAAGTGAAAGCAATCCTAAGCATTTAAAAGAAAGTTAACCCCATACAACCCCCTTTTCTCAATACAAGTAGCCTATGTCCTTTCTCAGGGTCTAGACCATCTGCATACCAAATTTAATTCAAATCCGTTCTGTAGTTTTGGCGTGAAAGAGTAACAGACAGACAGACAGTGTTACTTTCGCATTCATAATTAGTAAGGATTGTAAGGACCTTCCTGTCGTTCTTGCAACTTAATCTTAAAAGTAGCGTCTTGGATTTTTTAATGGTATTTTGTACTGTTTCTGCACCGTACGTCTCGGAAACCACATTTCTCGCTGTATCTTCGTTTATATTAGTCACAGGGGGGATGTTTGTTTGTTTGTTTGGATGCCTTCCTCGATAAACGTTCTAACCAACACATAAATATTTTTTCAATTTCAACCCGTTGTCCCGGAGATTAGCGCGTTAAAACAAACAAACAAACTCTTCAGCTTTATATATTAGTATATATTTGTAGTATTTGTGAATAACTTGGTCGCTTTACATGAAAGCATTTTTTGACAAACAATAATTCGAATGAAACAATACGAGTAACGTGGCGAGTGGCATTGTAAATGTCATACTTTTATATTTAACTTCATTTTTGTTTTTCAGTGTTGAAGCGTTCCAAATGAAAAACGGCAGGGGTCAGTAGTTACTATGAGTTTTTTGCTATGAGCATAATGCATTTGCAAGCACCTGCATACATAGATCTCACAAACATAAAACTCGAATACGGAACGTATACAAAACAGAAGTTAAATAGACTTTAAATGATATTTTACAGCGGCCAGATAGAATATCAAAGTTAGTCGTGGCGAGCTGTGAGTAAGCACTGCCGGATATTATGTGGGCTTTGAGCCCGTAGCTCTGCATCGGAGGATAGGGTACACAAAAGGCTATTTTCCCGAACATGAGGGCCAAAATTTGATACACTTTACGATGTATATTTTACTTACATTGCCCAATTTGTTAAGCCAATTAATAGCAAGAGATTCGTTCTACAAACAAATACGTATGCCCGAGGCATCTACACTAACAAAAAATAAGCGCGCGGAGAGCACTTTATGGAAAGTTAGTTATATAAAATGAAATTAAGGTGCGCTGTCGAATAACTCTTGAGGATGGGCCGTGGTTCCGTTCTATTTCCTAGAAAACTATTAGGTATACTATAGGTTAAATATATAGATGTAATTGACAAGTTAAAAAACTAAACAACCAATAATCCATTTATACAAAAGATTTTTTCATCGAATACTCATGTTCATACGTCGACGTTTGTTATTTCAAAGTATCTGCTTCGTAATTGGTGTTGGTTTACCATTTAAATTGGTTTTCAGATTTTCCCTCGATTCTCTACAAGAACGGATGAAATGAAAAATAAAGCAATACGTTGAAAACTAATATTTTTCACGTGTATTTTGGAAAGTATATAAATAAAAAAAACGCATTAATATGCATGCATGAAATTACAATACACAAGAGGTGCATGTATCAATTGGTTGCAAAAATTCGATGATGGCGTGTAGGACACGGCAGCTCAATTAGTTAAAGCGACAGCATGAAACGTTGCGGATGCCGATTCGAGTCCTGTCCGTTTCGTAATTTTCTTTTAATCTAAAATCGGTTTTGCATCCAATAAAATTCTGTACTGGACACCAATCCAACTGTTTAAAACGCGACAATCTGAAAAGAAATACATGCAAACTGCGCCGCTTTATAACATTATTATGGATAGGATACGAGTTAGTCGGAATTCCTAGTTTGTGTAAGTGGAATCACCGGGCTAACTATCTGAACACCAGGCAGCTAACTGAATTATAGAATCCAGTTACGTTCGCCGTATTATCCATTACGCAGTACACTGGTGTCCCACGAAGATTTGACCTACTTCTCTCTATGAACGTAAATAAAACGGCGTGTCTATGCTAAACCTAGCTTAATATGAGAACAAGTATTATCCATGTGGACCATGCTTAATGATTTATTATTATTACCATACTATTTTATTAGAGAGGAGGACAAACAAGGGTCGCTTGATGCAATGTAAAATACCCCGCCGTATAGCATCTGAACTAGATGCGCAGTTGACCTATTTCGGTTGGACTATCGCTTGAACATTCCTATATTCACCGAAGAATACCCAGACGCAAATTTAGCACTTCGCGGATTTTTCACTAACTATATAAAGTAACCGGACTACTTAATTTCACACAAGTACATGAATATGATACGTACATTGTGTAAGGCTTTCACGGCCATCGTTCAGCATATCATTGTCTTTCGGGCTGTTCGGCCGATGTGATAGAGAAGAGCGAAACGTCGAGAACCTCTTCTCGCTCTCATCGGCCGAACAGCCCGAAAGACAATGATATGCAATATGATACGTGTTTGTTAATAATAAGAAAGTAGCTAAATAAAGTAGTGCACAGCCAGATGAAACTTTTAAAATAATATAGCAACTAGACAAATAGCAACATCTACCTAAAAGCCACAGACTAAATATGGCTTAAGAAATATGATGTTTGAGGAAGTTCAAATTTACAAAGGAAGCAAACTAATTAATTATATTAAAACAAATTAAAAGCACAAACCTCAAAAGATTTTTCTAAAGTATTAGCCGTAGCTTGTTTTTATACACACAAAAAAGGAACGATGAAATTATGGATTTAAATATTGATCTTTGTTATTACATAGATGCAATATTCTATTTGAGATTAGAATTATAGCAATGGTGCGCTACGCTTTGTGATATGTGCAACCTTTACTTGATATAAAGATAAGAAGCAAATGCTCCGTATGTTGCGCTATTAATAGAACTTGCGAAAAGTTACAATATCCTACCCGCTTTTGTTATTTTTAATACGATTTGACTTAATTTTCTTAATCCTTCGCGAAATAAAAGTCTTCAACCACGAAGTATTAACTATTATCGAAATATTGTTGGATTCTGCGACTTGCTTCATTTAAAGATCAGTTGAACTATAGATTTAAATTGTTTGACCCATTTACAAAGTAGGTAACCCGATTTGCAAGGCACCTAAGATCCTGTTGAATTCCTAGAATACTTTTATTCAATGCACCCTTCGTATTACTCAGAGATTGTGCCGCCGACATACGGTCGTTTAAATTGCATTACACATATTTTATATAGATATTATATATTTACTATAGAAGAAATTCCGGATACTTTTCCTCAGATTTGATTCAGAAAATTATACAAAATAGGAAAAAAGGTGAGGACAATATTTGTCCACATGTTTCGCAGTTTTTTTTCCTAAATACAGATAATGACAGACAATGTGTTCACGACTGAATGATGTTCGATCTCAACCAACCACGATAAAACGATAGTTAGTAAAAATGTATAATTCTATACACGTGACTATGAAACTTACCTTGGAGAGCAAGTCATCGCCCAGAGGAGCAAGGAAGTCGTGCGCAACGTAAACCCTCGGGCTGTCTTCGTATTGGATGTAGTGCGGCTCGTAAGGAGACAGGACGATTTCCCGGTACATTTCCGGCTCAGACTGCTCTTTATCCGGCGGCTCCATCGCGCAGGCCACCGGTGAAAAGGGTGACCCTGGAAACCGAGATGTAACTTGTTGAAAAGTATTTGACATCTCTCCTTGACTGCATGGTGGCTCCACAACCAGCATCAAGAAAGATCAGGTGATTATCTATCACGTATAAAAAAGAAGATGATGGTTTTTACATTGAGTCTAAAATAGTGTATATTTTAAAATTGAAGATTTTTTAAATAGGTGGGATTCAAACCCACGCACAGAGCCCGAGGAGGCGGTACAGAGGCGGTTTAAAATTAAAGATTTTTTAAATTCCTTAATTCGTATAATGCTTTTGATTTATGTTCGAACGAAAAGGGTACATAATAATAAAGGGTAATAACTAAATAAGTTCATTGACTTTCAGGCCACCTATTTCCAGACAAAGTTTTAAAACGTACCATATTTAAAAAATATGATATAAATTCGCCTTTAGGATTTATTTTATTTTCAGATCGTATACTGGCTGACCCGACAATCGTTGTTTTGCCATATTAGGTATGAAAAATTAATGTGATAGTAACTTTTCTAAGCTTGGGCGAACGTGGATATTTTATAATGATGTATTTTAACTGCCATTCAAAAAGTCAGAACTTGTTCAATGTTGTTCCGCTGTTTAAGGAGCCTGAGCCGTGGGTCTTTTATTCTAGGTATGTTCATTTCAAATTATTATAATTTATATAATTATAAATTATTTATAAATTGAGACATACATGAAAACCACATGATTTATTTACATACTAGCTGTGTCAGCGGCTTCGTCCGCGAGAATTGTTTTTTTAGGCATCCAAATTCGTTTTTGAAAACCCCTTTCTCTTTATAAACTTGATTTTTTATAGAGGATACATTCTTTCATATATATTTTTTTGGGACGCTGGAAACCATAACGATGATTAATTTTCCCAAGTTTTGCAAGATTGAGATTAGCACGTTCAAACAAACAAACTCTTGCGCTATATATATTTGTATAGATACAAGAAATATAATTAATACTACTCATACCTCTTTATTATTGTAGTGTTAGGAGGCGAAGTTAATCATTATAGTTTCGAACGGTTAGGGCACAGCATTTTGACGCATTAAGTAACTAATAGGTGAACCGGCAAAAGTTATTTTGTTATTTGCAAGATCATTATTATTATGTTGATACAACTCTAACTAATAATTGGCAATGTTTAGACTTGCATCGAATAGTACATTAAGCAGACTGATTAGCCAAATATTCGGCAAAACTATTCGATCAGAGTTTAACGCTAAAATATAAACTGGTGTGATTGTCGTAATGTTCACAATCAACCTTCTTGACTTAATTACAGAGTTAAAAGTTTCAACACTTACCGATTCATGGCCTGCCCGTGTCGTAAATTTTTTCAACTTTAAATCTAGTTTTTAATTTAATCCTATAATAATCGTAACCGATGATTACTCATATTATTGTAATCGATTTATCGAATCGATTAATTTTTCATTTTGTCACCTTTCAAGTCCCTATCATTAGAATTTGATTACCATTTAAAAGGCTCTTGCGAGTTATTTTGAAAGAGAGACGAAGAAGACTTTATTAATTTAAAGGAAAATCATTAGTTTTGCTTTTTTGAACCGTTTACGCAGCGCACACAACGTACCATTGTTTCCACTTCGGTCGCAAAGTGGTGCTATACATTTTCAATTTGAACCACTCTTTCCTGAAATTGGCCCGTTTAAACAAACAAACTCTTAAATTTTTTTAATTCTTAGAAAACATAACTGACCATGTCGCTCTAGGCACCGAAGTTTTATTTTTATTATAAACTAGCTGTGCCCGCGACTTCGTCCGCGCGGAATATTGACTTGTGATAGAATTTTTAATTATTTAGGCTGTTTATCAATTTATGTAAGGGCGCATTTAGGGCAGCCAATCTATGTTGTATCCAAGAAGAAAGTTTCATTGTTTTAGCTTCAAAGACCACGAATTTGCATACAAACTTTTATCCTCTTTTTCAACCCCTATCAACCCTTATTTGACATTAAAAAGTCTCTCTCATTAAAATATCTATTTACCAAATTTCATTTAAATCAGTTCTTTAGTTTTGGAGTTAAAGCCGGGCAGACAGACAAACAGACAGAGTTACTTTCGCATTTATAATATTATTAAAATCTATAATTTATTTAAATAAAAATTTATAAATGGTATGGATAACACGGTCTGATTTTGATCGGTATTTCTATCAATTTGTTAAACGTAAAAAAGTAGTTATAGCGACGTAACTACAACAGTTAGACATATGCTGTCGGAATATTTTTTGTAGATATTGATATATTCTATAATATTGTCGAACATTTTTTTCTTCTATCATTAATACTCTTTGCAGCGTATGCGATGAAATACATTTTGTGGGTAATATTTTTTTACCTCCCGTCGCTTTAATAGAAATATCTAAAGAGTTCTATCGTATTCTAGTACTAAGTATAGTTTATTTTACTCAATGATAATGTAGCTGTCTAATGAAAAAGAAATAATTAAAATCGGTCCTAGCCTTTTTGAGTTTATCCGTTACAAACAAAAATACAAATCTTTCCTCTTTATAATATTAGTGTAGTAGCTGTTACACGATACGTTGTGTTGTACGATATTCGTATCCCGTCGTACGCGTCCCGTCGTTCGAGTCGTTCGTGTAAGATAATCTTAAAAGATAGGCATATTGCGTCGATTTGATTGCGATGATTTTTTTTAGATCATTTAAAGGGAAATCATTCTTTCATACACAATTTTTAGGTATCTTGAACCGTTTTTGCAGCGTACGCATCTGAAACCTACAGAGATGAAGAATTTCCCCCGTTTTGTTCACATTTCCCGATCTTCGCTTCTATAAGTGACATCGCAATGTATTATTAGCCTATAACCTTGCTTGATAAATGCTCTATCCAACACAAAACGAATTTTTCAATTCGAACCCGTACTTCCTGAGATTAGTGCGTTCAAACAAACAAACTTTTCAGCTTTATATATTAGTATAGATATTACTATTTTCGCACGCGTTGGTTTAGGCCTGTTGATATTGTTGTGATTGATACGGACAGGTTACGTCATAAGTCATAACGCCAGCGGGCTTTTATCATCGTATAGAAAATAAACCTTAACAAAACAATTAATCGCAGTGTTTGTCGATATTATAAATATATGTCACATGTTTAGTCGAGTCACTAAAGGTAACTGTGTCTTAATCATATTTACATTTTTTTTGACAAAGGGGCACAGAGCGTCAGGTGCACTTGAAAGATTATAAATAACATTGCCGTCGCCGTATTTAACACTTGAAGTTTTGTTTGAAAATTGTCGAACCCGATGGCAACGAACCATTTTTTTTTTATTCCATATTTATAATATCTAATGTAATTTTAGAACAATTGAAAAAGCCATTCATGTATCGTTTGATTACTTTATAACTTACTTGAAGAACAATGTAGGTCAGGTGACTATCCACATCTCGCAAGTCTGCTTTTTATGAACACATTTTTTCTGAATGAAAGCGATTTGAATATGTCTAATAACAACAATACTATCCAAACTTGAACTGTGTACATTGCTACACAGTTCACGAAAGGCGTGGAAAACAGCACAATCGAACACCGTCGCTTGTGTCACAAGCGTAACAAGTGTCATAAAATATACTTGAACATTTAAAAGTTAAATAGTTTGATACCGTTTCGAGACATCTATAGAAATGTAATTGGTACTTCTAACAAGTTTTAACCAAATATTGGGATACATCTCCCCATGAGCTCTAATGGAAGTACCGTCGGAATAGGTGTTTTGTCGCTTAAAATCTTTATTGTCCTAAGATATGTCTCTCAAGGTACGTAACAGGTGTTGAAAAAATCGCCAGCCATTCGTCGCGCAGCGGTAATTCTACTCACCCGGTTGTCGACCGAACGCGCCAATCAGCACGACTGCCAACGCGACACCCGTCCTGTACATGGTCCGAACTCTTGTGACCAGTAATCGTCACACACTTTATCATTCCCGCCTAAAGCCGCGCACCCGCGCACCGATCGATACCACCCACATGATAACAACTCCTCCGTACCACAACGACGCAACACCAGAAAATGGACCCTGTATCCATGTAATAAGGGTCCACGAAACGACACTTGTGACCCTTCGTATTTCGTTGTTGTATGCCATGCATCCGATACGGGTCTGTGATTAAATGTGAAGCTTGTCTTCTAGATAGTAGTAGCAATAATTCCGTATCAATATAAATACAAACAATCAGCTGTCACTGCGCATACTTGACGGTTTTTATTGTATATGTTGTGTAAGTTTAATTAGTTGTAACATTATTTTTTTCTAATTTTCCCATATTTTCAAACACCTGTTTCACAAACATTCACATACTTGTGAATATATTTAAAGTTATTGTGTATGCGAAATGTCCTTATCCAATATAATAAAATTAGTCAAACTACTTTCATGGTGGACAGTATACTGGGTACTTACATTAAAATAATTTTTCAATACGAACAAGTGGGGAATGCACAATTAAGTTACAACTTATCGAATTATTATAGGTCGAATAAAACGCAGCTATAGAAGAATAAGTATTTAATAAAATCAAATAATTAAAATTTCCAGTATTTAATCAAATTAAAATAGTATTCGCCCGTTCTCTTATAATATAATATATATAAATAATAATAAAATAAAATAAATGCTGTAAATTATTATTTTTCTTTCTATTTATTCTTTTTCTTCATGGTTGGTTTTGGGGGGGATTCCAAAGTCTTGAAGTAGAGTGCGCGAAAGACGCCGAACGCCACGATAAGGATGGTTAAGATCACTGTGATATACTCAGCACGGTTTCTAAACAATACAAAATTAATTCTTAAAGATCGGGTGCTATAAGATTCAAACGATACTTTTAGCCCATATCGGCTTGTGTTTTATTTAAACAATGTATGTTTCACTCCAACAGTCAAGATAGGTACTGAACAAATTTCAGTAAAGATAGTGTCAAACGATTGAAAATATGGTATTGTGAGTTACTCACTCAAAGGGTGTCCCACAAACTGTGTACCATTTGGCCCCGTGTGTCGGCAACTGGTTCCGAACACAGTGAAAGTCGTAATATTTCTCATCATAGTTGTTGGCGCAGAGGTACTTGTTCTTGTATAAAGTCTGAAAGAATTTGAAACATACTTGCTTGACCGTAATTAAAATGGTCAATAAATAAAAATAATGTGTCAATCCGAATACCTAAGTTGTAACTTACCTGACCGAAGGGCGTGACCAAAGTCTCAGTTTCACCACATGGCCCTACGGGTTGATGGAAGCCCACAGAGACCTCATTCTCCGGTTTGAAGAACACCACGAAAGCCAAATAAATTGTGTAGTGTAGAGCCAATTGGGAAAGAAGAACGTAGTCCAAGAACGAGAGGCTGTAAGTTAACAACGTTTTATATAAAAAACTGATCTGCACCATCTAATGCACTTCCGTTCATAACATGAACTTTGACATAAGATTAGGTACGAGCTAATACCATCCCGGAAGATCCCAGTCTATGGGCGATCTTTGTATTCGCGCTATTCGAAAGACATTGGCTATCAACACACTTTAATATGAAGCTGGGCCTTATCGAAATAGGTCATGACCCCATACATAAACAATAGATTACTTTTTCAAGATATACGATTAGCGCATTTTTCAAAAGGCCACGTTGCTTTTGTGTACAGAGTTGGCACACAAAAGGGAACCGGTACTACATGCTTCCCGGTGGGAAGGTAAGGATCAGGTGTCAAGTTCTGGGTGCAAACGTGACCAATTAAGAAATATTTAGAAGTCATTCAAAGTATATGCCCACAGCGGCAGCCATACGGGAATTCAGTTTTCTTGTCGCCTTTTGGCACAATGTAATTTCGTTCAAAGGTCTGTCATCGATCGAGAGAGCTACCCGGTTCATATTGACTGTGACTGACGATGACTTAACTTACCCATCTTTACGTTTCGGTCTGTCGCCAAGAAGTCCGTGAAGCACGATGACGGAAAATATTGCAAACAGCAGAAAGAACGTGACTTCAGAGTGAATCTTGTACATGTCGTGCAAAGGATGATAGATGGGTATAAACAGAAGAACACCACCAAACATTCCCAGCATAGAAGATAGCACCAAAGATCTTAATTCGACTGAAAACCTAAAATCAAGCGAAAAGCAATCGCCAATATTTCACAAAGTTTAAGAAATAATACTGCTTTAGGCTTTTCAAAAAATATGTTGACAAATTAAATACGCAATTTAATTATGTAGCTATCAATATTTTAAAATTAAATATTACATTCAGAAGTATTTCGGCTGTTTTATAAAATCTTTTTATGTAATGTGAATGAGACTTACTTAGCAGACGCCCACTGTTGTACGTTGGGTGCAAAATATCTTTTAGAAGCGTGGAATAGATAAAAGAAACTAGCGGCGAATGCCGCGTGGAAGTAATAAGAATTCCACGGGACCCAATAATGGCGGTCAAAAATATTAGGGTCTGTGTCGTGCCACACCCAATGTACGAACTTTACAGCTACTATGTCGTACGGTATGTCTATCAACACTGTGACTAGACCAATGGCGAACGGCTCAGCATATCTCGGTAAATTCAGCCGAGAAACAGCGTAAGCGGCGTGGTAGATGAAAGCTGGATCTGAAATTATTATTTTTGTCTTAGTAATAGATATAAAATTAAAGTGACTTATGTGTTGTTCTATTGTGCCTTTAATTTAAGAACTTACATATATTTGTAGCATAGTCGTCGAAACATAACTACAGTGTTAATTTTTTAAAAAATGACCTGGGCGCATCAAAATAAAAAAAAATATACTTGCATGGGGCGAACACATTTTCACTGATTCTTACCAGGCAAGTAGTTGATCAGACTTCTGTGCCCTGCCCGACCGAAACAATTTTTGTTTCCTTGGGATTCGAACCCAGGTCTCTCGCGCTTAACGCAATGCTAGGCGTTGGTAACGCAATGCTAACGTTTAACCATTTGGCTACAAAGGCGGTCAAAAAAAAAAAAATTTATTTATTCTCGATAAAATTTTAAAAATTATTTACATTCGTCAAAAAAGATCTGTCATATATGCAATATGAGAGAGAAAAAATAGTGATCTTACATAGGAGTATAATGTGCAGAGGTAGTCGTTTTCCCAGGAATATTATTGGACTCTGAGAATGCCAAAAGTTATCAAATTCTGGCAAAACAATGGCCCAAAAGTTATCGGTGACGATCCCATGGAGCAGAGTGCCCAGCCAGAAGTATGGCCACCTCCCACCTTTGCTGAACGCTAAAACATACAATTAGAATGTAAAACATTTGAACGATTAATCATAAACAGCACATACAAACAAAAAACTCAATCAAACAATGGCTAAACATTGTATGAAAGGTAACGACAATCACCACAGCTTAGACCCACCACGCTGGTCCAGTGCGTTTTAGCGGCTTTTAACGACCGCCACTATATTAGTGATGGCAACAGTGGCTGACGGCATAACGTTAGTCACGGTATCTCCTAATTACAAAGTACGGGCTGGTATTAGCGATTGCCTTAGAAAAATAACCAAGGATTCGAACCGAGAGCTCGTGATCTACAATCAAGTGCATTAACCACTAGAACAATGAGGCAGTGAAGAACGACGAACATACCGTGGATTAACGTTAAAAATCCAGCCAAGATGTAAATAGCTTGGGATATTATGTATGTTGGTTGATTTGCCCACAGTTCTCCTACATCATTAACGCTGACGAACCAGTTGTCATACAGTGGCTCCTAGGAAAGTGAAATATATTTTTAAATACACATGATTTCGTCGCCCGCGCGTTTTAGCTGTTTATATGATCCGTGGTGTACATAACCCGCTGCACAGTTTACATGCCCAGCGACATCATGTACATATTTGAAAAAAAAAAATAACCTAGTGAAGCAGACACAAAAATAAGAACAACTGACTTTCGCTATTGATTTCAAACTAAATAAGTAAAATCCAAGTGAGGACTCCTCTCGTAGGAACGTTTTAAGGACTTAAACCCACCATGCTGCCCCAGTATGGATTGGCAGTTAAGTAAAAAAACTATAAACGGTGGAAATATGTAGGTAGTTAAGTATGTGCACATATGGCATGATTTTTAATATTCATGTACGTGTCTTTCGTATATTATTATTTCTTTATAGGTATATAAGTTTGAAAACCTCAAATCTAACGTTCTCGACATAATATTATCTATATAATTTTATTTGATTATTATGACTTTAATAAATGTATAAACTTTCCCACGTGGTGCTGTTTTCTAAATTTAAAATGAAACAATATCTAGAACCAGTTCAAATAGAATTCGTACATGCTTATGGTAATAAAGCGCACGATAAGAAAATTTCGATTGCCAAAGTAGTTTCATGAATTCAAATAAGTTGCTTACCGCCATTGCTTCGATTCAATGGAAGGAGACTACTTAACGCCAGCGTCTGACAGCTACTGTGAAGTGCCACCTAGGACCTACGATAGCATACGAGGCTACGACACTCGTAGTTGGACTGACAGTTCAAGTACTAGGGATGATCAGAAATCGATTACTTAAACATTTTCAATTTTCATTCTATATAATCGTACAGATTATAAATAATCGTTTCGTTAATATTAAAGACGGGGATTCATCTACAGTGATATAACTCATTTTGCCAAACTGCATGTAAAGATAAAATAAATAGTATATTAAAGTTAATTACAAAATAATTTCATAATGAAATAAACTATAGGGAACGTAAATATTGTAGCACTAATGCGACAGCAGAGACAGAGACTTGACAGCGGACAGTGAAAAAACTTCTTAATGACATGCTGTCAACAATGGCTAAAAGAAAATAAATATTTTTCCTATGCTAAAGCAGCTGAACTAATGCTAAACATTAAAAAGATATTGGTATATATAAATTAATAAGGGTCCTTAACATGGCTGAATCATATTATAAGTTCATAGATGGGCAGATAATAGACGAGAAACAGAAACCGTAATTGATAAAATGGAAATGTAATCGATTTGTTTTGAATTCGTTACATTAATTCTAATTTTTCGCGTTCGCAGCGTTTCAGTTTATGATTAAATAATGACAATTGCAATTCGTAAAAGATGTGCTGGGCTGTCAAGTAAATATAATTATGTCTGTTCAATTAGATATTTTAATTCTCCAGAAAGAAAGTAAATTTAAAACTTGTTATGCCTTAAAGCCCTTAAGGCCTAGGTTAACAACTAACTTTTCAATGTAATAAAATAGGTAGAACCATGGAACATATCCACAGCTACTTTAGGTAATCATTATTTACAACCTGCATATGTAGCATCCTACTTTTAGAAGAAAAACATGGACAAGAAAATATTAGAGGTAAATGAAACAAAAATTCACTATATGTTTATAATAAAAAAGTTGCTAATTCATGTCAGTATGACGATATAAAGTTAATATTTATAGTAAGTAATGCAAGCACACAAACTACAAGGTAATTTATTCAATATAGACAAAGCAATAAATAGTAAAATACTGTCTATAGTTTACACGAGTAGTACACATTTAAATAAAACACTAACGGTTTAAAATGCGATATATTAGTTATATATATATATATATATATATAAATAGTTTATTAAGTATGAATAGTATCAAACCATTGGCCATGCAACAATATTGATTATTTTACCCTTGTTGAGAATAAGAAGTCTTCTCCAAGTTACATAATGGAGATTGATTTGGTGATTAATCTTAACCGGCCATGCAGAAATTGCTCCCCAGATGCAGTTGTAATTTGTGGAAGAAAAGGTTGGTTGAGATAAGGTGTCCTGCCATGTATAGAAATGAATTTATAATTAAAGAAAACAATTTCTAGTTTTTATTGTTGTATATATTAGATGAAAGAAAATCACTTAGATTAAAATTCAAATGTATACTTGTATTCAAATGTGTAATTCCTATTAAAAGGTACAAAATCATTGCCATATGTATGGAAGGAGTAAAAATCTGAGTCTATATATATTTTTTTATGATTGCCTTTGAATATTCGAGCTGTTCATTATAATCAATTATAATTTTAAAAATGTTGTGATTTTTGTTTATAAGTATAAAGTTATATGTATATTACTTAGTTTAGGAAATAACATAAAGTACATTATATATTTACATTACTAAAATGCAATGCTTAAAATTGCAGTTTTAATGTTCACTGACAAAATATAAACTATATCTTGGTACTTCAGGAAACTGATTAGCATTTTATCAAAGACCCTAATCTTCTGAGCAATTCTAATCTTGCTTAAATCTACTTCCTTCAACGCAAATTGTGCTGCATGGCATAGTTGCAATCATTTCGTACATATGTTGTTTTACAATGGAACACTTTATCATCAAAAGACCCTGGAGAGAAAATCTCCAGGATGCCAACGAATCAATTATCCTACAATTATGATGAAGGATTCACTAGATCTCCATCTTAGCATTTAGACACAAAACTTATGAAACCACCAGGAGTGCAGCCAAATAAAAGTTTTATTGTATATCCATGTTTCTAATCCGAGCCTACGTTTTCAGGACACTTTAAATTCAGGACACTTTGAATACAGACAACATAAATAAAAGATTTCAAATGTCTATGTATGATTATTCTCTAGATTTGGAATACTAGATTCCATACTGAAAACTCATTAAGTTAAGTAATTCTGTCTTTAGCTTCATAAATGTGATGTATGTCTGTATTTGAGGACATCATCTCATTTTGTTCTAAATAAAAATGCATCTTGTAATTAATAGTAATAGTTTCAAAATATAAAATAAAAAGGAATAAACTTATAAGTAAATATTAGTGTTACTTCTTTTTTTAGTCCGATTAATTTGACAACTCGATTAATCCGATGTTCGTATTAGTGTATTTATGAAAAAAATATCCTTTATCTCTCCAAGCAAATTTCCTCTTTAAACCTTCTCTTTATACAATTGCATTATACAAATTGAAGACAACCGATTCCACATTTGTTGCAGAACCTCGAGAAGCAAGACATCTCAATCCAGCTCCTTCAGCAGATATAGAAAATGCGCTATTGTTGATTTAAGATTAAATATAATTTTTCACTTCATTATAACTACTAAAAAATTAAAGTAAAAATCATAACATATTTTCTTTAAAGAGGAATAAAGTATTATCGATTATAAATATCCTAGCTTTTTATTTTTCATCGAGCATCCCTAATTCTCTCTTTGTGCATGTTGACAATATTGGTTTTTCCTTTTTTTCTGTTTTGGAGTATAGGTCGCCGCACGGATGTTTAGCGCTGAACGAATATAGTTGCGCATCTTTATAATCCCGCACGTTGCCCGCAATTGATTGGGAAACTTGACTGTACTCGAGAAGCAAGCGATGCGTTGTATTGGTCCGAGAAAGATAACACGAGTGGTGAACCAATCAACGCTAGCGCACATGACGTTCACTTGCCCCGTGCCTGCTTCCGTCCCTTCGATACCTTATTTTTGACTTCTGCGCAGGATTCGTTCATATTCACCAATCAGTAATCACCATTTCTTATTCGTTAACTGAAATCTGTTCGTGCTCACTGCTCAGAGAATTATTCTCATTGTGGAGTGTGGACGCTAACACCGGGTGCTTGTTAATTATTAATCATTTTAATATTACATGGTGAGTTCTTAATTGGATCTTGGATGCGTAATATGTTTTGTGGTCCATTGCAAAGATTATGTTTGACATTGTAAGCGTGCAACTTCATTTCATATAATTTTTATCTCAGGTACTTGCTAGTTAAATTTCAAAATGATTAACTTCAAAGTGGTAACCATTCGAAATCAGATGTTCCGTGTATTTATCGATGAACAGGTAAGGCATTGAACATTCCTATTAAAATGTTTCCTCGATCATATGATTGCTGTACGGCAGCCATTATGATTCTAACACGTGCTTTGACAGTTTTACTTATTCTTACTGGTTAGTCCAATTAGCTATTACCAAACAATTTTCTTGTATAGCAGGAAACTGAATTGGTTTAACTTGTTTTTTTATTTCATTACTATCATTTTCTAACGTATTGTTTCATTAGTTCAGCATTAATAAAATAAAATTTAATCAAACTGCATTAAACCTCTTGGAATGTTAGGTAATATTTTTCAAAGCTTTGAACTGTAAATTAAGTTTCAATGTAATGGTTTTAACATATAAGATGCAGTGTTTATCAAAGATGCTGCTGTGATAAGTGCTTAACGAGTGTGGTCATTATTTGAGCGATTTTTAAATTTTGCTTTTATACTTCCTTCACCTACATTATTGGCTAAAATATTTGGTGACTGAGCTAGATGGTTTTTAAACATTGCTATTCTATGTGATTATTTATATGAATCGATTTATTTCAATATTCTTCAGTGCTATGTAAAAGATCTAAAGGAGTGTTTTCGAGAATATGTAGACCTCGCCCCAGTTAATCAACGCCTCACGCTTCAAGGCAGGCTTCTAGTTGACTATGAAAAATTAAAATATTACAGTAAGTAGTACAGTTACTTCCCATGCCTTACCTATCTGAAGTAATATCAAAGAATAGTGAAAGAAAGTAAATATTTTAGCATTTTTTTCTTTTTACTTTGATGTCTATTTTTTGTTGAAAACACTATTTAAAAAAATACCCTATATACAGATCTAACATTCAATGCTAAAGGTCCATCGGTGGTCATCTTTGCATTGGATAATGAGGAATATACACATTGCCTCATATTCTTTAAATTATTATTAAAATCAATTTCATTCTGCTGCTTTTACATCATTTCATGCATACTACCGACACAATTTATCATTCTCCATACATAAGCTGAACAGCTGTTGTGATATAAGGGACAAGACATGCGGTAATAAGTACAACAGCATTTCTTAGTCCTGATTCCTAAGTTTGTTGTTCATCTAATTTAAGCATATTAAAGATGAATTTTAAATTTATCATTAATGTATGACTAAAATGACTAAAACCCTAAAAAGTGTATAATTTTTAGTATAGAAATATACGATACGTACGATAAAGTTGTGTTGGGTCAATGGTACATATGCCAGATTTAAAGTCCAGTCAGCTCTGGTCCCCACCAGAAGCGATCCTTAATGTCATTTAATTTGCTTACAGACTTGGAAGGAAAACTTGTACACATGGCTGCCTGTTTTGGAAATCCACCTGTTCCCAATGAAAATATTCAAGAAGGAAATTCAAATAATATTGAAAACATGCCCGTGAGTAGACAAGATGAACCAGATATTTATGTAGATAGATTTTATTCAGTTAGAAGCCTGTAAAATAAGTGTTGTGTTGTAATTTAAACCAGACAAATTATGAGGTAGTAAATTTTATTAGATCACAATTTATTACAATTTTAAACAGTCGCCTACATTGACCCGCCTCCGTGACATAAGATTGATAACAGAGAAAATCCGAGGTGACCTGGAAATTTTAAGTGCCTTAGCTGAAGAACCGTCCCTTTTAGCTAGAAGCACTACACCGCTGTAAGTAAAAAACATCTCCATAGTATAAAAGTGTATATACATAAAGTTTATAACATTTATACTTTTTAATGACAGTACAGGTTAAACCTCACTCAACAAAAGCTGCCCTGTACCCTGTAAAAAATACTCTGGCCCTATAAGTTTAAATATTTCATGGCTATTCTATACTCTGTGACCAGTAGTCTGTTTCCATATTTCTACAATGCATTTAATATCCAGTTAAGCAGAAAAATTCTGAATTTCTTTTAGAAAAAAATAAAATTGAATTTAGAAACGTGCGAGTGGAACTGGTGGGAATCAACAATCAACCATTATTATTATTAATTGATTAAAAAAATTATTAATTGATAGAAATCCTGGTACACATTATCTGCTAACCTTTTCTTCACCCATTTTCTTATAACCCACGACCACGACCATATATTGGACCAATAAGCTTGGTATACGAGCTTTACTTTTATACGGTACTTTTAACATTGCCCGCGACTACTTCCCGTCATTCTTACGAGTTAATCTTAAAATTCTTTAATATACATGTTTTTAAGTTATTATGACATTGCAAGTTTTTGAACCATTAAAAGTATTTTATTACTTATTTATTAATATTGCGTAAAACCTATGCCACAGGAACCTAGGCGAGTACCAGATCTCAAAGGAAGTTGCAGATGTGGTCTTGGAAGTAGAAGATTTATTTCGCGTCTATTTTCCGTATATGCGAAAGTACGCTGACCTTTTAAGGAGAAGTGGAGACCACGACGTGATGTCGAACTTTGCAGAGCAGTTGGTTTGTCAGCGCTTTGTATATCTTGCCGGGAACCTCTTACATAACTTCTCTCACGCTTGTCATGTGATAAGCGACATCCACCTCCTCTATACCAACAAAGGGGGGAGTAGAGTCATGTCGGAAGGCATGCCGCGGTCTATACCTCATAGGTCGCGAATCAGCGTGGCTTGCAGCATCACGCCCGAAATCGTTGACGGTCAACAATCAACCGACACGGGCACCTGTTCAGAGAGTACCAATTTACAAGGTGCGTTTTCTAATTGTTTTCGTTTGTTATGTTTGGGCTCTTTTTCAAGTGCACGTGTTGATTTAGTGTCCAGCGGCGACATGTCCTTGCTGATCCAGCAAATGATGTCGCTAAGGACCTGCAGGACATCGAGCGACACATCTAGCTCAACGGACACCTCAAAGGTCTATGAGTCTCAACCCGGGCCTAGCCACGACATTTACTTCGACGGTAAAACCATCACTTTCCTATTTTGGCCGTAGATAAATCATTGCTGGCAAAAACAACATTTCTTCGTTACTTCTAAGATTTTGCAGTATGTATATTAATGATATGACCGTCTCTGTAGCCAAATGGTGAAACGTATTGCCTAGCATTGCGTCAAGCGCGAGACGTCCTGGGTTCGAATCCCAGGGAAACAAAAAATTGTTTCGGTCCGGCAGGGCACAGAAGTCTGATCAAGCACTTGCCTGTTAAACAACGGATCAGTGAAACGGACACAAAAATGTGTTCGCCCCATGCCCCACGAGGGGAAACGGGATTTCATATACTAATGACATAAATTGCCTTACATACAGCTTCGACGAGTCCTCGAAACTATAAACCAGGCAAGACATTGCCGTGCGAGAGCATCTACGTCAGGGAGGATAAGGGGCAGCATAGCAGTGGCGCAGGACGCCTGAGCAATGCTGCCTTAAAGATTACGAAGCACAATCTGAACAGTCTCTATGCGCACTTCTCAATGAACTCGTCTGCACCCGAGGCCGTTGTAATATCGGTCCATATACTTCTACACCAGAAACTGACGCCTACACGGGCGGGGATTTTAGATAGCTACAAGGTAGCCGAACTGCAAAAGAATCTCAGTGGAAGCCTGCCACGCTTGATCGGGCAAGACAATTTGGTTAACTCTGACGAGTGTATCGATGCCCTGACTGACGCTCTTATGGCTCATCACGGGGAGTTTATCGGCTGCCGCCTGCAGGTACTGTCAGCCAAGCCCGAGGTAGACGTGCTGTCGTCCATTCGCTTACTAGTGCGTAGCTATTTGAGTGACTATATTGGAGGAGCTGCAGGGTCCCGGCCGGTGGACGCCAGCCTCGTTCGCGTCTACCGCGCCTTTTGCGAACTGATCTACTACTGCAGCAGAGGTCTGATCCAGACATTCAGGGAGGTATACCGCGCCTTCTTTATGTACTGTGCGCAGGAACTGAACGAGATCTTACTGGACTTGCTGTTTGGCGTTGCGATGTCTAACATGACCTTTGGAGTGAACTTCATCTCCCAGATCCCAAAGACGAACTGGCGACCTCCGTTTATCGTCGAGTGGGCGATCACCATCGACTCATCGCACTCGTCCACCGAGATCTCGAAGCCTTTGTCCCGGAGACTGCGGAAATATCGCAAAAATAAAGGCAGCAGGTGAGCGGGGCGACGCCGCATGCGTGCGTCTCTACTCGGCGTATGGTTTAATCGGCATGTATATTTTACAGGACGCGCAGACCTAATGCGCCTGTGAACGTAGTCTCTTCCGAAGTCTCCGACTCGTCCTCTTCTGGCCAAAGGTGCGTGCTGGATAATGCGATTACATAGGCAGTGCCATGACTGATGTAAATGGCATTTAGCTAGAGAATCTGGGACCGTTATGCTTATGGGCATGTAGTTAAAAGGCATGATTGCGGGTTTGAACATTTTGGTATGTGTAAGACAACGTATTAAAATAAAACATTAACGGTTTAAAACGCGATATATATTAGTTAGACTTATTTAAAAAAAAATCTAACTACGGCCCGATGTTCCCTGTGACCACGGCTGCTGCAAAGCGTCCGAAACGTAGAGCCGTAGTTAAAATAATTTTCTAATAAATTTTACTAATATATATCGCGCTTTAAACCATTAGTGTTTTATTACAACATTGTTAGTTGAAATCTCTTAAACGAATATTTAGGAGTACATAATACTAGGCAAACCTAAAAAAAAACACCTTAAATCTAAGTCTTAATTTATTTAGTAATCTTAATTTACACAAAAAATATAACTATTTCGATTGCTTTGCAGAAACCTTCGCCCGCTACTTCGTCTGAGTAGAAAAGTGACTTATCAATATTATGATAAGATAGATATAATTCTAATTCAATAAAAATCTAATCTAGCTATACGACCTTGATACAATCTTTTTTTATAAATTTCAATATGTTATTATAAGGAGTTTTTCCTGATGATCTGTGTCTGCATGTTAATTAGATTATGTGTGGGGTGTGCTATTAATTTTTAAGTATGGTGATGGATAATCGCAGTTTCGATTGATTTATCGTTTTAGTAGAGAGCAACCTATGTTTCTCCTCAGCTCTCCGCGTGCGTCCACTTCGTGCATCGCACTTCTACCCGACTTGTGAGTATTATTCTTTTTAGTCGAAATAATAATACCCCAGTCGGGTTAGACTTCAATCAGGAAAAAAATATATAGTCAGACTGTTTTCGCCAATGTTAAGAATAGTTGAGGTGCTTGGATTGCTTGAATTTAGAAACTTGACCAAACATATTATTTGATCCTCTACGACGTTGGGTATTTTTTTGTATTTAAGAGACCCTTCTATTCAGAAGGGTCTCTTAAATACACAAAAATACCCATATCTGACTATAATATTAATTCTAACAAACCTCTTTTTTGAGTTAACTCGACTGGCTTATAAACAATTAACACTGGACAAGGAGTCTACTTTGACTGCAGGTGTCGAGCGCCCTCTTCAGAGACGCACGCGTACGTGTCCAAAACGCTGCAAAAGGGGCTTTACGTGCGACCAGCTCTACCGCCCTCCACGGTTTCGTACAGGGTCTATGTGATTTATTAAAAATATTTTCTAATTATTTTAATTTGCAGATAATTGTGACAAAACAAGGTATGTGTTGTGCATGCATTAAAGACATTCTTTTCAGTATTTTTAGTATAGTTTAACATTGGTGGTGGTAAATAAAGGAACTTTTATAAATGAAGCACCTTACCCAACTAATGGACAGCATTCGTTGCGCAGACCCGCTGCACCACGTAGAAGTCAGCGCATAGCTGCAACGCGAAGAAGTCTGCTCGTAGCTGCACAGCGAAGAAGTCCGCTCGTAGCTGCACGGCGAAGAAGTCTGCTCGTAGCTGCACAGCGAAGAAGTCCGCTCGTAGCTGCACGGCGAAGAAGTCAGCGCATATTAAACAGGAGCACAACAGAAGATGCGGCGATTGGCCTTGACCGATCTTAGTCAAAGTCGGTGTCGTGGCTCAAATGAGCTGTCGTGACCTAACCACCTTATATATACCTTGTTCTCTTTCAGATCATAGATTTTTTCTTACAAATATTACTTTAGTTTTGTTATATCTATTTAACATCGTGCACTTAATGTCAATATTTATCAAAGATCTCACTGTTAATGGTGCTTTATTATAGATTCATATTTACAACATCATTACATTTAGCTAAACTAGGCCCATTTTTGTTAGAACTTAGATCCTTAGGCTTAGTGTACATTGTTATATTTATTAAAGACTAGCTGACCCGCACCCACTTCGTTGGGTGGTAAATAGCCCATGTCACTCACTGTCCATCCTTTTATTTAACTATCTCTAACTTAAATAACTGGTACCTTACTCATAGATCTAAACTCCCCTCCCGCACTCGCACCCCCGCCTTGGTGACGCCCACTTCGCAACGCAGAAATAGTAATATTTTAATTTCGCCATAACTTCAAAACCAAACGTCCAATTTTAATCTTTTAAATACCAAATATTATCTACATAAACTGTACTTAGTGATGAAATAATTTATTTTAATAAGGATTAATAGCATGAGTAAAATAAATGCGTTTAAATGTAGTCCAAAAAAAAATAAGATTTTTAAATAAAAAAATGGTTGTTGTGCCTCACTCGACATAGATAGGTATAGTGTGTCGCGGACTTTTTTGTAGATATTTATTAGATCTCCAGTTAATTAGAACATTTTATGCTTCTATCTTTTATAGTTTAGGCAGCGTACGCAAAATAAGTAACTTTTCTGGTGTCCGAAAAACCCAAATATTTTAAGGAACCCTATTTTTTTCCAAAATAAAATTTTGCCTATGTTACTCGTGGATAATGTAGCTTTCGAATGGTGAAAGAATTTTTAAAAACGGTCCAGTAGTTTTTGAGCCTATTCATTACAACCAAACAAACAAAGTTTTCCTCTTTATAATATTAGTGTAGATATCGTATTTAAGTATAGTAAGAGTTACATCCTTTGAGATATGTGCCGGTGCATGTATTTGATACATGTGCCCTTTTTTAATAATTTTAATTACAAATAAGTTAAGTTAAAACTTAAGTTTCGTTAAAACTATTGAACATTAGCACTTAATATAAATATTTATTAAAGATCTCACTGTTAATGTAAAATTGTAATTACTACCAAATAAATATAACTTCTTGGCATGGTGCACTTTGTTAGTAACAAATAAAGAGTGAGGCTTTCGTTAATAAAATCTATTTCTAGTCACTTTTTCTTTTATTTATTGCCTAACCACACAAAAAATGAGAATTCTACAAAGAAAGAGAAAGTAATTAGTTGTTACTTATTTTTTATAAATAGGTAGATATTTTTATTTTAAAAAGTTATACAGGTGTTTGGTGTAGCCACAGGAAAATGGTTAATAGGTGATGTTGGCGACATTTTGAGCCTTAATTAAAAATTTGCATTAAGTTTAAGCAGTTTTAGAAAATCCCCAAGTTATTGACAAAACGTAATTTTTTTTATTCATGATTAAAGAAACAATTTAATTAACTAGCATAGTCTTTCCACTATCAGATTTAATCATTATATCATACAAACCATTAAATAAGTAACTTGTAGGTATTATACATCGACAAAAATCTTGTCATCTTCACGCTGTTGAACAAAGCTTAAGCGTGGGATTTACAAACGAACTATCTTGTAAGTGTTATCTACGTCACTAATTTTAAAAACAGTTTCAGGATCATTTTCGTCATATATATACACAACTGAACATAAAAACCTGGTTGACTCGGACACCAATAGATTTTTAATTTCTTCATTTTCTATTCAAGTATTAGTAGTCAGTTACATGGGCCTTTTTAAAAATATGTAATGTTTTTTATTTTAGTAAAAAAAATCATTAATCTATCTATATGTCGAAGACAACGCGCGGGCATGAATACGGGAGCTGAGTTGTAGCGCAGCGTGCGAGTGGGGTTGACCGGTTTGAAGCTAACGTCATGGCAGCCAACTTCACGCCGTACGCTAGGACAGAGCCCGGGCTTCGGCCGAGGGCATTCGTTATTTGGATCGCACAGTTAGACGGACGTCTGCGACCTAATCGGTCGGGACGGCGGGAATCGTCCACACCATAACCCAGCATAGTGATTTATTTAGTGTTCGAATAAAACTGTGAACGTTTAGTGTTTAGTCTCATTGCTCGATATCCTATTAACGCCCTCAAACACTATGTCGGACGACGACGGAGGCCTAGCTCCTGACCCGAATTCGAGATATATTTTCGAGAATAATTGTTTATTTATTCTTCTACCCTATTAAAACAAAATATATTAATATAAAGTAATGGAATTAGCCCATGCACAATATCTGTACTGGTAACATTCAGAAGCCACTACAGATTATTTTTTTTGCGGTTTGTTTCTATCAAGTAGTTTTTTTTATTTACTACTAGCGGCCCTGTCCCGGCAAGTACAGTTATTTAAATTATAAGAATGCTAATTAAAACGACCATGAATCACTAAATTAGAAAGAAAAATTTATTTCGCGTCCTGGCTGTTAACGACCTTTGTCTATCACGCTGTGTCAGGAGCCGCTGCGAGCGTTGAGTGTTAGCGTCCCGTGCACGCGTTCGCAAAATTTCTAGCTCTATTTCCTTCAAGTCGCTGAGACGAACTTGCCTTTTGTCCTGCAAAACGAACCTGAACATTCGACGATAGATTCTCATGCTTATGATTGGGACGCGTACACTATAAATCTTTTCAGATGATCATTTTAGGAAGAAGACTCTCCACTAAGACAAACTTTGCTAATCTCGCTTGGGCACTATTCTTAGCTAGCTATGATCTTCTTCTAGGTAGCTAAATTAATAAAGTTAATAAATAAATAAATATTGTTATGAAGGATATTTCTTTTAATCAGAGAAATTAAGAATAAACTAATAATAATACAAAAGAAAATATTCAAGTTCAAAGCGATAGTTCTGAAAAGAAATTTGACAAATATTATGCAAAGTGTGATTCCTAAAACTAAGTAGCTTTGAAAAGAACTTTTTAAGTGAAGCATAAAACTGTTTAAAAAAAAAATCGAAATATTCAATATCGTTCGCACCCACTGCCCCTCTATCGTCGAATTAGATACTCGATGCGCGGCGTGCATTTTTATTTTAACTTCGTGATATCTTTTGAATGGAATGTCCGATTTCAATAATTAAATTAAAATAAATAGTAATCATCAGGTATTGAGACGGTCTTGAATATATAATAAAATATAAATGTATAAATGGTACGGATAAGACGGTCTGGTTTTGATCGGCGTTCCTATCAATTTGTTTAAATGTAAAAAATTAGTAATAGATATTATCTATAGTAATCGAGTACTAAATATAGCCTATGTTACTCGGTGATAATGTAGCTTTCTGAAATGATGACAAAATGAATTATTATAATCGATCCAGTACTTTTTTTTGTTTACCCGTTACATACAAAAAATACAAAAATACACATACGACGTTGGATTGACATTTATTTGACATCGACATTGAAGATGAAATTTTAAAAGGAAGCGTTAAATTTTTGGCTTTTTCGATCTTTGTAAAAACGAAACATAAAGCATCGTAACTGTTTGATTTGTTAATTATATTTAGAAGTTTATTGACTGCATAAAACGCACGCTCTGATTTTGATCGTCATTTCTATCAATTTGTTAAATGTAAAAAAGTAGTTATGGCGACGTAACTACAATAGTTAGACATATGCTCTAGCGATGTTTTTTTGTAGATATTAATATATTCTATAATATTGTCGAACATTTTTTTGTCCTATCATTAATACTTTTCGCAGCCTATGCGAAGAAAGACATTGTACGGCTAATTTTTTTACGCCTTGCGTTGGTTTTAGTAAGAATTTCTATAGATGTCTATTGTAATCGAGTACTAAATATAGCCTATGTTACTCAGTGATAATGTAGCTTTCTAATGAAAAAAGCATTATTAAAATCGGTCCAGTACTTTTTGAGTTTACGCGTTACATACAAAAATACAAATCTTTCCTCTTTATAATATTAGTAGGTTCCATTTTTAAAATTATCTCGTTACATTTTGATTTAGACGGCTCAACTATTGTTGTATAAAGTGAACAAAACTTGTATTAAGTATCGACTGTTCGTCTAAGTGTACAAACTAATCATCTGAATAATAATAACACCAGCATTAACTCATTCCACAGTCTTGATTGTAGGTACTAAATACCTAGAACACATGATTTGTACATGTTCCCATTTCCAAATTTGTTATATTGTATCATAACAATTAGTCTTTAATATAAATGTAATTACTGCTGTGAAAGAAATAACATCAATATACAAAAATAATTCAGTGACTTTTCTGCATATGTGTGTCGCCACACATTGATGCATGCGTTTGGGGCCAGATTCAGACAGAGAAGGAAGTATCTTTTGTGCTTAAGAATCATTTATATCGTGCCATTCATTCATAGGTGAATGTTTTTGATGTTGAAGTTACCATTTCTACGCTTTATTACTACACATAATATGTATGTGTATTGGCCCCATATTGAGATGTACTTCTCTGGGGTAGACTATTCAGTGCCAAATTTTTTAGTCTTATTAATTTAATGATCTAAATGATTCATTGTTAGAAAGTGACACACATGGAATACAATTTTATTAGACACATTTTGATTAACAATTATAATCTAACCTTACCTGCTTTGTTTTCTTATAATGCAATTGTCCCATACTTGCAAGAATGTGCTACCTACACACAATACTACTGAGAAAAGAGCGTACAACAGGGGTCAGTAATTAATTGCAAAATGTAGCTAACATTTGGGTCATTTACATTATAAATCTTGATGCCAATTTGGGTAATTTGGTCTTTTGAAAGATACATCCCTAGAATTTAAATAAAAAACAACTCTGTATGTGTACTCTTTATTAACTTGCTTACTAAATTCACTCTTAATACACTTAGTTCCACAATCTTCTTTTATGCTCTTGAGTTCACATAACTATACACTTTTATCATGATTTACATTACAGGTATCGAATATATATACAAACATTTCGTTTATTAATAAGCTCTGTTTTCTCTAGAAAATGATTTATTTTTGGTATGTTATGAGATTTTTTTAAAGAAATAATCTGAGACAGTACAACCTTAGGAAATAACTTCTCCCTTTAATAATCTGCAACAATAATTAATTATTACCTACGACGAACTCGGCTAAGCGACAGCCCCGTAAGTACATTTAGGAATCCAACACTATATATATAATACTTCGTTGATCGGCTTTTATTAGTAACAGTTGAATGTATGTAATAATGGTCTAATTAAACCCTGGTTAAAACGTTTATGAGTAACCTTCAGTAAAGTAAAACTCCACAGTGCTTACTGCTTACTAAGATAAATAAACAAACTACAATGTCAATTGTCCAGTCCATAATCGTCAATGTCAATCTAGTACGCCCGTGCTGTCTACAGTGTAAGTACAGATTACATCACAATCTATGGTATAGTACAACTCTAGTTCTACTCGATTTGAAATCACGACTTACGACTGTGACATGGCGTCCATCAAGATAAATTACGGCCTCTTGTAAATTCAGTTTACCGATAGTGGCCTTTGTATCAATTTTATCACTGAGGCCGTAGAAATCGTACATTTGCATTGATGGTAATGCATGCGAGGAAACCTCACCGAATAAGCGATGGGTACGGTAAAATTTGATATGCTCGTAGTGCCACTCTTTAGATGGCGGTCTCCAATTGAGACTTGCTTTAACGAGGAAATTCTAAAGTCTTTCTCTATTTTCAGGTACTTTGAGAAGCACCAGGCCCATCCGTATCAGGTATGTTTTTCATACATAATTTCTGTCGAGGGATACGGTCGTGTTACTTTGAACGTATTACCACTTAATTTGTATTGCCTTTCGGGCTTTATCGCCCGAGTTTCTTTAACTAGTCGTACATATAGAAATTCGTTATGTTTTCCTTGTAATAGCTTACTGGGCGCTCCAGATCCTAGTAATCATTTTACTAAGTGTTACTCCACTTTTTAATTAATATTATCGAATTCATGTTTGTTCGCGAATTACACATTTAACCAAACCCTTAATCAATTATACATTTTACCATATATATCTAATTTGCATAGCCCATTTGTTTCTGTTTAAGCAATTCAAATGTTTTTTTATGAAAAGTAAATACATAAATAAATCATTTCCAATCATAACAAACTGAATGTTAAAGATGTTAATTTTATTTTTGTAGCAACAAGTTTTATTTTTATCAATTATAAATTATATTTAAATATTATTTGTTGCTAAACCAAATACAACATAAACACAATTATAAGAGCAGTTTCAAATAGATAGAAAATGGGACAATCAATGCTTGGTGATGAGCGCTTTATTTTCTTAAAGACATTGAGAAACAATAAGATTTATGCCTTTGAAAATAAAGTTGTATGCTTAAATATATTTGTTCTTAGCAGAAATATAATAAGAGGGCCAATGATTATGGATCATCTGACCGGTACGCACCTCTTCGATCCCCCAATGGGAACATGTCCCATGGCCATGCTCACGGGCACACCGGACACTCTGGCCACACACACCATCATTACCATAGCATGGTTGACGATCAGGGATATGTCACATCAAGGAATTCCTATATACCAAAAGGCTTAGAGAAGGAGAGAGAGCGAGACTATAAATCCTCTAGGCATAAGTATACAGGTGACCCCATTGATTTATAGGCAAATAGATGGTTGTCCTTCTGTGCCCTGCTAAATTATTTTATTATGTACCCCAAGGTTTAGATACTGTATGTTGCATTTATTTTTATTTATTAACACATTGTTGCATAGTAGAATGTAAATAATAATAATACACATGAGTCCTTAAACAGGTAAACACTGATCAAAGTAGTCATTACACTTTAATAATAGTACTAAAGAAAGTATATAAAGCTAGTTATATATTTTTGATGGTTATTTCAAATATGGCACTCAAAGAATAAGTTTCACAGTAAGACATATATAAGAAAACCAAATAGAACATTTCTGTTATTTGACTGTCAACTAAAGAATTTTAATGTTTTAGATGTCAGATCACCTAAGGAGAAGCGTAAAGATAGTGAAAGAGAAAAGAACAACCATGAACGAAGTGAATCTGAGAAAAAAAGTAGGACTAGTGGCATGAACAGTAGTGTTAATTCCAGTAGCAAATATTATAAGAGAAGTGTGCTCGCAGGCCCCTCCAACAATGAGTGGTCAGAACATATTAGTTCATCAGGGAAAAAATATTATTATAACAGTGAACTTGAAGTGTCTCAGTGGGAGAAACCCAAAGAATGGGAGCATAGGAAGAACTCATCCAAAGATCACCAAGCAGCATATTCCTCTACATCATTTAGAAGCAGTAAGTGTTCTATATTGTGTCTATTCACTAACTGTGCTATTATGTATATTTTTCAGATTTGATGAACTCCTCATTGACACAATAGTAGCACTTTGAATATCAACTAGATTGTGAGTTTTAATCCCCACCAATGGAATACTGTTAATTCGTTTTTAAATATGTAACACCAATTGTTCGCATTCCAATCTGTCTACTCTCTTTCTTTTTATTTTTTTTAAACAGAAGAGCTCAACCATAACTTTTAACACTCTTTTCAAACCACACACCTCAAAGGCTGTTGACTCTAGACCAGTTCATCCTGAAGATAAAAAATATTGATATTGAAATTAAAAGGTTTCTTCTATTTTTTGATTAGATGTTTACTAAACGTAAAATTATACATCGCATAATAAGCAATGATAAACTTGAGGTTGCCAATTGGTATGGAATAGGAAATAAGTCAAACAATTCTTGTTATTATGATTTTTGCTGAGGACATCAATTTAAGACTAGTTTCCTAATTTCCCACTGCAAGGGATGATATTTAATTAACACATGGCAAAGGTCTATAAAAGTATTCCTATACAGAAAGTAACATCACTCTATATTGGTCTTTTTGAGTTTTTTTAACAAATTTTATCCAGGATGATGGATTAGACAGCTCATATTAGGGTTGGATTTACCATGAGATCGCAACTGCCTTCATAGATGGAACGTTAAGTGTGGCTAACATTTTGTTGAAAATGTACGATGTTTTCTTGGTTCTGGGTGGAAAACGAGAAAAGAGAGAGAAAGAGAAACGAGTGGCAGTAACTCGTTAAAAAAATCGTTTAATTCGTTAGAAAGTTTTAAATTAAGTCTATGTAACAACAAAGAATCTATTGTCGTCATAATCACAAATGATATATTTATAGACAAGTGCTAATGGAATGCAGTTTCATTCAATGTTTCAATTCAAGGTTCAATGATATTATGACAAGTGCTTAGTAAGCCATACTTTCTGACCACAAGCAGACTCGCCTTTTGTCGAAATCTTCAAAATTTGACTTTTCTTTATACATTTTTAATAAAACTAGCTGTTAACACATTTTCTTTTAGAAGTGAGGTACTTATTAAGAATGTGATATTCAGATCGCGAAAAGAGGTCGCGGTCGCGGCGGCGGGAATCGGAGAAATCTAGGAAACAGACGAACAGCACCTCCGACCGATATTGGAGTGGCTCCCGGGAGAATGCCGGGGACCGCTCACGGACGAAGCATACGCCGCATGCCTCCCACGATTCTAAAGGTAAGACATTGATAATTGATTTTGAAATAGATGGAAGTAAAAAAAATAATATACACTGTGCTGCAGCACTGTGTATTGAATAATTATGTAGCTTTTTACAGATAAAAATTGTAGTTAGTGAATCTGAGGTAAAATAAGTATGGATTGTCCTGTCTTTCCTTTCAGATGGCCATCGCCTGCCTCAAGACATGGACATATCGCCAGACAGGAGCACGTCCCAGTCCGACGGCTCGCATGGCGTCCGGCAGGATGTTCCCCCGGTTGTTGTTCTCGACAACTCTAACCAAACAGTAAGTATTATAATATTTTCAGACCAGATTAAAACAAATGTGCCTGTCCTATAATATTGACAAAGCCTTTCCACAAATGAGACACAACGGTTTTCAAATGTATATATTTCTAATAGGAAAAAAATGCATATGAAATAAATTGCAATAAAAATTGATTTTATTAAAAATACCAAAATCTAAAATAATTATGTTCTCCACTTTCCATAGGGGGTCGGAATGTCTCAGTAGGCGCAAGCATTATTAAGAAGTATGATCGTTTACAGAGTGGGTCATTACTGGCCGCGGCGTTGCCTCGCATCGTAGCTATGCCGGTCGCGTCGACATCGGGCCACCCTCCCGCCACGTGCAACAACGGTGCCTCGCCAGGCAATCGCTCGACGCCCCAAAGGGACGCGGGTCCGCCGACTCCCACACACTCCGAGAACGTAGACCCCCACGCCCCGCCGCTGCACTTGGAGAACGCATTACCCAGGAAAAGTAAGCATTATGAAAATAGAGCTGCGCCCGGTGAAGAAACCGGTTAGTGGCAATAAATAAACCCGTGAGGGCGCGTTTCAGTGGAGTGCCTGGGGAGCTATTCGTCAGTGGTGGGCAGTCTGCAGCACGCGGTGCCGATGCTCACGCCCTCCCTGATCAACTACGTTCGTCCGGAGCTTACTGCGCACGTAACGAATTGGCCGGCGGACATTCTCGAGAAACAGGTAAATTGGATAGGTCAGAAAGGAGATGCAGCTTGTCATAAATAGAACACTAAATATAATTTGCATAATCGTTCGTTTGATAAAAATAAGTAATAGACAAATCCAAAGACTTTTGACATCCTCGATCTGCATGTTAAACACATATATATACTGTCTATAGTTTACGCGAGTAGTACACATTTAAATAAAACACTTTAACGGTTTAAAACGCGATATATTAGTTAAACTTATTTAAAAATGATTTTTAACTTCGGCCCGACGTTTCGGATGCTTTACACATATATATATTTTTTAAATGCACTTTGAAGTAACAGTTGCCAAAAAAAGGTGAAAGCTTACATTGATCCATTGAAAACACTGGAGCACTGGAACATAATTAAGGACTCATGCGCGATATCTGCGAAGCGTTCCAAACGTCGAGCTAAACCGTTAAGTATGGACGTAATTATTCTCGGGCTCTTATGCACATAGACATTTTCTGAGTTATTTGATATAAGGTCTTTAAAATCGGTTGAATATTAAAGTTATGGGATTTATTAGGTTGAACATTTAGGTATTATAAACACTCGATCTTGTTTCTATGACCAAAAGAGTCGTCTTTTCTCAAAAACTATATATAATTAACCAAAAACATAATACATCCACTTCAGGGAGCGAATATATTACATTTTGACAAAATTCAAATAATGTAAATTTATGGGCTGTCAGTGAAGAGATGTCTTTTTGAGGGCAGATTCTCTATAGGTTCTACTAGTTCCTCGACTGGTTTCCTCTTATGTCACGTGTGTTTGAACCTACTTTGATCGTAATGAAAAGTGACTCACTATTTTGCTGCAATATTTCGCGCAAAAATCTATTAACAATACAAATAGACTTCAAATAACTCATGTAAGCCCTAAGTTGAGCATGAACTCTTTCTGTCTCGTTCTCGTATTTGGGAGATAAGCTGTTCCACACAGGCAGAGTGATTTAAAGTTTTTTTAGTATTATTTGAGTATTTCCCACAATTGTTATAAATAATGTCTCTTGTTAATAGGCAAACAAATACATGGAGGAGGCTTACCAGCTCGGCTGCCTCCAGTGCACCAGGGTTTCAGCTGAGCTCAAATGCTCGCGCTCTATAGTGAGACACACGGAGATACAGGCCACGCTCCAAGAGCAAAAGTGAGTCAATATTTCGTGAAAAAATTCGAAAACACTAGTTATTTTTTGTAATTTTATTATTTCTTTTCTTTTTCATGTCCCAAATGTGAAGTGGCCAAAAGGCTGATAATGATGATAAACATAACGTTTCAGGATAATGTACCTTCGGCAGCAGATTTCGCGGCTCGAAGAGTTGAAGTCGCAGAACTCATTCATGTCGGAAGACTAGGGGTTAAGGTGGGGGGTACCGGCGGCGCCCCCCACCCCCGCTAGCCCAAATCCCCTTATGTTATAAACTAAGTTCAGTGTGTTTGTGCCCGAGGGAGCGTCGACTGCGCGGGATTAAGTCGAGCACTAGTTCGTGTCCCGCCGAAAGTGATAATGAAACTGTCGTTTCTGCACTACTCCGCACGTGCGAGCCGATAAGATACGTTTTTTTTAGCTTTAAAATGTGGAATGATTATTGATGATTATTATTGATGATTATTTTATTAATGTAGTAGAAATAGATGAGTTCTATCGTTTTCGTATCTCCAATGATGTATAGAGACAACGAGTGCAGTAAGCGCGACGTATCGTAAGGTGTACCGCTTTCGTTCCTCGCGCGAGGCAATCGTCAATTCATAATTGTAGTTAGATGAGTCTATCTATTTATTGAAATATCTATTTTTGCGAACATTATATTTCCATTATTGGGTCGGTGGGTTCAGTGCCAGGCCCACCGTTATACCACTTATAGCCACGATACTGCACACGATGTTCGCTTGACCATTGCCGTTTCTCTGCTTCGTGTACCGGACAAGGAATAGAGTGTTAGTGTAAGACGTTTTCAATTGCGTTGGCGTATTGTAGTTAGAGGACTAGTTATGTAGTATAACGATACGTATCGTCACTTGTTCAAATGATTTTCTATCTAGCATCGTTCTCGTTTCTCTCGATTTGTACTATTGTCGTAGATTTAACTTATGTGGAGCCAAAGATGTATTGGGTCTTGAAGTTTATTTGTCTGTGTACTCTCGTATTCCTATCGCGACACACCGTGTTCGCCTGTGTTCTGTCGTAGTCTATTCCTTGTCCCGGCGCGTCGTGCGCCTCCGCGGAGTTTTTGAATAATCGGGTGGGGCCGCGGCGGCGCGCTCGTCTATCTATTCCGTTTGTATTATTGTAGCATTCGTGTGTCTAGTAGGTTTAATTACATGTAACATAGTAAAGTATGAGTGTGGAACGCGCCCCGCGCCCCGCGCCCGTGTATAAAATTGTATAAAAACGGTGTATTATTGTACGAGTCTTAGCGGGGGCGGCGCTCCGCCCCTCCCGCGTTGGCGTAATGTGTTTATAATTTTTCTAATATTATGGGCTATTATTCGTATTACAGATATGACGACACCGATCGAACGCGATTCCGGTGGAAATAAATGATGTACTGTGATGTTCATTCTCTTCAATGTTAATTGTAGGTTCGGCTACGGACCGCGCCGGGGAGGGCCTCCGACCGAGACGCTCCCGGGCGCGGATCTCCCGGTCTCTTTGAATCCACTTGTTTTTGTGAGCATTTGATCGAGATACAAATTATAAACAATTTGAATAAATTACATCCGAACAAGTAACGTTTGTGTTAATCGTGTACCGAAACAACTAACTACTTGCCTACTGCAAATGAGAGGCAGAAATTATTGAATAAGTCGAGAGTTTAATAACAGTAAAACAATGCATTCAACACAATCACAAAGGTAGCGTATTCGTGGCCATGAACAAAAAGTAGCCTTTAAAACCCTTTGCGCACACATCCATCGATGTGCATACTTTGAGTTAGACTGAAGCTTTAATCGGTTATCTGAGTTAAAAGAGCCGTCCCACGTATGATCCAAAATTCGGAGGGCATATTAGCCGGTAGAAGCACAGGGAGGACGAAGTTAGTGCTGTGGCCGGTCGTGGAGAGAGTGCCGGCTCGCTCCGACGTCTTGTAGAGAGGTGCTTCGTAGCGCAGGTCCGGTTTAGGCAGCGACAGGACCGGCTTGAACCACACCACCGGTAGAGGTGGATTCATCTGACCTACACGTAAGTGTCTTGCGTGTTGTTGAGTTATTAACAATTTGACTTACGTGCTATTTTATGTGTTAGTGTATTTTGGTCATTAGAGTTACAAAGTTATATAATCAAAACGAAACATAATAATGCTGAGCGATGCAATCTGTATTTTCATGCCACAGCTTTGTTGCTGCAGCAACTTTATACTTTGCGTGCCGTGCTGCTAGCGATAAATATTAGACTAACGACTAGGGTCTATATCCTCAGATGATGGGGTGTTTTGTGGGAAGTGAATATTATTTTCCTAAATTTTGTTGGTAAAGTTTGCTCGCGAATACATTTCTGAGTTCGTTTCACTGACCGCCGACATATTGGTCAGTACACTACCTGGCAGAGCGTCTGTAAGACAATTTCCGTCGGTGTCCCATCGACCTGCGTCTATAAACAGGCCGTGGATGTTCACTCCGTCCTCTGGGCGCTCCAACTCACCGAAGACGGTGCTCTCTCCGTCCTCCTATTGTCGTATTCCACTATTAATATGAATTATTGATATTTGTAAGGCACAGGCCTCCAGAAGAGGGTTTGAGAAAGCGCTGCTCCAGTGCGGGTTTAGCGATATAACCGGGATTAACGAGTTAACCTGCTCACTCACTCCGGTCTCGTAGGATAAAATAAAATTATATATATTAATGGCACCGTTTTTAACGCACTTTAAGTATTAAAATGTTCAACTTTTCACTCTGTCTGATATGTATCTTGGTGAGAACTAGCGAAGGAATGACAACTGTATTAACTAGAGAAACAGACTGAAATTACGTAATCGAAAAATACTTCGAAATGAAGACATTTTAAATAGATATATTTTATAGTATTTGCCAAGTCTCTAACATTGTCCATCTTTCAATTATATCTTTATCCTGTTCTCTCTACGATAAATTCCTATTGTCAACTACGCCCACACTCGAGACCAATTCGTTTGTTAACAACTATTAGTAATATTAGATCTATCTTTATTTCTTAAGATTCTGCTGTGCTTTCCGAATGAACAGAAATGGAGCATAGGATAGCAACGCAAATGTTTCGAATAACGATACCAATATTAAACAAATAATTTGTACGGCGAATTTAATTTAAGTAGCTTGACCCCCGTATTACTGCCATCTAAAGAAATCTTAGCCTTTTCTAGTTATGGAGCATAATTTTAAAATTGGTTCTGAAGCGATGAATGGTATTTTAAATCTGTTCCAATGTTGTTTAATTCCCCTATTATGATGTTTAAAGCCAACATGCACTGGAGCATCGCGGTGGTTCTAAGCTGTTAGCCTGTGCGTTAACGGGAGAGGAGACTTGTTCCCAACCACAGCAAATTTAACGGACCTTATTCTTTCTCTTGTTGAACTTGTAAACGTCTTCTTGCGAGAGAAAAAAGGGAACCGGCTCAAAGTCAAACATGAGCGCGTCTATGGGCACACGGTAGCGTCTGGCGTACGCCTGCAGGGACCCTGTCAAGAGCCCTTGTGGGAAGAACAGCCCCGATACCCAGCTGCTTACCTGGGGACCCTCCACCAGCCATCTCTGTTCAGAAATAATTCACAAAGAAAAACATACATTTGAAATAGCAATCGGCTATACTATAATATCTAGAAATAGTAAAGCAGTCGTATATGTTAAAAATAATAAGCGATTTAAATAAAAACCAAAAAAATATGTTTTTGAAACATTCGTCACGTGATACAAAACGCTTCTGATCGGTCGCGTTTATGACGACGTCACTTGCTTATAAACGGTGACTCTAAACCAGCGTGCTTGCTAGTGTTAAAACTGTTCAATTCACTGCATTAATAAATAAATAAATTTGTAACTAATTTTATTACTTCAATCACTGTTAAAATGTAAATGTTTTGATACAAATGCATGTAGATTGTAGATCACATGATCAACATACCCATTGTCAACTACGCTAAATACGATAGTGACGTTAAATGTTGAATTTTTAATTTGATATATTTTATCAAATATGTAAATTCAAAAATACTTTCCTTCCTTAAATGTACCAAAACAATATAATGTCCCTTTCAAAGGCCCATTGAAATTGTTACATTTTAGTCACAATTACCTCAATAAAGTCAACTCGCAGCGTCAGGTCATGTATCCAGCTGCCCAGGGATTTCAAGGAGTTGTAGCCGGACTTGTGCCACATCGCCGGCACTTTGTTGTTCAGGAACGAGTTAAATACCTCTTCGTACGCTTCTGACATTACAACCACGCCCTGCATGTTTTATTATGCCCAGAGGATTACACAAACAGTAATTATATAAATACTAATATAATGCGTAGAATGAAGACAGTTGTACAACAGGAAAAGGTAAATTCAAACCTTAATTGCCTTCTGCAGTTCGTTGAGAGATGCATGGATTAGAGCAAGCAGCTTATTGAACCTGTCGGTTTCGTGTAGGAGCACCGTGGTAAGCGAATGCAGCTGCCCCATATCATCTACCGTCATCAGGTCTGGGTGGATGAGGGATCGATCTATCTTTGTGGAGACGGTGGCGCGGGTGGCCTCGCAAATGCGCCACACCACCTGGTCGGGGGTCTCTCCACCACCACCACCCCCAGCTCGAGGTTGCACGTCCACTATCGTCTGTACTAAGGTGCTAGTTTCTTTGTTCTGCGAGAATCAAACAGAAAAACATCACTTTAGTGGCTATAAATATATGTAAAAAGGGCTTCCGAACTTGTCAACAAATAGGTAAGTTCATCAACGCTTAGTTGCGGCCAAGGCTTTATAAGCCCTTTCCTCAAATAATGTGCGGAACTTTAAAACCAATGACGAAGTTGACGAACAACGATAGTTTTATTACGTGCAGTTTTTTTTCACTAAACAGGTTTCTATGTGCAAGTCAGTTTGAAATTTAAATGAAATCTTTGAAACCTCTTTGGTCACTATGTTGCGGAGTAAAGGAGCGTTCCATTTTTAGATTTCACGACGAATATGATTTACGTAGTTTGTTTTTTACGCCTTCCGTTGGTTTTAGTAAGAATTTATATAGATGCCTATAGTAATCAAATACTAAATATAGTCTATGTTACTCAGTGATAATGTAGCTTTCTAATGATAAAAGAATTATTCAAATCGGTCCAGTACTTTTTGAGTTTATCCATTACATACAAAACTACAAATCTTTCCTCTTTATAATATTAGTATAGATGAATGGCAGCTGTTAGAAATAATGTAAAATATATAACCTCAAAAGCTATGTTGGCATTGTCATGCATGCCAAATATCTCAGGATCCTCGATTCCTGGAAGCGTTTCTATGTATTCCCTGACTTGTTCCAATTTCTCTACTTTGGGACAGAAATAGGTTTTTGAGGAGGAGTAGGAGTATCCGTCCTCTAAAGTAGGAGCGGAGAAAAAACGAGTAAGGATTGTTGTCAAACACCGTTGATCCCACATGTCTGTCACCCTACCACCATATGTTATTTGACCTGGAAACATAGTGTTAAAATTAACAAAAGCTTGGTACAATATCTCAACTTTTTTGATACATATTTTTTTAGTAATTAAGTATACATAAACTTTAACATTGTATACTAAAACAGGAGGTATTTAATGCTTACTTGTGATATACTCCAATGCATCCCAAGGTATGTGGCCATCTTCGCAGAACATTTGTAAGTTAAGCATGGCACATTCTCGGTCACTGTTATTGAATTCATAGGTAATGTTCCAGCCGAGAGGACCAAACTTCTTCCTCTCTTGAATGTTTGCATGGAACATACATATGCCAAACAACATTGTACGCCATTCTTGTCCTAAAACTGTAACAACATACAAACAAACATAATAGAGTACTTTTTCAATAAGACAAATAATATATAATTAGAGATTTTTTTTTCACTATAAACAGGTAAATCAATTTTAATTGAAATTGATTTCTCATCATTCATTTTGGTGAGTTGGAACTAAATTATTCTAGAAATATAATTTTTAATTGTTCCTGTACAACTATGTGTAAAATTAAAGGGGACTTAGCAGTATAAATGTATATCGGTAATTATGTACAAACATTTTAATAATTCATGATAAGAATCAGTGTTTTAACTTCTATTAAACAGCTTTAATTTTTAAACAGTATAAATACATCTAAAAAGTAAAGCATGATAAAAAACTAAACTTACTGTGGTTTTCAAAAAAGTCCTCGTCCATTTCTATCATTGCCCTTTTGACATTAGCCTTTAAACCCTTAGGTGGTTCGTTTGTCACTTTAACCGAGTTCTGCAAAACTGAAACGGGGAACTTGGGCGTCGGCATAGAACTTAAATAAAGCCTGAAGTCAGGATGAGGAGCACTGGCTTCACCACTCATTTGTGCCACGATCATCTCTAGACTTAACATCCAAGAAGCTGCTAAGTGACAGTTCTACAACATACACAATAACACCCATAAATGCCATGCAAAATAATATATCAATTGAAACATGTAATATATAATACACATGCACAGAAAGGTAGGAAAATGCTGCATAGGACACTGAACCTCAAATCAAATATCTACAAAAATCTGCACATATCTTATTTATCTACCTAGTTTCCCCGAAAATCGAAACCTTTAATATTATTATAGCGATAATTAAATGAATAAATATTATCTAAATAAAAACCTGGAGGAACACCCAATCTCCTTTTGGCTTCGCCGAGTTAATCATCTTCTCAGCGACGGGGCCTTGACCTTGGCCTAAGGATATGGAGTGAAGCCGGTCTCTCATCCCCATCTCTGTTGCAAACTTAAGGAAAGCCGCAAAGGGATCCGATCCCGTACTGAGCACGAAGACGAGCGGTATCGGCGCTGCAGTGTCTGCATATCTACGAATAATCATCCATGCTCTCACTTCTGGTAGTCGTTACCAATAATAATGGTAGTAGTCATGGTATGGTTCACCCTTTTAAATTCTTAGATATAAAATATGGCTCTCAAATTCATTGCATTAGATAATAGATTGTAGTTTAAATTTTTGGCGCTAAAATGTTACTTCAAACTGACAATGACAGAACAGATTACTTTTTTTTTAGTTTTTATGACAATGGTATGTACAACGTTTAGATCAACAGACCAGATAATACACTACGTTAACAGACTGAAAAAACGAGAAAATGTCAGAAATGAAAATAGTTAAAAATATTTTATTAGTCATACAACAAATTACAGATTATTTATTTAGTCTATGTGCAAATGCAAAGACACAGATTTCTATGGTCTGCAAGGTAGTGATGTTAAATATAAATATTCGGTTAACTCTGACATTAAATAGAATGACGGCTACTTACTTGCTCAGTGAATGACGGTTTGAGCCGGTCTTTGTATTAACTAGATTTAAACAAAAGGACGTATGCATTTTGTATTTTCTGATTGATATCAAAAGATTAAAACGTTGTCTCCTAAATCTACTCGTATTATATTATATTTTCTGTTATAATATTGTACTCTAAGGCTAGACAAAACATATAAAATATAATTACCATTATATATCATATCAGCCACTACAATTATTAACATTTCATGGTACAGAGTACACTTACAGCGTGCTGAGCTGAACTGTAGGGCTTTCTATAAACACGCTGCCCAGGCAAGTGCTGACGTATTGTGCTATGGCGAACACCAATTTTTCTTCCCGCAAACTCTTGATAATCATCAGCTTCTCAAATGGAGTCAAGATTGCATTCCAATCCTTTTTAGCCGGCGTCAGGTCCTGTTTATTTATGTGGATATCCTGTGCAGCAAATATATTAATAAAAAATCATTATATTAAAAAAAAGAAAATCATAAAATATTGTTTTCTTTCTAAATTATTCGACCAATACTATTTTTCTCAAAAAGCTAGCCAGCTTTATCTAAGTATGCGGACATTGTATAGCAACCATTTCTGAATGCGTTGGCCTTGCATTGACTTCGAATTGTGTCGGTCGGGCATGGGGGAAAAGTGTGATCAACTACTTGGCTGTTAATGAAGACGATAAGTGAAACGGACATAGGAATGTGTTCACCTTATGCCCTATGGAGATGACGGGATTTCAATTTCTCAGTTCGTGTAAATATTACAGGTTGAGGTGACATACCACGCTGAAAGTACCAATAGTAATTTCTATTTTGCGCAAACAGTCCTCAAGGAGCCCGGCGAAACTAGGATCCATTTCATTCAGATGGTTCGCCGACAGCCATTGTTGGTCTGACAGCGTTTCCACGACAGGTTTCTTACCAGGGACCTAGTGATTTGTGACGCGATTTTAAAATATGACGTTCGCCGGAGTACGTCTAACTGAAGGGATAAAGCGAATATCACCACAACATATTATATTTACCACTTTAGTTCCGGCTGGCCCCCGTAAAACGAAATTCCACTGATCTTGAACGACCTTTCCAGCATGGATGTATATGGCCATGTTTAAGAGGAAGCTGAACACCAGCTTGTGCCTTTCGAAGAGACCTCGCGACACGTTCCGGTACACCGACAGGGTGATCTCGTCGTGAAGAATTTCCAAACGCTTTTCTAATATGTCTGACTTTTCGCTTTTCTCGATGACTAGGTTGAATACCTAGACAGAGGAACTCATACAGGCTCCCAGTTAAAACGTAGACAAGTAAGAAAGATTAAACGAGTGAAAGAAGAAAGTACCTGTGTGAAGTACTTGAGGGAAAACTGGTACATAGGGTCTATGTCTGCCAGTTGTGCCACTGCGAAGTACAGAACAGCGCCTCTCGTGGCTACAGTCCGGTACTTTTCCCTTGCGGCCGATATGTTCACCTCTGTGGCTTCCGTCTCGGCTAGGCGGGCGTTTATTATTTCGGACGTTTCCTGCAATCCATCCTCACTAGACTCAAAATCGGATCCTCGATCCTACTTCAACTAAAATCTCTTCGCGATTTTCCTCCTTTAGCCCTTCTAGGTACTACAATTACGTCCGCACTACTATATCATATTACAATATTATGTGGTATTGAAGCATTACGAACAAGCAGATAATATTCGAAAACTTAATATTTTTTAGATGTTTATAGTTAAACTTATTCTCCCCGTGACCACGGTCGAAGTTAAAGTTAAAAATCAAATAAGTTTAACTAATATATATCACACTTTAAACCAATTATATGTTTTATTTAAATGTGTACTACTCGCGTAACTACAGTCAGTATTTTTAAATGTTGACGGTTTTATTGCATATATGGTATTAAATAAATAAACATAGACATAGACAGCGATCCGTGGTGCTCTAACTAAAAATTGAGTCGAAACAGTCGAATTCTTTTCTGAAGTAGACATATTTAATCTACTTGAAAAAAAAGTAATATATTTTTAATAAAATAATATTTTATCATTATTAGTGACCATACAATAAAATAATATGCAAACCTTGCTCTCGTTGAGCGTTTCAATAAGCTCTTCATCGTCGAGAATGTTCCCGGAGGATGCATAGAGCAACCTCAGGATCTTGTCTTCTATATCCAGCAGAGTGGCCTTGTCCGTATTGATCCGCACGATCAACTCAGTTCGCAGGATCTCCAAGTCCGGACGTTCCAACCGCACCACGTCACTGGAAAACGTTCAAGGACTCGAGGATCGGAAACAGCCTATAGAAATATTACAGTTAAAAATTGAGAAGAGTCAAATACAACCAGTATTTGACTCTTGTCGTCGACGATTTTGGGACGTTGACAAAAAGTCCATATTCATTATAAATCAGATCTTTTAATTATATGGTTATTGTAATTGTGTCATATACACCGCAATTTTAAGGTCTATGTGTAGTTATTGCAGTACCACCAGCGATTCCCCTGTCCCCCCTCGGGGCACCCTTGGTCTAGCCGCAAACACGGCGAGTGCGCTAGCGCCAAACGCCCGGTTAATATTTAAGGTCCCGTCGGGACTCAATACGTAATAGTCATTTCAAAAAAAAAAAGTTTCCCCTGTGATACTCACGCCAGCAACTGCTCCTCGAGGCCGGACAGGGTAACAGTAAAGTTCACCAAAGTGACTTGGATGCAGATCTCTGGCAGATAGTGCGGGTTGGCGAGTTTCGTGGTGAGATAGAGGCGGAAGTTCGTGTCGTACTCGATGTCACTGTCGCCCAGGTGAATCAGTAAGCGACCGGCCTGCAGAAGCAATTACCCCTTATGCCAACTGAACATTGCTAACCTTTAACGGAATAACTCACCTGAAGGAAGGTCTGTTTTAGTAAAACAGGAGACAGTGTCGCCTCCAACTGCTCGCCAAGGTCTTCGATTAGCATTGGCCAACCTAATCTGATGCAGTTCTCTAAGATGCGAAGATATCCAGAATCCGATAGCTTCGTGATCTGAAGACCGTTGTCCTTTTCCATGCTCTTTATCCATCGGTTCGCCTGTTTAGATACTAATAGATTTGTAATGAATACTTATTTGTACTTATCAAGTGACTTTTAAATTAACTAGCCGATTTAAATGAAAATTTGCAAATTTGAATACATTCTGTTTTAAAGTCAGTCCGCGTTGCCATAACTTAAGTAAAGCCGGCACGATCCAAAGCCAACAATTCTCAGATATGTGTCAACTGCCATACACATTTGGTTATCGTTCTAGAATATGAATCTTATGTCTTCTCGGGTAGAAATGATGAAGGATTAATGATTAAGGCTAACCTGTTCCTGGGGGTCAACAGTCAGAGGCCACCTTCCAGCTCGAGTCACCAGGATCCCGTTTTCCGTGGAGACAGAATCCCGGGGCAGTCCCTGAGCGTTCCACGTGCGCACTGTATACGAATCCGCCATCACTTGGATCAAACTGAAACAATTGCGCTATGGTTACAGCTATGCACAATATTTTCCTCAATAAATCTAGTTGCTGAAATGGGCGCGTCATAGGAGTGAAAACCCCCGTGAAATAACCGAGCCATTTATGTTCGCTGTCGATTTTCCACACCACAGTCTGACAGAATTAGCTTTTCATCTGTGGGTGATGGTGGAAATTCCATAACAAAATATTATTACTTTAATTAATATTAAGTGTATTGTTTTACTTACATTCAAATTAATTTAGAGCTTATTTATAATTCTTTAAATACGAAACCCCCTCAATAGCTATTCAATACATAAGTTCAGGTTAATAGAAATACATAATAAATATTCAACTAGCTTCAAACAGATAGTGCAGCTTTAGTACGCACAAAAAAGAACGAAAAAAAATGTACACATACTTTTATGTGCGCACAGTTAAAGCTAAAAAGCTAAGCTAAACTAAGTGACATGTACTTTTCAAATCCATAGATTTGTATACAGCCTGAAAAAAAGACGTATACGTAATATTGGTATTCCGTGACATTGGACAGATCGATTGTCCTACTATAAATAACACTAAACGCGAATTTGTGGAAATCTATCAATTAAAAGGTGAAAAGTTTGTTTCAACGCGATAATCTCAGGAACTACTGGTTCGAAATGAATTTGTGACGTACAATTTGTGTTGGACCAGTTATTTCAAGATCCTTTAGATTATAAAACACCAGACTCCGACCCAAAGGAGCGAAGAAGTAAAGGGAAATTTGAAAAAAAAATCAAGTAATCTGCGTAGAAAAGAATAATTACTCTTTAAATGATCTAAAAAAATCCCCTAGATAGTGTATGTCAATATCTCAAGATTAACTCGCGGACTACGTAGTGAGTAACAGCAACCAAGGCTAATATTATAAATGCGAAAATAACTCTGTCTGTCTGTCTGTCCAGCTTTAACGACGAACTACTAAACCGAATTAAATGAAATTCGGTACTCAGATATTCTTCAGATTCAGGCTACTTTTACTTCCAAAAAGGGTTGTTAGGGGTCGAAAAGGGGGATAATGGGGTGTCTTATTAAATTTATAGGATAAATAAATAAATAGCCTAAATAATTAAAAATGATACCCAAAGTCACTATTTCACGAGGACCAAGTCTCGGGCATTGCTAGTTATTTATAAAGTTCATATATAAATCGCATTAGGCTTCACTGCAACCACCTTTGTTATGCGCCCCTGGCTAACTATTCGAAATATGCGGATTGTTCATAGATCAATACGAGTTACACTATTACCGTATACCGTTATAGTTATAGCAAAGTATCATCGTCCCCTTATACTCTTCAACACAAGTGGACCTTAGGAGAACGTTCTGGTGTTAATTCTTAAGAAAGTGGCATAAGACGTTACGAGGTGACCTCTACTAGTACTCAACTAGTAAAAGAAGTTATACATACAAACCAATTTGTATTATGGGCCGCTAGAGACAGAGGAGCCTAACTGCAATATTATGACTTGAGTTATTTAGATGTTTATAGTCTAAAAATGTTAATCTATAAGAGAACAATGACCGAAAATTGTCATAATTCTTACACAAACAATAGCACAAATTCAATTTCGCCTAAGAATCTTTTTATTGAAATGCAGGTTTTTGATATTAGGTCACTCTGGTACTACCGTTACTTGTAATGTTCCTCTACTGGGCTCAGCTCTCGCATACGAGAGATTTGTAGGACCTGCAGTCAAGTGCATCAATCGCAAGGCAAACCGATTTAATTCTCTTAAATGATTTTAAATTAAATACTGTCTATAGTTTACGCGAGTAATACACATTTAAATAAAAAACTTTAACGGTTTTAAACGCGATATATTAGTTATCGCGATATATAGTCAGTCTCCCCGTGACAACGGCTGCTGCAAAGCTTCCGAAACGTTAGGCCGAAGTTAAAAATCATTTTTCAAATAAGTTTAACTAATATATCACGTTTAAAACCGTTAAAGTGATTTTTAATTACTTAGTATTTTAATACTAATATACTCCGCGTTTATACCGTTAAAAGTGTTTTATTTGAATGTGTACTACTCGCCTTAATTACAAACAATACACAACTAAAGCTATTGCTTAATATGCAAAAAGCACTAACTCAAAGGTATCGGACGAGGGTATTTGGAGCGAGTGGCAGTGCTCTACCCACTTGGTCTCCAGCTCCCTGCGATAGTGGGAGGGAAACGCGCCGAAGTAAGCGATGCAGCCCGACGCAATTACAATATCGCCGGTCGTACACTTCAGCTTATAGGTCGCTACCTGCATATTAATCATAATTATTGTATACTCGTACAATATAGAAGGAACAAACATTCTCCACATTTTGTTAATCTCTCAAGGATTAAACAAGGAGTCTCGGATAACGTACACTTAAAAAAATATGCCCTTAATACCCTATTAGTAAAAAGTTATAATGTACCCTAAACCATAAAAGATGTCGAGCCTTTAATGTGTGAAACATAAACAAATTCCGTATATATAACAAGTAGATAAGCCAATACTAAGTACTCTGTTTTGAACCTTTTTCTGAGAAAGATAGTCTTCTAGATTTTAAATGTAAAAATAAAAATAGGTAAAAAAACTTTTTAAGTTAAATGGTTTTATGTTAAACATACATTGCAATGTTTAAGATACATGTACTTAAAAACCAAAAAATAATAAAATAGATACAGTCGTGGGAACTATAAACATATGCATAGACTAGACTAAAATAAAACCGTGGGGCACGTCAATTGTACAAATTATCGAATTAATGTGCGATAGAAGAATCGTTTAATCCGACGTTAGGCAGAATATTGACACACAAAAACCGATCATCACAGCGAGGCGGAAAATATGTAATTTTAAATATATATATGGCTCCTTTTAAGATTTCTATTGTTGTACATACCAGAACGCTGTCTTCCCATCGTGTTTTCTCATCTGCCAGTGCTTGAGTCAGCTTCCCGGCGCGCGATAATCTCGCCGCCGCGAGATCGACGTCCGCCTGTAGCTTCAACCGTTCCTCCTCCACGACCTACCACAGTGTCACTTACATAGAAGTATCTTACCGTCATTTATAAATAAAATTAGAGGTCGCGTGAAAATATTTTTAACCAATGTTTTTGGACTTGTATGAAACTTTAGTTGAATTGTATATACAAGGTTTTTCTTTGTTTATAATAAAGCCGAAACACGCCAAACGTCTCTTTATTCGCAGATCAGGATAAAAAATCAAAATTAAAACTCACAAAGTATTACATTTTTTCATGTTATTGTTTATCCCGCATTATCATGGTCACTGAGCAGGCGCCGACGCAGCGCGCTATCTTGCAGCCCTCCCTCTTCTCCGCTCCGCGTCCCGCACCTTACACTACACGATTCACTACTTTTGTGTACCTAATGTCCGCTTACAGATTGTATTGAGAACATTTGGCAATAACATTTCCCATAACACTTACAGGCTTTGGACTGTCAGAATGGTTAAACGGCATGTAAGTCTAGCGTTCATTATTGAGACAAAAACTATTCCGGCGTGTTCAACATATTTTTCAAAAACGGTGTTGGAATGAGTCAGGCCTAGCTTAGGGCGGGTTTTCATGAGCCCAGTGATGACTGTTGTGAACATTAAAAAGCCTACGACGTGTAAAAGTGCATTCGTCGGTAAAAATAATGTTTCTGTCTTGATTAAGCAGCCACTTGCTGAATTGAACTCTTTGGGCTTTATCACTTTGGAGCAGCTCTTGTGCTCGTCTAAAAAGATAAGGGTGGTACTCATTCCTTTAAAGTCCGCCACACGTAAGACTGACTGACGTTGAATAATCTCCCTACTTGCATTGTACTGCTCTCGGGGTTATCAGCCACGTAATTCAAAATTTGTTGCTGGACGTCAACGGGGATGTGAGCCACGCCTCTGTCTACTGAACTGGCCAGGGTCTCGTAAGCGCTGCATGCGCCCAGCATTGTGTGCATTGCACGCACTGACCGCGTTGACATTTAGGACTATGTATTGTTCTAGGAGTGCGGGTTGGCGCGCGTGCTCGTAAGCGGTTAGTACAAAGCGACGAGCCGCCGCTGCGGATGCCCCGAATTTTTAGACCTATTTAGTTATACTTATGTAGGTATTTATCGAACGGTGTCCAAGATTTCAAAAATTTCATATAATTTTGACAAAAAATATAACGTGGTATAAAAACCATTGGAATGGATTCTGCTATTGATTATGAACGAACTACTTTCAGGTTTCACATGAAGTAGGAATAACCTTATATACTATGACAAGCTGTGTCAGCAATTTCGCCCGCGTAGAATATTTATTTTGGGCGTCAAAATTTGTTTTTGTTACACGTGACGTTGTTCGCGTATTTATACTTATACGCTACAACATTTACGGTTGCGAGCGTTTTTTAGATCGTTTATTGATTTTCGCAGCATACGCAACGCAAATTCATAAGGATGAAAATGGAAGAATAATTTTCTTCGTTTTTTTTTAAACATTTTCCGCTGTTCTTCGCTCCTACTAGTCATAGCGCGATGTTTTATAGCCTCCCTCGATGAATGATCTAACCACCGTAAAACGAATACTTCTTACTACTTAAACGAACAAACAAACTCTTTATATATTAGTATAGTCAAAGAGTTTTTCCAATAAAGCGGGATTTAAACATACGTCTAAAAGCTAAGTCCTAGTAGAGAATAGAGAAGAAAGTAAATCAACTTAATTTATTCGCCCTGTATATATTTAAAATGGCGTGGGATTAGACAACAGACCTTCAGCTCGTCCAGCATCTTCGCCAGCTGCGCCTCGATCGCCTCCACTTCCTTTTGTTTGGCCCTTAGCACGGCCATCACACTTTTCAAAATGACGGCTGCTTCTTTGTGGCTATTTTCGATAGAGGAAACGTGTTATTTCACCTATTATATACATCGATGTCTAATACTAGAGTAACGTAATGTGAAAACAAAATGTCGTCGATTTTTGTTCTTTGTTGTTTGTCGTTGCAATAACTGAAAGAATGTCGAATTTATATATAAAATGCGAACTGAGCGGCATCTAAGAACGTTCGGCAGAGATTGGTACTCACGCCAAAATCTTTGGCTCCACAACTCTGAACACTTTGGCGTACATGTCGATGGCTTGCACCCACAGCACCATGGAACGGCAAACCTGCAGACGAATTGTAATGTCTATGATTATCTATGAATTGCTATGAATTGAACATATACTCTTATATCACCTGGTATATTTTTAAGCTGTCACAATTGATTCCGTTTTTAGGTGATAAGAAACAAGCACTTCTACATGTTATAATCACGTTAACCTAACGTTTATTGACATTTAAGACATGTGCACTAGTACACTTGTCGTCAATGCGAGGCGATTCTGTTTTTTAATTCGTCCTTTATCAAATTAAACTGATAGCATAATATTGTAAATGCTTATAAACTATGCGAGCTTTAAGGTAGACCAAGTATACAATGTCTTAGTGATTTATCGTTTTTGTGGGAACGCCCGATAACAACAATTTAGTAAGTGCCTTAGTAGTACCAACTCTCGGCACCCGTTTGTCTGTATTCATCATTGGTGCTAACCTTTGACACTTTGACGACGGTGTCCGGATTGAAATCCTTATGCGTGAGATACACTTTGATCTTCTTGAGGAGAGCTTCGGGGATATGATCCTTGTCGTATTCTTCCAAGTTGCGAATGAAGTTCACGTCCGCCAGCAACTTTTTAGTTGAGTCCCAGTCTGGCCTGTAATTAGGCAACCGTTAAGCCACTGGGACTTACGTAGAATTGCGATTGAACGTACTTTTGTTTTCAGAAAGGATGTTAGCGCAGTCTATAAACTATGACAGAAACGCGCCATTTTGTCTGAATTGGATTTTCAATTGTGTGCGGGTTTAGCTTTACGCTGGAAAGCATGTTCATCCTAGAGATTGACTATTTAGATAAAACTTATTCAATGTATAATCAGTTAATGTTTTAACTTGAGAAATTTAAACGGTAACAAGGTAGCTTGTTCGCTATTTATCTCACTTGGCCCCGAGTAAGATGCAGACTGGTTCCATTACGAAGCGGACCAATGCTGGTGGCTTCTGAAAAGCCTTCAGTTCATTAATATCTGCCTTGTTGAGTGCCTTCAGCGCGTTCTGGGCGGCTTCCATGGCCGGCATCGCCAACGCGAGGTCGGCCTTCGCTTCGTCGGCTATCTGTTTCACCTCCTCTGCTTTCACCTACACAGAAAGTAAGTTAAGACACACGCAGCCTTCTTACTGATCGGACATTTCGGATGTCACCTGCAAGGTATGGTATAACCTATATCTGTACATAATTAAAACATTGAAATAAGTATTGCAACGACCATTGAAGAAATTGTGTTTATTTGTTAAAATAGAATATTGTATTTAATATATATATTAGTTAGCAGTAGTAAAAAAGCCTGGCTTAATATATAAGCTTCATAGTTAGGTTAAATTCCGCCGAATTCTTATTTTACTAAGTAGAAAAAACATAAACATCGTTAACTTCGATATTGGAAATTTCTCTAAAAATGAGCAATTACAAAGGAAAATCACCGTTTGTGTAGGTTTTACTCCTAATGGGTTCGTTTGATTTCGAGCTCGAATTATTCAAGTACCCACCATATAAAATCCTACATGAATCGTTTCCAAGCAACGATTATTTTCCTAAACTATTTAACATTATATAAAATTCAATCTCTAGTTTAAAATATTATTATTTAGATCGTATTTACGTTCAAATACGTATAGAAACATTATAAATATTATTTTTATGTGGGGTTTTACCCCATTTCCCTTAATTGCACGGGGCAGACACATTTCCGTAGCACTGATTCATTTTTAACCCAACCTGGGTTCTTCTGGGTAGTCGATCTGATTTTTGTACCCTGCCTGACTAAAATTATTGTGTTTCTCAGAGAATCGAATGGTGGCCAATATGTACAAAGTAATATTATTACACAAGTACAATCTTCAATTCTTTTTTTGTATCACTTATCAAAGCATTGATTTGTTCTAATAAATTGTACCTTTGCCGCGGCCTCATCTTTCATGACAGCCTGCTTTACTTCGTCCGCTGCCTTTTGTTCCACCTTTAGACGAGCTACGAGAGCCATGCCCTGTTAAAGGATAAACTTTTATTACGGTGCAAATTATATTTAAATTGCCTGGCGTTCGACAGTGCCTTATGTTGTATGTTTGTAATGTTTAAGTTTAGAACTATATAAATTGTATTGTCTTTAAATTTAGTAGATTGCTTTCCGAATTGTTCCTAAACATTGTTACCACTGCGCTAACGAATCGTAAAATAGATAATATATATGATTTACTTTTAAAATAGATAAGCCGACACTTTCGTCGATAGGGTATCAAAATTACGCGTACATTTCACCTTGCACTGAACAAACAACAATTGTCTGACCCTTTCTTTCCTCATAAAAATCAATAAATATACATACTTTCAATACGATTCGTCCGATAAAACAGAACCAAAATTTTAATTCTGGTTCTCAGAATCATCTGGACAAAAAAGAGGGCTTCGAATATTCACCTAACATTAGTGTAAGTAACTATTTAGTTGGCTTATAAATGACCTATTATATACCTATATTTTAAGTGATATTTAATTAAGAACAGAAACAACATGAATCGTATTATAATTCTTAATGGCCCGTAAAAATATTGAAATTTAATACTCACCAAAATTAAACCAAACATTATTAAGATTGAAACGCGAAATATTTTCATGAGCTCGGTGGTCTAATGATATGCATGGGTATGGGTAGTAATCAACGGAGCGTGGATTCGATCGCCACCGGGTCCAAAATATTCCTTATTAGTTTACTTTATAATTTTGGTAAAACCGGTGTTAGAAATAAAGAAAATTCTTACTTAAACACAGTGAATAAATTGTCACGCTTTGGAATCCGATGACTAGTGTTATAATATGCTTACACGCATTTGTCAAGTTCGCTAGTCTAAGACTCGAATTTACGGTCGGAGTTCCAGAAGTAGAAACTGTTAAATGATAAAATAAAAAAGGTAAAAAGGATAAAGAAAACTTTAGGTTACAAACAATATTGTCTACTTGTATCCAAGATTGCCACCCATGTTGACTCGTGCCGTCGAATAGTTGTGCGATTTTAAGAAAAGTTTTGTAGTTGGTAAAAGCATTACTATTCCTTAACAGACAAAATAATTCTCGAATACTTGCCTCTTCAGCTTTCTTGGCGAGTACTGGCTCCATATCTCGCACTTGTTGTTCCATGACTCCCACTACTTCATATGTCTCGTACAGTTTCTGCAAGTAATTCCTTACTTAGGCAGTTCAATGATAATTGTATATTAATACAAGTTAAAAAACGAACACACATGTAATCCACAGGATATCCGGTCTCGGCCGCGAATAATTTCCTGTTGCTTTTTGTCCAACAGAGCGAGGTAGAGCTTCAGAAGGTCCAGGTAACTGCTAGGTGTCGTATAGAAATGACGACGCATCTCTTCATAGAGGCGATCTGTCATCACGTCTACGTCCTGCGAGGCGTCAATGTTTATTTGTACGATTATTTTTTATAATGCTTGATTGAAGTGAAATTGATAGGACGACGCGGCAAATATGATTCTATTTAAAATTGAATTCAACGCAACAACGTCTTTCAAAAAAGCATTTTGGTAGAATTATAACAATGAAAGCTGAGACAAAATTTTAAAGAACTTGTCATGATCAAAACTACAAAAAATGGTGAAAAACAACGATCGTGCGTTTTTTCGTGGTTATTTTATTCTTTCGACAAATTCATCCGGAAAAATACAATTATAACAGGATTTTATCAGGACAATTCTAAAAAATATTGTATAGAATCCTGTTCTCCGCCGTTGGACATGGGTAAACACATTTATGTGTCCATTTCATTATTTTCTTCTGATTGATTCTTTTACAGATAAGTAGTTGACTAGACTTTTTTGCACTACCCGACCTCTCGAGCCTAATTCAATGCTACGCAACAAGTTTTTGGCTTTAAGAGTAACGAGTTCACTATATTAGTTTTCAAGAAAAATTTGGGTATATTTTTGTCGTTTTAGAATTAACTACTTTATATCTACTTTATAATTAGTTTTTTTAATTATACAAAAAATATTTATTGCTCATGACCTGATGCATAGTGACACACAGTAGAGATATCTTTTCGATGATAGCTTTGTCTCCGAGTGGCTGCAAACACTGTTCCGCAACGGAGAGAAGCGCCTCCGGCGGCCATTTTGTGAACCAGTCTATGGTACAGCAATTTACGAGCGACGGGAACATGCGGCAACGACGCCTGGAAGGGTATACAACCCTGGTCACTTGTTATATTAAAAAAATCGTTACGTCATAAAACTTTAGAAATAATGTACTACTTTTTAGCATTAAAGTAAAGATCTACTTTGTCATAACGGTTCTGTAGAGTAAGTTTGGGATATGAATGATAGTTAAAGTTATTTTAATGTCAACGCGAGTATTACTTTCTATTTTGTTATGTTGCTTGCATACCATTTTAGCGACTCCGTTTTGTGAATTCTATGTAATTCTCGTTAACAAATATCCTATTATTTTAGTATTATCGATATTAGAGTAGATCTATTGTTAATTATTTTGGTTATGATATTATTATTTATTATGACTGACTTCGAGTCAGTGCGAGAATCTTGACGTTTGTCATACCGTCACATTGCGATTAAATCGGGCTCTACGAAATTCTATTCAAAGCTTATAGCAAAATGTGACTCAGTGAGTCGTATTTGTTACTTTTCGTAACTAAAGGGAATTGATACTTAAATAGAGATTAGATAAACACTCCCGCCCACTTTCGAAACTGATAAATACAAAGACATTGTATAGTTATCAGTTTAAGTACTATTTATATGCATACTTAAGTACTTCTATACGTCTTAATATTCCTAAAATGATATCTGCGTATCAATATTTACAATCAATACGTACGATACCCCTCATGAATTTATGTTAAGAAATACTTCTCGGTTTAGTACTTCCGCGTCCAAAAATAGACATCGATTAAGATGGCCTTCTTAACTCTGGTAACACCGCCAGGGCTCCTTTCTAACCGCACTAACGAACTTATCCGATGAAATGCCGAGCGAGAGCCGACATATTACTATGTTTAGGATCGTGAAGGAATAGGACGCAATACTTGCGTTCAGTCAAGAGATACAGACGTATGGTAGAACAGTGAAAAAAAACAGTATTTTTTCTGCATAAACAATATTTTTAAATGTGTATAAAATCATCAGTGTACAACAGTCAAAAATAAAAATCTTCAAAGGATTAAAAGCGCACAGAAGCAATATGTCGTAACTAACGAACGTGCGTCATAGCCCATCCATGACCTAGGCGAGAGAATATATCTATAGCTATACGATCCAATGAAACCAGCTCAACAAGACCTGGATGCAGTTCTTTGTTTGAATTCTTGGAATAAAAGCGGAGCTGCAATCGATAATGGCCGGGGAAGTGATGCACGCAGCCGCGCCGGGCGCCGTCGCTCTGCGCAACGCGAGGCGAAACTATAAAAGCTTAGTTGGCAACCCCGGACGCAATAGAATCTTTGGTCGCTTAGCGGGTCACCGGCTCACTTGTTGCATCAAAACAAACAATGTCTTCGCCCGCCGGAGCTCAACGCTACGTCTTCGACTTGAACACGATGGAATTCATCATGCCGCCGGGCAACGTGCGCGTGCAGACCGTCAAGGTAACCCTCATCTTCGACGGCTTCGACGTTGACGCCGAGCTCGAGGAGTTGGAGTTTCTTAAACAGGCGCTCAATCGCATGAACTTTGAGGCCGAAGACGATTGGGAAAGACTCTTTCTAGCTGAGACTATCCGTCGTCTGGACCTAAGAAAGAATATCCTGCTGAACAACGTGATGATATATCTCAATGAGTTCTGGCGGGAGATAGAGTTCATGGAGCGCAGTGCTCGCTGCCCCAATTGTGGAAAGCCGTACTACATCCGCGTGAAGCAGTTCGAGGCCGCCCCGCAGGAGGACGACAAGTGCACCAGCGCCGCTGGCTAAGCGCGTTCGTTAGCTAAACGAGCTGCGGCAAAATTTTGAATGTTGTAATCCGAATTAAATCCCCTTCCCTCGATGTATTACGTTACTGACTGTAAAATTTTATTTATTAAATGGTGTCAAATACAACTGCAATTCTCTTGATTGTCGAAACGATTGTAGTTAACTGTTAAAAATATAAGTTGAAAGATTTTGTTAATTCACCCATTTAACGTGCTTTGTGCACTCCGCATAGTAAAAAAGCACATTTTTACTTGTGTTATGATTGGTCTTAGAGCTTTTATTTGAAACAAGCCTAACTTTACGGCTTTTACTTAATCACACAGGAAGTAAGAGGAATTTCCACCACCCTTAGTCCTAGGCTATAAAGTTATTTAGTACCTCAATATTATTTTAACTCATTCTTCATATGCAATATTGAATTACAGCATCGCTTAGTAATATGTTTTATATGCATACTGAAATATGTTACAGCTTTCATTAAATTCATGGACAGATAATTTTTCTCAAGTATATTACTTGTAGCCTGTGGGCATCCCATTTCTTTCTATTTAATTTCAATAAAATAATAACGCGGGGCGATGTTACTAAAAAAATACCGAAAAGCCTCTCCAACAGGACTCATGCAGACGCAGAGATGTAGCTTGGCCCGTACTCGATTGATGAAGAAGTAGTAAACGGAATCGCGGTCAGCTGGGTTGATGCCACTCTTGGCCGCGTCACTACGACAACCCGTCTGCACTTGCTCGTAAGTATCGCCCTCGAATAAGTTCGGGACCTCCCCTACATTAAGAATGACCTTTTAGTAAATACTATCCAAACGACAGTTAAAAGATATTTTATTTACATGCAATTATTGCTTGAGTTGCAGGAGATAAAAGACGAAGTAGCCAATGAATCATATTTAGATTATAAGTACAAGACCTACCGCGACTAATTCTGAACAATACTGTGTTTATATAAAAGAACTTTTAACGAACCTGAATTGAGCATATTGTTGATATCTTCCAGAAACTCCTCTTTAGTGATCTGCGTATCGGTAAAGAGGAAGACGGTATCCTCCGAGCTGACGCCGGCCCTCATGTACATTTTGCGTAGGTCGTCGTGGAACTCCGGTGTGTCGTAATTGCGTTTCAGCTCCATACCCATACACCTGATATCAAGGACTCGATTTAAGTGTCTTTTTCGAGTATCTGACAAAAAATTAGTAAAGCCTTTTTTGTGACTGCAGGCTCTAAATCAATGTCGCGACGCTGAATGTTTCACAGCGCAATAGTTAGATGCACTGAGGGTAAAGAAGAGCAGGGAAAGGAGTAGTAAATAACCTTTTAAACGTAGTGTGCCCAATAAGTTAAGGCCTTCCATACGTCTTTTCATTGATAGATACTCTTACTTGCACTCATTCACGTGTGCAGCCAACGTAGCCACCGACCGTCGACCGGAGCCCCCTGGGCCCACCATAAGACTGTGGCCCCTTTCCGCCCGTAATACACGCGCAACACGGGCCACGTGCTCCACACAATCCCTGAACAGCACCAGATTCATCTCCGCCCGCGCTGTTGAATTATACTCTTCCAAGTACTCCTATAAAATGACATCACCGTTAACTTAATTAAAACTACAGTTTATCTGGGCTTTCTTTTTCACACTTATTGTTATATATATAATATGTGTAAGAAAGAACCATTAGAATCAAATGATACAAAATGCAAACAAAAATATATAAGCATGTTTGACGATTTTGAAAAACGATTTAAAACCTATGCAATAAAGATTATGTCGTATGTATGTATTGATTAATTTGGAGGACAAAAAACTATATAGCAAATAGAATGGGCCAATGAATCCTGATGTCTCACATAGACCTTGATCATGCGAAATGGCGGGTTAAGGTCCGCTATTTGATTAGCATGTTTTTGTATCTCAGCTTTACCTTCAAAACAATCATAAGCTTCTGTATGTCCGGTATCTCTTGGTAAGTTCTATTTTCCTTTGGCACAGCCGAGTTCAGAAAGTCCCCAAATAAGAGAACCGGCGGGGATTCAATTATGTTATCCTCGGGTATTTCTAGAATAGGTTGTTGGAAGTTCTTATTGCACACGCTGCACATAAGGTGATAGAAGTAACTCTTGTCTTCTATATTAATGAGGCGGTCGTGGAACACTCGCAAGCACTCGTGGTAGAACAATCTAGAAGATTTCAAAACTTTATATTACCAATTGATAAACTTCGTGTTATAAAGGTGAAAATGATTGGTGACACTTAACAAATCAATTGACATATCACAAATTAATATGAAAAAAGAAAAGAAAAGTAGACCCAGTCCAAAAAAGGAGAGATAGAAACAATACCTCAGCATGGCCTGTGGTAGCCTCATGTAAGCAGCGTTTGCTTGCAAAACCCCCTGCATGCACTTGGAGAGATCTCTCAGATTGAAAACGTAGTGCGACTTAGCCGGAGTGGGCAAGAGTTCTGCGCATATCTTCAGATATACCTCAACAGCCGCGTTCACGATTGGCTCTCCCAGAACAGACACCTCAGTGACAAAATCCTCCATATGGCCCTTGAGAATCGCCTGGATCGAAACGTTTTTGCCAATTTATTAAGAATCAGATCTTAATATAAAAATCGATTTTTCAACAGGCATCCACAGCGTTCCGTGCTGTTGCTCTAACCAATTAAGCAATAATCAATGTGGGACACGGTAGCTCAATCGGTTGCCTGTGGATGCAGATTTAAGTACTGCCCATGTTGTAATTTTTTTTCAATCTAAATCGATTTTAATTCAAATAATGCTATCATACAGGACAATGATATGTGAAAAAAATTTAAAAGTTTTGAAATCTTAATGTATCAATGAGAACTTTAGTGCTATTCTTATAATTCACATTTCGCGTGAATAACTTATATATTACTTACTTTAAATATAGTCTTCATAGCTTCCGCGTTGGGGGCAGATATATAGAACATGGCAAAATGTCTGACGAAGCGTGCTGTTAACGGATTGCGCCCCCCGCCGGGAGGTGCGCAGGCGCACGACAGCACCACATCTAAAATGTCTTTCCAGTACAGCTTGTCCCGGTCATAAACACCACCGAAGTCCAGAAATTGTCTAAGAGGCAAAGTATTAATATGGTACGAGATTTAAATGTAAATAGGTAAATAAATGCAAGGGTACCTTAGAAGTTCAATAGTCGGTTGCGCCCCATACACATCTAGCCGGGGCATATTCACGTCATCGATAAATATTATTACTTTCTTTCCGAGAGGAGCACCTATCGCCTTGCGGGGCCGCTTTTCGAGACGGAGTTCTATCACCTCCTAAAACACATCGAATGTTAAGAAAAATGGAAGTTGGTTTTTTTTGTTACTAAAAGCCTCGGGAGCAATCAAATAAATATAAATCATAACTCTTGAATTAAATTGCCAAAATTAATAACCAAGATCTTTAATAGCCATAAAACACAAGGTTTTGTGCGCTCCAGTTCCTCATTTAAAATACATTACACAATATATAAGATACTTAAGATTGGGAAAAGTTAGTTGAGATCCCGGTGTCTTTCATCTTCTAACTTCACTATCTAAATCTGACCTGTGTTCGCGCGCTGCTGGTCTGGGCCGAAAAATTCAAAATCACCGGAATGTAAGTTCCGCTCCCAGACATCTTGTTCAGTATCTCTGCGGCAATCACTGTCTTACCAACGCCTAAATTAAAACATTTCACTTGAAGCGTCAATATCTTTGTCACGGTCAGTTAACAAATGTTTCTTAACATATTACCTACGTTATATTAGGTTAAATTTTATCTTTTATGACACCAATTTATTTACTTAACATAAAAAAGGAGATTTTCCTAATAGCTTTATGGTCTAATTTTTAGTTCCTTTACCCGTGTTTCCGGTGAACATGACCGGTTTCCCAGAATTGAGCAGTTTTTCGAACAGATATCCGTAACGCACCGTATCAATCGTCGGCACGAGGGTCTCGAAGAAGGGTTTGTTACAATCGTACAAAAACTCCGGTATAATCTCCGCCCACACTTTGAGCTTTCGATGCTTCGTGTCCATGTACATGTCAAAGAAGTTAAAGCCTTGGGGGAAACTAAAAAACATAAAGAAAAGTCTATAAAAACCTTGCGATGCCGTTACCTTCTAAAGACAGACCGGTTATTAATTTATTCCATATATTTATATGTCAAAATAGGTCCATAAGTATCTCGATGATCTTATACGGCTAAAGTATTTTAATTTCCATCAAGTGAACCCCAAACAGCAAAGAGATTCTGTCTGTCCTATTAATGAATGTAACCTCATAAGAATGGATAGAAACTTTCATACTACTCAGCCTCCTCGAAGGCCTCGAATTGTCGCTTGACTACTTCCTCAAAGGCTTTCCGATTGCCTTCGAGAATGTTTCCTCCAATGCACCACACGTAGCAGAAGATGAAGCAATAGGCTATGTACGTCTTCACTGCAGCTTTCTCTGGAAATCTCTCGCCTGGCTCCGACAACAGCGCGCCCATCAAGTAACACAGTGCCGATATCTTGCTTATATCCACCTGTCGAGTGGAACTTATCGTAATGAACGAGACCAAGCTGCTCTTCGTAACGATATTGAAATTGTAGGAATCGCTGAAAATGATGGTGAAAATTTAATCGATGTTAGCAAGTCTATTGCTCAGAGTCTGGGTGTCGATGTGGATTGTCGCGACGTTGTTTTTTCCGAAATGATTGGGTCGCGATCAATTGGTTCAGACATGGAGAAGCCGCGTAGACCGCGTCCTACAGTCGTTCGATTCGCGAGACGGTCCCTTCGCGATGACGTCTTGCAATCAGCGCGGAGTTTTCGAGTTGGAAACGATGGAACAAACAATCCACTACCCACAGGCTGCTACATAAATGACCGACTGACGAAATATAACCGCCACTTATTCTTCCGTACTCATCAAGAAGCGAAAAGTGCAAAATGGCGATATGTTTGGACTCGAAATGGTCAAGTCTTTGCGCGCCAAACACAAACTTCTACAAAACATAAACTCAGTAAAATTGAAGATATATCATCAACCTTCGAATAGGTAATCCTTTATAATAGGAATATCTTCTAAAACGCTGACTTTATTAGGAGATTATGAAGAGAATTGTATTGTAAAAGACTTAGTTTATGTCATGCCTAATGTTTCTAATTAGTATCCTAATAACTTTTGTATTCAGTTTTAAGTAGGAATTATGTTAAGTACATTATAGTAATTTAAGTAAAAAGTTTTGTAAGTAAAAATGGAAAATAGAAGTTAGTATAACATTAGAAAGATAACTTTTGTGTAATTGAAGTGTAAAATGTAAGTATTTTTATTTAAAAGTTAAGCATTAAAACTTTGTTACACTATTGTTTATTTATATATCTTTCTTAATAAATGTGTATATAAAAGACCTAATGAAAGAAATGTCAAACTGTATCGCTTGTGTTAGCACGGCCTCTGAAGGGGCCACAGAATATCAGTGTTGGGACATTAGTCGGAAACGTGGCTTAGTGGACTTCCTTTTCAGAGGCAACTGTACTATTTAATTTTTACTGTATTTAGTTGTAAAACATTGTTTATAATTTTATAGTGTGTTTGTAATATTAGTTTATTATTGTAAATTTATGTTGTTGTTTGAATAAACGTATTTCTATTCTATTCTATTCTATCGATATTATATCTACTTTCCGTGCATTTAGTAGGCAATCAGTGTTCCCTGTACGAACGAAATAATTAACTATTTTGCCCGAGAATCATAAATTATAAGAAATTTCAGCACAATGTTATTTTTTACTACTCTTTTACGCCGAAATGCATTAAACAGTTATAACTAGTTAAATATAAAATAGAAAAATCTTTAAGTCCAAGTTGTTTAGAATTGCAATGTTATGATTGTTGTAGGTTCTGCAGCTCACATAGACGGAAAACGGAAAGTGGGAAGACGGGACATGACATGATTAGAGATCAATGCACAATATATCAATCAGCCTTCATTTACTCTTTCAATGGAATATAAACATTACAGCCGTTACTATGGGGTCGGTTTTCATACACAGCTATTGTTCTGTCGTACTTTAATTAAATTCTATTTGAAGATCAGGTATAATGCGCAAATGTATTTTTTGCCGGGGGCTCCAGTCATTATTGATGTGTGTCAATTACGTGTCATTTTCAACTGTAAAAAGGATTAAGAGTTTGTAGCAAAGTTATGAATTTTAAAGGTTACATCGCCTGAGCCGTGCGTAGCTCAGTTGTGAAACGCGTCGTCTTGTATTGCGTAAAATTTATTCGAAATCCGGGAAACTTGATAAAGAGTTTTATCGAAGTTGTCAAAAAACTGAAATTACCTACAGGCATATAAGAAGATTAGGGAGCAGAAATTTCCTACAATATTACTAAACAATGAAACTGGCAGGCAAATATAATATGTATTATTGTAATGTAAAAGCCGACCGTACCTTAAAAATTAGCCATTTGTAATCTGCCTACACCCAAGAATTGATAATTGATACCAATGAATAGATGTTTCTGTATTTTATTTGTAACATCTACTTTGACTATAGAAAAGCCGATAAGTGGGAAATTACTCCGCTAAATGACATAGGTACTACAGTGCGGCGATCGCAATTCTCAAATTGTGTTTGATACAAACATTGTTTGGAGTTTACGTGAGTAGTGCATATTTTAATATAACACACACTTTTGTCAGTTCAACGTTTATAGTCCTTAATATATCACTTTTAGTTAAAGCATAAACAGTTTCATTTACAGGGGAAAATATAATTAAAAAAGAAACATTTCTTTTTCCTTTTAAGTGAATAAATCGATTGTGTTTACACTGATTTATAATATGAACAAGCAAGAAGTAGATCAGACTTTCCGCTCTACCCGATCGAGACATTTTAAGCTCCGGGATTCTTACCTAGGACCTCGTGTGCTTACCGATAGAGTGGTGTCAACAATTGCAAACACGAAATCAATAATAGCTTTTATAATCAAAATTAATCAAAAGGCGATATCGATGACATAGACTATAATGAAGGGATGATAGTGTAAGGGGTGAGTGGGAGGTAACCCTTTGTCCTATTGCGTTGCAATAATTACTTATTACTACTCGTATTTGTTTCATTAATATTCTGTCAAAATTCAAGTAATTTTTTTCTCTTTAAAATTAGGATATATATTTATTTATTTGTATATATAATAAATTTAATATATCACTGTGTGCCTTATGCTAGTGAATATTTTTTTTATTTCTTTCCTTCTATATATTACGAGTAGCATTAGCATTAAACAGGTTATAAATATCAACAGTTTGCGGGTTCGATTCCCACCAGATCCAACATGTTTCTTAAAATCAGTTTATGGTTTTTCTTACACATAGTCTGTCCTTACCTCTTTCGAGATACGAATATTGTCAAAATTGGTCAATTGCTATCACTCATTAACATGGTTGAATTAAGAAAATTGTGAACAGTAAAATGCAAACCTGCTTGATCCCCACACTACACTTAGTATTGACATGGGTAACTCCGACTTCCAGCATTTTGAATAGCTCGTACAGAAGATCGGCGTTCTCCTGAGTAAAGAGGTTCTTGTCTATTCCGTCATTCAGCCAGGACCTCACGTAGGGCAAATAGCCTAGTTCACCAGGGTCAATGTACACCATGCCGCAGCGGGATACCGTCGCTGGAGAGGCTTGTGCCAGGTCCGCTACCTGTTTGGGTAGACACACACAAACCTTGACTTGGACGATAACGATACCTTGAAATGTGAAATTAAAAAAAGCAAAACAAGCAAAAATACTTTTTTGTATGGGAGCCACGATTTCTCTATCTCGATCTATACTAATATTATAAATCTGAAGAGTTAGTTTGTCTGAATGCGCTAATCACAAGAACTACTGGTTCGAATTGAACAATATTTTTGTGTTGGTTAAAGTATTTATCGGGGAAGGCTTTAGACGATAAAACAGTGACAATGGGAAATGTGAAAAAATCAAAGAAAAGTATTCATCTACAGTACATACGGCCTGATGATGATGATGACGAATAAAGTAACAAGTAGTTTGTAAATGTTTCAAGTCTACCTTTTCTAGTGACATTTTCTGCTACAGACCGATAGTGAAGTCTTTGTGATAGTCAGTGTTACCCTTTAAGTACAAAACTCTAAAAATACGTTTTGTCAATATAAATTACACACAAGCAGATCTTAACAATAAAATCTCGGCGTTTATCGTTTTACGCCTGCACTTTTGGACAAATGTAATTTCTTCCTTAAAATGTGCGTATCGAGGTTCAAAATCCTATGGCAACAGCGCTGAAAATCGTTGCAAATATAACTACACAATATTTAAATGCTTGCATATTTATAATGTTCACATGATACCTAATATGTATGTTATGTAGTGAGCTTCAATGTATTTCAAAAATGATTAATTTTCCATTATTTCATTTTACAATATGTTATAAAAGAAGGGCATCAAATATTAATTATTTATTAGCAATTTTCCAATTGTATAGAGGGTTAATGTAGCTTAATTTTAAGTCCATCCACAAGTGGTGTGAACGTGGGGCTGGTGGAAAAGATATGAGTTTGTTTGAACGCGCTAATCTCAGAACTACTGGTTCGAATTAAAAAAATGTTTTTGTGTTGGTTAGAGCATTTATCGATGAAGGTATAGGCTAGGCTAGGTTTAGGCTATAAAGCATCGCGCTACGTGAAATGTGGAAAAAAACGGGAAAATTTTAAATATTTTTGGATTACCGATGCGTACGCTGCGAAAACGGTCCAAGATACCCAAAAAACATATATAAATTAAGTGATCTAAAAAAATGTCCGGGACACTATATGTCTGTCCTTCATGATTACTTGAGTCAATTCTGATGCCTAAAATAATTATTCTACGCGGACGAAGTTGCTGACACAGCTAGTATAGGGTATATTGAGTTTACCTCGAAGACCATGTGCACGTAGGGTGTGAGTTTGATCCTCTCAGAGTTAGAAAGACAGAGCATCTTGTTGTCATCCAGGACTGTGTTCATGTTCTCGATCCAAACGGCGTCAACTGGACCGTCACAGATCAGCCATTGGTGGTCGGGGTCCTCACACTACAGCGAATTAAGTCTTGTTAATATTATAAAAGCAGCAATATATGGCTATTAATCAACGAGTCGTGGGTCCGATCCCCACCATTTTTCTAATCAATTTATAATTTGTAATGTGTAGAAAGAATATCGGAATTTCGTACAGATGACGAACCACCGTCCATAGAAGTGTTCAAGTTTATTCGCGTTTCAGGTAGTCTGTTGATTTCCTAATATCCAAAGCTGAAATAGGTAGACAGCGTATCTTGTTTACACGTTATATGGCTGGGGAATTTTACTTACCATCAAGAATTCCATGCTTGTTTGTCCTCGTCGTTACAAAAAAAAACAAAACGTTCTGCTCCTATGTAGACTAGTTTAAATGTTTGCCTTACTTCTGCGTTGCTTAAATAACTTACTTGCACGGCAGTGCGCAATGAAAGCGGTAGGATCCCGTCGTGCCACTCCAAGGTCTGCAGGTTCACTTCTCCGTAGAGCTCGCCAATGCTGAGGCTCTTTGGGTTCATGATGTACTTGTGCACTATCTGATAGGTGGACCCGACCACACCGCTCTCGTATAGCCTGGTGTACGTGTCGCCTAGCACCTGCCAACCGAAAATAATTTGATAAGAATTGCACCACATATAATGAACTATTATACGACTGCGAACCATTATATCATCTTTGTTTGACATTAAATCCCTTTCGATATAGTCATTATCGATATGAAATTTATTCCATGCAGTATATTGTGATCTTATTTTAGTAATACATACTTTTTAACAGACATTAAGTTCTTTTATATTTTATAGTCTGTTCATAACAACAATTAAACAAGTGTTTTGTGCTATATGTTTGTTTCTTTTGCGTTTTGTTTTCAATGGCGATGATTTTTGTTATACTGCGTAGTAACGAGATAAACATTAATTAAAATTCTCAACAAAATTAGTTCAGTCGTTCTTAAATTATAAAAAGTATAACTAACACAAAATATATTAATTACATGTTTATTCAGCAAGTTCTTTTTAATACTTATAATGCTTTTAAATTGAAAAAAACACTTATTTATGAATATCATTAAATAAAGTTGTTAAATATAAATATGTTATTTGTTTCGGTAACATGCCATGACTTACATGTAGCACAGTGGTCTTGCCCCCACCCGTGGGACCGACTAGCATCACGCCCCACCTCACTATCATCGTCTCGTGCAGCTGAATCACTTTCCGTATCTGACACACCTCCACTTGTAACTTGCGTTCAAGTATTATCGTAACTGGAGGCAGAAAGACGTAATCGTGTCCAGTGAAATGTCTTACAATAAAAATATTATATTCTAATTAACATATTATATTCGAGCATTGGCCACACCGCTTCATCTCGGCGGCTGAATGGCAAGCATTGTGCAAGTACTGTGCAAGTACTGTGCAAGTACTGTGTCGAAATTAAAGGAAACAAATAAAGAATAACAATTTCCATTGCCAAAATTTTGCACGTAGTAAAGTTAAACACGAAAACATTAAGGAGTTCAACGGTTTACGAAACGAAAACTAGGATCTTTTGTAATTTTACTTCATAATTTTTCGCTCTCAAAGCCTCGTACAGAAATGTCTAAGTCTGTAACTTTTAGTTGGACCCGAATTACAGAGAAAAAGTTGTTTTGAGGAAATGTCGTAGTTACTTTTACAGCTGGTCGAATGAGCCTCGAAGCAATTAAGGATCGTTTTTCAACGCGAATAAATAAATCCGACGTAAAACGATGAACCGCTTTTTAATATACGTCGTCTGCATATTTGTTCTTTGAGCTATTAATTGCTTTGATGATGTCCTTTTTACTCGATACTGGGTTTCACGCATGACGTGATAATTCTAGTTCTTAATAGGCTTATTTGCTACTTGAGAGTATTAGGAGTCCGAATAGAGGCCTTGATTTCATAGATTAAACAAGATAAATACATTGATTACAATCGCAGGAAAGCGTATTGCGAAAAGCCGACTTCTTTTTACTCGAAAAAATAAAATAACGCATGCTTCGATTGCTACATTATATAATATAGACTAATGTAGTCCGCGAGTCAACATGAACTTACTTCAAATGGAATCAAACACATGGATTGATAAATGTAATAAATGAATTAGTGCATACAGAACGGCATCGGAGGAACAAAAGGGAAACTTACTAATGATTTCCTCCATGACGCCGTAGTCTCTTACGGGCAGGTCCACTCCGGGAAACAAATCTGAGAGAATCCCAGCGAACAAGATGGCATCAGCAGCTAGGAATTTGGGCAGATTGCTGTCGTTTAGTGCGCAAAGTAATGTCATCTCTTCGTGCTGGTCCGGACTAGCGCGCTTCAATGCTCCCGCCATTACCTTCATATGAGTAGTAAAAATATAAGTTTACCGTTTCTAAAACATCACAAAACATGAGAATTTGTTACGATTATTTGACAAGCTCTATGGTCTAACGGTTGCTCTAAGACGTCGTGGAGCCACCAGGTCCAATATTTTATTTATTTAATTTTTCCTTATATGCACTGTCACATGTGCATATATGTAATAAATAAAAAACATGTTTCTAAATTTTCTGAAATGGGAGGTAGGCTTAACGAAATTTCGCTCGAATTAGATTAGCTCGTGTATACGGATACGGTGGTTACGGCATGTCCAAAATAAAATACGTCGATAACGCATCTTGTTTAGACTGTATATAGCTGGGACATTTTCCAGTAATTGAACACCGTGCTTGTCTGTCCGTCTTTGTCATAAAATGTTAGGCAGTCGGAATGTACGTCTGGAAATCTTAGACTCTGATAGGCTATTCGTGTTATCAGTAAATCATTCTGTATAATTATTCGCCTGAATTTGATTGAACAGAACACACCAGTACACTCTTGACCGCCCTCATCCCGAAGTCGTAGTGGTCCTGTTTGGACAGTTGTTCGCTTGATAGCTTGTACATTTGTACCATTTTCTTAGCTAAGCCCTTCGAGGACTCGAAGCCTTCAGAGTAAAGTATCACCTCCGCAATGAGAGCTAAAATCACAAAGTGAAAATCTTTTAGCGCAATGGTAAAATATTTGAAATCGAATTTCTTCATTATTTCATATAATCGCTTATTTCATACATAAATGAAACAAAAAAATATTACAAAATGAATACGTATTAATATATTAATAGATGTATATAAAGGTCACCACTCAGATTTGTTGTACTTGGAAGTAATCATTGTGCTGATTTTCAGTGATACGATATAAAATAATGCCAATTAGCAAATCGAAAATAAATGAAATCCTTTTCATTTGTTTAATGGAATGGATTCTACGAAATAGCTGAAAAGCCTGAAATAAATTAAGGCCAACGCAAAAAATTATTTAGGTCAGGTAAAGGACATCAGTTTTATAACTATATTATATGTTTAACTATATTATAAAGATTGAAGAAGGAAAAAACGGGAGTATTTTAGTCTTTTAAAGCTTCCTTTGAGTGTCCTGTTAAGAAACCGAAAAACTATATATGAAAGAATAATTATTGTTTAAATGTTTTAAAAACTGTCCGCGACACTAATTGTCTATCTTTCAAGATTAAGTTGAAAAAACAACGCGACAGGACGCGGACGTCTTGGATAACTGCTGTAACTTATAAAAGGTGGTTGTTTGCAGAAAAATCATATTACGATGTCCAAATCAACAATATTGCACGAGGACGATTTAGGGGGCACAGCTAGTATGTACGTAAAGCTAACCAGGAAATTTCTACAATGTATATGTCAGCACCATTCCTTACACTAAATGGAAGGCTTATTTTGAGACATATTATTAAGACATTAAACAAACCAGTATCCACCAATGCATTCGAAATGGAGGTCGTCTCGACTACATCAAACTAGAGTGTTTCGCTACCTCAATAGTGGTGTATCCACCAATGCTATATACAACTTCAATAAATGAACAACTTTTGGTTTATTCAGCATTCATTGTACGTCATAGAGAAGGAACATAAATCACCGTAATCCGGGACCATCATAGATATGGGCCTGAAGAGCGCTTTCAGATTGTCAGGCAACTCCGTCCTCCCCGCGTAGCCAGGGTTCATCGTTATGAAGGCCGCGCAGGTACGGACCAGTTTGATTTCTCGTCCTTCGAACATGAATCTAAACATATAATTCTGGTGTCATGTACTAGATGATTAATAATTCTATAATTTATACGAGACAATGGAACACGAAGATCTTTAAATAAAAATAGTAAAAAAAATTGTTTTCCAATTTACCGACGTCCCTTAAAGCAATCTAACAAAATGACTGCATTAACCTTGACTGCTTAGCAACTTTAGCGTTCCTTATAGTGATGAGCTGCTGAGCAATAACGGACAGCACTTCGATATCGATCCGGTTGAACTCGTCGAAGCAGCACCAAGCCCCGGAAGTGGCCAGGCCGGAGAAGAACCTGCCCATCATCTTATAGTCCAGACCTTTACAAGAAATAGGCGAGCATTTAATTATACTCCTTCGCGTCCCCACTATGTGCACATTAGATTAGTTTATTAGTTATTTATTTTATAATCCTTACCTTCTGAACAGTTAAACACAACGCACTGAATAGCGAGGGCTTTGGCTAAGTCTTTAGTGGTCTCCGTCTTGCCGGTTCCAGCGGGACCAGCCGGTGCACCACCCAGATCCAACTGGAGAGCGCCCATCAGGCAAAGATAGCATCTGTCCGTCAACGGCGTGATTACAAGGACACCTGTTATTACAGAGTCTCGATTGTATATTAATTCAACTTTATTTACCACAATTTTTTGGTTATTTAATTCAATTTCACCGTACTATGTTTTGACAATCTTGTTTGAGTTTTTATTTAGGTATAATACCTAATATTGAGGGTATAAATTAATATACTTTAATTTTGTATACGTAGTGTTTAAAAGTTCACTTTATACAATATTATCACCTCCAGCACCCAAGTACTCGTGCCCGTATATGTACATGGCGCTTGACATTCTCGCCACGCAGTTGTCGATGTCATCCTCCCAGTAGTAGCGGATCATCTTCAGCCATTCAAAATCATTACTGTAACATAACTACATTTTATGCGAGAACGTTCAAATCCTGCATTACCCTAAAACAGGCTTAAGGATATAACTCATTCGTCATCCACGCACTCGCACTCGCCCTCGTGCTAGTGAGTGTGCGATTACTTTTTATCCGATGGGCAACTTCAGGGGTCTTTTTGAACAATCTGTGATATTCTTCGGAAACTTACGCTCTCTGTACATGTTTCTCGACCATGTGGTTGATGGTGTCTCTCGCGTGTACGTCCACAGTGATAAGAGCACATAGAACCTTCCGGAAGAGAGAGGTGAGGTTTTGACGTGTCAGCGCCGCCAGATCGTTTAGGTCCGTGATGCACTTTGTCTCGTAGGCCATTAGGGCGGTGTCAATTCGGAGTGGTATGTCCAGGTCGAATATCTCATGGATCCCCCGGGCCCACATCGTTTGGGACACAGTAAGTACTACCTAAGTTGAATACGATTAATATAAATACTGTCTATAGTTTACGCGAGTAGTACACATTTAAATAAAACACTTTAACGGTTTAAAACGCGATATATTAGTTAAACTTATTTGAAAATGATTTTTAACTTCGGCCCGACGATTGAAATTTGAATTGAATCAATATGGAGGACGGCCTCAAATTATCAAACACCTGGGATCCCATATTAAAACCTCTGGATCCCAATAAACAGCATACCAGTTAGTCAATTATGTAAGGACCCGGCAGTTTCGCCAAATACCAACTTCGAAGGAACAGATGGCGCTAGCGTAGCAATTTTTTACTTTGGCGTCAGAGACATCCTCCATCTTTAGTCTCTCCGTGACCACGGCTGCTGCAAAGCATCGGAAACTTCGGGCTTTAAGTTTAACTAATATATCGCGTTTTAAACCGTTAAAGTGTTTTATTTAAACGATTAATATATTTCATTGATAGTAGACTCTGCCTTTTGTCTTCAGTTATGTGCAAACTAAACATTCAACTTACTATGCTGACTAATGTTTAGATATTGAATTCATATTAATGTTTTTAAATTTTTTATTAATTATATGTAAGGGCATTGTTTTTATACTAAAATAGCATTCGTTTTGTCATTTAAACTAAACAGTGCTCACTAACCATGAAAACATGTGTTTTGTTTGAAGAAAAGAAGTAATTATGAACGACATATGGTACAATGCAGCACGACAGTTTTTTTAAATTCCTCCACTTTTTACTTTAAATAAATGTTTTTTTTTCTACAGCACAGGATAGCACAACAAAAGCACGAATAAACAAACAAATGAGTTTTGATGTTTTTCATGTGGTTGTCTTTTATGACAGCATTTTATTTTTAGAGAGATATTTATTATACTTGGTTGAATTAATGTTGATAAGACTTTACAGGCTTAGAATAATACTACGTAAGCATACCAATGGTCGTGTTACCTGATTGGGATGTAATGCCACCCATTCAACGCGGGGTCGCATCTCGTAATCCTTGAGTGCAAATTTCATGCTACGCTTCACTGACGCGAACATCGCTTCCTCGACTTTCCCCAACCAGTCCTCCACGTTGCCACGCGCTTTCAAACCCTGACGTTATGAAGTACAATTACATTCATGTCATTCAACAAGTCATTCAACATGTTCTTTATCGTAGAGGAGGTCCACGCTATTAATATGTATGTACATAATTATGGACTGGCACCTACTTTGCCCAAATTGATTCGTTCACCTTCCGGTGAAAGCATCGCTATAATATCGGTCGTCAAGTCCTCTGCTTTGGCAGTCTTAGCGAGTTTCGCCTGCAGTGCATCTCTTGTTGCGAATGACATCTCCCTCTCCACAAGAGTCCCGTCTTCCGTTACCTCCATCTCACTTTCGGGAAGTTTTACTCCAAACTCCAGCTTTGCGATTGCGTCGAAGCATTTACGTAAATGAGGTTGTACTGCGTGCGGATTACGAGTCTAAACAATATAAAAATGGATACATTATGTTTAATGGTAGAGGCAGCCTGCGTATTTTATTATCAAAGTAGTGATAATGAATGGGGACATCGTAGATCTTCGACTGAGTCCTGATTTTGAATCCACATATCTATAATAAATTGATTTTTGTAATAAGAATTATGTCTGCTTGAGGTGTCTAAAGAAGATATACTAATTGAATCGTTGATCAACCTGAGCTAGAATTTCAAGCAGTTCATCGTTCGAGAGGAAGAAGAATCTCGGAAAAGCGACTCTCTTGGTCTCTAAGTACGCCTCCAAGCACTTCATAATCTGATCTAGCATTTCGTTGTTTCTTACAAACTCTTCGTAAAGCTTTGGCTGAGTGGCTGCTGGCATGGCCAAAGGAACCTGCAACAAGTTAAAACATATTTTTGACCTTCTACAATAATCTAAAATAAAAAGCACATATTCTACTGCATATTCATATATTGGTATACATAGATATAGAATATATGCTCTAAGTTATGTCTGAATGAGATTCATAAAATGGACATTTTACCGGCTAATATAAGATGTCACATTAGAATTGGCGGTCTATCCTGAATCAATATCAACACATATCTATCTATTACTATCTTTAATATTATAATATTAGAAGGCAGTTTTTACCTTAGCCAATTTTCTCATAATGTCCTTCCACGATTTGTCAACAATCGTGAACAACCGTGTCTCATTTGGGAGCTGTCTTTGTATATCTGGAGCTGAGAATATCACTTCCAGGTATATCCATGTTTGTTGGCAGGCATACCACTCTTCCTATAAAGCAAAGAATCCTAATTGATATTAAATTAATAAAATCCCCCTTTCCACTTTTCCTTTATATATGAATATATAAAGGAAAAGTGTATGTGTAAATATTGTGCACATTAAGAAACTCAATACTTAGATGAAATCCTTTGAAAAGAAATAATAATAAAAATGAATACCAAAGTCCTCGCGAACAGCTCAAGATTCTTGGCCCATTCTTCAACTCTGCTACGAATGGGTCCACAATTCCTTGAACTGAGGATCGTGCTGATGTGGATGTTGCTCTCGTCAACCGCGGCCTGAATCTCATCTAGGCCTCCAAGAACGTAAACATCGCGGGCGTCTTTATGTAGCAGAACTGGGAATTCTAAAGCTGCCCATATTTCTTCGACCTAGACGCAAAATACACAAAAATCTATAAAACAGTAGAAGTTGTAATAAAATGTATGATTAATCTATACTAATATTATAAAGAGGAAATATTTGTATGTTTTTTTGTATGTAACGGATAAACTCAAAAAGCACTTGACCGATTTGAATAATTCTTTTTTCATTAGAAAGCTACATTATCACTGAGTAACATAGGTTATATTAAGTACTTAATTACTATTGGCATCTACAGAAATTCTGATTAAAACCAACGGAAGGCGTAAAAAAATTAGCCGTAGAATGTATATCTTCGTATACACTGCGAATAGTATTAATGATAGGACAAAAAAATCTTCCACACTATTATAGAATATATCAATATCTACAAAAAACATTACGAGAGCATATGTCTAACTATTGTAGTTACGTCGCTATAACTACTTTTTTAAATTTAACAAATTGATAGAAATGCCGATCAAAATCAGACCGTGTTATCCGTACGATTTATAAATTTATACCCGAATAAATAATTTAATATTCAAGAATGTCTCAATACCTGATGATTACTGATTCAATTATTGAAATCGGACATGCCATTCAAAAGATATCATGAAATTAAAAGAAAAGAACATGCCGGCGGCGGCCGCCGCGCCGCGCATGGCGCACCTAATTCGACGTGAGAGGGGCAGTGGGCTCCTTAGGCAGCAGTGGGCGCGAACGACACTGAATATTTCGAGTTTTTTTTAAACATTTTTATGCTTAAGACTTAAAAAGTTCTTTTCAGAGCTACTTAGTTTTAGTATTAGGAATCACACTTTGCATCATATTTGTCAAAGTTATTTTCAGAACTATTGCTTTGAACTTGCATATTTTCTTTTGTATTATTATTAATTTATTCTTAATTTCTCTGATTTAAAATTAGAAGAAGAAGGTCGCAGCTATTTAAAAATATTTCCCAAGCGCGATTAGCAAAAGTTCGTCGAATTGGAGAGTCTTCTTCCTAAAATGATCGCCTGGAAAGTATTAGAGTGTACGCGTCCCAATCGCGAGCCAGAGAATCTATCGTCGAATGTTCAGGTTCGTCTTGCAAAACCAAATGCGAGATCGTCGCAGCGACTTGAAGGAAATAGAGCTAGGAATTCGCGAACGCGTGCACGGGACTCTAACACTGAACGCCCGCAGCGGCTCCTGACACAGCGAGCTAGACAACGATCGCTAATAAGACGCTAGGAAGCTAGGACGCGCAATACATTTTTTTTTCTAATTTAGTGATTCAAGATCGTTTTAATTAGCATGCTTATAATTTAAATATCTGTAAACCTATATATGTCTACCCGTGCGAAGCCGGGATAGGGCCGCTAGTGTAATAATACATTTACTCAATAATTCACTTTAACTTCCAATAAAACACCGTTATATAAATGGTACGTAGTAGTAGTAGCTAACTACTCAAAAATAAAGCATGGTTGGTTTGATTTTTTTTTTGTTTCAAGTTAAACTAGGTGATTTTTTTTTTGTTAAGTTTAAACTAGGTGTTTTTTTTTGGATCACTACTCTATCACAATTTAATGCATGGTCGTTTCAACCGACCTTTTTTAATAATCCTTCCAGTCCAGCCTCGGAGCTGGCCTGTCCGGCGACTTCCATTAATTCCTCGGCATGTTGGAACGCTCCTAGGTCCTCTAACATTTTTAAAGTCAGCACCATATCCGGAGTGATTCGCGTGTGAAGGATCTCTTCGACGCGAACCCAGTGACGTGGTTTCAAAGCGGGATTTCGAAGATATGACATTACTGGAAGCTATAAAAAGATATGAAATATAATCTTATTTGCCCATTTAGCAAAATGTTATTTATTTATATTCAATGCAATAAATGCCCACCTTCTCCTTTATAATATCAATGGTCTCCTTACAACCAGGTACGATTTTGTTGGGTGGCAGTCCTTTGTCAAGCTGGTTAAAAGCCTTACCATAATTAATGGTAGTTGTTTGTATATCATCTATATCCAGGGTGTTAAACGGCACTTCATACCTAGAGCATCGAATTGTTTTATTGCCTGAATCTGCGACAGTTTCAAAGGAAACAAATTCTGACTGTATTGAAAAGTGAACACCAACTCTTTTTCAATGGATATCCAGTTGACAAACTATTCAAATCAGCTTTAGGGATTCACAGGTAACGTAATAAGGCAACGGTATAGCTTACAGTAAAGCTAGAGACATTACGATAATTAAAGTTGAAAAATGTCTCACCATGACGCGTATAATTCATTCCACTCTTTGGAGTTTTTCCACAGCATTTGCCTCAGCCTCACATCGTTGATTGCTTCATCTAGCTGTTCCAGTCTGGCGGGCGGTATCTGTTGTAAGAGTACAAATAAGTTGTGTAGTGTGCAAAACAGCATTCACTACAAGCATATGTATGTATGCTTTAATTCTGCATGGAAAATAAATGGTTACCTTAAAGACTTTCTGCCATTCCCGGATCTGTTTGTCTCTTGCTGAGCAAGCCATCAACTTCTCCATCAAGTCCTCGAGCACTTCGAGTACTTTCTCAATATCCGATTTTTCATCATACAACCACGGTTGAGCGACTTCGTCTCTCAGTTTGTTGACATCCAACATCAATTCCATGATGTCTTTACCAATTTGACTCGCAAACAATCCGGCTAGTTTCCCTCGCGTTTCCAGTTTTGAGTCCACATTCGTTCGTAGAGTGCCAAGTGCCACGCTAAGACCTATAAACATAGTAATAAAAAAGAAACACTTACAGAAAAAACATCTTAAACATTTATTTTTATTAAGTAAGGTATGGTATTAGAAGCTAAATAGATAAGATTTAAAGAATTTACGACTCGGGCAGGACTTAAACCGGCATCGTCAGCGACTCTACCAAGAGCAACGGCACGGAACGCTGACGATGTCGATTCAAGTCCTGCCCGAGTGGTTTTTAATTTATTTTCGATTTTTTTAAATATATAGTGTCATCATGTACATGAGAAAAATATTAAAGTTTTCAAAGATAAATAGATACCTAAATAATCAGTCATGTCATCTGGCGGAATGGCTATGTTGAACTCTCCCATTAAATCGTAGAGTTCTCTGAGATACTCTAATCTCTCCTCCAACTTGGCCACGCGACTTTCGAGGCCATCGAGTAAGGTGTTAAAAGCGACGAGCTCTCCGGCGCTTTCTGGCTCTCTGTTTATGTCATCTTCGATGCCAGATATGCCTTCTAGTATTTCATCTATACACCCTCGACCAATACTGTAAATTTCAAGTTTACAGTTTTCATAAGTGCGTATTAAAAACTATCTGTTATTATTATATAACGAACTTACTCTAAAGCTAACTTACTCGGGAGTTGTCGTGTGCACCACGTCAAAAAGCCGTCGAGGTTGAGGTCTAAATAGCTCTTGGAATGGAGACAGACACAGAAAAATGAGCCCGAGAGGTTGATAACTGACTACATCCTCAATGTCTTCCATTTGCTTCACAAATTTCTCACACAGTTGCTTAAGCACGTTGACGTCTCGTTCTTGTCTTATAATATTCACATCCATTTCGTGTGCTTCCTTAAAGTTAGCCATAAATTTATTCATACGTTTGAGGAAAGTCCAAACACCGCTGAATGCGTCTCTGAGGGACTGAGGAATGAAACCGATATCCGCCAGCATCTTTTTGTCCTGGTGCATGAGGAAGTAGAGGTTCGGCGATTGTCCGGCCGACCATTCAACCTGTTTGCCCATTATAGTCGGTTGCACAAATATTTGTAAAGTCTCCTCGTTGAGGAAGTTATGGAAAGTCCGCACATACTCCTCCCAATAGTCCGTTATCTTTTCCATGTAGGAGGAAATCAGCTTCTCGCTTGGATTCAGTACGAATTCCCCAGAAGATACAACGTATGCGTCGACTTGGAAGAGCGCCCACTACAGAGTCGAAAACAAAAGGTCGATGACGAATAAAAACTCTGAATTAAAAATTAATTTCTTAAAATATATCCTATTTTATACACCAACTGGCTATGTTTATTAGGTTCGAACGAATTGCGTTGTCAATGGTTTTTAGAAATAATACAGTTATAAGTAATGTAATATAAACAATAACTGCCTCCTTTTGGCATAATATAGCAAATAATATGTTCAAAATGTCAGGAAAGCAATGTTTCAATCTTTCATAAACATTGTGCAATTTAGTTATGTAATATTTCGAATTGAAGACATAGAATAGAAGAGAACAGACATTACGTTACACAGAAGCTAGCAAGATTAGGCAATGATAAAATCGGTCACCTTACAAATTTCCGTCTGCCTCGGCCATTCCTCCAAGACTTCGTCCAACTCAGTGCCTTCAAGTAGCTCCTTACTAGGGTTGAACTGCACGTGAACCCGCAACATATCAGCCATCATAGCATTCGAACGCTTTGTCAGACGATACAGCATGTAGTTCGTCATGTAGTCCATCAGTTTTATGAAGCTTGTGTGAAAAAGTAGTAATCATTTAAATTATTAAAAACAAAACCGTACTTTGATCAGTACAATATGGGGCTATATTGTGTTGATCATAGTGTAAACATGAAAAAATTCATTACACAAACGGATTTTCAATTTACAACAAATGCAATCCTGAGGAGTTTGTTTGTTTGAACGCGCTAATCCCAGGAACTACTGGTTCAAATTGAAAATAAAGTGTTGGTTGGAGCATTTATTAAGAAAGTCTTTATTTGGGCTATAAAATATTAGGCTGTGACAGATTGGAACAAAAAAACAGTGAAAAATGTGGAAACAACGGGAAAAATTATTTATTTTTGAGGGCTTCCGTTGCGTGCGAAAACGGTTTAAGATATATAATAAATAAATGTGAAAGAATTATTCCTCAATAAATAATGTAAATAAATGTTCACGATATTACATGTCTACCTTTTATGACTAACTCACAAGAACCGCTATGGTAGTCAAAATACTTTATATGACAAAATAATGCTTGCTAGGTAAGCTAGTGTTATGTGTGCATTTGATCATTTACCAAGCGAGTCTCTCGCAGTAATTCCTCTTATTTGCCTTTTCAGTGTAAGACATTCCGCCCGTTGGTTTTCCTCTAATAATCTGAAAGGGCGGAATGTTCCTGTCGTCGTATATGAAGCCCTGTTGGTACAACGCAGCATGGCAAGCCGCTGTGATCAGCTCCAGGGCTATCGCTCTGAACTCCAGTAGTTTCTCGCGGACATATTCTACCCGTTTCATCTACAAGTTGATATAGCTCGTGTAAACTTATCGACTTTTTTCTTATTTTATGTGGTACAAATGCGAGTTAAAGAGAAGTACCAGAACTTCGATAAAGTAGAAGAACGCAGTGTCCATATCCCTTGACACATCAGCGAAGCTCTTCATATACATATCGCAGCAAATCGCTTGCATGTGAAGAAGCGCTTTACCTAGAACTGGAGTTAGTATAAACAGTTTCTTGGCAATCTTCTTCCTCGTCTTACTGTATTTTCTGAACAGAATTGACTTCTGCCAGACGTAGAACGCCTTCCAATAACGGTAGTTGCGAAAAAATTGTATCTGTAATAAATAAATTTCCATTTATCATCGAGACGGTCATGTTCCACTTCGGTTGGTGAACAACACCCTTACATCGGTGAGCGAGACAAAGATGTTATACTCCTGCTCCCAATCAGGAAGTTTAGTGAACACCATCTCATTGGTGAAGTGAGTCACCCCGCAGGGACTTATGGTCAGGTAATTCTTCCTGTCTATTTGCTCGTATGGCACCACTCTGCAAACGTAACAAGTCGGTATCATAGAAGATGCAAATACTTGTATTTAATTTAAGCAATTGAAACGAAAAAAGTCTAATCAGCTAGTAACGTAAAGAAATTATTTTAATTCTGATACATTGTGTTGGGCCATACTTGAGGTAATAGGGCGTGAAGTAGACGTTTTGGGGATGAACGGCGTATATCATATAGAGGAAGCCACACTCGTGATGTTCGCGCACATACTGTATGACCTCCTTCTGCGACGCCACAACGGGCTTGATCTTCAGCGGATCGCTAGTATGCGGCTGGCTCTTCACCACGTCAGAGTTACTGCGGGATTCCTGAATCTTGATCTTTTTCTTCTTATCTTTGCCTAGAAATTGTAAGTCCATCGAGTGTGGGTAGTAGCTTTATCTACACTCCACTACATCTAGATTTACTTATAAATGATATATCATTATATTGGAAAGTAAACTAAGCTTCAACGCAAGCTTCGCTTAATTTCGAGGTAATTTATGGCGTACAAACCATCGTCTATTTTTATAGGCTCCAACTGCAACTTAGCAGTCTTTCTTTCTTTTCGAAACCTTTCTTCTTGAGCAAATGTAAACCCGGTCTGTAAATAATAATTATCTTTTTCACACTTAGGTACACCAAACAATCAATTAATTAACAACTATACACTGTGCAACTAGTGCGAAAATAAACTAATTACTTACAATTAAAGTAGTAGTTGAGGTACGTTAAATTAATATACTTACATACAACATTTATTATATACATCATAAAATTTGCAATAGATATCTATTGAGTAAAATAGTTAATTTGAACAAATCAAATTGCCTATTCTACTACTAATAAATTTAGCTTTCTAATGGTCAAAGAGTTTTAAAAATAAATATACAAAAAAAAAATACAAATGTAGCTTTTTATAATATTGTGTAGATGTTGATGAAATTATGATAAACGTGATTTGTTACCAACGCCTTGCGTTACGAGGCTTGCTTAACGAAAGGTCAAAGTAGTGAATCGAAAATACATGTGTTATTTCTATATAAATGGGGAAACGATTCGTTTACCAATGGCTCAGGCTCCTTCTCCACGTGTTCAATTTTCTCCAAAAGTTTCTTGTGTGGAAAGTGAAATGCGAGTTCTTTTGGTTTCCTGAAACAATTACAAAATGTTAACAAACACGTCTTAGAGCAAAGAGCTTAGGGGAATTTTTTTTATAACTGATAAAAGATCTACATCGATTTTTTACTAGTTACACACATTTTTAATTCTTTTTTGAAAGCACGATAAGTTCGCTGGGTATTGATTAAAATAGTAGTAAACTATATAAATCTGAAAACCGTAATATGATGTACTACATCTACTAAATATTTAATCAGATACCAGTCTGAGGCACAATACCCCACAAGTAAGAAATAAACAAAATATGATCCACCTATTGTAATAAGTTGGTACTTTCCGAACATTGCGCTGTACAGTTTCTATAGCGGGAAGTGTAGATGGCTTTCGTTGCATTTAGTATTAAAACTAAGATAGCCTACAATCTTAAATATGTTTTAAATACTTTCTATATAACAAAGGCTTGTTTATAACACCAATAACAACGTCTCGTTGCTAAGGACCGTTGCTAAGAACCAAGATTAATTCAAATAAAGTATTTACTATTTATGTTTAATTGTTGCTAAATGCAAGTCACAAGAGGTACGATTAGTAATACTTATCACATGCTTCCGTGGGTTCTTTAACAACTAGCGCTTTTAATTATTAAAAATAGTAACTGGAACGGGGCTGTAACTCCACACCTAAAGTATATAGTAAGATTTCTGGCGATTAAAACATATAATAAACTCCATCCCATAACTATATATGATTTTATATAGATGTCATATATATTATATCCTCTGAAAAAATAAGCAATCTGTGATGTGTGAGACTAGAAACATATAAATATCTAGTAATTAATAAGAATTTTCCAGGCGATGTAACGTCTGTTCACATTATAATTTAAATGTTACCGGCCCAAAATGAGGTTACTACATTATTATAGATATAAGTTTGGTTGCTTATCCAGATGAACGTTTAAACTAAACACAATATTAGAACATGGACAAGACCATAATAAAAATGATGTTCGCCCTTATCTTAAAGTTCCCGCCTAATGCAATTTTGAAAACGTCACACATTCTATTTCTTTAGTAAGCCTGTGGCAGTGCCAATGTATATCTGTGGATTTTGAACATGTCCTAGCTATAACGATTTACATCTGTGATGTAATCATTATAAATGTAATCTGTGGGCTGTATTTGGCGTTAGAAAAATCAATAATGATTAATGAAAGTTACCAATATAGAGTCTCACAGTTCATGTTGAGATCGTTATGTATACATTACTTCAACGATTGATTCGAAATGTCTCTTAAATGGTATTAATTCACCGCAAAAATTGCGATCGCGTGTGCGCCACCTTTATCTTTTTTAAGTGATTCCGTGATGTAAATGTGTTATGTATTTACCGCTGTGTACTTTAGTATATATTTATTTGCATAAAGTCTAACTAGGCAGTGACGAGATGCGGTTAAAGCCTTCACAGGCAAACTCATCCGTTTGTCTACATAAAAATACTAAATAAAATATACAGAATGATGAAAATAAATTAATAAACTTTATACGATGAGGTTTCATAGACGTTGCGGGGACAGAGTTAGCCTTTTAAATGGCAAAACAACAGCTATAAGAAATTTCGTTGAGTTCAACCACGGTTTAATATTCAGTGCGGATCCTTTGACCGACGACGTTATATTCGAAGTTTGCATCGATAGAAAGGTACACTAAAAATTCCTTATTTCTATATATCTATTGGTATTTTTTTATTATTATTTATATTCTCTGTTTATCACATCATATTCTTCTGTTATATAAACCTTAAATGCAACCGTAATACTGAATCATGCTTTTTTATAAAATGGCTTCTTTACTGAATTGTTCCTCTTCTAGCTATTACATTGTAAAACAGCACAGTAAAAATAACTTTTTAATCTCAAGTAATAATTGCCTTATACTTTTAAATATAACCTAGATCATAGAGACTGTGTGTATAAGTTACCTATAAAGTCCTTCATTTTTCTTTGTTTATATTGTTGGGTACTTCCATTAGTTTCATAAAAATTTCAATGTTAATTGTTTCAGTGTCACAAATGCCAAAATCTTGTAAATAACCAATGGAATACAAGTTTGTTCTTATACTCTAAAACATTCAAACTAAAAAGTGATATGAATATTAAATTTAGGTTTGTTACTTTATTGTTTTGTTGGGTATCTACTTGATCTTATGGCTCATTTATTTATTTATTAAAAACAATACATTTCTTTCAATAGTGTGGCCTATATAGTATGCTCTTATAGAATTGTCTTTTTTGTGTTACATAAATACTCCCTGTTCATAATTGGTGTTATATAATTAATATTGGTGCAGGTAAATGTTTGGAATGGAAGCCTCGAGATTGGTGTCACAACTCTTGACCCTGAGTCTATGGAATTGCCAGCCACGGCCACCAAGCTCCGCAACACAGCATGGGTGTGTACAGCTGAATGACAAGATATTATGAAGTGCTGTGTGAACTTTAACTGCTACAAACTTTTTAGTCTATATATCTTTAATCACAGGCAACAGATTTTTTTGGCCCGTGCAGTATCTCTCAATTTTTATGCACTTTGCTCTTATTAACATTAGGAGTTTCCATAAGTATATGATTCACTACAATATTATTTACAGATAATGTCTGGCAGCTCTGTAGTGAAGGATGGCGTTACAATAATCAACTCATATGGACCGAAACTGGACAGCCTCCATGAGAGTGATTGCCTTGGTGTGATGAGAACTAGTAAGGTGATTAGGCACATAGATTTTATTGAAGTACCTACATAAGTCATTGCAATTGTGTTCCAATAGCACTGTGTCTATAAAAAAAAATTTGCTATCGCTCTGAAGGGAAAATTTAGATAATAATTAATTATCAACATCCATGTCAGGTCAAATGGTGCTGCTATCACCCAAAGAATTCATTTTTGTGATGAACTGGTCTAGAACCAAAAAAATTACCTACTGCCTTGTACTATTAAGGAAGTAGATAATTGTTATCAATTTGTGCGCAGGGCGAATTAATGTTCTATGTGAACGGACGGTGTCTGGGTTGTGCCGCGAAGGACATGCCACCACGGCTCTTTGCTGTAATAGATCTGTACGGGCAGTGTGTTCAGGTCTCAATTATGCGCACGAACACCATGCGTACCATTATAGAGAACACTTTGGATCAGGTATGCATATTATTGACGTATTGAAATATAAGGCAGTGATCTCACACCCTCCAGATAATAGAGTAAACAGTAGAAAAATTTATTCACTTGTTCCGGTAGTCTATATCATGTAAATTGTTAATATTATTTTGTATACTAGATTGAGGAAGACCCAAACAATGACGACACTGTAACGTCAGGGGAGTTTGAGCTCTCTTCAGAAACGCCGCACAACAAACCGTGTCGCGAGGTGCTCGTCCCGATCACGACGGAGGGGGCGTGCGCACTCGGTAAGAACAAATACCCCAACAATATAATATTTAAACAAAATGCACTGTCGACCAACTTTCACTTGGAAACTGATGTTCAATTCCGGACGAAGGCCAACATGTTGTAACCGGTTGGTTATCGAACCCACGACCTGTTAATTACCAACCATACTGCATTAATAGCATTGAAGAACCATAAAATACCTGATATAAATACTTTCTTCCGCTTCGCAGTGGCCCAAGATCGGCTGCGATTCCACCCGAGGTGTGGTATCCTTGTCAAACTGTCCAACAACAACAAGTGAGTTTTGTACATTTATAATAAGATTCAATACATTTAAACATCTTGTTAAGCGCCAGTAATAGTCAATAGTTTAGATACTACTACAGAAGGCTGGTAACTTGCTTGTTTTCCCCTATCTAAATAAAAATGATGGATTGAAGGTCTGCCGAGAGGTCGCGACCACTGGATGACTATAACAACGGTGTGGTGATGACGCACCGGCCCCTCTACGACAACGAGCTCTTCGAGATACGAATAGACCGTCTCGTGGACAAGTGGAGTGGCAGCATAGAGGTGGGTGCTGTCAAATAAGTATCATTTGACTAATGCTGGAAAGAGCATGTTTATTGTGTATTGAGGAGACTAAGTATCTTGCTGCGACGAAAAGGAGATTAGAAATATTCCATTAATCTTAAAAGTAACTCAGTCTCCACACTCATGTGACACTAGTCACACCGAAAGAAGGTCTTGTAACACTCCCTAAAATTTAACCCAGGTCGGCGTGAGCACGCACAATCCGGCCACAGTCCGGTTCCCGTCGACGATGACCAATATGGACAGTGGCACCATCATGATGTCCGGATGCAAGGTTCTCCTCAATGGCCAGGGCACTTGCGTCGCCTACGGTAACTTCAACCTGGACGAGCTAAGGGTGAGTCAATTCTTCAAATGGGTTATCGTAAGATTAGAGCAGTATTTAAAACAAATATGTGGAGCAGGAGGGGGATACGGTGGGCATGATGCGCAACTCGTCGGGCAAGCTGCACTACTTCATCAACGGGATCGACCAGGGTGTCGCCGCGGACAAAGTGGAGCCCCAAGTGTGGGGGGTCGTCGACCTCTACGGGATGACTGTCAAGGTGAGTGTAATGACTTGTGAAGCAAAGCATGAAGGAAAGCATGCCTTTTGGGAGCTCGTGTTTTGAAATCTCATACTATTGTTGTTGCTTGGGTATTGTAACTTTATATGTATAAAAAGATTCGTATTAAATCTTGTACTATGTTCTATAGTAGTAAAATCTTTTAAAAATATATTAGTTACTTTAAATTGGTGTATATAAATTCAATCGCGTTGAATTGATGGCTCTCGTAGTTCCCCTAAATTATATGGTTCGAAGTGGTCTTTTGTGCCGTGAGTTTTTCCCACGTAAACTTCGCCCACTTATGATGGCGTCCGTATTATCCCTAATATGTGCGAGTAGGGCGATGCCTGCTCGACCTTGAATTCTTAAAGCGATGGCATCATAAAATTTACCTTCAGTAATGAATGAATTTTCTGGAATGTAACTCGGTGGTAAGTTTCGTATTCTATACGCCATCAATTTCAGAAGTTTTGGTAAATGTAATTAAGAAAGAAGAAGTTTTTAATTAAATCGTATTAAACTCAAACGACGTATAAAAACTACAGGTGTCGATAGTCGATCCGTGCGAGGTGATAACCTCGAACATGAGCAACTTGCCCTGCGTCTCCAATCAGCCAGACGTGCCCGCGCCTGTACCTGCGGCCGCTGGTGAGTTACGTCTCTCAAATCGGTAGTTGCACACAATTAAACGACTTATGAGCTCAAACGTAAATTGCCCACAGGCAGGTACAGGCCGCAAATGGACGAAGACACTCTTTTATTTCATTCGCTGCGTGATTCGTATGTTGTTATTATTAACGATGGTAAGACTGCTCATCGGCCTAAGTGAGTATTATTCATCATATTTACCTTTATACATAATCCTTCCTGGATTAGATCCCAGGGAATACAGAAATGACTCTAGTATATCTCTTAGAGACGACATTTTTACGCATTTTGATTCATACATCGGTTTCCGGATCCTTGTTTCTTAGTATTCGTTTGTTCGACTGTTTAATTTGTCTGTAAAGTAGAGTGTCAGAGTATATACGAAGTGGTGACCCGTAAGCCACTTAGCGGTGGAGCTCGATCGGGGGCGATCTCACCTCGACGTGCAATGTTGTGTGAACCGCTAATCGGCCTCGGTCTTGATTTATGGAAGCCGTGCTAATTGAACCAATCTCAAATAAATTGAAGCCAAACTTACTCCTTACACCATCGGTTAGGTTAATGCGACCGTTTGAGGCACGGGCGGATAAAAACAGCGATGTAACTAATTTCTTCGTTTCAGCGCTTTCGAATTGTTCAACAACGGTATAGTGATGACGAATCGAACGCTGAGGACCAATGAGCTGTTCCAAGTGCGCCTGGAGCTGGTCATACCCAAGTGGGCCGGCAGCGTCGAGATAGGGGTCACGCAGTATTCCTCGAATGACATAAAGATGCATTTCAAGATGAGCAACGCGAAGGCCGGCACTTGGGTCATGGCCGGCGAAGACGTGCTGCGCGACGGGAGCGTCATCATCCCTAAATACGTCAGGAACCTCAACCGCCTCTGCGTGAGCTTTTCATATCTTACCTGTCACCGCATGCTCTGCTTACAATGTATCCACCAAATCTATCTCTGTTCACATTCAACGTATTACGTAAACGTCATGCGTTAAATTGTAAGAACAATATACGCTTCACAATATTCAAATTATATTTAGGAGGGAGACACAGTAGGCGTGATGCGTAAGGACATGGGCATCCTCCACTTCTTCGTAAACGGAGTGGACCAGGGCCCGGCCGCCTTTAACATCCCCGAGCATGTGTTTGGTGTACTGGACCTGTACGGGCGCGTGGCCCAGGCTACCATCGTGGACACCTACGTGCCCTCCACCGCTTTCTCACCAGAGTCTCCCAATTCCATCGACTCCACCGCCACCGTCTATCCGTGAGTGATTTCCTCCATATTCGCTTTCCCAACATAAGTGAATCTGTAACTTTATTCATAGATGCTGAAACATCGAATACCACTTTTAAATATAACGGTTTAAAACGCGAAATATTATTACGCTGCTGAATGCATCCGAAACGTCGGGCGAAAGTTTAAAATATATTGTGAATAAGTTTAACTCATATATTTCGCGTTATAAACCGTAAGTGTTTTATTCTTTTTTTTTACAGGGAGATGTGTTTTCACCGCGTGCACGGGCGCAACGCTCGCCTCAGCCGTACGCGCCTCACCGCCTCCCGCTCCGCCGTCTACTCGGAGTTCAACGACGCCGTGCTCTTCAGCTCGCGCCCTCTACGCGAGTGCGACATGTTCGAGCTTCGCATCGACTCGATGGTTGACTGCTGGATCGGTAGCCTGGAGATAGGTCGGGCTCTGCTCTTTTTCATTTCTCAAAAATTTTGCCTAAGATGCGTTACTTGTCAATTATGTAACGGTGTGCGCAGGGGTGACGGCTATCCGGCCAGATGACCTGGAGGAGTGCGCTTTGGCCGGCACCGCCACCGACCTCAGCTACGACACGTACATCCTGAGCGGATCCGCCATGATGAAGGACGGCGAGTGCGTGCGCAGCGGGTACGCGCTCGACCTCGACACGCTCTCCGTTGGCAGTCGAGTCGGTGAGTGCACGACTCCTAGAGAGACAATATGTCAGATAAGTAACATTTAAGGGCACTAAGTGTCATGTATGGTGTTTAATGCTGAAATGTTTGGGACAGGTGTGATGTGGCACGCCGACCGCAGCCTGCACTACTACCTCGACGGAATGGATATGGGCAAAGCGTGGTATGTGCCCCACCTCAACATCTACGCGGTCGTTGACCTCTACGGCCAGTGCACACAGGTATAATACCTACACTACATATACACGTCAGAAGTTCGCGTGAGATGTACACAATTGAATAATACAATTAACTGTTGAAATTGTTCAAAGCATCCGAAACGTTGGCGTAGTAGAATATTTTATAATAAAGAAAACATGCGTTTAAAACCGTGTTATTTGAATCAATTTCCATCCATTCACAAATCACTGCTTTTTAGGTGACGATTCTGCAGAACGAGGAGAGAATGTTCAATTACAACGGCTGCCCGCTCTCCGACAATCCATTCTTCGGCTTGCCGAGACTGCTCGCCACGCCACCGCCACCATATTGGTACCAATTTCATATTCATTATTTATACTAAAATTTTAATGGATACAAAGTAGTTTGGCAAAAAAAGAGTGGTGGCGAGATTCCTGCCAGCTTCTTTCTACACCATTATTTTAAGAACTGGTAGTAAGTGTAAATCAAGAATATGTTCCTCTTATTATAATAATAATGTATTTAACAGATCCTGAATCCATTTTCTGAATCTAATCTAATGAATGTTACTTGTGTACTTAATGATGCCTTTTTCACTGGAACCGATTTTAATTTGCAGTTATTATATTGTTAATCTGTAAATGAAAGCAGGAAAAATTTTCAACTCATTCAGAGAGTTAAAATGGAATTATTAGTTCTTATTATATATGAATCATATTACATCACAAACATTGTATAGATAATGTTTGTGATGTAGAGGTAGTAGGACGTGTTGACTTATTTTAAATTAGGACTCAATGTCTCGCATGCTTTATATTGCTTTATTAAATAATATATAGTAGTATGGTCATTATTAATGTCATGTGCTGTCTCTTGACACAGGAGCTTCTCTGAGTACTATGGAGATAACATCCGGCTGAGCCACGAGTACTCAGTCGCAAAGAGGATGACCCTGGACCCCACGGGGGCGCTGCTTTTCAGCTCTGGTCATCTTGCAGTCGGAGAAATCTTCGAGGTATCTATCATTCTCAATAAATAAGTTTAAATCGTATGTAAAACAAAAACTACTTGTAAACGGTTATTATGACGTTAATCACAATTTAAACAGTCGCAATGCTTGAGGTGTGGAAGAACCCACTCTAACAAGAAAAAAATAGTAAGTGAATAAGTAGTACACTTAAAGTACGTGAAGACTGTACATTAAAATTTGGCGATAAAAGGGGTGGCGGCGAGTTTCTTGCTAGGTCTCGTTCATTCTAGGCCTTTGATTTGAGAGCTGGTAGTAAATGTAAATTTAGATTCTTTTGCTTTTAACTGGTGTGACGTTCATAAGTGTACCTAGTTGAATAAAAGATTTTTGACTTAGACTGTTTTTAACGAACGGACGGAAATTCGCATTTCCTACCGTAGGCTTTTAAGTTTCTGTCACAGGTCCGATTAGCCCGTCTCTTTCTAGATAAAGATAACTCAGTGCGACGATAGCTTCGCGGGCGGGTTCCGAATGGGCGTGACCGACGTCAACATTCTGAACGCGCACGTCAACCGCAGTCTACCGCCGTCCATCGTGCACCTGCCCCACTACACGGCGTACATCGACGGTGAGATTCTACGTCACTCAAATCCTACATTTCGCCACTTTGTTGGATTACAATCTACTAAAAGGAAACACTCAAATTTTCGAATAGCTAGACCGCGATGTATTTGTGCCAAGTCGCCATTTTGTTTTAAATTCTCATTTAATCCAACTGCAGGTAAATACATGAAGTACTCGAAGGCGGGCAGCCGCGAACGGGATTGGCGCGCTGTGTCGCCCTCGTTCGAGTGGCTGAGGCCGGGAGATCGCGTTGGCCTCAAGAAGAGCGCGGACGGTCGTGTGTTTGTCTACTACAACTGCGAACAGCTCGACACAGCCTTCGAGCATGTGCCCGATGTGAGTTTCGCGATAAAATACTTTGTCTAATACAGGGATATTTTTTGACAATGGGGCATGCCTCCCTGTATGAGTAACCTAGAATATTTTGTGATATTCGTTTTTAGAAGGTGTACGTGGCGATGGAGTTATACGGATGCGTGTGCAAGATCCAGGCCGTCAAGCGGGACAGCGTCGCCGTTCCCCCGCAGACGAGTCGGTATCTCTATAATATAATTACATAGAGTATAATTATAAAACAATAATGCGTAAGTACTTTGTGCGAAGTACTTGAAAGTGAAGCTTAGAACTTTAATTGCATTTTTTATACAATGCGTTGTGTAGAAAATTCCAAATGACCATTCTAATTCGCGCAACACAGAATTTGAACCTCGAGATTTGCAGTCATTAACCACAGTACGGAGCAATTCAAACAGACAATAACATACAATATCTCTGACTACCGCCTCCTTCACAGTCCCGAACGATTCGTCACTGTACATCGAGCCGACGACCGAAGTTGCCGTCGAGGTTTACGAGAACGCGAACGAATCCGAGGCGACGACGACCCAACGACGCCGCGAGCCGGCGCCCGCTCTGCCATATACCTTCCACTACCTCCACGGAGACAACGTCGAACTGTGCAGCTCTGGTGAGAAGTGCCTTTTGTATTATTCGCGAAGGTTGCCCAGATTGCTGTTGCTATTATAATTAATACAAGGTCGCCCAAGAGCACATTTAATTTGAAATCACGTGATTAAGTTCGTAAATTTTGCAACTCTTTTTTTTTCAGACACCGTCGCCATTCGCACGTCTGGCTACAACCACGGTGTGGCTGTCGTGAGCCAGCCGCTGCGGCGCGGCCAAAGCTTCATGGTGAGTCGTTTTATACGAAGTACTGTATTCTAACCTATCTGAGTATCACTGGTCCCAGAAAATATATTGCAGTGTTCTCGTTTCAGTTCCGTATTGACAAAGTGGTGGACGAGTGGGAAGGCAGCGTCGGCATAGGGGCGGTGGCCACCCTCCCCGCGGACAACTTGCCCTTCGTAGCGCACTCGCTAGATCCCCCCGTGTGGTTACTAACCGCCGATCTACTCTACGACGGCACATATGTAAGTTTATACACGATACTACTAATTTTCTTCCTACAGGTAATATTAAAGTCCCTGTTCTGTCACTATATTGATCCTCAGCTGAGAAGTCCAATGGCCTTCAACTTGGAGCAAGCCGCCGTGGGCTCTATCCTTACTCTTCACTTCCGCTTCGGAGGCGAGTTGGTCGTAGAGCTGGACGGCAAATCGCTCGGCGTTATCGGATCTGTCCCGAGACTCGACGCCCACGTGTACCCGTTGCTCGACCTCTACGGTAGAGTGAGTCAGGTAAGAGCTGAATACGTTAGAAATATATCATTTAGTATTAACAACGAATTCATTTATTTAGTAAATACTTTTCCTGATAGGTGTCCGCTCTCTTGCATCCGTACTCGATGGCCCGGGGTACCTCGCTAGACTTGCCAATCATAGTGGAGAGTGTCGTAGAGCTCGAATTGGAGCCTCGAAACGCCAGTGACATACGCTTTCGACGAAGCCTCAGCCAACGCGATCTCCCCGACCACTTCGGGGACACAGAGCCCACGCACGGCTCAGAGGTCTCCCGCGAGCTGAGGCGAGAGAGCCTCTCGACGTACAACTTTGAGTTAACGGAGACAGAGCGGCTCCTCTGCGACACCAACATACGCCACAACGACCGTTACCCGGAGGCGAGCGACGTCGACGACCTCGACGAAGAGGTGTCGGACGCTCTGGCTCCCGAGCCGACCAATCTGCCAGACGTCACGGAAGAGCGTTTCCAGAACGGGGCGGAGTCTATCTCGCCCGAGAATCTCGCCTACTTGAACCGCATCCTGGGACTCGAACGCGAGTGCGAGGCGAGCCTCGAGGCGGAGTGGGGCGCTGGTTGCGAGCACCTGCACCTCGTGCTGAAGTTCTGGAATCATCTCGTGTTGCCGCACCCGGAGCTGAGGCGCGCCGTGTCCTGGGGCCAGATCAAGTGCCACTGCTCCGCATGCGTCCCGGACTCGGACCAACCTTTTGCTGGTAAGTGCGCTTAACGTATAACGCATCGTGAATCATAGAATCGGTTCTTGAGTCCTATATGGGGAATTTAGCTATTATTTTTAATTTTTACCCATAATAGATAGCTAAATATTATATTATTATCTTCTTGGTACGTATTTTTTTGCATCGATGTCAGTACTGATTGTTAGTGTATGACTATCGTTCGAGATATCAAAACTTTGCACCACTGTGATAGTAATGAGCGTCTGCCCTTTCAGGGTGGGTACGCATCGAACGGATTGATGGAGTCGGGGCTGCCATGCGCGGCTTCTGGCACATCGCGCGCGCAACTCTAGCTGCGGCACAGGCGCGATCGGAACGAGGCCCAGCGCGTCGGCCGCGGCACCTTGCCCCCGCCCCGCTCGCGGCGCCGACCGACATCTGGCTGGACGAGGAGGGCAAACCGCACCGCACCGCGCTGGCCCTCGAAATTGACATCGAAGGCGACGAAGCGGACGAGGACCGACTGCTGGCCTTTCTCGTCCACGTGCGGCCGTCCTCCGCGCCGGACGAATGACGCCCGACCGTCCGGACGCGCTCGTTCGGCAATTAAGTTTGATAACACATCTTGTTCTCAACAGTATTCAAATTGGTCATAACATCTAGAAACGCGGGACAAAGTTTAAATACCGCCTGCGGCATTTACGCGCGACTCTTGTCTGTAGAACAGACATCTGTCCTTGTCGACGGTAATCGAAGGCATTGCCGTACGTCTATAAAAGACGAACCGGCAACTAGGTCGGGAGAGCCAACATGTCGTCTGAATCGTTTTTGGTGCTGATAATTGATTATCAATGTTTAACAACAAATTTGATAATCTATGGCAAAGTGTCAATTGCTAATTTCATTCTTAGCGGGGGTTGATTGGCTACAAGAAACACTAAAGTGCATTAAATTTATTTCTCGGATAGAGACTAAGTGGCACATATCGGTACGTCTTCAGTCGTCCTCGTTGCTATTTGATTCTTTGTAGATTTTTCTTTTAGAAGAATCAGCTGGCATCTCGCTAGTATAAATATATTGCATTGACTGCTAATTGAAATTGAAAGTCTGTATCCAATATTGTCGACTTTGTTCATATTGTGCCCTCTTAATATTGTTTCATCCTGACCATAGCATATCTTCGGTTCTATTCCTGGAATCTCTCAAAGGTTATTTAAACATATCACTGAAAACTATTCAAACGACACGCACGAAGACATTTGTAATATAGCAGATTTGATCTACCGCACCTACTTAAGAAAGATTAATATCATAAAATATATATTTGTATATGGGTGTACATAAAGTAGGCGACGCTAAGATGTAGCGACTATTTCGAATCCAGTGTTACAATCACCTGATCTCAAATGCTACCATATCTAGAATGAAGTTTCAGATTAATAGTAGACCATGTTTCAGACGTCTTATATATTTGGGGGTAGTTCTTTAAACAGTATATACTTATATCTTTACTCATATAACTACAGTTCTTTTAGCTATAGTAACATAAGTGAAAATAGAGTAGTTACTTTTAATATTTATTTTATACTTAAGTTGTATGGCCAGTATTGTTGAATTATAGACAGTAACATTATTGTAGAAAATAAAAATTCATCAGGTTTCAAAAGCGGCTATACTAGTTAATTGTATTGTAACCTCGTCTCTGCTAGTGGGGTGAGGATAATACGGAAATATGTTTGTTTTATGTGAATTAGTCTGTGTTGAGTTTTGCGACATTTCTTAACGCCTCAACTTCTAAGCCTTTGGGTTTGGATACGCCTCTTCGATATGACTATTCTTTTCCGTTTTCAGGCGAATTAGAGTTTTAGTAGAATGCCTCTTTTGCCAATGGCGTTTCGGTAGCATATCACAAGTCGCGCAAAAACTCAACTTTGCTATCTTGACTAGAAATTACGACATTTAGTTGAAGTGCTTAAGTATTATTATTTATGAACGCTTATTTTATTTAACTATTTAAGTTATGCGCACAGTTTTGTTTTCTTTGTGTACTGAAGCGTTAATTGTACTGATGTCTATTGGCACATATCTACTATATTTCCGAAATGTGGAATGAAAATATAGTTTCTTCGAAGTCCAGGGCCCCGAATCTGCTATTCTTTAGTAGAATATACCAATGACTCGACGTCTTTTTGTAGAATATATTAAGTATATATTCTACAAAAAAAAATCGGTACGAAATGTAAACGAAACACTTTAAACTGTAATAAATCTTATACGAAAGGAATAATGCAACGAAATAATGTTACTGAATCAGGGCTCTGGTGTCTAAATTGGCAGGCTGGGTTGTAAAATGTTTTGAAAAAAATATTAATTACGAATTACACACATACTAAGGTCACGCGTTAGGGTTTGTAAACACTGATCTATATGAGCTTCTAATAAAGTGTAACTTGAATTTCTATATGTTGAAAAAGGTCGACAGCACATATTGCTTCGGTTATTGGATGGAGTATATTATCATCCATCGAGTGAAGTAAAACCTTATCTTGTGATCCTAGGTATTAATTTCGCGTAGAATATTAAATTGATCTCACCATTAGAATCTCGTTCGACTCGTATATTTATCGCCTTATCTAGAGCTTTTTATTCAACATCAACCTTCTTCAGGTAGCTCTAATCTCGATAATGCAAATTTGTCATCGAAATTGATCGCGGATTCTTCTGTAGGTACCATATGCCCACATCGAGGCTTTTGGCTTTCAGCACGTATGATTTTACACAAACGTGCGATCACCTTTAGTCGCTAATCGGGTAAGTTTTGTTCTTAGCTGTGATATTTTGCGTACTCGCTAACTTGTAAAAAGGTGTCCGTTGAAAAGAGTGAAGGTTGTTTTTTTGCCAGTTCTTCTCAGCGGATACGATTTCGAAACCGATGGCTCGTATAAAATAAATACTCATTTCAAACATTTTCTCCATTTATTATATTAGCCCTGTCCTAGGAAAATGCCCAGTTTTAGCGTGACTAATAACGAAAAGTGGAAAAACGAAATATTGCTACTTTTATTTTTCCACACAAAATTCTTTGTTTTAAATACATATATGCCTATAACGGTGTGTAAGAAAATTGTAAAATAAGAGTACATAACCTTTTGTAATTTATACTATAAAACTACTCAAAGGATTGCTATAAAACATTGTAGGTGTCTAATCTTAATGACTTTATTACCTAACCCTAGATTGATTTTGAAAATATTATTGTGTGGTAAGTTGCAGTTATTACATTAATTTTCAGCACCAACGCAACAATTATTGCATAACTGCTCCCGTTTTATCGAGCTACACATTTAATTTCATTTACATACGCACTAGAAATCATATTTTGTATACAATAGTTGTTTAGTTCTGCTACGTTAAGGCTCGCGCACAGAGCTGTTTATTTAAAAAATATATCTATATATACTTTGGCGTCATTAGTTATTGGTTTTAAAGTTCTGAAATTCGGTAGTGTACTATAATTAGGTATCTACGATTAATTGATGTTAAGTATCACCTTTTATTGATATTCAGATAACAGGGGATCATACTCGTTAAATCTTATTTGATGATATAATTAATATTGAATTTATGTACTTTTATTATTAATTTAAACAAGTACATATAAAAAAAACATAATGATATTAAAATTAGGATTGAGTGACTTATTAATATAAAACAAAGTATAGCATTATAGCATTCAAGGAAGGAAGGAAGGAATGGACATAAATAAAATAAACGCCCGTGGATCACTTTACTAGTATAGTCAACGTATACCAATAAAGTGGCCACAGAATCAAAATATTCGATATATACTTTAATGTCGACAGAATGGTTACATTGAAACCCTTAATAGAACATTGTATCCAATGCAAGCTCAGTTATTTATATATATTTATGTCATAATAGATCTAAATTGAATATTACTTAACAATTATATTGACACATTAATTGAAAAACCACATTAATTAACACTATAAAGAAAATTGATACACTTTAGACAATAAAATGTTCACTACAGCCTACATAGAGTAATTATAAACACAGAGCCACTACAATAATCAGTAACTATTAATTTGTAATTCAGCGCTAACGTACAATAACCAAGGTCGTGGTTCCAGTGGATCGATGGAGTGTACTTTACTCACCTTCTGCTTACGTATACTCAACAAGAAAACGATTAAAATTATTTGGACGCATCCATCGAATGTTAAAGGAGCAAACGGTGCACCGATGGTCCGTGCAGATTGAGATTTGAGACAAAGAAAACGCGCACACAATCCAACCACCACTGTCGAGTCTCGGCTAACTTAAAGCCACTCGTTCGTCCGTGTCCGTCGCTGCGGGAAACTTATTTACAACATTTTCCGTTACTGCACTACCATGAAGCCCTAATGCGATGATGCGGCCGAGTGGAATGTAGTCGAATCGCGGCTCTGAGCCGAGAGCGGCGGAACGGCCTCCCCTTATCTATGTCTAACATCCTTAATCTTAACTCTTACGTTCGATTCTAAGTGGCAGTGATGGTCAGCAGTTGTCGGGAGGGACGTACGTCGACCGTTCCCCAAAAAATGGTCAAATCAAAATCCATACGTCAACTCAAGGCTCGACTAAATCCTTCGTTAAATTTAAACACTAACATTACCTTAGGCTAATATCATTTAGAGCTCCGCGACGCCGTTCGCTCGGCAGCGGAGCGCTTAACATGATATCTACTTTGTGAACAACGGTTGATTTTCGATCAAATTTACAAGTCGCTTATCCTAAAAGAGATTACGATAGGGCGATAGACGGAAATTAGTCTAGGAGAAGGTGCCTCGACTAGCGAACGCCCCGAGCCGTTTCTGGGGACGGGGTGAAGAACGTAAAAGAGTCGCACGACCAAAGTATTCCGTACCTTTGGCGCGATCCCTGCGGACCCTCTGCCCTTTATCTATTTCCCGAAACCGAAGGACCACGCGTCACCCCCGACTGCCATATAGGTCTGACGACTGCTGAACTCAACAGAAAGGGACGAAATCAAAAGGCCAAGCGATGATGATTTTCACCGAACAACAATAACCGCCGAGTGGAAGATGAAGAGTCGATGAGGTGGAGATATAAAAAATTCACGATTATGGCAATGTGACGAGAAAAAATATCGTAAAGTATCCGTATTCTAAACAATACTTGATACAATTAAGATTTAAAAATAGAAATGCCATTATATGGGAACGGCACATAAACAAACGAACTACTCCCACATAATGTATTATTTGTTCCGAATCGTTTATTTTTCAGTTTTACTAGAATGAAACGAACAACGATTGGATTGGATTTAATTGTTAAGATTAAGCTCAGATACGGATTTCTTTAACGACTTGTGTGTTGGCAGCGGTTTTATTGACGGTGAAAAGGAAGTCGAAAGTGACGATGAAGGGAGATCTAGTCTGCTCAATAGTGGCTCCGATTTGGACGACTTTATTTGACGCGGTCGGAAGCACGACAGTGCCGCATTACGGGACGGGGAAGGGGGCGGGGTCAGGGACAAGGGGGACAGCGAAGACAGTGTCGACGCCACGGACAGAGGGGGCGTCGACAAGAAGCCCTCGACAGATACCTCGGGGGGCTGGGGAGACTGTGATGAACTCCGCGGGCGCGTCGGTGCTCGACGAGGTAAAGGCTTCGACGCCAGCAACGACGATATAAAGCGCGAGCGGGGCAGAAACGTCGGCCCTGGGGGCACTGCGTTCGGGAAACATGATTTCATGGGGTGCAAGTGCGGGTACATCGGAAAGTGGGTCGGAAAAGGGAAGCGGGGTGCGGGAGGACCATCCGACGACGAAGAGTCGGCGGGACTGGACCCGACGATTGAGGAGCGAATGGACAAATGGGGGGAAGGAGAGGATGAGTCGTCATCGTGCCGTGAGTGAAGTGGCGACGACTCCGACGAAGAAGACTCGGAAGGCGTAACTCCGCACGCGTCCATGACTGACGTTCGCTAGGGGCGCGGACCTTCGCACGATATATCCTAACGTATAATAATATCAAAACTTTACGGACTATGAATTATTTATAATAATAAAAATTGAAAAAACAGTCTTCCAGAAGTTCGATTACTATCAAAAATTTGTAAAATGTAAATTTTCTTTTGGCGCGTGTAAACAAACAATAAAGGGTATCCAAAAAGTGGTAGCGCGCTGGGTGTTCTCGCGATTTTTGGTTTGTATGACGACGATTAATAATCTACAGGGTGCGTTTCACCGCTTAAATAAGTTAACAACTATGTAGATCTAACACGAATACGTCTCGAGGACGCTCCCTACATCGGAATATTCGCGAACCACATTAACACTATCCGAACAGAGATTTATCCAATACGTTAATATAGATGATTAATATGATTATCTAACAGCGATACCTAAACGATTACTTACTCGATAAAATACAATTCTGCAATTATAATGACAAAATCATAAGCATCGAAATACAATGAAATAACTAATTGCGTCGTCCAAATGGACGATTCAATCAAGTCGGCTCGTTCGCCCTCAAACTAATTGGAACGGGAAAGACAAATGGATTTACACGCTTATAATGTACAGAATGCGACGAGTTTTACTCTAAGGGTAATTTTGCATGTTAGTATGGCGGCAATTATGACTATAAATTAAACGAATTTCACACGGCCACCGTACGCTGTTTATACAAGAGGTGAGGTTGTATCGCCGTTCTAAATTCGAATTACGCGTTCGATTTTCGAATTTACTTCTCCTTTTCCGTCTCTTTGTCTTCAGGCTCTTTCTCTTCTAGCTCCTTCTCTTTCTCGTCCTGAAATATGCAAAACGATGCTATTAATATTGTCTTTGGTAATATCGAATCATTGTGTACACTAGATAAATAACGTTAAAGCACCTTTTCTTTGTCGGGCTCTTCAAGGGGTTGCTTCTCCGGCTGGCCGGTGCCTTCCTTGGTCTCCTTGGCGTCTTTCTTGGACGCGGGGGCGACAGCCTCGCTGCTTGCGCAGATCTCGTCCCAGTCCGGGTAAGCTCGCTCTTTAATACGGGAGACGAGACCGACCAGGTTCGGGAAAGAATCGTTCATAGCATCGCGCAACAGGTGGGGCACATCCTTGTCGATGAAGTGCAGTTGGGCCAAGTTCGCGAAGGCAACTACGTCCAGCTGTAGATGTACAAAATAATAATAATTACATGTATAAATATAATAAGTTGTAGAGTAATTAAAAAAGAAGCAACACTTGTGCTACTTGACGACTTACCAGAGTGGGCTCGTCTCCGAAGAAGAACGGCTTGTCGGACAGCAGGTCTGAGAGCACGCGGAGGTCGTTCTTGCCGAACTCTATGATCTCTTCCTGGCTGTGAACCCCGATCCCGTGGGCCTTGGCCTTCTTCATGCCCTAAAACACGAACAAAATAAAACCACTTCCGACCTTCGTTACGTACAGCGACCGCAGACAAAGGGGTGTACAACCACTGAGGCTACCTTTATCAACATTTCGCTATCACGGCAGAGCGCGAAATAGTCGAGTGCAACAGGTGCATCGTTATATAAACTACGAATATCCTGCGCAAGGGGTTTGAAATGGGTGGTGGGGGAGGGGGTGGTGTGGAGCCAATTACAACTACATTCGGGCCATAAGATCGAACGTCTTTGTCATGTAAAATAGTAGAGACTGCCGAGTAAAAAACGATAGTACAAGTCTTACCTTACGACCAGACGTGAGCTTGTAGCAGAAGTTGAGGATAGCGTTCGGAAGACGTGTGTTAAGCGCGTTCTGAAGGTTCACCTGGTAGCCCTTAATCACGCTGTCGGGGTACTTGGCGCGCCACCAGAGCATCACCCATGAGAGATGGTTCTCGATCATGGACACCATAGCGTGCGTGACCACACGTCGTTCGGGGGTCAGCGCTGTGCACAAAAGGGACATTAAAGTGCAGCCGCTCTGTTGCTGCGCGGAATGCACATGCGCGCAGGCTCGCTTATCTAGGATCGCCTATCTAGGTCGCCCGGGATTTCCAGGGCCTCGAACTAGACTGAACCCTGTATATTGATTGCGGGAGGTCGCGGCCCGAGCGAAGACCCCGGGTAGTCTAGGAAACGGAACGTGCGGTTAATTTCGTTCGCCGTCGAGGATGTAAACTTTACAGGAGGCGCCAACGCAAAGTGTTCATTCTCATCCCAAAAAAATCTTTCTTTTTGGGATAATCTTTCAAAGTAACAACTCGCTATTTAACTTTAACTAACTTTAATTATTGGGATATTGATTTAAATAACTATTTCGCGTCATCATTGATCATTGAAATCTCACAGCATATCGACTATGCGACAGTTATTGTAGCCAACATGGCTACTAGTTGTAATTCGTGTTGTTTTGTTTTTCAAGAAGTAACAACAGTTATTGTGTCTGTTTATATTGATTAAATAATTACGACACAGGCGGGACAAGTCTAAGCAATGGAGCCACCTGTATTTCTTTTATTGATTTACTTCCCGCCTGTGTAGTATTTTTTTTATGTAAACAGATTTTAAATTTATATTTCTAGCATATGGTGGCAATATGCAAGAAATTAAAACTTTACAATTTTTATTTTTAACTACATGTAAACAATTATATCAGTTGAATCCGCTTTGGAATTATTTATGTTAATATAAACATCGACGACCTGTCATTCACCGAGTATCCGTGCCTCGGTCCCCTCGCTGATCGTTCTACTGTAACTCAACTGTACTCGTATTTACATCAAGCCTCAAAATTACTCACAACTAGAAATATCCTAACCGTAATAATCAGGTCAGAAGCGCCTCCCAGTAATTTGGTCTAAACTTGCCTTGGTTACCGTAACGAGTAGCATCTCCGTGGGTTTTACAATCATTTTCTTTACTGGCATGTATTACCTGCATCAAGATCCTTATTGAACTTTTCAGTCAACTGCTTGATGATGAAAGTGCTGTCGGCGATCTCCTCCCCGTTCAACTCGATGAAAGGAAGCTGCCCCTTCTTGGACCTAAACTTCGCTTTGTGGTCGACGTTCTGCAACAATAATGGATTCTTTTGTAAACTAAATAAGTTAATAGAAAATATTAAACGGCTCAGACAGAAAGTCCATCTAACAAATCGGGAAGTGTTATCTAAAACAAAAAAAAAGTATTCGCTCTGTTCCGGTGATAGGTCTAAACGCGTTATGGATGCGCGATGCGTGCAAAGATAATAATTTTTCAATCGCATACAGCTTTAGGTGCTCGTCGATCCACATGTTTGAATGTATGGCTAATTGCCAACAGATCGTGAATTCAGTTCTTGCTGGGTCATGGCCTATTCATTAAGTAAACCAAATTCCTATTTGTAGTCCTTTGTCAGAAAAAAAAGTATTTATTATCTAGTCAAGTAACGGCAAGTCGCTGCTAGCAACACAGTATATTGTATTATAATATAGATAGGTAGGTAGGTAGATATGTCAGCAGTACTCGGAGTACAGCGCATGCGTTACAGAGTGCAGTGTCCGATAAAAGCCGGCGAGAGTCGGAGTGGAAGGCATCAATAAATCAATTCTCCCGCCATGTTGGGTGGACACTTCGAGCTCTATTTTTACCGGCCTAGCAACAGGCTCGGGGTTGGCGCATGCGCTATAGTAATATTAAGATCACATCGCCAGGCGAACCTGTAAAGCTACGGCGAACACAAAAAGTGAAATCAAATATTTCCTCTAATTACATATTATATTCAAACTGTATAATTTTAAGCACAAACACATGAAGCGCATTATGGAAACTATTATTGACACAATCCAACATCGATGGATAGGCCAAAGCGATAGCAACGGCCGAATATACATTTTTCTTATATGTAGGTTTGAAACAATAATATTTTTAAATGTCTTTTATTATCTCATCTATAAATGAGATATCAGAATAAATTAATCACGATCGCGATAAGTTCAGAATTAGATTCCGTTATTAAAATAGAATGATAATCCCGCATTTTAGAATCAATCTTATAAGGCGCTTTGTTCGCTTGGTTTATCCCCGGTTACTATGGCGACGGGGAGCGCGGGGCGGGGAGGTGGGGACGGCAGCTGTATTGATTTTGGGTTCACCGGCCGACTGTCTCCCGTCCTGTGCTCCCGTCCCACGCCTCTAGCGCCCTCTATCTACCCACGTTTATAATAAGTAACTGACTATTAGACATCGCGCGCATCTACTTAATATACAGTACAAGGATCAACCTGCTTTTAATATAGTATTTAAGTGAAGGTTACCTTAACACTGAGTAATACTAATAATTTAAAATGCGTAATAGATAAGATATTTTAATATTTTATTTTTAACTGTGAATGGAAATAAAGTCGTACGACTTATTTTGTAGACTACTTTTTCTTTAAAAATGTATTGTGTTATAGGTACATATAAATCGTCTGGCACAAAATGTCTTTTTCGAGTGTAAGAAAAAGCTAAAAACTGAATTTTGTACGAAAATACTGTTTAAACAATTTCTCGATAGAGTGGGATCCAGCAATCGCTGGGTCTCCCCACTCTTCTTTAGCCCCTTACTGACATGCTTTGCCCATCTGGCATTCTTACTGCGTGGCGGGCTCATCCCTGCTCCTTTTTTGCGCCACATTTCGAACATGCATCGTTCCAGCATCCAGCGTTTGTTCCTACAATTTGTTTTTCTTTTAATATTAACAAAAAAACTATAATGGTTTTGGCATTAATGAATGAACCATAGAAACCTCTTCTTTCTTTTTCATTAATATTTAAAAAAAATCGTAAAAATTAACAAGACTACATTTTCAGTAATAAAGGCTGTATTTGGTGTAGTTAAAATAATACAACAAATAACGTTAGTAAAGTTTAACTAAGGACTATTTAAGCTTCAAATTAAAACTTTAGAAACGTAGGTACCAAAGATGTAAAACTGTAATAAAATTCTTTCGTCGCATACGCTGCATAAACTAAATATGATGCAATAAAAGTATGCTTAATATTAAAATAATATAAACACCGTAAAACCGCATCGCAATTCTAAATGTCCAGCTATTCAAGTCATCAATCATACATTTTAAGGGTCAATACTAGTCAATGTCTGTCTCAAATCGTTTAATTTATCCAAAAATATTATTAATATAATATAAAAAAAATGGAAACAAAAAAGTAAATATGTAGTTATAAATTTGTATATAAATTACGTGATTTAGGATGAGGTAAAACTGTGATTAAATAAATTACATAAATATATTCATTTAGCATAACGTTTTGTCAAGTCGTATAAGAAAAAAAGAGAAAAGATGAATTCTACTCCCGCCTTAAAGATCGGTATTTATCAGTAAACTAAGATCGTGATTAAAAATTGACGATGAAATAATTTGTATCAGATAAAATACGTGCATTTTATAATTTTCTCTCGGCACGTAGCAGATAGCAGGCAGGAGTCGCAAAGCAATACATTTTTAGCAATACATTGATTTATTTTAATAACGCAATGTTAAAGCCTTAGAACATTAGCATTAATAAAGGTATCATCGGCTAAGCCACACCCGGCCAACGGGGTCCACAAGTTTCTAGCGAGGTGATCTTTTTCAAGACAAAGAGGAATATTCAAAAGTCGTGCGCTGTCCACGTATTCTGGCTTATGAGTGTAATAAATGTTTCCTAGATTAATTTACCTCTTGTTGCATTAATTTAAATGAAATAAAAAACACAGCTTCAACTAAATGCAATTTATATTCAACCAGAAAAGAATCCAAATTAAAATAAACAGATAAACAAATGAATGCTAATTGTCGAAGTAGTAAAGATTCCGAGAGAAAAATTTGCTTTTAGTGCCAATTACATTTTTAGAAATAAAAGCAATTACGAAAATGCATTCAGTATTCATATAAAAGCAATAGAAATTGTTTGTTTGTTTATGAACATTTATTTTATTTCTTCACAGAGCATAGGTGAAGTGATAAAAAAGTGAAATTACATAAAAAGTACATATGAATGAAAAATTTATATTTTTTAAGCCTGTATTAAATAGCGCAGCCTGTATACACTCGCCTACACTATGAGCTAATTTCACCGATACATTAAGCTCTGCTTGGGGCCCAATTTAAAGTTATTTTTTAGGAAGTAAAAAACGTACTCAATCACAATTTTGTATCCACTTCGGTAAATACTACAGAGGTAAAAGTTTAGAATTAACATAGTAAGGGACTAATTCTAGTTTCTCTTTTTATTACAATAAAAATATATACTTAAGAAGCTAGGCAGCTTTAATAATCTTAAATTCCTATAAAATATTCTTTGATAAATTAAATTCCCTGGTAATTAAAGCCACGGGGGCGGACCCGGGAAGCTCAAAACGCTTCCGGCGATGAGTTATAGGCCAGATTGGAATTCGAAGGCCATCAGTGATTAGCATATTTAAGAAAACGATACAGAGCTTCCTGGATCAGAAATAGGTTCATCGTACTAATGTATACGGACAAAATATAAGTGTGTGAGAAGACTTAGGTTTGGAGAAGTCAAACTCTTTTTATTGCTTATTTAAGACATGAAAGTATTACAACAGTGCGTCATTTTCACATGCAATTCACAATTCACTCATGTAAAACGCATATATACCAATATTATAACGCTGAAGAGTTCGTTTGTTTAACGCGCTAGTCTCTGGAACTACTGGTTCGATTTAAAAAAATCTATAAATCATCAGGCTGCGACCAATAAAAAGCAGTGTGAAATGTGGATAAAACAGGAAACGATATTCATCTTTGTAGGTTTCGTTTCGTGCGCTGCGAAATTTACAAGATACCAAAAAAAATGTTTTAAGATGATTCCTCTTTAAAGGAAAATAAATTAACTCGCAAAAACAGGACGAGGACACGAGAAATAGTTATAATTTAAAAAGATGAGGGTTCGCAATAATCAATTTTGGTGCCCAAATTTATAACTACTATTCTACGCGGACGACGTCGCGGGCATAGGTAGTTTGTCATATTCTGAGCTTCTCTTGTACGAAGCCCAGACTATTGTCACGCGGACACACCCCGCTCGCCCGGGAATGGCGGGGTAGGGTTTCGCCGGTCGATGGCCGCGCATGCGCAGACAACGGGCTACCGACCCTTCCCGAGATTACGGGACGCGCCCATACGAGCTAGCGTCTAGTCTCCATTATCATGGCAGTAGCGTTCATCCTAGAGAATAGTATGCTTTTAATAAAAGAAGCATTCCTAACGTCACGGGCTCGTCGGTGTAATGGTAGGATTGCGGGTTCGATCCCCACCGGGTCCGACATGTTTCTATCTGTTTATCTTTTTGCTTAAACATTATAAGACTGGAAATCTGGATATAAAATGGGTGGTAGGAATAGTCCGTCCGCGTCCACCCTCCACAGAAGAAATTGACGTTAAACTTAATCGCATTTCGCGTTCATTTATATTTACATCAAGACTACAAGCTAGATCACCGGCTAAGAGACATCCGGCCGATATTATATTCCCCGAACTGCATATCAATCCTTAGCATAGATATTATGCTGCAATGGCATATCTGGCAGCACACCTACCTACTCATATAAGTTGTTGGTTGTTTAAAAAAAAATAGATAAAAAGTCTTGCAATATCACATTCTTCTAACGCACACTATGTCCGCGTGAATTTCTAGTATTTTTTTTTTAATTAGACAGTTAAAATGGTCATAGAGAAAACCGCGGTGTGCATCTAGTGATGATACATATAAAACCTATCTTGATGAAATAAAGAATCACAATTTGAGATCGTGGCCTGTACATGAATATCGTTTTAGAATTTTCTGTTTTTCCATCACCGTTTTCAGCTGATAAACCAAATCTACCGCGTCTTACGTACGTACTATCTTTTCCTGTTCAGGTAGAACTTAGCTCGAAAATCATTGTCAAAGTCAAAAACCATTTATTCGCGTAGGGAACTAGGCATACTTATGAACGTCACACCAGTTAAAAACAATACAATCTAAATTTACATTTACTTACCTACTAGTTCTTAAATCAAGGGCGAAAACCAACGAGAAGAA